CCTGACCTGCCGCGCCTGCACTTGCATTTTCATTTGTACTTGCCGTTATAGTCGTCCTCAAAGGACTCGGTCGTATCGCCGCAGACCCCGTTGCTCCCGTCTTGATCTTCTTCGTCGCCGGTGCCAACGTTGTCACCGCACTGTCACTCGTCTCGGAACTATGATTCCCATTCCCGTTACTGCTATTGCTGCTAGAACTGGTACTCCTCCCACTCTTCTGAATCTTCTCCGCCAATGCCCCATTCCTGTCCTCTGCCTCGATCTCCAGTTCTGGCTCTACAGATCTCTCGGTTTGTACTCTCGAATGTTGCTGCTGCTGCTGGTCCCTCTTCGTCACCGCAACTATCTTCTCGATCTTCTCGGCCTCCGATACGGTTGTAACGGTCCTGGGAGAGGGTTCATCATTATCATAGACACACAGAACTTCGGATCCGGACTTGCGGCAACTCGAACACGCGGGCTTGATTCGATCGCATTTCGTCTTCTTGAGACGGCATCGGGCACAGGGTCGGAACACCCCTTGTTTTGGACCGATCGGCCCTCGAGCCCCACCTCCACCGCCAATACGCGGTGTTGCTGTTGTTGTTGTTGTTATCGCTGTCGTTACTGTGAAGGAGGTAGGGGGTTTCGTGGGTGAGGAGGGAGGTGATGATCGAGCCTCAGAGTCGGCTCTTGCGTAGTGAGAATCTCTATATTAATCCCAGAGCAAACAAAAATAAAATAGATATTGTTAGATCGGACCTTGGAGGAGTTGGGTGGAATCTATGTGGTCCCCTGTCCCTAATACAGGTGATGACAGCAAATCCTTGAGGGACTGATCCCAAAGAACAACGAAAGACAACGATTGCGTCGTATTGATCATTGGCTCGCTAAAGGACATGGTATAGAATATCCAAAAACAAGAAGGTAGCTGCATGATAGAAGGGAAGGGTTGCAGCAGCGGTTTATAACCTACCTTGAGAGTGAGCGAGGAGGATCGACTTGTGTGTCGCTGTTGTCCGCGGTAGTGGGGTGGCCCGCGGGAGGTGGGCTTTGTTGAACACTCAGGGGATTATCGGGTACGGCATCTGCATCGGGTGACATGATGCAGTGTTGCTGTTGATGGAAGTGGGGGAACTGGCCTGATGAAGCTGAGGAAGGAGGACAGAGCGAAGAAGGGGAGGTGATCAGGAAGGAGGGAGAGTGGAGTGAAGAATGAGATGATGGGAGGATGAAAGGCGGAGAGGAAGAAAGTGGGTCTGTTCCTGGGTGGGGAGCGAGGCGAAGGTGTGTGAAGGAAGATGTGTGTGATGTGCGATGTAGGAAACTGTGTTATTGGCTGCCTGAGGATTGTGTCACGAACGCGTCTCTGTTCCGACGCGTTTTTGCTATGCTTCAGTCTGTGGTCCTGCTAAAGCAAGCATCCAAAAGAGACAACGAAGCAGTGCTATGTGTAAGTGTGTATGTGCGTGTAATGATGAATGACTAGCAAGATGAGTGATGAAGAGAAAGATCTACTTGTTTTGTGTGTTCCGGGACGATGAAAAGAAGATTCGGCTCATCTGTTTTTTTTTATGGTTGTACCACCAGCCCTCGCTCCAGCCTTACCCCTCGCTCCAGCCTTACCCCTAGCCCCGACCCAAAGCAATTTTTATCGCGGATGGGGGAGGGGTGCGAGGGGTGCTGTGTTTGCTGAGATACTCCAAACATGAGCACGTAATGCTAACAAGCCTAGTAGCATCGAACCATTCATACACACTTGTCCTGTATATAGCATAGGTGCTATATCTGGACATCTAGTTAGACAACAGATCGGTTGCGCTATAATATGCACCAAAATATATATGCTCAAAGGGCCATGGTAATGAATTGCCGCGACATGTATCGACACATATCAACCTGGATGCTGTGCGTCTCTGTATCACTTACACATATTTGTCTGCAGTGCAGTAATAATTTTTGTAGATGAATGTGGAATATTTTTTTGGTCATATAGGCAGCTTCCGTTTCCTTTTGTCTATGAATGTATGTGCAAGCTACTTTGTTGTTGTTGTTGTTGTTGTTGTTGTTGTCAAAGATGTTCTAGCCGTAGTAAAAAAGGAAGAAGATGTCTACCGACGCTGTCGTCGGACCAGGTCCCTCATCATGTCCGGCATCAACGCTGCACTATCTTCACCCTCTCCATCACTAGGAACTCCTGCGCTGTTCATCGTAGACCCTGTCTCCCCAAGCCGACCTGAGGGTAACACTGGTGGCGGCGGCATCATTTCTCGTTGCTGCTGTTGCTGGAGTTGACGCTCTCGTTGTTGCAGCTGCTGCTGGAACATACGATCCTGACGTATTTGTTGTTGAAGATGCGCCTGCTGCTGTTGTATCTGCAGTGCAGGCGGGGCACCATAATTGTCTCGAGGATATGGTCGTGTTATTGACGCTGCCGATGATGATGATGATGATGATGATGATGGCGGTGGTGCTGTTGCTGCTGCTGCTGCTGATGGATATGAGGATACGGGCGATGTCCGGGGCTCATGCTGCTGATGCTTTTGCTGAAGGACGTGATAAGACGGAGAGGACGGCTGGTAGGACTGATACGAGTAGTGCGCTTGCTCCTGCGCCTGCATCTGTTGCTGTGGATGCGATGGCCTCGGCAGACGATTAGAGGTTGGGGATGGCATCTGTGAATGGCGCGATGTGCTCGGCTGCTGGTGTACCTGTATAGCAAACTCTTGATGGTGATGTTGCTGCAGTGGGGGCGCCTGATCCTGTTCCACATAACGAGGGTGCTGCGGCATAGTCTCATCTGGATGCATACCAGCTTGGAAAGCCGCGTAAGGGTACTGCATCTGTCGCGCCTGGCGACCATGTTTCTCAAGCTTCTGCTGCTTCTGCTTCCGTGGCTCCACAACTTCTACTCCATCACGATACAACGGATTCGCATCGAATGCGGCCGACCCTGATTCTCCTGTCTCAGAAATGTCCATAGCATCTCCAATGCCCGATCCATGCCATCCACCATGGCTACCTTCTCCAAGACCTTCATCTCGATCTTCTGTGCCGTACATCGACTCCGACGGCCTTTTACGACCTACCAGTGTCGCTGGTGCAGGCCCTCGAGGACCTGTCGACAGAGTTCCAGTCTTCCACTGTCCTGTCATTGGACGGCCGTCATAAGAACCTATGCTTCGTCCTCCTGCCCCTTCCGAACCCCCATTTTCTCCGCGAAGATCCTGACCTGGTGCTAACATCTTACTCCTGCTATCTACTATTGCTATCGACCGTATCGCTCCAGGTGATGGCGGAGATAAAGGTGTAGCAAACCTTTGTTGAAGCGGTGGCGTCGAAGATGGGCTCGTTAAATCAATCAATTCGGGTCTCAGGCCATCAAATTCGTAACCATGACGGGTTTCAAAGGCCCTGGACTGTTCATCATGGAGTACCTCCGGCTGAAGAACGCGCTCTTGAGGCAGTATTTTCTGGCGATGAGGTCGTTGTTGCTGTTGCTGTTGATGAGGATGCTGCGGATGCAGATGACCGTAGCCGGCTTGTTCCTGGGGCGACATAATCTCAGCAGTGTCAGTCATTGCTGGCCTAACATTTATCCTTTGGTTGAAAGGCGAATGTTGCCCTGTGCGTGAAATCGGCGTTGAAGGTTGGGATGAAAGGTCCATTACTGCAGTTGCTCCTGACCGCACGGGCAAAGGTCGAGGCAGATATCCCTGGTCATAGGCTATCACTCCAGGGCTAACAGTGTTGATATCTGAGGGGTTTCTGCTTGACCGTGATCGGGGCCGGCCATAGGCATCGTGGGTCATGATAGTAGATGGTGAATGCGTCGAATGATGGTATGCGGCACCATATCCGTTGCTTTCGTCAATATCTGATGCAGCAGAGACCGGCGTACGCGGATTCTGCTCGTGTGGGTGGTATGGACGATTTGGGAACGTCGTCGTGACGTGAAGCGACTGAGATACAGCCATGTACACGTTATCAACCTGTTGATGTCGTGATGAGCCAAAGTACTCGCGCGCTCGTGGTTTAGATCTTTCGCTCCTGACCGAATGCCTTTGTTGCGATGGACTGACAGCTGGACCCGAATCTTTAACCGGTCTTGATGACTGTGACACTTGGCGAACATGATGGGGACAAGGTCGGCGGGCGACATTAAGGTCCTCCCAAGGCTGTGGCAGTGATGCTGATGCAGACCCATGAGAAGCCCCATATCCCGGTGAACGGACAGGGGATATCGGTCTTAGTGGCATTCCAGCCTGACCAACGTGGATGCTGCGCTCTTCGACCGGGGACCGGCTAGTCTCCACTGGTGTCAACTCGCCTTGATCCACCCAATCCACTCGTCGCGGCTCTGCAGAATTATGTCTACGTCCATTATCATGCAAGTACTGCTCTCCCGATCGATCAAGTCGGCCGCGAATCAAAGCGGGCTCTGGATGTAGCGAGCCTGAAGGAGCTCGGATGTGCATCAAAGGGTCCGCTTCGTTCTTTCCTGAACCAGTAATAGAATGGAATTGATGCGCTTCATGCGGCAGCCTATCCTCTGGGCCCTGATGAAAATAAACCCCAGAGCGGTGATGGTTTGCATGTAGCGGCAAAGGCGGCGGCTGGATATCCATCGCATGAAAGAAGCCAGCTATGTGGGTCTCCACGTTTGGTGAAATAAGCGATACTGACGAAGACCTTGATCGGTCCCCATCATAAACATCTTTAAATATCCTTTGGCCTGATCTCGAGTGCGACACTGGTGCCTGTGGTCCATGCTCCGAAGTCTCGAATTGCGTGTCCCAAGGGATCGTCGATGCTGTGCTGAGTTCGGTGGCGGTTCCTCTTAGTCCGACTATCTTTAATTGTGCCTGTTGAGACCCTAATGGAAAGCTCGCTAAAGATGTTGTTGCGCTGTCTTGCGAGGGACTGAATGGCAATTGGTTTGGCCGCTCTCTTTCTCTGTCCTGCTCGTCTGTCTCGCATGTCGTATGTGAGCCCTCGCGAGTAGAAGTTGTCGACGAGCTATAGTCGGACGCCATGGATACCCCGCGTCGACCACGGGGCGGGCCAGCCATACTTGAAGATTCGGTCGAAAAGGAGGGTGTCCGTTGTCGTCCACCTTCTATGTTTTTGGAAGGCATGAAAAAGAGAAAAGTTGGCGGCAAGTATAGAGAGTAGTTGTTAGATTTCAATTTTTACAACGCTTAACTCCATCTCTTTCTCTCTCTCTCTCTCTCTCTCTCTCTCTCTCTCTCTCTCTCTCTCTCTCTCTCTCTCTCTCTCTCTCTCTCTCTCTCTCATAAAATAGTGCTGTAGCCGTACCTCTATGGCCCGATTGCCTCTCTTGGCGTTGGACCGATGTAGCCTGTTTCCCGATATTATCATAAGGCGCTAAGATCGAGGCTAGGCGAGCGGCGGGAACGGCAAAATTGTAGTGCTTGATGCACCAAAGAGTCTTCATAAAGTTGACCTTGGCAGGTGTGGAGATAGCCGGGTCAGGCTCCTTGGAGTTGGCTAATTGAATCCCTGCGGCTTCAGTCAAACATCGCATGGCGGAAATCATGCAAAAGTTTCGTAGATCCGCTTCCCTGATGAGGTCGCCCATGGTGGCTGTGATTCCATTAGCGCATGTCGCTAGGATTCTTAATGGAGATTCGCGTCTAGGACCCAAACCTGTGGGACTTGATCGCACTATCGCCGGAAGACTGTTCAAAAGAAAGATATGACCGAGTCGGTAATAGGTATCGAGGGTCGACGCGAGGGGCGATATTGATCCTTGACCCCCAGCAGATGAGTTCCGTGCAGTATTGCATCGTAGATTCTTGGGCAGGCTGTTTTGCCATGTTCCGAAGCAATCCAGTATACTGGTGACAGGATGCAGGTCCCTTGAGGAAATGGGCAGCTTTATCTTGGTCATCGCTTGATAAATCTTGAACAGATTACCATAATAATATATCGCTGCGTCTAGAGGAGGCGACCTCGCGATGGGGACCTCCTCAGGTCGAGTGTCAAGGGCTGGACTGGTGAGATCCTTCAGCGGCTATATTGATTAAATAATTAAAATAATAATAATAATAATAATAGTAGTAATAGTAATAGTAATAGTGATAGTAATAATAAAATGATGAGATCGTCAACATTTAGTTCGCTACTTGTCATAATGAAAGTCGTGAAGACAAAAGATAACATAACTTACATCGATCTTGACGACGCTCTTCGATGAAATGAGGTTTGCCATGGTCTCGGTCCAAATGATCACTCTCCAGGTGTTCCGAATAATGGCGTCCGCAGGCGACAGCTTATCTTGGGTGGCGATCTTTTTGACTTGCTCTCCCAATCCAATCTTGTGGGCAATCTCCATCATATGAGTGTATGCCTTCGTGCTTGTCTCGATTTGGTTGGTCACGACAAAGAATTCTTGAAGGATCAAGATCGTCTGGATGGTGGTAATGTCCTCAGGACGCGAGTTCTTGATGGCAACCGCTCGACTGTAAAAGTCGTACACAGTCTCGTCTTCTTGGCCGGTGGTCGGGGTCTGGATCATGAACATGGCCCCGACTGTGCACATGGCATACACAATCGACGCCACCTCTGGTTCCATTGGACGATCAAGACGCGTCCAGAAATCGGGGTCGTGCTCATCCACGATACGATGAATTGGATGCACATAACGCAGATAGAGTCGAATGAGACGACGCATTAGCTCGGGATCTGGAGCGGGTGCATCTGGACTGGGAGGACCTCGATACGCGTAGACGTTCTGGTCGACTGCCTCGGAGATCGTGTGGAGCAAGATATTGGGTGGTCCCGATAATGACTGAGCATAGGCCAGCGTAATTGTGGAGAATGCTGGCAATGTCGGCAGAGGGGGAGAGGAGGACGGGGGTCTTGAGGGCGAAAGCTCAGGTGACAGGTCCGCATCATCATCGTCAGTCCTCCTCAGCGAAGGGAAAGTTGATCGGTTCTTTTTCTCTGTAGTTCGAAAGAAGGGTTTGTATGAAAAGGTGTTCATAGGTTAGCAAAGCTCGATTAGCCATAACCTGCCAAATCAGCACAAAGTTGATATTGTCGTCCACTCAGGCAACACATAAAACGTCGTTGAGAATAACACAAGCAAGCATTCTGCGGCGTCGATGAAGAAGAGGGGAGAAAGACAATTTAGACGCGCTTTGGCTCTTTTGGAGCGATGAATGGACCCAACCGAGGACATGCACAAAAAGATTGGGGATGTGCAAATGCTGTTTAGGCATGCGACGCGTAATTGTACCATATGAGGGAGAGAGAGAGAGAGAGAGAGAGAGAGAGAGAGAGAGAGAGAGAGAGAGAGGAAGCAGTATAGAAAAATACTCATGATCACGACAGCAGAAGAACAGGAGGGGTCAAAACCACAACATTTGTCAACAAAAGCAAGAATAGGAATGAGAATAAAAACAAGAACAAGAACAGAATACAACGCAACACAACGATACACGCTGTGTGAACCTTGTACCGGGTGTTTGGTGTGGGGGGAGGAGTGCCATTAAAAAAAAAAAAAAAAAAAAAAAAGACGTGCGACATTGTGATGCACGGCAGTGGTCTGGGCCATGAAAATGAGGTGAGTCAACACTCTCCAAGGTTACCAATGCTACCTGAAAACCGTTGCAGCTCCAAGTGACCCTTTCGGTATTCGCTTTGATTAGCAGGAATGCAAGTTTCTGACCGTTCGATATGGGGGTAGATATTTGAAATGAACGCGAGATGCGGTATAAAAAATGAAGCGGGGAACCAAAAAAAAGGGTCCATTGGGATGAAAGGCGCGGTAAGGGTGTGGGCTGAGCTAATGGTATTAACAAACAAACCAATCCCGTTCAATTGAAGTCCCCAGTCTTTCTTTTCCTTCCTCCTGGGAGACCTTAGACATGTCCAGCCTAAACTACCCTCTTTTTTTTATAACCACAATAGCGCCCAGGAGAAGAAGTGTGCCATTGAGCCCCAAAACGAGTGGCCAGATTCGTCTAGCACCCTTTCCGCCTTCGCTTCGCCCTCGTGTGAGTCAGCCGGTAGATTAGGGCATCAAACAGGACGAGAGCACCAAACGCAGCGATTGCCCTCCTTGCGCCCTAAAGAAAAGTATGTGAGGATAACAATAGCCCAGAAAAAAAACGAGTGGCTATCCAATCCTCCAAGGTAGACTAATCGAGTGTTTGTTTTGTTTGTTATTGTCGTTGCTGCACTTGTATTATTAATCATTATTATTATTATTATTATTATTATTGATGTTGTTGTTGTTTGAAATTGTTCATCAACAGGTTCTTCTTCACCCCTGAATGAAAGCAAGCCTTTGCTTTGGAAGGTAAAAAAGATCATTATCTTATCCAACACAAACAATAAAGACAGGGCTGCAAATCAATAACTATTCCCGCTGGGGTGATCCTTACCAACACCATCGATAGTCTACCCTTGGTAATCGATTACTCTCTCTCTCTCTCTCTTGTCTCTTGTTTTCTCTTTTGCTTCCTTCACCCAAGATATACTTTGTTTTGCATATGCTCTCGCTTAGATGATAGGCAGCATGCACCCTCGCTGCTCAGTAAAACAAATCCCAGGGTACCCTCAGTCCACATTTGTGCACTCTTTGTTCGTTCCTGTACTGCCATACATCTCACACCATACATCCCACAGCTATTTTCTCTTTCTCCTTTTTCTCAGCTCTCACACTTGCTATACGTAAACCACGAAGAACTGCTCAGAAATGTAGATAAACGACCAAGAAAAAAAAACTCTAGGTGGTGGGTGCGCAAAAATCCAGCAAAGTGTGGGACAACAGTGCCGCATATAGTTTCTACCAACAGACACACACAAACTCGTATGCACACCCACACACAATGAATAATTACAGAATTCACAAAGTCCGAGGAGGAATAAATGACCCACAGAAAAAAAAAAGGCAGACGAGGTGCGGCATGGGAATCTGGGGGCTCAGCGTTTGACTGCCATGCACGCCTGCACACCTTGCAGAACTCAGAGCGAGGGCAAGGGAGGAGAAATAGAAAAAAGGGTTCTGTTGTTGCCATCGTTGTAGCAGGAGAGTGTAGAGGAAGTAAAAACATGAGATGTCTTCTCAATTGCCACTTGATCACGCCCGTTGTATTGATCGACGATTGCTCATGATACCCGCCGTCCAAGGACATCGAGGCATCCAGAATTCGGATCCAGTATGTAATCGATGGGAGTGTTGATAAAGAAACTTACTTGTAGAGCGCGCCCGTGAAGATGCTGCTGATGATGTTGATGCTGAGGATGAACTTGGTGAGTTTGCGGCTGAGGGTGGTATAGAAAGATTAGATGATGGTCCAGCGGGTATTGCTGAAGAGCTGGGGGCGGCGGCTAGTGCCGCGAGTCTATGAGCAGCCTGGTTGGGGAGGACGATGTACTGGCATTGCAGGCCGAATGCACGACATCTCGAGCAGGGTTCCTGGCCGTTGCACTTTATCTTTTGTGTGCGGCAATTGGAGCATCCCTTGTAGATCTTTAGTAGGTTGGAGGGGGGGATTGGTTCGAACATGCGCGATTCGGAAGCATGGCGAGATCTTGAGGATGGAATGGTGAAGACGGTGGCGGTGGTTGAGATTGTGGTTGTGCTTGCGGGGCTTGGGAAGGAATGGTCGATGCTGGATGAGGAAGTAAAGGATGTTGGCAGTGGCACAGGGAAGGGAAGAGGAGCGGTCATGGAGAGCAGGGTGGAGGACAGAGTCCAGTGTGCGGTGTGCAATGTGCAGTGTGCGCCAAGCGAGGGAAGCAAATTAGAGGAATATGTAGGGGCTGGGTTAGTCGGACGAATCTGAGGCGAGCGAGTGGGCGAAGGAGCGCCAAACTACAATGGACGCCGAAGGGAAGAACGAACGGACGAACGAACGAACGAACAGACAGCCGAGGGGCGGATGAAAGGGATGAGGTGAAGGAAGAGGAGGAGCTGAGGGAGGATCGAATTGAAAGTGAGCACAAAGAAAAGTATAATGACAAGGTGCTGTACACGCAGCCCAGAACAAATGAAGACGGAAGTAGTCCACAATAGAAACTCTCGCGAGAGAGCAGGGGTAAGAATAGGGGGTGCCGGGTCGGGGCCAGGGAACACCGGTGCCAGAAAATAGAACTCAATTGAAGAAACTGAATAAAGCAGAACTATAGCAGGAATGTACATGTATAAGAAACAAGAGAGAGAAAGAGAGAGAGAAAGGAGAAAGAGAGAGAGAAGGAAGAAACCCCGTTTTTGGTATTATGTGAGCTGTGCGATAGAACAAACGATGGGAAACGGGGGATTCAGCACGAGGGAGGAAGGATGATTATATGCTCGATTCGATAGGGCAAGGAATAATAATACACTCCTTCTATTTGCTCGCACGCGGAGGGGGGAGAGGATCTTGGGTGAAGGAAGACGAGGGAGGGAAATAGTCTGACCCACTACTTTTGTTTCTTCTAACCCTCTCTGCTGCATGTATTAACCATCATATCCACTGCTCCTCTCTCTGTCTGGAATGAAAAGGGATTATCCACTGAAGTAAATAGAGATTGAATAAAGCGGAAAGAGCATATTGAATGGCTGGGCGAACTGAATATAAAAAGACCACCGCCACAACGCAGACTAGGGAGGGGGCAGTCAAGTCCACCCCCCATCTCATCCCAGAGCTGGGTCAGTGGAGCATGACTCTTTTTGACTTTCACAAGACTGAGTATGTTTAAAAGAAAAGAAGAAAAAAAAAGGTTTGTATACATAAACCTACAACAAACAACAAAAACGAGGGTCCATTCCAGCCAGCCAAACATGTATGGGACAGAATTGGGCAAGGGCAAAAGCGTGTAGACAAAGCAGGGGTACTTGGGCGGTACTCTCTGGGCAGACACCCCACAGACACAGTCGTGTCCTGACCCCATATGATAAACAACTGACACTCATTCAGTTGACAGCCCATTGGTGTACCTAAGCCTAATCAATTATAAACGACTGTAAAACAATGCCTCTTTCTTTTCTTCCATCTTCTCTCCCTCATTCAGTCATTCTCACGTAAACACATTAAATCATATTAAACACATACATCGTATCAGATATAAATCCGTATTAATTGTCAATATCTTTCCTTGTCCGCATGAAATATAACTGATGGAAGGAATAGAAAATAATATATATGAAAATAGGCACGATGGCGCGTCTCAAGCTTCAATGTGAATTGATAAAAAGTTTCCAGATCGATGTAGGAGCAGAATCATAAGAAGGAAACCATTTGATAGGTACAGGAGAAAATGCAAACGCAGAAAACGCGTGGCAAAAAATGTGGTGTGCAACTGTTGCTGTGCTTTGTTGATAATTGGACAATGCTTTATAGATTGGGCAAAATGCGCCGACTCCTTTTTAGGGAGCGACGGGACCCCTGGGCAAATACGTGAGGGAGAGGGAGCGCGAGTACTAAATGAGGGATCGAATAGTGTAATAAATAAAAATATGACATGGGATGGGCGATCGAGGGCGAGGAGGAGCGCCGTATGCAGTACCAAAGTGAATATTGGGATGCCGATGATAGTTATGCTGCAGATGATACAAATGGAAAAGGAAGGAGTGCGTGGGTTTGTTATTGCATCTTTACCTGTTCTGTCTGTGCTCTGCACTCGAGTCTGCAGTCCTGTCCTCATTCGTGTCCGCCTTTGCATCCATCCCCATGGGTTTGCCTTCGTCCTTGCCTGAGTCCATGCTGCCACACCTTTTAGCTTTTTCTGTGTTGAAGAGGTGATCGGATGCGCTAGTGCTCGGATAAGAGGCCCCTTCGCTTTTTTAGATTTGTCGTCGCGCGTAGATTATATTTTTGCTGTGCAAATGTAGGCGGGTATGTCCGAGGAGAAAGGGTTATCGCTTGTAGTGTAGTTTTGAGGGGAAGGGTTTGCGTCTTGAAATGCTGGCTGAGAAGGGAAAAGGTGTTGCGTACAAAGAAGATCGTTGTCGTTTGCAGATACGTGATGAAGATAAGTCGGCTATTACTCCAATTGGTCGTTCTTTTGTGCCGTCGCGATCGTCGCTATTCGTCGTAGGATCGTATAATGTAATACCTGGCACTTGAAATAAGCTAGGACGATCCGGAGAATGGCGACAAAATGACCCTGGATAGAGAAAGATGAACCTGATTTGATATTATATAGGACAGGTGTTATGAAATGTTGAATGGTATGTTGTGAGGTGTGAAAGAGTTGATTGCATGGGTGCAATGGCACAGAGCACAGAGCAACAAGGATCAGCTCAAGAATTTCCGCACGCTAGTCGGATCTGGCCATCATCACGCCCTCCATCCAACTCCATTTACCGAGGTAGTCCACAAATGACTGACGAATTTGAAATCGTTATGGTCCAATGGCTCCGTTGCAAGTTAATCTGCTTATCCCGAAGGGTACATGTGATGAGTGAAGTGTCAGATGTGCAATTATCAAGAATGAGAGGAATGAGAGAGAGTTGGATACTGGAGTCCGAATATTAACAATGGAATGTGATATGGTAATCAACGAGTCAAGGATAGCCTTTGAAGGGGACGGAGAAGGATAGAAGGAAAAATAACAACAGAAGCATAGTATAGAACAGGACAGGGTACTGTCATTTTGTTTTTGGACCATTGGTTCCATTATTATTATTGCTTTATTTATTTATTTTGTGCCTTAGCGTGGTGTCGAACCGTCAAAAACACCATATTTTGCACAGACTATATCGCTGAACCCTAGCATGACCATGGCAACAGCAAAAGCAAGAAGTGAAACGAAGAAATTTTTCAAAAGCTCTCAATGCTTTTATACTTTGAAAGCAGCACAGTCTAGGCGATAATTACGTCATCTATGACAAAGGGGGCTCCTGATTGGCAGACTTTTTGGACGGAAATAAGTTTTTTAAGGGTGGCAATAAGGACCATCCTATTTTGGAACACAATCTTCTGACCGTCCATCAGACTCAATTCCTTGTGCCTGTTTGAGAACGGCCAACTGACATCTTTGTCCCGCCTGGACAGTATTGAGGCCCTTCACCTCAAGCAAGGTCTTCCTTACTCCTACAATTGTGGTCTGGGAGTACTCGAGCGTACATTTCCTCTTCTTTGTTGAGCTAGCGGCAATGACGATCTCCGATATCATGTTTTTTAGATCGGCCTCAAGATCCTGAAGCTCCTGCTCTTGTTCTTTTTCTTTGGCTATTCTTTTCTGTTCCGCCTTCTCTGCCCTTTGCCTGTGAAGTAGAAGAAGGATTGCTGGTGGGAGGGTTTGCTCCAAAGACGACGGAAGTGTTGAATCAGGTGAAGGATCAAAATCATTCTGGTCGGCCTGTACTTGTAAGTAGTCAACTTCGTAAGGCTCTCCTTGATAAGAAATCTTCATGCCCTTATAGACCTTTGCGGTTAAATACATATGTTTGTACGGCGCCTGATGTTGAGCATAATAGTTGCAGCGACAGGCAGCAATGATGGCGAATTCTTCGTCTGTACGGACGTCATATGTAAGACTTGTGAGTGAGCGAGGAACAACGAGGTGAAAACGAGGGGAGACGAGTGAACAAGGTGAGTGAACAAAGACGAATGTGTGAAGACAATTGTTTATTGGCTAGACTGTTGTGATCATATGAACTGTGGTCCAACTACATAGTCTGTCCTTCCTTATATACATCAGATGAATAAAGGTCCTGATTAGTAATCCATGGTTCTAGACGTTTCGGTGCTGCCTTTGCTCATCTTTACATCATGGAGCTTTCTGTGATGAGGGCGACGTTGATCTAATCTAAGACGCGTCTAGCGTCACATGACAATACCAATCAGAGTTAAACTCTGACATGAACCCACGCGTTACAGCACTGATCACTCGTTTTCCTTCCTTACTTTAAACCTCATAACCTCATCGTCTTTGCAGATTCCCGACATCCGACTTCTTTTCCATTGAATCGATCACATTACTTCAGCTAAACACTACACATTCGACAGCAGTTCTCTCATCGCACCACTCGACGTACAGGAAGTGATGGGTCTTAAAGGCTGGTACGCCTTTCTTCGTAAGAAGGGTTACCAACCCTCTGTACTTTACCCATCAGCCGCGTCAACAACCTCGAGCACCGCCACCAGAAGAGTCGACCTTCTCTCTCGCTTTTCAGTCATCAGGAATGCTTATACACGAAACTCCATCGAGGTGGCCCATACGATCCTAGAGCTGGATGCCATGCGGTTCGGGACCAAGGAAAACATCATTATCTACGTCGACGGAGTCCAGGCAGAGGAGAAGGAGTTCACTGCTCAGATCCGCCAAGAAGCTCGGGAGAAGACCACTAAGCGATGCAAAGAAAGTGTGGATGAACTACAAAGACGGATCGATAACAACCTCAAGGTCCGTAAGCGACACTTTGCCGATGCCTGGACCAGCCTTGCGTCCTCCTTCTATTGGTCCCTGCCCATCCGTGATGCATTTGTCAAGTATATGCAGGACGAGGGGTGGAACATTCAGCGATGCGAGACGGAAGCTGATGTTGTGATCGCTCGAGATTGCAGATCTGACGATATTGTCGTGTCTGCGGACAGCGATATGCTCGCGTACCCATCCGTGTCAACCCTGTGGCGCCCGATTTCAAAGAACTTGATTCTGATCTACAAGATACCGGATATCTGTGAGGTTCTCGGTGTGTCCAGGATCCAACTCACGACCCTCGCTGTTGCATCCAACAACGACTACGGGAAAAATATCTACTCTCTTGGACCGGCGACCAACTTTTCGATTATCAAGACGATCAAGAAACAAGGTAAATATCAATGATCAGAGTATTAAGGAGCGAGGCTGAACCATTTAACTAATATATATATTTTTCTACTTTTTTTTACCCTATTTTTGCAGATGTGCGACAGACGGTGAATGCATATTTGGAAGACTCCAAGGTCGTTTTAAAAAGCACAGGCAACAGAACACTTGAACTTGCACTCAGAGCCTTTGTTGATCTCCAACAGACGCCTGTCAGTGATCCTCGTCCTTTGTCCAACGTCTCGTCCTACAGTGAGCTTTACAAACGACTCAAGGATCTTTGTGCCATGTACCAGGAGAACAAGGATTTTCGCGCACAACTGCAACCAAGATATGCTATATTTCTATTCAATACCGCACGGCATTTAGGACTTGGCATCGGTAATCGTCTCACAGCTCACCTTACTTATTGTTTTGATGTCAATAGTACTCGCAAGGATCAGATCATCCGCCTCCGCTCCTCGCATTCTTCCATTCGATATAGGACAGTTGAGTCTCCAGCTATGTTGAGCCTGGCCTTGGGTCGCGCTTACCACAGCCGCCATCACCGCAACCATCCTCAGCACAATCACAACAACCTGCACCGAATCTGCAGGATAACTCTCCGATCACATTACCATCTCAGGAGTCAAACGGTCACCCGCCGCTTCCAAGGACGCAATTCCCACGAAATCGCCATCGTTACTCATTCAAGACGAGGACAGGGGCAACAAACCTCCACCCCCAGTCGAGATGAAGCTCTACAAGTTCAAGCCTTACAGGGAGCCTGAAGCAAAAGATGAGCTTGAGCCCTCCAGCGACGAGCCCAAGCCCAAGCCCAAGCCCAAGCCCAAACTCAAAACGTTGTCCGATTCGAGTGCAGCCACCCGCAAGCTCGCTATTACACGGTTATTACAATACCAGCACCCAACGTCTACTTTGAACGTCGGTACTCTATCCGCTAACCTCAGACGAGCTCTGCCAAACGACGGTACCGTTCAACAGGAAGTTGCCCTCTGTATCCGAAACGCTGTGCGCGAGGCTGCCAGGATCAAACGACAAGGTCAACGAGTAATTGGGAAGTTTGTCGAGCATGTGAACAAGCATGGACCGGGTCCCAACGATCGTCGATTCATGGATTTCCTTTGTCCTCGAGTCTCCATGAAGGACGCGAAAAAGCTGGATGATGATTGTGCTGCAGAGGACGACGATGAGGATGGTGGTGACATGAACCAGAAATCCAAGGATGGCAAAGGCTCTGAGCAGTTCTTGTTCCTCTAGAGCTTTCTGTCTACTCTGGGAACTACCCCCGAAAAAGTGGTACCGGTCAGAAGGTCAACGATTTCATTGATCGCCTCAAGGATCTCGGACTGTACGCCCCACCACGTCCTCGGGCCGCTCTCAACGAGACACACTCCCTTCTCACCAACAGAGTTACTCCTATCGGTGGCGTTGCAGCTCAAGGTCGAACTCAAAAAAATGTACCGTAATGGGACCTGTGAGCTGCATAATAAGGTATGAGTTGAGGGCACTACTGGTCATCTTAATGTACATCAAACCGATACCTATCATGCCTCTCATTTATTATTTTTTATCTTCTCAATTATAGCTCCAGAAAAGAAAAAAGAAGGGGCTGCTGGTATCCGATGTTAATGTGGAGATCCAAGAGGAAGTATCTGCTATTGAAAACTACCTCGCGATCAACAAATTAAGTCCAAACCCTCGTAGGATCATCCCCATGTCGACGGCGAAGCAACCTTTTGTCAGTTTCACGGAGCGACAACTAGCCATGTTCTTTTTCAACCGCGGAGGCGCACTGAGGGCACGGGTTCAGGAACTGGTCGGTACCGTCTGCACATCCATGCAGGATGTTGAGGAGTGGATAGGAGAAAAAGAACCAGGCTTTCTCATCAAGCACCTCACCGTCGATATCGATCCCGAAGACCTGACCAGTCGCCAGAGAGGCAAGGCTGGACACCGTGCTGCGATCAAGTTGTTATCCCTTGATGATTTCGAGACCCACTTGCAGATGCTGGACGATCCAGAGTTCAGACCGGAGACCTATGCCCGCAAAGGATATTTTCTCAGGGGTCTTTACGAACTGACGGATTCACTATGCAGCTCCTGTGTTCCAAGGTCAGGGAACTTCTGTCAGTCAAATACAAACGGTTGCCCGACGATCGCCTACCTCCTCGATTGACTTCAACACTTCACGGTACCAGTGATTTTTTGACGGAGATCCGAAACATTGTCCGAACCAAAGACGATGTGGCGAGACTTTGGCCTAGTGTCGATCCTAAAGATATCAAGATCCTCACCTTTGATGCAGGACAAGCTTTTGTCGTCGGAGCATACGCACATCTTCCACAATCGGGCAAAGACAAGGATCCAGTGCAAGGAGCCCCTCCGTCCTTCAAAGACTCATTCCCTATTACCTCTTCCTCGACAACAACACCACAGGATGTTATGCAGAGACTCACTTTGGAACAACAAGCGACCACCACGCCACCAACAATGATAGGGCTCACGAAAGCCATAGAACTCACGAAAGCCCACCACCATAATCTTGCTGTCAACCAAAAAGCGGTGATGCAGCCTGTGTTCCGATACAGACGGTGGCTTGAGGACGAGAAGCAGTTGATTCCAGCGGGTCAATCAGACTCCATCGCGGACATCGAGTCCTGTCCTCCTCCTATTCGAGGTCCAGAGGCGAGCGTCACCAATTACATCGAGATGCTTGAACAAGTCGAGGACCGACTGTTGGACTTTTATAATGGTAACAATAATCGGTTCAACAAACACACTTGGGATATGAAGCGAGCCAAGCACATCGAGTACCAGGCTATTGCCAACAGCCTACTCCGGATTGTTGGTGGCAGCATCGGTGAGCGCTGCAAGGATGACAATCCTGTGTTGATCGGTGTGGGCCTCGGTCAGTTCGGAAGCTCCAGTCGACTGTCATCTCTGCACTCTTCATTTTTGTCGTATTTCGTCCCATTGGTAAGCAAATTCTTCACCATGTACCATCGAGAATGTCTTCAGAGGAGTGAGCGCCAATGAATAACATATTTTGTTATTTTATTTAGGCTCGGTCTCTCAGATACATTGTGGTGGGTCTCAACGAGTTTTATACGTCCGGATTGCCACCGGTTTGTGGCCCAAGTCACCCTTCGAGAACTCTTCTGCCCCCATTGTGAACGGTATCGCCACAGAGATGTGATGGCGGCCGAAAACATGTCCAACATTGCCCGAGAGTACCTATTGCACCAGGAACGACCACTCTATCTTCACCCCGTCACGGCAGATGGTAGATAACCATGGATGGAGTCAAGAAGTCCAGGGCAAGAGATGGCCGAAGGGGCGATTGTTGGAACCAGCGCCACTAATAGCAAAAAAAGAAGAAAGATGGAACTTTAGCATTTTGTGTGTACGGCCACACACACGCGCGTGCTGATTACAGGGGGCGTTGATGAATTTACAATGACGTAGATAGCGCCTAGATAGTCCTGTTTTCATGACAAAATTACAGGGTACCCGCCGTCTGCCGTCCTGGGCTGTAGGTAAAGAGGTCTCTTCTGGTCCGGATATATTGTGCCTTTCACATAAAATTGTGCCCGATTAAAATTGTTAGGCGGGGTGGGTGTCAAGGGACAAAAGCTAACACTTGATATTTTGGTGCAAAATAAAAGATCCAAAACATCGAGGATTAGTTTTGTCATGGCTTAAGAACTCAGGTGTTATTTCTTGTGGCCCATAACATGAACTTTTGGCCCGTTTTTTGACCCTAGGCTAAAAATTTTGTCCTGAGCTCAGTGAGCAATTTTATATGAAAGGCACAATATTCTCCGCGGCCATGACGTCCCTGTGGTGACACCTCTTGCAGTGGATGCAGTAAAATTGGCGGATGTTCACCTGGGCCACAAAGTTTTCGCAATCGGGGCACTTTTTCGAAGTGTAGTATCCGTTTAGTCCAACTACGATATAGCCCAACGACCGCACCTTGATAAAAATAAAGGAATAAACGTGTTATCACCATGTGCAGATATCAAACGTTAGAACTCTTTGCGATGGTGGCAAACGGCATACGTACCAACGGGATAAGTATGCCAAAAATGAAGAATGGAGCGATGACAGGCGCCCGGTGCTCTTGAATCGTCCAAGACCCACTCCGATTAACACTGGATTTGCAGGGTTCCGATGTCGGCCGATGCTTCCGCCTAAGATACCGAGCAGACTCGCTGCAATAGCCTGGTATTCCGCTTGCTTGGCCCTCTCCATGTCCAAAGCATGCTTCTTGAATCGATTCTTTTTCCCGTTGTAAAACTCGGAGAGCCGCTCCTCGACCTTCTCCAGCTCCTTAACGTAATCAAAGAGATTGGCTCCTGGACCTCGGAGGGGTGGAAGTTGGGATTCGATATGGGCAATCAATTCTTTCTGCTTGTCGGGAGTCGCTTCCTTTTCTCCTTCTAGCCGTGGTTGGGATTCGGTTTGAGCAATCGACTCTATTTGCTTGTCGGGAGTCGCTTCCTTTTCTCCTTTTAACCACCTCCTGTACCGGAACACTGGTTGGAGTACCGCCTTTTGGTTGACGGTGAGGTTATAGTGAGCATCTGGATCTTCCGGTAGATATGCATATGCACCCACCACAAACGCTTGTCTAGCATTGAGCGTGAGGATCTTGATATCGTGAGGGTCGATCTCGGGCCACAACCATGCAACATCCTCCTTGGTCTGGATAACATGCCGAATTTCCTGCAAATAGTAGTCCACCCCTCCGACCGTGGACGTGATCCGTGGTGGCAGGCGATCCGCCGGCAGTCTCCTGTACCGCACACATTGCAGTTCCCTCAACTTGAAGCCGAGCAGATACAGTTCAAAACCATCCGTCAGCAACGAGCCCCTTGAAATATACCCTTTCTCGGCATATTCTCCTGGCTGGAATCCGGGCTCCTCCAACTTTTGCAAGTGGCTCCTGAGAGCATCGAGGGACCACAACTTGATCGCAGCTCGATGACCAGCCTTTCCTTTCTGGCGACTCGTCAAATTCTGTGGATCGATATCGGCGACAAAGTGTTTGAACAAGAAACCTGGCTCCTTTGCGCCTATCCACCATTGTATCCCTGGTATAGTAGCGAGGCCTCCATCTTTGGACACCAGCTCCACAAGCCTCTCCTTCAGCTTTCCTCCACTCTTGAAGTAAAATCCAGCCAACTCCCTCTCGGTAAATCCGATGTAGGGTTGCTTCGACGTAGTCATGGGCGCAATCCCTCGGGGGTTCTGGGTCAATTTGTTCAGCGCGACGTAGTTTTCAACTGCTGATATATCACCCCGAATCTGAATTTCCTCGTTAGACCTCTTCAGCAACCCCTTGCTCGCCCTCTTCTTCAGCTGCAATTAAAGAGAATGAAAAGAATTAGCGATACATTTATTAGGATTCCTGAACATCTGCGTTGATGACATGGCACCTCAACTCTTACCGTCTTGTGTAGATCACAAGTTCCCTTCTTATACATCCTTTTTAGCTCGGCTTTCAACTGTCCGACTACAGATCGCACCAGGTCCTTGGGAGTAAATGGCAGAGTTTTGTTTATCTCTGACCAAGTCCGCGGTGGAGTGTACAGATCAAGACCTTCAAGACGAGAGATGAACGCATCGACCTTGATCCCGATACCAGCAGATTTCGGGAAGTTGCCGGAGTACAGGTGTGTTAAAAAGTTCGAAAGGAACTGCCGCTGCTCCTTGTCATCCTTGCCTGATCCTTCCAGATCTGTGTCGTCCTCATCGCCATCATCCTCTTCGTCATCGTCCTCCCCCATAACGCTAACAATCTCGTCCCTGTCCTCGTCATCCTCCATAGCATCATCGGCATCATCCTTGACATCCTTCATACTGACTCTCGGACAGAGAAGATCCAAAAACTTCCGCTCCTCGGCATCCAGGCTTTCAAGTCCTTTCTTGACCAAGTGTTCGATGTACTCCCCGATCAACCTCTGGCACTGGCGCTTGATGCGTGCCGCTTCGCTCGGAGCCTTCTGATGGATAGCCATCACCTCTTGTTGCAGACCGTCTTGATTCGGAAGTGCGCGCTTGACATTGGCCAATAAAGTACCAAGATACAAAGAGGTCGTCGGGTGCTGATAGGTCATTAACCGAGTGATTGTTAGTTTCTCCTTCGTCACTGCCGATGTCGACAGTGATTTCGGCTTGGGCTTGGGTTTCGGCTTGGGTTTCGGCTTGGGTTTGGGATTCTCAGGCTTGTGTTCCGGTTCCTTGTAAGGCTTAGCGACAAATTGCTTCATCTTGGGTGGGGGTGGTCGCTTCTGAGCCTGAGTCCTCTCTCGTCGTTTAAACGAGTGCCGATGACGATGCTGGGGAATACGAGTCCGTGACAAGGGAGGATGACCAGCTTGCTCTTGAGGAGAAGAGGAACCTTGGGTGGTCAAGGCGAGCTGCTGCGATTGTGCTCCTGGAACTGGTTGGGCAAGGGGAGGGGGCTGAACGGCCTGCCGAGGAGTCTTGATATATGCATTAGAGTGTTTTGGTGCTGGCGACTCAACCGTTTCGAAACGATTTGGGGCCTGAGATGATCTTAGACGCACAATCTGTTCCTTGGAGGTGCTACTTATATTGAACAAAAACAAAAATGGTTAGTTAAACTAGTCGTTAATGATGCCTAGTAGAGAGCAACATGCACCCCCAATCAGAAAAAAATAAATATTACCTCCTCTCGGGCGGGCGGCTTTTCTTGAGTTGCTCGTGTCGGGAACGAAGGTCTCGGAACCTCTTACGGAGATCATTGAATGAGAGGCCAGGTGTAGAGGCGTTTTGGGGGTCGACAAGAGTCTGCTTCTTGTCCACAAAGACTCGCAGAGCGACATCGAATGTCTCGCCTGTTGTGTTCTTGGTCGAGACTGTAATGTGGCCCAAGTATGCAGTTACGATGGACTCTGTGTCTACGAGAAAAAAAAATATAAAAAATAAGAGCATATTCTATTGACGTATCCCAAGACCACAAATCATAATCATTTACGTTTCACTTGAGTGTTACCCTGCGCATTGAGACTCTTGATGATGGACTAGTTTGTGGCCGGGCCGAGCGAATAGATGTTCTTGTTGTAGTCATTCGATGATACCACGGCGAGGGCAGTGAGATGATCTCGAGACAATCCAAGTTGCTGACAAACATCCGCGAGCTTGTATACCAGGACAAGGTATTTCGAAATGGGACGCCACAGAGTACAGACGGAAACATAGGCCAACATATCAGATGACGATATCATCGGGTCCGCAATCAGTGGCAATCACAAGATCCGCTTCCGTATCGCAGATCCGTACTGTCCAGCCAGCTTGTTTCATGTATGTGAGGAATGCTTGGCGGTTAGGCGATGTCCAGTAGAATGTAGCGGCCAGACTGGTCCTGACATCGGTGAAATGGCGCTTCCGCGGTTTGAGGTTGTTGTTGATGTGCCGTTCGAGCTCGTCCAGGCTTTTCGTGCATTGGACAGTTGCCTTTTCCCGAGAAGCCCTGCGAATCTCGGCTGTGTGCTGCTTCTCGACAGCTTGTCCTCCATCGACGTATAGAACCAGGTTCGACCTGGGGCCAAAGCGCATCAAATGTTGTCCAAGGATCGCATGAGCCCGTTCGGGAGTATTGTAGGAATAGGTGTTCCTGATCACGGAATAAAAGGACAAGACATCGATTCGACCTTTTCGAATGCCCATGGCCGTCTCCATCGTCGATACGTGGATGACCGAAGGATCATAACCATTCCGACGGATGAATGGGAACCAGTCTTTTAGACCCATTGTTGTTTTACATCGGCAGTGCAGAGTAGGGAAGGGTGGAAGGACTGAATGAGAAGCAAGAGAGTATGCCCCAGCCAAGGGCATCATTTTGCACGCGTCATCCGCGACACCAGCCTCATGGTCCGTGCACTTGCTTACACAGGATGAAAATTCTTTCAGGGACGAACAAAATCAAGACTGGAAGTCGATTAAAGCTCGTCTTCGCTTAAGCAAGTGGCAGCTCAATAAGGTGATACTGTTGTCCTCTCTCTGTGTACTTCTGTACTTTGTCCTTGTCGCGTCTCCTCATCACTTTGGTACCCATCACATTGCTATCCCCTCACTCGTCGTGACACTCATACCTCACTTCATACTGTCATACTGCGGCTAGCTCATACTGCAATTCTGATTAGCAACCATTAAACTGTCGTATCGTTCATTGCAATAGCTTGAAGACCAAGCTTATCCTGCTGCGGTGCCTCCATGCCTGTATATGCTGTATGACAACGTTCGAGCAGTCTTATACCGTAGCCAGACGGATCAATCTCGGAAGGCGCTCAGTCCCATCAGGAGTGTGCAGCTTTGGCTAGAGCAAATCAAAGACGAAGGTGGCAAAAGCATGTTCAAGGAACCGTTCAAGGATGCAATTGAAGCACACCGCGAGCATTACTTGCTTGCATGGTGTTCCAAGTTCCGGCTGAAAGTATGTGTGTGTAGATCGCTTGCAAACAAACCGCTGCCTCTTGAACACTGCCTAAAAAACCTCAACACTTGCTATTTCAGGTTGATCTTTCCGTAGGTCATGAAGAACAACACCATTTTTGTGTGCATGGACTCGACACACAAAACAGTTAAACGCTAAAGACGAGCCCAAACAACGACACAATATTCAATTCGGCGTACCTGTTTACCATCCTCGTCAAGGACCGAACAGTGCAAGCTGGCATTCCGATCGCGTTTATGGTTTGCAACTCAGAATCTAGGTAAGAATGTTACTCATTCCTGTTCAATTGGCCCATTTTGATGCTGCCTTGTTTTTTTATTCACTTTCTATGCCGTTCAACTGCAGCTACATTGTAACAGAGTGGCTGTTGTGGTTGAAAACCGAGTGTGGGCTTCGAGCTTCGAAGTTCATGGTTGACTGTTCTGTTGCTGAGTCGGAAGCACTAAAGAAGGCATTCCCGCTGCCACCAATGGACATCTACTTCTGCGCCCTCCATGTCGGCCAAGCATGGGAGCGAAATTTGCGAAGGCTGCACAACGTGAGTGAATCAAACGCACCATTTTTGATTGAATTTTTTTTTAATGCTCCACAACCCCTCGGAGGCATCACATATCATCTATCCAGGCTTGTACTTACTTACTCTTTTATCTGATCAAAGGTGGCCGATAGCGACATGATGCGCCCTGGTTTGAAAGCAATTCGAAATGCCGACTCAGAGGCCGCGCTCCAGGAAAAGTGGAATGACTTTCAAAGGAGATTTGCTCATGCGAAAGAACTTATCGCCTACATCAAAACTTGGATGGAACCCGAAAGGTTGGCCAAATGGGCCCTTTACCAGAGAGAGGTGATAAATCGTTTCTTTTCCTCTCTTCCCCATACGCCGCATCTGTCTCATTCACCCTTCAACTAACAAATTACACGTTTTTTTTATTACGTTATCAGAACAATCAGCATATTAACACGAACAATTTAGTCGAAAGTTGGCACAAGACATGTAAGCGACAATACTTGGGATACAAGAGAGATTTGCGTCCTGATGATCTGATCTTTTTATTGCAAGGAACGGTGGACATTGATTATAGGACATCATACTACAGAATCAGTCGTGGACTACAACCCCTGACACTGTCTGAAGCTGCTTTGGCAAGAAGAGCAAAGGCAATGGCGCTACCATTCGTTGATGCCAAGGACATGGTATCCGAACCATCTCAGGACGGAAAGGTAAATCCATTTGTGAACAATGTTTCCCCATGTGCATAGTTAGTTTGTGTTCTAATTTTCTTTACTTTCGCTGTGTTACATTGTAATTTTCAGTGCTGTCTTTCTCTGACTTCAGCAAGGTGTATTCGATCCATACAAACAAAGATATGTAGACCATCGTTTCTTGCACCTGCAATGATTATGATCGGCACAAAGAGCCTTGCAAGCATATGTATCTTGTACCAAGGATCTACTGCGAAGTGGAGATCAGCTACCACGGTGACCCAGCAGATGAAAAATTTCAGGAAAAATCAAAGGGAGCGACCACTGGCAACGACAATGGTTACCTCCCTCTGGAGTCCATGCTTTCCGACAGACTCAAGCTCATGCTCCAGAAGCACAGGACTGAAAAAGAAGAGGCTGAGAAGTTGGCCAAAGCGAAAGTCAAAGAGGCCAGGCAGAAGCGAGAATGGGAAGAAACCCAGGCACAGTTTGATGCCGATCTGGAGACGCTTTTCGACCTTGCAAAAAAGCAAAAAAAGAAATGCACGCTTTTGTACTTTAAAGGAACGGCAGCCTTGCTGCACACCACTGCCCTTTAAGCCAAAGGACTTGGTAGCCGTACTCCGGCAGGGCGTAAGTGCCAGTGAATAAAGTTAGTCAAACTACAATAGTGTCAATTGTCAATTGTGAGCGTGCAATAGTAAAGGTCAAGGGGATGAATAGATAATTAAATGATGTTCATTGGTAAGGATTAATAGGGTATTTATACCAAGAGAGAGAGAGGGAAGTGGTGGCGGTGGCGGTGGCCAGGAGTGGTGGCGGTGGCCAGGAGTGGTGGCGGTGGCCAGGAGTGGTGGCGATCGTCAATTGTTTGTGGCAGTGACAGTGGCGGTGGCGAGGAGTGGGAGTGGGGATTTGATTTGATTGTGGTACAAGGCTCAAGTGCGGTACGGCTCTGTCTGTTTGCAGAGCGTCGTCAAAATTGACCAGCAATGAGTTTCGAGAATTATAGCCGGGAAAGGCGGTAAGTGCGACTCAACCTCTATTAAAATATATCCAGTGGGTGATCCATGATATAGGATTGTCCCATTGAGACAGCCCTCCAGCGGCTGGTGCCACATGAACACTTCCCAGCTGGAACCCCAGCAGACGAAAGCACTTTCTGCTGTCGGCAACACACCAGAGAGGATTCCCGCAACGTGATTGGCCAGCCTGAGCGCGTTTTTCCCTGTTCTTGTTTGAAAATAGAAATTCGTATTCAGACAGACCCTCTCGTTCCGTGCCTGATTCGGCCTGCTCCTTTCCTTCTCTTTACGCATTCCGCCCAGAAAACCTCCCTCTCTCCTCCTCCTCTCCCTTCCTGTTCTGGTTTACTCTCCACTCAATCTACATTTCCCCTTGTTCCCGCTAGATTCAGACAATCGCCAACGGACACATCAACCGACATCTCATCTCCCGAAGAGCCATGTCCTCGAATGGCTCTACCTCGCCAGCCAGCCTCGTCAGCACCGACACCACTACCAGCGGAAACAACATCGGGAATCGCAGTAGTCGGAACAACACCAGCGACAGCAATCACCATACCCTCACCATCTTTTCAAAGTTGCCTTCAGATCCCATTAAAAGCTCGCTGGCCCCTCTTCTGATCGACAAGGAGGCGGAGGCGGATCCTCCTTACATCGATGTATGTGTACTTGGATACTTGGAGCGCAGCTGTGTCTTGGAACTCAGCCATCCGGTTCAACTTGAACTCACCTTGACCCCACTGTTTTTTATGAAATCGTTTTTTTCTTTCTCAATAGGTCCTGATCGCCGGAGGACTCGGAGGAACGACTGCCGACTTTCTCATGCACAGGTATGTTTGCGATCGATTCCTAAACTGAAGCAAACCCTTGCTTGTGCATAGCATATGCATCCCCAATCGCACGTGCGTAAATCATCAACCTTGTTATCCTTCAATTGATCCCCAATAGCGTGGACACGGTCAAGACGCGATTGCAGGGACAACCATCCGCCAGCCCGCCTAAATACCACAACATGTTCCATGCCTACGGCACCATTCTCAGAGAAGAGGGAATCACCCGAGGATTGTACAGTGGTGTCGCCCCAGCCATGACCGGCTCACGTAGGTGTCCATTAATGTTTTCAATGTTATGGGATCATATCTACCTAGACACTTGTATTCGCAATTCATCACCTCCGTTTACTGACTTCATGCTTTTATCATGTAGTGCCAGGGACGACACTTTACTTTGGAACATACGAATATACCAAACGCACTTTGACCGCGGCCGGATGTCCAGATACAATCGCACATTTAGCAGGAGGTAACAGGCGATTTTGGTATCGTCTTGGGAGAACAGACAGATAAAAAAAAATGCGGTCGCGACTCATTTTCGACCACTGACCAGGATTCATAAAATGCTTTTTTAGGATCACTGGGCGATTTCATTGCGTCGTTCATCTATGTGCCCTCGGAAGTACTCAAGACGAGAATGCAATTGCAAGGACGGTACAACAACCCATCTTTTATAAGCGGATACAACTACAAGAACACATGGCATGCGCTCCAGATGATCGTTAAATACGACGGTGTCGGTGCACTGTACCAAGGATATAGAGCAACGCTGATGAGAGACGTTCCTTTCTCTGCACTCCAGTTTGCGTTCTATGGTAAGGATAGCCATAAATGGCAGGGTCGAGGCTATGTCCGATCAGTTAATATGCTATTGACTGACTCCCTGGTCTTGGCAACTTCCAATAGAGAAATTCAAGGCCGAAGCAAAGAAGTGGGAGGCGCGTCCTGATGGTCAGATGTCACTACCGGTCGAAACTGCATGTGGAGCAATTGCAGGAGGCCTGGCAGGGTTCTTAACGACTCCCTTGGATGTCATGAAGACGCTGTTACAAACACAGGTCAAGAAGCCCTCGGTAAGCCCTACCAGGCTTTTTTTTTTTTTCTAATTTCCAAGTTTTACTCCGGGTCAATAGACCCATCTTCCTAATATTCTTACTTTTCTTTATAGGCCTCAATACCCTCTAATGTGTCTACAGCGATGACACAAAAGTATTACGTCGGGATCTGGGATGGACTGAAATGGAACCTGAAGCATCAGGGCGTCATCTCTGGACTTTTCCGCGGTGTGGGACCAAGAGTGTTTTGGACGGCGTTGCAGAGCGCGATCATGTTTGTGTTTTATGAGCAGGCGCTTCATCTTCAGGAGAATATGAGGCATTTCGGGCAATGGCCATATGGGCCCTACGGATCGAGTTGAACATCATAGACGCACACACGCTTATACAGCTGGATTCGTGAAAAAGCAAAAAGGAAGGGTGGAACGTGGGATTCGCCATACAAAGCATTATAGATACTGTTATTTTCTCTCTTTCTCTTTTTTCTCTTTTTTTTTTTTTTTTTCTTTGCTCTCTAAAAGTTTGTTCACTTCCATACATCTCCCTCTCTTTCTTGTTTTCATTCCATTCTCCATAGATTTTACACGCTAATATAGACACCATTGCCATATTCCACAAAAGCATTCGTTGCTGTGTTGTTGTAGTTATATATGTTTATTACCCAAATCCCCCGTCTTAATACGGTCTATGTCTCTTATTGGTCAAAGACGCTGATGTCGTCCCTACTCCTGCGTCCCGATGTGGTCGACTAGAGGTCGACATGGTAACGGCCGGTTTGGGAGGCAAGGACGAATGTGCCGGTGGAGCCGACGCTTTGGGAGGTTCAGCCATCTGGGCGAGTTTCCGTTCCATGGCCTTGATCTTTTCGTTCGTGGACGCATTCTTCAGGGCTCCGCCTGCTTTCAGAAGCGAGAAGGCTGTAGGACGATTGGGATCAAGCATACGCTTGCGGCCTTTTTCGCTATCGGCGCTTGGAGGCGCCTAATTGGGGGTTGGTTAGTTGTTGTTTTTAATAAAGGAGACTGGTAGTTTGTTTTTGGCTGAATATCAGTACCCTGTGAGACATGGTATGTGCGTGTGTGTATATGAGAGAAAGAGAGAGAGAGAGAGAGAAGGACGACACACCATGTTCGCAAGGGAGACGCTTAGAGGACGCAATTTGATAGCCTTGCGGTTCATCTCCTTGATGGCGGCGGCTGCTTGGGCTGCGGATTCGAACTCGAGGAAGCAGTATCCGCGCGGGGTGCCTTTCTTGGGTCCGTGCCAGTGGAACATAAAGTCGAGCTTGGTGATCTTGCCGAATGGCGAGAACAGCTTGAGGACGATGTACCTGCACGCATGGTTGATGAGATTCCAATTGGGAAAAATAGGCTGGTTAGATGAGTGCTGCTCCTTCTGAGGGAAGAAGATTGAGGTGGGTTTAGAAAGCTGTTTGCCAAGGGAAAGGAGGGAGAAGAAGGTAGCGGTTACTCGTCAATGGCTGGGTCTAGGTTGCCAACATATATCCGCTTGTCGTCCAGAGGCTGTTTGTTGTTGTTGTTGTTATTGCTGGTAGTAGTATCCTTGTCAGTGCTACCGGCAGGGCTTTCATGCTGAGGTTTACGGATACTCAGTGGATTGAAGGAGGCGAAGGACATGGTGTGCAAGAAAGAATGGGCGAAGGCGTAAGTAAACCCTTTGCCTCCACCCTTTGTCCACATGCCTTAAGACTCTTTTGGCCATCACCTGACGACTTGTGAAGAGTAAGCTCTTTCTTCCGCATAAATTACATGGCCTTTTTATTCGAGAGAGCTCCCTGGTATGTTGGTCAATCGCCTCAGAGGACCGTCCCGCCTTCAACGAACATACTGTTTCCCATACTTCTCCTTGACGACATCACAACTCGGCGTCGTCATGCGCTGTGCCTCCTTCCACAGCTTTCGGTCCGGACCCCAGAACCCCATCGCCTTATTCAGCGCAGTATCCTTCCTCCGCTTCTCCTCCTTGCATCTATTCTGCATCTCCCTTAGATAGGCGACCTCCACATTATCTTCCATCCGCTTGAACAATGGCCCGACTCTCCGACCCTGTAGTGTGACATGATCCGCCTTCACATTGATCTGCCGTGCGCCCGATGACTTGAACTCAAACTGCTGTCCTGGAAAATATGTGTTCATGAACCGCACTTCATTGACGAAATAAGGCACGTTCCTGAAACCCGTGTGTCGAGCGGTCGTATAAGTATCCCTTGGACGCAACGAAAAGTCGTTTAGGATCGAGCTCGATTGCGATGATGAAGACGACGAGTCCGAAGAGAAGAAGCCCGAGCTCATAGTTACGAGGATGAGGATGATCAATGGTAACAGCTGGATCACGCTGCCAAAGCTGCTCCCCAAACCGGCATTAGCGGTTGCATTGGCACGCTGTTGGCGCTGTTGTTGATGTTGCTGGCGATAGTGCTGTTGGCGCTGTTGATGGTGATGTGTTTGTTGGGCCCTTGATCTACCCCCATGCCCAGGTCCTCCAAATGATGTCGAGTGGAATGCTGCATGCAAAAGGAAGGAGGTAGTCAAAGCATATTTAGAACAGCTGAAAGCAAAAGGCCGTGGAAAAAGATGCGCAATAATAACTAAAACTGAAGGCACTTACATCCTCCAAAGCTTCCGCCACCAAAGAACATGTTAAATAACTCCTCTGGCGAGATCTCCTCTCCTCGCCGTGAGTAGCTAAAGTGCTGTGCTGTCGGTGTTGCACGATCGTAGTTGACACTTGAGTCCCTGCCATCTTCTGGTCCATGTTGATCAAAGATCGCTCGCTTCTGGGGGTCGCTGAGTACTGTGAATGCCTTGGATACAACTACACCAGAAACGTTCCCAGTGAGAACAAATTCATTAAGCATGAAGGAAAGGCAACCGATCCACAGTGGGCCAACCAAGTCAATTGAGTCTTTCGAATACATACTCTTGAAAGCTTCATCTGCACCTGGAGCGCCGTTCTTGTCGGGATGCATCTGCAATGCCACCTAAAATAGCACACCATTGTTAACAACCAGTTGATACAGGAAAACCATGCACCTGTGCTAGATCAAATACCATGCAACATGCCTTGCGATACGCCTTCTTGATCTCCGCATCCGTCGCATTCTTATTGACCCCAAGAATCTTATAGAAATCCCCTCCACAGGATCGAACCGCCTTGACAGCTGCTGCCTGTTCTGGTGTATAATCCCTTTCCACGGGCTTGTGATCCACAGGCGTCGACCGTGACCTCAATGGCGTCGTATTCGATCGCGCAGACGAAGTCCCCTTAGCCGAAGGTCCTCCACCCCCTGCAGTCGACGAGCTTTTTGTCCTATGCGGTGTGGGTTCCTCTGATGCTGACGATGCCCCTGAAGCTGGCACCGCTGTGCTCTCTTCACTGACCACCCTCGATACGAAGGCTTCTGCCTCCGGAGTCGGGAAAAGTGTGGTCGACTTTAGGCCGAATTTACGAGCAGCTGCATAGTTCCCTGAGCTCAGGTGGCGCCGAGCAATCTCCAGACATCGTAAGGCTTCGTCCTTGTTCACTTCCATTGTTCAGATGAGGCTGTGTAAACTGATGATGATTCCTGGGCAGGTTCTTTTAGTCCTTAAAGTATTTTTGGTTGGGCTCCTGAACTGGTTTTTTTCCACCTGCGGAGGAAAGCAATGTCAAAGTGTCAAGGGGGGGGATGATGGCGGCCGTCAGAGTCGATTCAGATGGTAGCCCAGGCAACCTTAGCCTGCTTATAAAATAAATTGTTCTTTGGTTCACCTCCAAATTGGGACGCTTTTTAACAGCACCTTTGTGATACTTCAGTTCCACGGCTGCTGCTTCATGGTAAAACTGGAATATGTGCTCCAACTCTGGTAGCCACAGCCCCTAATCCTGGCTCTCCAATTGCTCTTTAGAGTCTTGGATGTCGCTGCAGACACTCTTCGTCCGCCCTACCCCTGTGGAACGATATAATAAGCCCTATTAGGGCAAACCTCGTTTTTGAAGAGATAAAAAAAGTAATTCAATAAATAACTGCTATCCGCGCGTTCACAGTCATCATCCACATTTCATTCATTCTTTCGAAGTATTCCAACAGAAAGAGATTAAATCTCATATTAAAAAAATGAAAAAAGCTGCCACAAGGCGTTGAGGAAAGGCGCTAGAGGTCTTGCTGTCCGCGAAATGACACATCCTTTTATGTACAGTCGGTGGACAGTCGTCGAGTTGTTAGGCGGATTAACTTTTTGCACGTCAGAGAGTTTAAAGCTTCCGAACGATATCAGACGCGCGCCGCACGCCCTTGACACCAGTAAAAACGATGTGTCAGCACATGCTGTTGCGCTGCTCCACTACTACCATATACTGGAAGATAAGACTGCATCTTTTGGCTGGATACAGCTAGAAGACGATGCTGGAATACAGCGTTTGCCCAACACAACGTAAAGGTATTCTCCATGATTTAGAATAAGAAAGTACCTGCCAGGCGTCGCCGCTATAAGTAGTATACAGTGTCTTCGATGGCTTCCAGAACACGACAGAAAAACTGGAATGTCGCTCATTTGCTATCCAAATTATCCGAGACCTTTCTACTCAGAGATACATTGAACAAGACGTAGCGAGGATCAAGGCCGAACTCACTAGATCTGCACCACCTAATGCAATCCAGACCTAGGAAGCCAATAGCGACAACACCATGTTCAATCGGTTGTCTCCGAAAACACTACATCCAACAAGTCGATGGTTTTAAAGAGAAAGGTGTGCTTAAAAACTCTTACTTCGCTGTACTCGCCTCACGACGAGGCCATTTTGAAGTTAACGGCCACTTCACACGTCGGATAGAATATTGTCAGTTTCTTGTTTTGTGTCCAGGATAATGTAGGTTTCTTTGGATGCAAATTAATTAACTTGCGTTATCGATATATAGATTACCAAGCGTCTGTCACTATACACATTTCTTTCCTGACTTTAACGGCAAATTGAAATGCCTTTAGGACACCGGAGAAAACTGGTAATAGTTTTCATTAGCATAATGAGCTGTCCACAGGAGCTTTATGGATCGTAGGACCAGGCCCACGGCGCATTTTATATTAAAGGACAAAGGGCGGTCATTGTGTATTCTCCAATTCATCCAGAGGACGTGTCTTCATACTTTATATCAGTTCGCTCTTATATTCAGGACGGCTACTTCAGGAGCAGCTCACAATCAAATAGCACACAGAGGGCCGGGCCCTTTGGATATGTCTCAAGTGTTGCTGGAGAGAAGGGGTAAACATTCATGATATTAAGAATTTGTCATCGACCAGCTTCTTGGACTTGGAGATGACTAAGCCATGACTAAACCATGACAACAGAGATCCAAGAGTTCCTCGATCGGGTCCATCATCGATCCTTTACTTAAGGGATTCCAGGTAGTATGCGGCCAATGGGCCTTCATTTACACAAAAAATAAGGTTATTCTTGTGCTGAGAAAAAAGAACGGAAACGCGTATTTTTAATTTCCTTTGTGATCAAAAGGTAAAATCATTAGCATCGTAAAGTATTACTTCAAAAAGCCATACAATTTTGTAGAAAACTGGGTTTCGTCAAAAACGCACTCCAAACAAAACTCGCACACTATAAGGTAGCCTTGGAAGCCCCGCTTAAAACCAGGTTGTCAGCAACATTACAAATCGGTTATGCGCGTAGCTACAATACACATAGGTCGGGATTGAAGCTCGTCGTGTCAAATCCAAACGCTAAACCGTCGCGCTTTATGCTGGATTGAGAATCTGGAAGCCATGTAGTAGACAATAGGAGGCAGATGTTAAATGGAACGGATATTCTCTCAGGGTTGGGCCACGCCGATTACCCGGCTTCATGGCGATCGTCGATAGATGCGGCATACAGCCTACTTGGCGAGTGGACTGGTACGAACGCGAGAGCCGGTCAAGGGGGAGCACCTGCAAGTCAGTACAACCACGTTAAAGACGAATAGAGCAGGGAGATTGAGCGCTAGAGACTGAGAGGTCGAGGAGGACAGCATTAAGTTGGGAAACCTCGTGAGGCTAGCCCTGGCTGCAGTGAATTAAATGATAGATGGGTGTGTGTGTTACATAGCGGTGGAGCGTAAGGCCGTGATCGGACTCAGGAACATCGGGGAGCTCAAAGTCATTGTAAGCAATAGCCAGCTTTCTAATCTTTTGACAATTTGACCCGTACTCCTCCAAGTGAAGGTACGCTAAAGAAACGTATTATATTCTTTTTGTTGTTTGCTCCTAGGTCTAGGATCGCTTGGACTAAGGATATTTTTTTTTTGAGCCATGGTTTTCAGGCGAGGACTCTAGGCTGCAGGTTTCTTACAAATCTTTTACGTCTGCTGCTCTAGGAGTCGAAAAAGGAGCTCCCTCTGTTTGCTTAGTGCTGCCAAATCGTTCGCTCCGAGATGGGGACGCAACAAAGGAGGTCGACAGTAGATAGAGCCTGGTCAGGGTCCTGAAGGACGCATGAGGATGTCAATAAGGACAAAGGGCGATAATGCGCGCACGCCATTTAGGAGGCGATCTGCGCCCAGATAGAAAAGGACGTCTTGTAGAGACGAATGCTTCACCTAGAGAGATAAAGGACACAAAGAACACGAATCGTTGCGGAGGCTGAATAGGCTCCGGCTTCTGTTCGCCGACATTGATCGCAGACTTTGGCCTTAATCTATGTTTGAGGACCATTGGTATCACCGGGTGCTTGTGCTCTACTCATGGTCTGTGTCTGATGGTCAGCATCTATACCACAGAGATACATACATCTCGCTTATGCTCGACCACTCCCCGATTCCGCGTGGACCTTCAGTATACAAGGTGAACACAACGGAGGGATGATAACTGGTCAAAGCCTCATAAACCCCATTTTCCTCGTCAAGTCCGTGCTCGCTCAACCTTTTTTTGGTATTTGCTCATTAGCCTTGTCCTATTTGACGGGTGTGGAGCGACTGAACAGACAAGTAAATGAGGGGCCACATGGATCCCTGTCATGAATAAGGATGGTATATCTCCCAAAAAAGGCAGGGACTGATGAGCACTTTTTTTTATGTGCAAACCATGGACCACAGACGCTGTGGATGTGGATGGTCCAATGTAAACACGTACAAGTCCTATACGTTGAAAAGGGAATGTCTCTTTGTCAGCAGCAATGCGCGGAGTACCTACGAGTAACTGTTGTTGTATTTTTATCGGAACTGAACCCATTCTAAACCAAAATGTAATTTAGGTTTACTGCCTCATCCCATCGTTCCTGTGTTTTTTCCTGCAGCAGAGGAACATAGTCTCACCAACAACGACGAGGACAATAAAACGAGAGATGGCCATCGTCATGGTTGACGACAGAGGAGCTTTAGAGGATGGGCTATGGCCACATAGCACGAGGTTAATGACGATGGTTACTAAGGATGATCCGCTGGGCCAAAAGGAAGCGCTACTGTAAACAATTGCAAGCAAATCAAGCAGGTAGACATTTCCCTGAAGAGCGTAGCCCGGGCAACGTTCTCCTCTCCAAGCTCAGGCATTGGCCTGTACAGTTTTCGTGCAATATAGCGTGGTTTTTTAAATGTGGTTTATAGACACCTTGCAACGAACAAGGTGAAGTCAAGATAATGATGAGGTACACCTTTCTTTCTTTTTCTTCTTCCTTTCTTCCTTTATTCCGTTCAACTTCCTCCTGCCTCTTCTTTCATCCTTCTTCCGTTCTCCCTCTTCCCTCCTTCCCACTTTCACTATCCCCACACATTAGCTCAAACTAGAGTACATACCCTTTCTCAACGAGGACTTCACACCTACATACCCGCACATACGCACCATGGCGCCGACACTCCGCCAGAGGCCAGGCAGGGCTTCCTCTTCCTCCTCAACTACTACCACCACAGCCACCACAAGCACATCCTCTATCCCTCTCGTAGCAAATTCAACAGCGCAGTCCAGTTCCTCATCAGTTCGAGGCAGATCTCACACCTCCTCATCTCCATCTCACTCCACACTTGGCCCTGACGCCTTTATCGAGGTCGAATCCGATCTCTTGCACAACATGCAAGACAGCCTCGGGGAATCCCTCTCAAAGACAAACGAGACCGTTGCGGCCACTTGGCGGTCGACCAAGGCCTCTGCTAATGAGACTATGCGAGTGGTAGAGAATCAAATGAGCGAGACCTGGGATGCCTCCAAGGCGGCTTTCGAGGGAGCTAAGCGATTGCTACGATTCGAAGAGTTGCCCAAGGAGTGGCAGAGCAACCCCTATATCCACACAGGGTAAGCTGACAATCTATATTTCTATCTGTGTCAATGACCATGGTATTGTCGCCGCTCCTGTCCCTCTCTTCGTCGTACACCCTTTTTCTCCTGCACAAAATGATAGAATGATGCCATTTTCTATTCTATTCTATTTTTCAAGTCAATCAAGAGGAGCATGGAAATGAAACCTTATCGCCCCACTCTTTTTTGTTTTTCCTCCTCTCCGACTTCCAGAGAGTGGAGAAGGATTAATTTTCGAATATGGAGGGGCCCAACAACATTGGGCATATTGATGGATGTCTTTTGTCCCTTTGCTTTTGCGTGAGAATATAAGCGGGTGTCAGAGTAATGTTTACAATTGCATTCCTCTCAAGCTTACTCATTGTCCCTCCCGCACTTTATGAGGTGATTTGTCGCTTTGTTGGTGCTCTCTTTGCTGCTTTGTTTTTTTTCCCCCTTGGTACAATCCGCACGTCAGGGTAGATTAAAGTTCCCAACTGTTTTAGTCTGCATGTTGAGATGCATTGCATATCTCTAAACGGACAGGTGTAGCCTGTCTTTCTTTTTTGCTGCTTGTTTTCTGTTTCGACAGATCTTTTGATAAACCTCTTGATTGTGCAACTCTTGTTCCTCTGCTGATCCCTGGAGGAAGGAAGAAAAGAGAGAACCGCAGCAACCACAATCAATCTAGGGGTTGGTGGTATTCATGAAGACGTGGGTAATAGGGCGTGTCCCCACTGGTCCCTTTTCATTCCTGTGGTTCCTGTTTCACTTCTTTGGGCACGTTTTTGAGGACAGACGAATCATCTTTTTGCTGTGCTTCCGGTCTCTTTTTCCATTCCCGGAAAAAGGAAAAGAAAACTGCACTGACGCATCTCTTTTATCATTTCTTTATTTCCTTCGCATAAAACAGGTACCGGTTCCTGTCCTCGAAGCGTCAATGTCTGTGGAGCATTTTCCGGATCCATAACGAGACCTGCAATATTTGGACCCATATGCTCGGTTTTGCCGGCCTCATCGCCCTGGGCTTCTACATCCACACTACGTTCCTGGAGCACGGCTCCTTCTGGGACCACGCTGTCTTCCTCTTCTTCTTCCTCGCCGCCTCCAAGTGTCTGATCTGCTCGACTCTATACCACACCTTCCTCTGCCACTCGCGCCTGCCCGTCATGCGATGTGCCGCCACGTTCGATTACATTGGCATCGGCGTCCTCATCACAGCCTCGGTTATGGCCACCCTGCACTATGGATTCTTTTGCGATGCCGAGAAATGGATCTTTTTGGCCTTCTCTTTCGGCATGGGCATCGTAGGATGCATCTTGCCGCTCTACCCATTCTTTGACCTGCCAAGTTTCCGCTATTTCCGTATCTTTATCTTCGTCGGCATGGCCTGCTCTGGAGTCGTCCCCCTCAGCTATGCGGCGTACGTGAAGGGCTTCTCAAACACCTTTAGCTTCATCTTCCCATTCTTTAAATCTGGCCTCGCCTATCTCACCGGCTTGTTGTTCTATGGACACCGCTTCCCAGAGAAGCGCTTCCCGGGCGTCTTTGACCGATGGGGCCACTCGCATCAGGTCTGGCATGTCGCTGTGGTGGCAGGCATCTACTATCACTACATGGCGATGGTACACTTCTATAATGCGAGATACACATTCGGGTGCCAAGCTGTTTATGGCGGGTACGAGCACGAGCACTTGTTTGCAGGACAGGGCATGCAGGATTCCGTCATGGGCGGTGCCTCGGCGTCGTGGTTCCCGACCGCAACGGCCGTTGCGACCGCATAAAAGACGAGGAACAGAAAGGCTTATGCCTCGAGGAAGCTTCATGGAAGACAATGAAGGACGATGCGGGATATCCACATTCCATTTTTAAACCATCACATAGACATTTTTGCGCACGCAACACTGCACGAATACTAATAACTGTATTTTTACACACTTACCCCTGCTCATCTCCTCTCGCCTCCTCTCCTAGCCTCGCTATTTTCTATCTACACCTTCATCTACATCCTCTTCGCAATTTGTAGAGGATACTATTATACCGGATAGAATAAAAGTTTATTCACGCACACACACACACACACACACAAAAAAAGGTTTTTGAGCAATGCCCTTTTATTTGTCGTTTCCATGATGACCATGAGTTTCCTCCGTAAGCAGTATAATCGACATCTACCGTTGTTTCATGGCGTGGGAGCATCTGCCGCGATCGTCTGCTCTGTATCACCGTCTGCTTCATCGTCTGTCTTTTGTTTTCCTTTCTTCTCCTTCTCTTCCTCAGCCTCCAACCACCTGGCATACCGATCCAACCGCTGTTTCTCTTCCTCTTCGAGTTCTTCCTTCGTCTTTTGAACCTCATATTTCGAATGTCCATCATAGATCTCAGCCACGACTTTTTGTCCTGCAAAATAACGGCCAGACATCATGCGGACGCAGAGGATTGCTGATTCCTTGTCCTTGAACCGCACAGATACCACTCCTTCTGGATGATGCTATAATTAACAACAAAAAGGAATATTAGCTCTGATTCCAGCATCGCCGAAGGATTGAATGAAATGAAGAGGGAGCAGGTATGAGGGAAATACGTACATCGTAGATGATCACGTTGGTGACTTCGCCTAGCTTCTCGCACTCTTCCCGAATGTCCTCTTTTAGATCTAGAAGCAGCGACGGGTCGGCCTCAAGCTCCTGAAGCGTAAACATGTGTTTGAGGATGCACACCTTGTTCCACTTGTCGGCCTTGACCAAGTTTTCGTCGTCCTCAAACCAATCCAGTTTCCTGTACGCTCAAATAACAGTATGGTCAAAACCAAGGATCCCACATTGAGTTTACAATACAACGACAGCCATCTTGACAACTTACTTTTCCAACTTTTGATACTTCTTCTGGACCTTCTTTTTGCGGTCTTCTGAAAGTGAAGCCGGTGCTGCTGGCCGCTCCTTTTCCTTGAATTGCGCCTGCTGTACACGGATCCGTCCCTTCTCAACACCGGGCCGGTATTCTGTATCGTCCAAAAGATCGACCGTCAGGGCGACGGACTCTGGTCTCAGATACGTGACTAATCCCTCGCCGTTCCTGCGACCTTCCTTATCCGTGTACAGCTTGATCTTTGGATTTCCTATATCAAATCAAAATAAATGATCAGACGTCAGTACACCGCATTCGCCATTGGCAATGCAGACGGTCTGCGAGCAAAATTAAAACAAGATGCTATTACCTTTCTCGTCTTCCATGAAGACACCCCCTTTTTTGAACACATCCACAACTTCATCCACATCCGTATCTAGTGGCAATCCTGTAACAAAGACCGAAGAGATCGGCTTTGGTTTCCGCTCGCCTTTGTTGTTATTATTGTGCTTCTGTCTCTTATTCTGCTTGTCGGATCCCTCGCCTCGTCCAGGGATCGACTCTAATCCGGGCGGGAAATCCGATCCGTCAATATCTTCGCCAATGTGATCTACTGGCAATGAAGTCGCGTTGCTTCCAGTGTAGTCAATATCGTTCTTCTTGCGCTTCTGTCGCCTTGCATTCTCGGCGTATACCGATTCCTGCAGTTGAAGGACGGAAGAAGCGATGTTAGGTGTAAGATGATACGTGGTGAGTAACGATCTCGAACGCAGTTGAGCTTACAAAGCTATCGGGGACTGTCTCGCCGTAGGCGGATTGCTGTGCCTGTATCAATTGCTCGTTAAACTAGTATACCAAACACCAAGAGGGTGTTAGCATCCACTGCTATCTCAGCAACCAAACGTTCTAAAACCACCGCGTCGTATTAGCCAACTTTACCATAGGAAACCAGGCTTTCAAGTTCTCGTCGTACTCGAACGAAACACCCTCGTCGTCCGTGTATGTCCAACGGCCGGTTTCCTCGACGTACTGCATATTCTGCTGTGCCACTTGCGGCGCGCCAGAGCTGTTTGCAGCTGTTGCCGCAGCAGTGCTCTCCTGCTGGTACTCCTGGTCGCTCATGCGGAATGCAGAAGATCCGATGTTAATGTTTATAGGACGTGATCAGAGTTAGGTCGAAAGCAGGAATGATCTCTGTACAAGCTAGGTTGAGGACTCTAGCAGGAAGGAGGTATGAGAGACCGTGTGTGAAGGATGGAGCAGAAAGCGATGGACGAGTCAAGCAAGATCTTTACCGCCCTCTTTGTCGAGCTCATCGTCCATGGCAGCCACCTCTTTCCAAGCAGGACGGATAAGGTTCAAGTGTTACGCGCTGCCTATTTTTTATCGATATGATTTGTTGCTTTGACATTCCAAAACGATATTGTACACTCTACTACTTGGGCTTCCTTAGAACCCCTCAACATCCTCTGGATCCATGTGGTCCTCTCGGGCGTAGGCGTCGAGCTGCTGGATTGGGGACTCTAATAAGCGAGATGTCATAGGGAAGCCGCAGGAATGCTGCATCTTGCGACCATACTGAAGACGTAGGCGGTCGCGGTGTCTCCATAGTGCTCCCGGCCGATAGCTAGCCAACCAAGAGGAGGGAAAGGACTACTAACTGGTAGGTCTCAGTAGCCAATAAACTGTGTATAACTTGTTCCTTAACATGCCTTTACTTGCAGAAGCATCGGGTATATTGTCGGGAGACAAGAAAACTGACTGTTGCCGGTGATGATATCGAACTTATAGCTCCTGAGCTCGCACATAGACCCATGCTCTAGCATTATGTAGTACGCCTCGACGCGCCACCCTTGGACTACTAATCCAGCGACAGCACCATCACCGTATCCCTGCTCGATCTGTGTGTTGAGGGACAGCTTCATTATGCTTAGTAAAATAATGGCGTCTGTTTCAAGACGGCACTCTTCCTGGTACTTATCGCAGCAATCGACGGTGGTCGTGTAGTTTAGGGACTGGTACCCCTTGTTGATGCTGGAGCCGGTGTTGAAGCGATCGCCTCACCCACGCATCTTGTTATGCTCAAGCTCCCCAGAGGTGACCTGAATGAGAGGCTTCACAGCGTTTGCTATAAGCGAGACCTTTTTCCTATCTGCAACCTCCTGTAACCCATAGGAGGCAGTCCAAGAGCGACTACATCAAACTCGTCTTTTCCTCAAACACTGGCCCGATACTCTATTGTGCTAGGTCTACAGTTACATACTTTTGTGAGCGATAGTGTCGAGATCGTCCCCAAAACTAGGGGAGGGGGAATAACGAAGCGGGCGAGCGATAGTACGTGGAAAGAGTGAATGAACATATTTCTTGGTCGCTGCTACCACTGTTTTCCTCGTGAAGATGAAACCCAGATGGCCCTTACACTATCTTATTTGGCGTCAGGAGGGTCTTCTGGTTTACGAGTGTCATTATTTGGGATACTTTCAACCCGTTGAAGATGTCCTTGCCCTTGCCCTTATCCTGGAAAAAACCAGTGCAGGAGAGGCAAATCTAAAGACTGTTAACGGAGACCAACGGCCCATACAGCACAAATAGATATGCCAAGCACCACCGAATGCATCGTCAAAGTTGCTGTCCTTTGTCTCGCAAAAGTTCATAGAGTGCTTTCCCCTTGACAAAGACCCTCAAAGGCGTGCGATCGTGGGAGTACATCGAGCACCAGTTGTCTATTGAGAAGTAAATGTCTGTGGGCCGATCTTGGGTCCTTCTGATTGAAATCCGACCTCTGAATTCCTTCCATGACCTCCCTTCGGCGCCTGGAAGTGAGGCTATGGTCCCGTTCTTTTCGAGACTCGATCCAACACGAGGCACAACGGTCCGGCAATCGGGTTCGATAAGACGCGCCTCAAGTCCTGATTAGGAGTCTTGTAACGTCGCGTATTCTCAATCTGAGGCAATGGACAGTATGGTGTTATATAAGAGGCATTGTTACACGAGACATACGTTTATTAAAGACAGACGCGTTTCTATGGGATGCACTCTGTTGTCGAACAAGTAGCATGCTACTGTTTGCCGGCCATGACGCATCTTGTTCAAGTAAAACTTGATTAGCAAGATCGAGCCTTTTTTTGTGTTAGAGAATCTACGACGGCATACGATCTGGAGCCCCTTGGATAAAGAGCTGGATCCGATACAAGCGATAGGGAAGAGTGACGACAGGGAATAAAAAGCAAACGCGCTCCGCGATCACCGTTGACAGGGGAATAACAGCATTGACCACGAATCGCGCACCAAGTCGAAATATCCAAACTCCATTTGAAGTATGACTCTGAAATGCATGATGAAGTTCTTTTACATAGCCCAGTTCAATATCTTCTCTGTTTTTCAAGTTGTTATTTTATTGATAAAGCCGGCGATGGAGCTCAACGAAATACGTTTTCTTGTCTTGTCTTGCGAGAGAACGAAAAGAGCGTGTTTATTCCTCATCAGCAGCCTCCTTCTTGGCAGCCTTCTTCTCCTCCTCAACGCCGGTGGCGCGGGTGTAGATCCACTGGGCACCGTGGGTCGAGACGGGGACGATGACGCCCAACTTGACCAACTCGCGGATGGCAGCGCGAGCGAGCGAGCCGTTGATGCGGAGACGGTCGACCAAGACCGAGGGAGAGACCAACTTGTAGGTGGGCACCTCCTTCATCAGCTTGTCGTAGGTCGCCTTGTCGAGGATGACGGCGTTGTTAGCCTTGTCCTTAACCTTTCCCTTGGACCATTTCTGTGGAGCGATGGAGAGTGAAGGGTATAGAAAAAAGAGGGATTGGTGAAGAGCGTTAGAGAAACGTTGAATGCCTTCCAAACAAGCGCTTCTTGGCCGTTTAATGCAAGTTGGTTTTGCAAAGAACGAAGCTGAACAACGAAAAAGAGTTGTAATCGACCATGTCGTTTTTGGTGAAAGGACAGAGGTCGTAAAGAAGACCCAAAATAAAGCGCCGAGACTCCAGAATCCTGTTTCTGTTGCTCAATCAAAAAGAAAACATTGTCCCGCCCTGGCGCTGTATCCTTCACCACCTCCAATATCCCCTTCTGCCATCTCACTCGAGTTTTGTATCGTTCTAATTCCCGTCCCAGGCACCGTTCATGTACCTTCTTCTTGGCTTTGCCACCCGAGGATGACGTAGGCTTGGCAGCGACGTCCTTTTTGGCCTATTAACAGCAGCGAGCAATTAAAGACAAAGGGAAGACGAGGGTTAATGTGACTGGAGCAAACAAGTCCGGGTCGGATCAGAGGACCTGAATTCGAGAAGTCGAGTGGAATGAATTAAAGCAAGCTCCAGACAACTGGTAAATCGGTATATTGTCCATGAGAATAGACGGTTGGGTCGATTATCCTGCTTCAGATCGAATCCGTCCTGATCCAGCTTGGTTGATGTCTTAATACTTCCATGAATTCATGTACTGATCTGTGTTTCGCTGAGAAGTCCTGAGTGTCAATTGTTATCAGTAGACCAGACGACTCGCTAAAGCGTGCGATCGACCAAGAGGAATGAATATGTTCCCCTCTCAGGCTGTCTCAGGATCCAGAATTCAGTCGATTCTAACTTATCGAAATGCTCTAGTAACAATGGATATGGGTGTAGCTGCAAGTGGTATGCTGACTAGTCGAGGGGGGCAAGACGAGCAAGTTCTTGACTATAGATGAAGCCGTCGAATATTTGTATTTTTTTTTTTTTTTTGTTGTTCACCAGTGCTGATGATGGTTTTTTCAATTGGTACACCGGAAACAAAGTCGTCGTCCTGTCTCCATGTTGGTCGATGCTGCACTATGCCTTGATTAGCCCATATGAGTTCGATGGATCGATGGATCGATGGATGGGTTGCAATGTATCCAATTTGGATCAGCCTCAGGGTCCTGCGGACTAACCATTGTGATTGTAAGAGAGGGGTTTTCATCAAATTCGAGTCTGTCGATAGGTTATACGTATGCCCTTAAGGGTTAGGCCCAGCACTTTCAATATGGCGCCAATGTGGACAAAAAAACCGCGAAGATACTGCACCGTGGCAAGTAACTTTCCCAGGCCGCGAATTGCATCTATTTGTGGTCTAGTCGTAATAACGTCTCAAGAGGCCTTCATCGAAGCAGGAAGAAGAAAAAGGTTCATATCATCAATCGCATCAAGTGAATAAAGCCAAGAGTGCCCAGTACGCAAATTCCTATGACATTCAACATCACCTTGAACGTTTGCATGCGTAGTGTTTTGATGTGTATTAAATGTGATTGTTGTGTGGATGATGATATAGATTATATGGGCGGTATAAGGGTCTCTGAAAAATAAAGCTGATATCCGTTCATTTGCTATATCTAAGATATCTAGTATTTTCACGAAAGAGACAGAGAGACGAATTCTTCTTTAATACTTTGGCATCTCATGGGCGTCGCCGTGATGGCGCCCACTCATGTCAATCTTGGCCTCGTGCTCCTCAGCGGCAGCGGCAGCCTCGCGCTCAAGACGCTCCTCCTCCTCAATAACATCCAAAGGATCGACATAGATCTCGCCACGAGCCTTGCAGATCAATTTCTGCATCCAGCCGGGCAAGACGTTCTGCCAGGTGAAGCTCTCGTTGACCCAGGGCTCCTTCAAGTCCTTATCCTCAGGTACGATGCGACCACCCGAGACCAACTCGAGGATATAAACAAATCCGTTGATGGCAGCATAGGAACCGATACCAGCAATGAGACCATAGGCGATCGAGTAGGAGAGGGGCATCAATGCGATGGTCAAGAAAGCGGGGATAGCGTCTCCCACATAGTCCCAGTTGATGGAGCGGACAGACTTGACCATCATCGAACCGACGACGATCAGGGCTGGACCAGTAGCCCATGGAGGGAAGGAGGCGAAGATGGGCGAGAAGAAGAGCGAGACGAAGAAGAGGAAGGCGGTAGTAATCGAGGTCAAACCAGTGCGACCACCTTCAGTGATACCAGCACCGGACTCGATGAAGGCGGTGACGGGAGGGACACCAAAGACGGCACCGACAGAGATGGAGGTGGCGTCGCAGAGGAACGCAGCGGTCGAGCCATCAAAGTCACCGTTCTTGTACATGTAGCCACCGAACTTAGCCATCGAGTAGAGGGTACCGGTGGTGTCCATGATATCGACGTACAAGAAGGTGACCAAAGCGATCCAGATCTCCGAGTTGTCGAGCTGAAAGTCCATCTTGCCAATGATATTCTTGATGGGATGGAAGGTCACGACCTTCTTGAAGTAGTCAAAGTTCGAGTCACCGGTACTAGTGTAGGGGAAGTAGGTGAAGGAGGTACCGCGGATCCAGGACAGGATCGAGACAAACAAGATACCGACAAGGACAGCACCCTTGACACGGAAGAGGAGACAGATGCCGATGATCACAAAGCCAAGGATGCCCATCCAGGTTTGGGGACCGCGCATGTGGGTTCCTTCGATACACGCACCAGCAGCGTCCTTGGCACATCCGGAAAGGGTCACCAGCGTAGCATCGTTACCGCCAATCAGACCGATACCAGCAGAGGATTGGAAACCTGTGGCGAGAGTTAAAAGTGTAGCCAATGAGTGCTGTGAACAGAATAATGGCATGTTTTATGTCCATTTAGATCGAGACATTCTCGACTTACCAATAAAAGCCAGGTACAATCCAATACCGGCACCAGTGGCGATTTTAATAGACTGAGGGATCAGACGAGCAAGCCATTGACGGATACCAAAGAGCGACAGCAAGATGAAGAGGATACCCTCGATGAAGACAGCGGCGAGGGCAGTCTCGTACTTGATACTGTTCGAGCCGTGAAATCCAACAACCGTGTAGGTGAAGTAGGCATTGAGACCCATACCAGGGGCAAGACCGATGGGCAGGTTGGCAAAGAGACCCATGAGAAGAGTGGAAAAGCAGGCAATGGCGGCGGTGGCGGTGACCAGGTCGAGCTTCAGGACCTGGAGGCACTCCATGTATGCAGGGTCGGTGGAGCATCCGACTTCAGTGGCGTTATCGCTTTTGTTGCACTCACAAGTTCCACCAGAATCTGTAACGATCAACGAGTTGACAGAGATAATGTAGGCCTACATTGCAGGGAGTATATTCCATATCCGAGGAGGAGGTGTAGTGCATGGTTAGTTAACGCCATTGTGCATGTGTTGTATGGCTCATAGCTACGTCCAAAATAGGGTCAGATAGGCATATGGCCTGCACAATTCAAATTATCCGTCAGCATGGCATCGGGAGCCAAACGGCGAGGAGGGCGAGATAATTAATTTTAGGGCGCGGGGGATATTTCTGAACGTATCTGGATCAAGGAAAGAGTGTCGAGAGTCGAGCTGCATGGCGTAAAAAATGAAAGAGGTGGGTGCGGAAGAAATAATGATAGGCGGGTTACCATGGTGACAAAGGTCGTCAGACCAGCACGGAGCTCGGTGGTGAATTTGGAGCCAATACGCTCACGACGAGCACCGGATCCCTCGAGGCGGAAGTGCTTTCCAATGCTGGACTCCGCGACACTGCGGTTCAGCCTGTCGAGAAACGACATGTTGCTGCTGTGTTACGGGGTGTGGCGGATGTGAGGGGAAGTCGGAGAAATGGGGGTGTGCTAGAGGCGCAATTGGAGCTCCAGCGACAAGGAAGGGGAGGGGCGAAGGGAGAAGGAATAGGGACCTCGAAGGAAATTAAAACAGGTGCGGAGAAAAAGAGGAGAGAAAAGAAGAGAGGAGGCACTTCTTGGTCCTTTTTTAAAAGATGTGAGCACACCGGTCAGTGAAGGGAGGGAGACGAGGGCAGCAAAGCGGAGACAGAAAAGAAAACCCTTTTTTGGGTCCCTTTTATCTTCTTTCAACAATCCCAAGCACCGCCGACTAAACTCTCACTCTCGCTACAGCTCTGTATACACCTGAGAACTTCCCCGCAGTGCGATGTATGCATGGAGGATGAGTGAAGAGGGTACGTGTGAGCGATGCACCAACAGTAGAGCTGACCCGTATTTTTTCGTGCCCATGGGTTTGGCTTCTGTTGTTATGCTTTGTTTGTTCATCTCCCATGTTTTGTTTACTTTTCTTCCACTCCCTTGCTCCCTCTATCGCATGTCCGAGAATCAGCTGTAAACAAGAATGAAAAAAGTGGATTTGCCCATTGTATCCGGACATTTTATTTAGGTCGGCTTTGCTGAAGCTACAGTGCTGTTTTCTACTTCTTTACCACAGCGGCATCCAAGCCGTTTCTGCCCCATCCGTGCGCGCACGCATCTCTTGTATTCTCCCTATCTTGTCCGCTTCCTAAACTAAATAGAGTCGAGGGATGGGGATGAATTTGGAAAATTGCGGGGAAACCTAGTTCTGAATCGAATTGAATTAAAGGAGAGCTCCGCTGCTCACTCTCATCTCAAGCGATAACATGAAAAGACACGTACAGCTCTGTAAGTACTGGACCAGCACCAAGGCTGTCTATCATCAGCGCGGCTCTAGTCTACAGTAAGAGGTGAAGCGCATAGATACTCAAAGTGCCAGTGCTCTTTAAAATGCTCTCTTTTACTACTCTTGCCTAAGCACGCGGCAACATGCAAGCCCTGGGGACAATTGCCGTAGCAGTGGCTGATTCCCTTTGGCCCCTGGTCATGGATAGATCAACGCTTGTGCAGTTGCGTTGCCGCTCCCACTTATTGTATTTGTCGTAAAGTTCGCTCTTGCAGAAGTTCCCAAGAGGTTCTCTCCATTCACATCCGCCTATCGTATCGGCGTGCGTGCTGCACTAGTCTATGGGCCCATCAATATTTCCACTCTCTGTTGTATCTTTTGGCTGTGTTTAAAACGACAACGGCCACGATTGCGTGCGCGAGGTGAACGAAAAGGGCTTTATGCGCCAAAAGGGCCATATGCAATAAGTCTGTGAGCACATTTTACATTATGTACTACTTTCTAGCTATAATCGGCAATGGCACCAATGTCACGAAACATACAACAGACGGCATTTTGACAAAGCAGGTTGCCGGGAATCATGAGCAGCCTTCACGCCTTAATCTTTCTTTTTTTTTTTGCAACTCTTAATTTTTAAGTTAGGCGGATAGTGCTGAGTGCCAACATCGTGTGAGGGTACCTCCCTAATTTGGTAGCCAGAACCGGGCGGGGAAGCCGGCATTTTCCATCCTACATACACAAGGAAATCCATTGTTGGCTTTAATGATTGAGAGAACGGTCAGCACCAAGAACGCTCTGAGGAGTATTAATAGTCTACAAGAGTCATAAACAGACCTAGTCGTCGTGCTGTGCAATAGGGTAAAACATTGCTCTCATCGTTTCCCCAGAAGGTCCTTCCCCGTCCTCCATTCCTTCACGGAACATGTGTATGCGCTGTGTGGACACGGGCAGTACAAAAATGTAAGCAACCGCGACCAGACCGTTCATTTGGCAATCAAGGATACTTATCTATATCATTGACAGCTACACCAGCTGATAGTGTGCCACCTTCCTTCGTTTTCTCGGAAGAAAAAAGTACATGGGTGAAGTAGCTCCATCTTTGCACGATTTGTGGAGAAAGAGTCCCCATCAGTCACCGTTCAGGGGATTTACAACCACGAGAAACGCAGGTTAGCAGGTTAGTCTAGCATGTTAGCATGTCTTCAATGCAATACAACTGGCGGGCGGAATGACTCGCTTCTCCTTATTCCTTTGTCTAACGTCGCACAACGGGCCATAGGCTGAACACAAGTAGTTATCGGGAGGATGTGGGAAACCTCAATCAGATGCCATTCGGGTACCCTCTGCGATCTAGGAGCTCGCAAATGAATGAGATTGAGAAAATGGAAATGGCAAGAGTAGAGTGTCCCCGAACATCTCACGTAGTTTCCACAAAGCCTACCCCTCATTCAACAACATTCGTTCGTTTGAGAGAGTGCGTATCTTTGAAAGAGGCTATCCAATAAGATAAGAAACGGTGGACTTTGAAAACAATACCCCACACATTTGGATCAATCACATTCCGCGTTGAATACCAACTCTATAGTACGTTAAACCTTCTTGTTCTTCGTTGTGCCTCTGATCATCTAGAGTATTTCATAGTAAGAAACTGACGGTCGGATTGTGCAATCGTGGACAGTGGCAATCAGAAGTAAGGGATTGGAACACCACCCAGTGATCCAATGAGGACTACGGTGCATCGACACGGTATATGGATGTGTACATATGCTAGGTACGCGTTCCTTCTCACGTTTTTGCATCGAATCCATGATAGATGCTACACACGTTCTTTAGAACATGATCGATAATGTAGTTCGCTGTTTCCATGTAGTCTTAGACTAAGGCTACCCCGCATTTTTTAGTCTTTATTCATGTGGTTTCTTTACCCCTGCACCCTTTTTACCCCGCACTTGCTCCATTTCCTTATGCAGATCAATAGCACGTCTATGCACGCGGTGGCACGAAACACAAGGAAACGTGAGATGAGAAAACAAATCACCCACTTTTTTTCTTGTTGAATCGTTCCTTCAAAAATTCACGAGCGCATACACATGCATCTTTGATATCATGTCTGTGTACTGTGCGTGCGTTATCGTTGGTCAGTTCTTTCGTGGGGAAGAGTCCTTGCTCCCAGTTTTTTTTTTTTTTTTTTTTTTTTTTTTTTTTGGGGGGGGGGGGGGGGGGGGGGGAAGAGAGAGAGAGAGAGGGGAAATGGCGGATGTGGTTTCTGTTACCATAAACAGCTGGACACCGTAGCGTACCCTTCTTCCGAGTAGGAGGGAAAAAAAAACCTTGATAGCAGAAATAGTCTGAGGCAAGCAGTAAAGAAGAGAAATTCAAGGGTGACGGTGTACATCTCAGTGGGCTACGAGCCAAACATACGTTTGAACAACCTTCCGGAAGTAGGGCAACATACATCGGTCCTGCTCTGATGTAACAAAAGATCTTCGCGGCTTCTTTTCCTGAGCTATCCCACAGTAGAGAACGAGAGAGACAAACAAAATACGGCACAGAATGATATGGTCATGGAATTAGAGCTCGCTCCCTCCTTTCGCTCGTCATTGCAATATGTGCTAGTCTAGCATGGAGGTAGCAAAATCACAAGGTTTTGTTTTTGTATGCATCAAATATGCACAATGGTTGGTTTGCCATTGTTTGTTTTGTCTGCTCAAAATGGGTACTCGGAAAATGCGGGGAAAAAACACAGACGACTTCCAAAAACCGGTTTCTGTCTGCAAAAAAAGGACGCAGCATTACCATGTTCCCCATTCCTGGGATTATCTATCAAAAAGAACCCGGGCCCCTCGTTACGGTCATACGCGGGGACGCAGTGCGCCTTGCTTCTTTATTTATTTTTTTTCTACTGAACCACATGTGCCTTGGTTTAGCGGATACGCAAGGGCATATCGGATTTCGCGTTCTCTCCGAGTACGGTGCCATGAACATGCGAAAACAACATCGTAGTGTCCCTGGGCACGAAAACATTATCAGTTTCGCCCTCCATCTCCATCTCCATAGTGGGTTCAATTTTCTCCGCATTAATTTTCGCCGATGATAACAGAAGTACTATCAACTCATAATGTTTTCGTCCGCATAATATCCGCCTCGTTGTTCGCTGTAGTACCTTCCTACCACGGATATATCCGAGCTACAGAAAACCCAGTAGGAGGTGTCCGTTCTAAATTCTCCACCGAACTCCACCCACTATCCTGGAACGTTTATATCTATTTTGCAGATAAACTGTAGATCCAATTGAAGTCGGGAAGTTATTTTCCTCCGCGCCTTAATATGAATCTGGCTGCTTGGCAAACAAAAAAAAAAAAAAAGACAGCCGCAAAGTCGACTATCACAAAACGCGGGCAAAAACTTCTCTCTACCGTAGAATGACCTCTCTTCTGACGCGTCTTTCCTCCTACGCTCTCGCGCTTCGCTGTTCGCAGTTCGCCTATCCACATTCTCGCATTTTTACAATACAAACAATCGAGTAGGAGTATTCACATTGAATTTTATTTCAGAACACCATCTCTGCCGACCTACTTCTCTTCCACTCGCTATATCCTCTCATCGCCATTCTTGACACTATATCTCATACCGAGCGATGGGATAAACCGGCTCTGAAAGATCCGCTCCAGCATCCGAGCCTTTGTAAAATACGCCGTGAGCGTCGACCGGTCGCCTGCCGCCTGCATTGTCGCCCGGATCTGTGCGATCGACATATTGCGACCCGTATCCAGAAACGTGCAGATCCGCTCAAAGACCTCATAAGGCATATTCACAAGGTTTGCCATCACTTTGTGGGCATTATAGTCTTGCTGCAGTTGCAGTTGTGGGGAGTGCGATCGGGATGGATACTGTTGGAGGTGCGGGAGGGCGACTGTGCTCCCGTGTGTTGGTGATGATCCAGTCGGCGCAGTCGTATTCGAAGAGAGAGAGGAGGAGGAAATGCGCCGAACAATCGATGCGGGGCGCGTGTGGGTGTTTTTTCCACCATCCTCCCCATCCTCACCATTCAAGATCACCGCCGCTTGAGACTTTCCGATTGACAACAACGACGCCGATGATTTTGCTGAGTTTGTCCGCAGGAGTCCGACCCTCTTCAACAGATTCCACGCGCCACCACTGCTCTGTTGCTGTAGCAGTTGGAGCTGTTGCGACATCAACATCCGCTGTTGCACTGGTCGACCCAGGAGCACAACTCTCGAGAGCGTCAGGATATGACACGCGGCTGAATACAGAGCCTGTTGCCAGATAAAGTTCCTAGTCAACGAATGCTGGATCGATTCGTACAGCGTATGTCGATCCTCCGAATTATAATCGAGCTGGATTCCCTTCATGGACCTGTTTTTCGAGAGCCCCTGCGCCAGCGCCCAGTAGCCATCGACCAAGATATCCGGATTCGCAGTTAGTCCCAGATTTTGGAGCCCCCTTGCAGAAGGGAGGACCTCGGCGATGGCCATGGCACCCTCGGTGGATATACAGCAGTTCGTGCACACGATACTCTCGAGGGTCGAATTTGCCGCCACGCCCTTCATCAGCTCCTGAACAGCCTCGCTCGATAAGATGTTATACGACAGATTGATATCACGCAGACTCGTGTTTGTCCTCAACACCTCCGCCAAGGCCTTCATCCCTTCGATGCTCTGACCGCTCCCGATATGGTTCAACTCCAGATCCAAGCCGACCAACGTCGTGTTCCTCTTCAGACTCGCGCAAATCTTGATCAGCCCTTCCTCGCCGATATTGTTGTGCGGGATATACAGATACGTCAAATTCCGGTTTGACACCAACGCTATGGCCATGGCCGTCGCGCCTAACGCGCCCATCTCATTCAAATCCAGACTCAACGAACTCAACGACCGGTTGAATCGGACGGCCTCCGCAATCATCACACAACCCTCGGTTCCCAATCCATTCGACCCGACGTTCAGATGCCTCAGCACCCGATTCTTCCTCAACAGCATAGCCAATGGTGTTGCACCCGGCTTCTTGAAGTTATTCGATTGCAGACATAACCGTGTCAGTGAGCGGTTACAGACGAGGGCCTCACAAAGGATCTCACACCCAAGCGCCGTGATCCGATTAGATGACAGATCCAGTTCCTTCAAAGTCGTGCTCTTCTCAACGGCCTTTGCGATCGCCTTGATCGCCTTGTCGTCCACACTCGCCCTCGTCATGCTCAGCGTCGTTATCGTTCTGTTGTACTTGAAGGCCTCGAAGAGAAGTTTGAACGCATCCTGACTGATCGTGTTACGGTCGAGTTTGAGTGTCCGGATATTGGCGGCTTCCGAAGATCGGACCAACCGGGCGAGGAGCCGTGCGTCCGTTGCAGAGATCACCATAGTTTTAATATTGATAGTTTGTAAGGTCGTCGAGTCCTTTCCAGCGAGGAACCGGATCAATGCATCGAGTTTTGTGTCCGAGAGCTGCAGAAAGTTGCCGCGATGAATATCCGAAATCACGGTCGCATACAAAACATCGACCATAGCATGAGAGGATGAGGACGCCGCCGCTGAGGTGGAGGAGGGCGAGGATGACGTGAAAGTGGGATGGGACCCTGGTGCAAGGCTGACATCACTCTTATCGGTTGCTGAGCGGCTAAAGTTAATACTTGGGATCGAGAACGAGTTTGTGTGTGGGCGCGGTATGCTGCTGCGCTTCTTCTTGCCCAGTGGTGCCGTTGTTGTGGTCGACACTGACGAGACAGGCATACTGTGGTTTCGGGAGAGTTTGAGCATCTTGGTCAGAACACTGTCGCTGGAACCGTGACTGCGGACGCTGTTGCTGTTGCTTTGGTTGTTCGACCTCTTGTAAAGTGGGATTCGCGGGAGCGAAAGCGAGCTCACACGTCCTGCAAGACTGGTGTGTTTGTGGGTCTGGGCTGAGGGGAACGGCTCTGGTAAAGAGTATTGTTGTTGTTGTTGTTGTACTTGTTCTTGCTGTCGCCGATGTGTGCTGAAATCGCCACTACTGCTACCAGAGGAGCTTAGGTCTACTACAGAGACGGCAGTGGCTGCAATGGTGGTTGTACTCGCGACCTTGTTGCTACAGCGTCTATGTTTGTCGAAAAGCCGAGCCCACGAACTGGTCCTTGTCTGGGGCTGTGTGCTGGTAATAGATGGGAGCGTTGGAGATAAGTTGCAACTGTAGGAGGAAAAGGAGGACGATGCAAGGTAAGAGCAGCGGCTATTAAGTGTTGATGGGTCAACAGTCGGGTTCTTCGCACAAGAGGGCTTGGTCTGTGGGTGAAGACTTGTGTGATCGAGATTGGAGCGATTGCGCACAGATGTCGGTGCTGAGTCAGGGGTTGCTGGGACTACAATTGATGGTACTGACAATAGCGGTGGTACTGGTTCCGAGAGGGGCTCGACAGAAGTGGGATGTAAAGAAGATAGTGTTGAGAGTGTGCAATCAAGCTCTTGACTATCCGCTGCAACAAACGATGATGCGGATGAGGATGGTAATACAAAGACTGGAGTGGCGGAGGGGGAAGAACAAGGGGTTGATGACAAAGAAGGAGGATTAGGACGAGTTGGACAGCAACGCGGCGGAGAATGAGGTAAGGAAGAAGCGGAAGTGGAGGTGTCAGGAAACTGTTTATTCAAACGAGCGAGCAAGGGGTTGAAGCTGTTCTGAAGGGATCTGTCGACAGCGATGTTGCTGCTGCTGCTGCCACCACTGAGGGAATTAGCAGCAGTGCTGCAAGGTGGAGGAAGGAGAGGAGTCGTGTAAGAAAGAGCGGGATCAGTTCCTACTGGATGAAAAAGGAAATCTGAGGGTCAGCACGACAACACCGTACTTTCGTACTTTCTAACACCACCACTGCCACCGCTGCATACTTCTCATTCATGCATTCACTCATTCCATTGCACTTGCAAGAAGACAAAGAAAACGACTTATGAGCAAGGAGGGCGAGAAGGAGGGCGAGAAGAAGAGAAGGAGACTGAGGACAAAGGAGGCAGAGTATGCTTATCTGTTTCAAGTAGAAAAATGCACCAGTCCGTTGCACAGCAAGAACTACTTATAGTAGACAGAGCAGTGGGGAGCGTGAAGAAGAGGCAGAAGAAGAGCGGGAGGAAGCGAGAGGTGCTCCTTTACGTTTTGCTACAGCGGGTTTTATTATCCCCGGGTAGTCGACTCGATTGTACTCCCTTCTGTCCGTTGGCGCCTTCCCCCCTCGTCGGTCGACCATCATTTAGGGTTCGATTTTCATCACGATCGCGTCTTTTCTTTCTTTGCCGATAAACACGACAATGGCAACGAAAAAATGCCTCATGGCCCATGGTCTACCATAGCATCCTCCTATTCTCGGTGCATATCGCACCCTGTGCACAGGAGCCAGGTTGCATATTCCCATTGTTGATTGTATCTGTCTTTTCCCTCCGATCGAAAAGAGCGGATAGAACACATGATGTATCTCGAGAACCTTAGTCAAACGAAGCTGCAGTATCAAAATCACTCCAGTACCGGCCTCAGCGCATCTTTACCGGACGGACAACAGGCACCAAGGGCAAGACAGGAACAGATGAAAGGAGAATGGGCAGTTCGTATGACGTCTTGAAGAAAACATGATCTGCTGCGGGGATCTCAGAAGGTTCCTCGGCAAAAACAACACGGGGGTGACACAGGCCGAGGGCAAGCAACTGTATCTTCAAGAAGTAACCCCACACGATGTTTTACCTGTGAATCCCGCCATCATTGCCTTGTTGTCTCGCTGAGTATTGCTACTTTCCATCATACCGTCGTAAACGTCATGTGGCACACTGCTCAACAATGCGGTAGACGTGAATGTGGAGTGAGTAGAGGTGGAAGTGGCAGTAAGAAGAAGAAGTGTGCTGTAGGTAGTTGATCTCGATTGCGTTGTCTTTGTTGCTGTCTTTGTTGTTGTCTGCTATTTTTGGTGGTGGTGTTTCATAGGGGTTTCAGGACACCGCCTAGCGCATTCCCAGAATCGCGTCGTGTAAAATGAGAGTCCTGATGCTGATAAAAATGTGCAGATGTGGTTGTCTCGGTGAAAATCGGCCATGAAGGATCCATGGCAACCCTTGGTAATGATGGCAATAACGTGGGGGAGCCTGCTCTCATTGTAATATCATGTGCTATGGGGACAGACCAGCTGTCGCACGTAATTGAATTTGTTGAACCCGATTGGACGGAACGTACGCGTCGTCGTTTGAATCTACGGGGTCGCTAATGGTCGTAAATGCGGTCATTAAAGGTCGTTCATTCACACAGCGTTGCTATTGTTCAAGAGTCTATTATTGTCCTTGACAAAGCGTGTCATGAAAAATGGATGTTGAAAGATGAGAAGGCATTCAGACTATGGTCTGTTGATCATTATAACGAGCGAAGCTTCGTAGTGAAGCCAGGAGCGAGGGAGGAAGATAAAAAGAGAGAGTAGGAAAGTGAGAGAATGAGAAAAAAAGTATAGCAAGCACTCTGCTGCAATTTCTGATATCGCTCTTCATTTCTTCGCGCTACCCTCTCCACTGCTTTCCTTCGCGTCGTCCAAGTCGCACGCATTTTTATTCTTTTCTTTTTTTGCATCTCGTCCACCTGTTCTCCACCTTCCCCTTCTATGTCTTCTTCACTACGAAAGAAGCGAAAAGGGGGCACAACGGATCGTATGTATGTTAGATGCGGAGCAGTGCATGCATCGTATGGTCCAAAGCTGAACTTACACTGCTCTGTGCACCGCAGACCACAGTTCGACAGTAACTCAGAAGCTCAAGAATGAATGCCACGAAGACGAGAGGCACATTGTTTATCATCTCCTTTGCACTACCAATCACGCTGTTTTCTTTCCCACCATCGATTTTATTCAAAACCCTCTACCGCAGACGAGGCAGCTGTTTAAATAAGAGTGTACTAGTCAGTGGTCTGTGTGCGACAATCTGCAATATACCTTCTTTCCCAGGGACATCTACAAGGAAGCAGATTCTCCTTTCCAATACTCGCCTAGGAAGGAAATGGGAAGGGGTGAAGCTTGGACGTCTGGAGAACACGACAACGGCGAAGGCAGCACTTGCATGTACATGACAACAAAATCATATCTTACTTTGGCCACCCCTTTGCTCCTGGACCTCAATGGTCCCTTTCTCACGCCTCATCTTGTGTCATATCTGCTGCTCTATCCGACGTAGAAGGTTGCCCTCGGAGGCTAATACATATTTCCGTTCGATAGCTAGCATTCACAGACGCATCCCTTGGCGTATAAAATCACCGGATTCTTCCGGGCATCATTGCCGGTTTTTACGAGCACACTGTCCTTTCAGAGAAGGATGAGAGAACCTTGACCAGCCTTTGTTACCCACCAAAGATAACACTGAATCCCTCTGTGCCCCGACACGAATGGATGATCGTCAGCTGAAGAGTTACTTTTTTGTTCGCGCATCGTATGGACATCCTCAAAATGCATGCAAAAGTCATCGTTGTTCATTCTAGTCTATAAAAACAACGCAAAACGATAGTACCATGGTATTTATAGGCACGGTCGGCGCGAAAGTCGAGAACATACACTTTTTTGAGGCCCTTGTTGCGAATGAAATGGATTGGATTACGTTTATTGTTCATGAAAAAGAGAAATGTCCGTTATCAGAGCCCGGTTGTTCCTGTTGGTCTGTTGCTGCATATCCCATCTTCTAAAGCCCTCTATTGGCTCATCCAAAATATCAAAATAATTGACCTGAGGATCATCATGTAACAGATCAGCTACGAAATCTTCGTTGATAACATCCGCATTCTGCGCTCCAGAATTTGTAACGACATCGGTCATTGTTGGGCCAGTGAGTTGTGCATACGCCGTCGTCATTTGATCTACCGCTGGCTCCGCTTGGCCCATCATCACATGGTTCTGGGCTGGACATGGTGATGGAAGGGTTGAACCTAGCATAGGAACCAAATTGAAGAGCTCAGTCCCGTTCTGATTCATGTTTTCAATGCCTTTGAGACTGATAGGGTTGAGCTGATAGGGCACATACGCGGCAGCAGTCGCTAACACATCTAAGAACTGATGACCTTGATCGTACATCGGACCGGCAGGTAAAGATCCTAGAGCATTGTTTCCAAATACCATTGGACGGCTTTGATCCGCTGACAAAGAGCCAGAGACACTGCTACCAAAGATTGTGGTCTGAGTCTGGGCTACTGCAAAGCTTCTGTCCATATCAGCGACGTCGGCCAACATCTGCAACGGCTGAGTATACATATCGCCATGGCCGTACAACTGACTGGATACCAAAGGCGCTGGAGCGTTGTTTTCAAAAAGCATTTGTTGGAGCTGACCCGTTGTTGAAGCCCCCGTAGCGCCGTTGTTGGAGATGATTGATTGAAGAGGCAAGACGCCCACTTCCATGGCTGCGTCAAGCAAGTTCCGAAGTTGCTGGCTCTCATCTGGAAGCTCCCTCGCCCCCAAAGCCTGGGTTGTCGGTCTCGCAAAGCCCTGCACAGAACTCATAGCAATCAGTTGCTGTGCTGCATCATGCTCCGCCATTGTACCACCGCTCGTTGACTGTGAATTTAAAGCCCCATCCGCTGTCGACCCCGGATCCACCTCTATGGTCTCCAACTGCGCTGGTTCCTGCATAGTGCTACCGCGTCGACTATTCCGCGTCGATATTACTTCCTGCCTCCTCCTCTCCTTAGCTCTCGCCCTCGACTCTGCCTGTCGCTCCTCTCTCGTCTTGTGCTGCGTCGTATACTCAGGTAAGACGAGCCCAAGCGCCATACGACGAACGTGTGCCCTCCTGAATAGGTCCTGGAGACGTCGACCAAGTGCCTCGAGTGCATTGGGCTCGTCTGGGCGCGTTAGATCCGTGTTTTGGAAGAGCGGGAGTGTATGCGAGTAGAGTACTTGACCCATTGGATGTGCTTGTGATGTTGCTGCTACTGCTGTCCGCGTTGGCGCACATCTGAGGGATTCACGACGTCGCCTTGCTTGTGGTTCACTGCACGAGCCACTCGAGCTGGGCCTTTGTCGCTTCGAACCTGCGTTTACCGATGGTGGAGCCGTTCGAAGCGGCAGTGGGCTTAGTGGGGGCGAGAACGAAGACGCTAGCTGGCCCTCATGTGGATTATACTCGGAGGTTGGGAAGGCGATATACTGACAGGTCTTCAGAATGTTCTTCATCCTTCGTGTGCCGCCTGACCCAGGTGAGGCTTCAGTATTGGCGTTGATATCGTGCTGTTGTTCTCCAGTACCGCTGTGGACGCCACCGTTGATGGCCCTTTGCATCAGGGCTGCGCCGCCAAGGACCCATCCATTACGGGCTTGGGAAGCAGCGCGGGTCCGTTCGCTGGCGTTTTGGTCGCGGGTTTCATAGATGACATTGTTGGCGAGGAGAGCCATGTTGAAGTGGGTAGTGAAGCGCTGTTCGAGAGAGCGTAGGCGTAAGAGCTCTGTGAGTGCAGGGTTGAAGGATACCGATGCTTTGCTCTGCTGTGTTTTCTGCTGTTGTCGCTCTTGCTGCTGTCGTAACTGCTCTTCAAGTGGCTGCTGTTTGCCATAACCCTGCTGATTTTGCTGAAGCGCATCCAATGATCGCTGCTGCTGTTGAGATGGTGATAGACGCTCCAGTTGCAATCTTCGCCTCCTCTCCCTTAGAGCCGCGGTTTCCTGCTGCCGGTATTTACTAATATCATCCTGGGTCGGCACATCGTCCTCATCCCTGATCAAGAACAAAGCCCAAAGCTCTCGATAGGCTGCTCTCAGCGTCAACGCCTGCAGGTCGCAGTCGAACCAAGGGTGTAGAAGGAAGTAGGCAAACAATTTACGGATCTGGTTCTGTGAAAAGGTCACACCCCGAGGGAGGAGATGTGTGAACGCAGCAAAGAGTGATCGTGCTGGGTAGTATCGCGTATAATGTTGGCGAAGTAGTTGCGGTGTAGCTGACGGAGGAGAAGGAGGAGGGCGCGGGAAGGTGGGAAGGGAGGAATGGTCGTGACCAATAACGACTTCCCAGCCGAAGTGAAGTTTGGTGTTTTTGCGGGTGCGAGTGCTGCTGATTGGAAGCTGGCTATGGACTTGACATTTATCAGAGTGGCCTTCTTCTTTAATGCCGATGTAGTCGAGATTACCGTCGTATTCAGGATCCCTGCGGTTGTTGTTTAGGATAGCGTCAAGCTCGACTTCAGTCAATGAAGAGATATTGGGCTGAATACTAGATGAGGAGGAGAATGACGATGATGAAGAGACACGTCGAAGTTGGCTTATCTCTATAGCGCTGATGGACCTTCTTTCTCTCCATGGTGCTCTTCTGTTAGATCTAGGAGCCGTAGTATTCTCCATATTCACAGCGTTTTCAGTGACCGCAGTGTTTACAACATCCCCAACATCCTCGGTGTCTTCGGAAAGTTCGGAGTGCTCAGTATCTTCAATATCCTCCACAATTTTAAAATTCTCAGTACTAGAGCTATTGGAGTTGTTTGGGTTATTGGCATTATTAGTGGCATCCGTGAGCTTCGCAACAACTGCTGCCGCCATAATCCTTCGCACTTCATGCCGTTCCGAAGCAGGACAGCCGTACAGTGGCTGCTTATGGAACCTGAACCCACAATTGACGCAGGTCTCTAACATAGCCTGATGATGTGGACGCGGATTCTTCACCGCAAATGGCCTGTTCATCTCCGGATCACGTTCGCGGTACCTCCAAAACTGTGGAAGAAAGGCTCGGATAAGACGATCGACGAGTTCACGGACGTTGATGACATCTACAGTCACAGTATTATACAGATCTGGGTGCTCGACCTGCGCTAGGTTAAGATAGACTTCATCGATTGCTGTGCGTACTCTGGGATGCTCAGAATGGTACTCGGCGTCCGAGACAGCATTTGGAACTATGATCTCATGATCGAAGCCAGTGGGATCGAGCTCTGGATCTGGATTTATGTTGAAATTTAAACCGCCTATCTCTTCGAGCTCGAGGCCGGGCATCGCGTTATCCGCGGGTGGGTACCAACCCTCAGGAATGAATTCCATGTCGACTTCGCTGTTCTGGCAGTCGCTGTCGCTGTCAGCATCATAGTCGATTTCGAAGCCATGGAGTATGTCTTCGAGTTCATCCTCGCCTCCGAAAATGTAACTGTCATCGGCCTCAGAATTGATTGACATTGCTCCGAAAGCTGAATGTTATGGAAATTGGCAGTTTAACGCGAACTTTGCAGGGAAAATGAGGATGTGGAATATGAACAAGGGAAAGTGCTCTATATTTTATTTGAGTTACGCGTTGGCGTCTTGTCACTAAAGGGTAGCCCGTTGTAGTTCCTGGGATATGATCCAGTCGCACCATTTTTATACAGAAGCCTACTTTGCAATCTTTGGTGTGGTAGGTGCAATTTCTGGGAACATCCAAGGAGCTAGGGTGAAATACATTGTGCTCTACCATAACAACTTGATAATCCACACACGTTATCAATTGGGCCTCGTTCATACATTTCGATATGCCCATAACAAAAAAGGAATTCAAAACTGTGGAGAAATAAGCGTGATAGCATTCACCACCTTTCGGAGCTAAGGATGCAAATAAAAAGGAGTCTGCCTCGGAAACACCACCTGCAACTTTCTAGCTAAAAAAATAAAATAAAATGTAATAAATAGAAAGTAAGCAAAGGCAAGTGTATGTGTGAGTGAGATAGTGAGGTGGATACTGAAATGGAAGGCTCCGCCCTTTGTTCCCAATCGCTTCGAGACTGTGGGGAATTTTTTGCAAGGCGAACTCCACTATCACGCGAACGAGCGAGCTACATACCGAAAGAACCACTCTTCTCCTGCAATTGTCTTCTTCCAATAAGCGATATAAGCCCCAGGAAGTAGGGAGAAACTCTCCAGGACCTGATGATCTGAATTTACCGCCTTCACTTAAACCTCACAAGCCTGGGACCTTTTATTCGAAGAATGTCCGCAAACACTGCCCCGGAAGAATAGTCCGTAATAAAGTTCAAGCGCATCGTAACACAAGGCAACATTCCTGCAAAACCTAAAACACGTCAAGCATACGCGTCAAGCTCAACTTAATTTTTTTTTTTTTCGTAGAGACAGAGACAGGGTGTAGCGCGAATGTGGACCGAGGTAGGAAGTAGAGGATAAAAGTGTTCCGGCCCAGGATCTAACGAATCATGTCCGGTCGCACCCACCCGGTCTGATAATTTGCATGACTTTAACACAGACCGACTCGCCTCTGGATATTACATGCGAGTAGCGGCGATGACAGACCCTGTAATCGAAGACCAGTCTTTTTAGCGTCAAGGCACTATTTATTCATTTATTCATCCGCATTTCCTTGCCTCCTAGGATTTATCACTAAAAACGCGCTCTCCATTACCTTTCTTCTTGGGGGTGTCCATGGCAGTTAGATCAAGGCCCCTCGACGTCGATTGTGGCGGCGTGATTCTTTCCTGCTGTAGAAAGCTGTTGTCCACAGCCTGTATTTGTGCATCTTCGACTTTCTGTTGTATTATGTGAAGGTGCTGCTGTATTATAAATAGTATAAGAAAGGATAAAAGGCGTGTGCTGAAATTAGAATTGATACCATTGAAAAAATGAAAACAGAGTGCCACAAAGACTTATCACGCAACTGAGCAGCCAAACGAGGGACTTTCCGCTCAAGAAGGCCCTCATTTCTTTTTCGTCAATCGGCAGCTTTATGGCCACGCGGGACAGCAGGCCGGAGACATGGATGCCTGCAAATTGTCAGAGGTAGATAATGGCGCCAGTGTATCCGGACACATCAAGGAAGACCATATAGTCCTTATCCTGAAGCTCGAACTTTGCATATCTCTGCAAGTAAACCATGATAGCTTTGTTGATACGAATGTTCTCCCGCGATTGTTTCTTGCCCTCCCCTATCTCAACACCAACGGCCTTAAGCTCACTGTTGTTCAATTCCAGGCCATCGATTTGCAGCTGCAGGTCTAATTTCCGATCACAGACCCCTCTACTCAATCTACTGAATTCCTATTCTTGAAGGACCCTGATCTCCTTTGTCGCGTTGGGTGTTGGCTCGCTCCTGAGGAAAAGAAAAAAAGCAATAATATAGATACAAGTTGTAACTCCATGCGAACACTAACAGCGAGTAGCATGCAACGCACAACATATGTTTCAAACTTCAGCTCGCCATCGGATACATAATCGAGTACATGCCCCCAAGCCGACACCACTGCGTGCTCCGTGTCCCCAAACGTTGCAGCAATGATTTCGTCCGCTCTATCCAAACGCGAAGTTTATATTAGTTGTAGCACGGCAACATGCCCAAGAGTGAAGCAGTGAGAGCAAAATATGGGACTTACATATAGCGAGCCACAGCCTTCAGGGATGAGCTCACTTCTTCCCCTCGCCTTGTTATGCTACACATTTCGAATGAAGGATGCTGATTCCGTCTCGGAGCTTTAGTATCCCATGTTTGGCAAGCATCCCCTCTAGCAAATGGAGCGCATTTTTTATGCTTTCGTCAGGTCGCGCTTTAGGTGCTGATTGCTTGATGCTGTCGATCAAACGTGCTCCAGATAAGTCCCAGGGGTCAGTTGCTCTGAGGTTAATAACCCTTGACAAAGCAACCAAAAGATCCTTCTCATGCTGTAGAAGATTCTTCGCATCTTCCAGATATGCCCGTAGATGTGTATACCGTCTTGCGTGTCACAGAGTGGATATCTCCAGAGGGGAGCGACGCATCTGATAGGTCATTTCTCAGTAGTTCATGCATTCGCTTCATCGAGGGATCTTATGGCTCATGGAAGAATGAGGAGGCATCCAGAAGCTCAGTTCGGCTCCGATTCTGACTATGCTCCTTCTCCTGTTGGGATGGTAGGTATTGCTGGCAGATAAAATCTTTCACAAGAACGTTTTCTGCGTCGACTGCTGCTGCACTCTCAAATGTGTTGTCCCGAACCCATAGTCTTCAAAGCAGAAAAGAGAAAAATGATTAATGAAAACAGGTTACGATTACATCAAAGCCCAATAGTCTTTTGATCATGTTTATAATAACACCCCACCTTTGCATGTTCCGTACCTCGAGCAGTTGCCTGCTGCTGCAGTGAAAGAGATTGAACCTGAAAGTCCAGCAGCTGCTTTGGTGCATAATAGTCCTAAGACAGTAAAACTAAACTAATGAGCATACCCGTCAATCTGCATTATAGCCTAGCAAAACACCTTCGGCATCTACGCAATTCTTCTTTTCTTCCCTTCCTTTAGTGAGATCGAAAGGCGCGTGGCATTTGTCAGATTTCGCACAAGGAAAAAAAAAAAAAGATGAAATCGTTCCCTTTCTCCCGTACCCCCCGACCCCTGATACTTCTTGACGATCCATCCTGGTCTCAACAAACATCCTCACGATTTATTTATTTTTTACGCAAGAAAAAAAGAATTCCAGGGTGCGTTTGACGTTTGGGCTACCGCTTCGGCGCTGCGCTATAAAGTCAAATAAAAAAAAAAAGATCCAGATAATCAGTCGAGCGACCGTGTTCGTGTACTTGGTTGTCGTGAGGCAGCGCTTTCGGGTTGTCGGCGCCCGCGTCCTATGGATGAAAATGCGGAAAATGCGTTTTTTTTTTTAAAAACAACATGATTTGGTTATTTTTTTTCTGCTTCCCTTTCTTCATTCAATTTTTTTTTTATTCCGCCCACAGCATTCGATCCAAGCGCAAAGGGTTTCGTAAGAGAAACCTAAGAGGCGTGGAAGCAAAGACGTCGGTCGGGACGAGGTTGACAATGGCGTGATTACTTTCTTCGAGATGCGGAGCTAATTATAATTCGTCATTCGGTATCGATTGTAGAAAATATACAAAGCTTAGAACTTTGCATGGGGGGTCGAGGCTGGAGGGAAGAGAGTACAATGGAATCAAGAGTATGCGAGTAGACGATTTTACTTAATAGCAAGATATTAATTCTTTGTTTTTTTACTAGTGTAACTTGTTTTAGTCTAAAAACATAGAACGAAAAGGAACGAAAAGGGAGAAGGAGTAAAGATGCTAATGCCTACAGCAAAGATAATGGAATGGAGGGAAAATCCGTTCAAGAACATGCAACGGCGGCGGCGCTACGCCGGGGCGGGAGTCGAAACATCTTACTCCCCAAAAAGAAATGATCCAAACTCGGCATTGCCGCCAACTGGTGCTCAACCAAGAACTGTAGTGCCATCAATCGTTCCACCGCCTGGATCTGGTGGTTCCCACACGATGACAGGAATGACAATGCCATCGCCTGGCGGACCGATTCCGTATCATTGTTGTTATTGTTGTTATTGCCATTGTCGCACATTTGCTGGCCCTGGTGATGTAGGTTTTGTTGTCGATGATGTTGCTGGACGCCCGGGGCGCTAGCAAGATTGGGAGACGGCTGAATATCCTTGAGCGGCCTTCCATCTCCTTTTCCTCCTGCTCCTTGCCCTCCTTGCCCTGAATCAGTCGAAGAACCAGAGGACACCGAAGAAGACGACGATGGCATCGATATGAGCGATGGGGTAGGTGACATCACCGACGGCGAACTCATAAACGGTCTGGAGAGCACTGATGACCTTGTCGAGTCTCTCGTCCCCAATTCCGAAGCTGACCTAGAAGTGCCCGACCCAGAAGTGCCCGACCCAGAAGTGCCCGACCCAGAAGTGCCCGAAGATACCGAGGTCGGTTCAGAATTCGACGAACTTGAAGATCCAAACGTTCCAGACGAAGATGATCTTGACCCCATAAACAACGTCTTCATAAACATCTCCATCACTGCCTGCTCCTCCGTGTCCATCGCCCCCGCGCCCGTCAATTCTACAAGCTCCAGCCTCAACACTGTCAAGTTATGCCGACATGCCCATCTCGGAGCCGAAGCAATCACATCCTTCAACGGCAATGAGATCTTGCAATCCGAAACTTGTAAATTCGGACAAGCTTCCAGCACTTCGAGACAGAGCCGACGCAGCCGGTGCTGCCGTTCGTCCTGTGGAAGAAGGTGATCCTGATAGTGCTGCCGCTGTCGTTGTTGATGCTGTTGTCGATGCCAATGCTGATGTTGATGATGTCGATATCCGTGAGAATGCAACGATTGGTCCTCATCCTGCACCAGAAACGTCTGAAGATGTGCGCCATGATACTGCAACAGTGCCGCAACAGCCTCTTGGCTCTGCATCACAAGTCTCGTCGATGCCACAAAATGCAGCAACTGAGGAACAGCGCCAAGCAAGATCGGAATCTGGGCCATACACCTAGGATTCCGATGGAGCGATGGCTCGTTCAACACTAAGCGACAGAGATAAGGGCATCGGGCCATAACTACGCTTGCAAGTCTCAAAAACACAGATGAAGCCGGCGCCGTTGTCGATGATGTGCTATCGCTGTTGTCATTATTGTTGCTATTGTCGTTAATGTCGCCGTCGTTGTCACCATCGTGAGCATCTCCGCTTGCATCCGACCATCCAGCTCTGCTGACACCCGACGCCGTGCCAAGCGTTGAGGGTGAACCTTCCAGGGCCAAGCTCTCCAGGTTCGGAAGAAACTCTAGCAGCTCAGGAAGGACAACGGCGCCTCGAAAGATTACAGATTGGATCGACGGGAACTGGTGAGTCGATGATGGGACCGCTGGCATCTCCTCGTCGTCGTCGTCGTCGTCGTCGCGAATACTCTGCTGTTTAAAGTGATGGCTCACGCTGCTGACACCGCCGTCGCTACCGCATTTAGCGATGTTACTTCCATGGGTGCTACCGCTGCCACTCGAGATATCGTTGGAATAAGCACGTGAATGACCATGACCAAGGTGGCGGTCAGTGCTGCCCTGAACCCGTCCCAGAGACAACAATAATGATGCATCATATCCGGCGGTCGCCGCACGAGACGAGTCCAAGAGAAGATTACCATGACGACCGATCCGAGAGCAGGAATGACGACGATACACGGGCTGCTCAAGCCCGGCTTCATCTTGATATCCTGCCCCTCCAGCGCCCGACAAAGTGTGAAAATAATTGTCATAATGCATCGCCGTCGAAGCACGAGTGATGGTGGTGGCGGGGTCCTCTTGCGCGAGCCGATAATCGACATCACCAGTTACACCTCTGCCGCCTGGGCTCGCCGTATTATCCAATACCATGTCCTGGCCATGTATATTTACGTCAAAATCGACATCGATAATATCATCCTTGTACACAGCCTGCCGACTAATTCGAGAGCTGCTGCTGTTACTGTTCCGTACACTGGTGCTGCTCCTGTGATCGTTGGCGTCGGTCATTGTCGAGTGCAGCATTCTTGGTAATAATGAGATAATTTCAAGCTCCAACTCTTGCAGCGCAGGCATCGATAGCATCATCTCGATCCACTCCTCCATCACAAACTCGTACTGCAACAGCGACAAATGGGTCAACTGCACCGGCTGCACTGCCTGTCCGCGTATACCCTCCATAAGCGCATTTCTAATTGCGGACATCCCATTGTTCGACTTCACTTGCCGATAACTCTCCCCTTCCCTCAGACTATGCTTCGAGTCATGACTTTTCAACGACTTTAGCGTTGCGGAAAAAATAATGATAATAAGGATAAAGCAATAAAGAGCGTGAGAAATAAGCTGAGCGCAATTAGTTATGAAAATTAAGCAGGAGTCGAGCGATAAAGTTGCAGCAACTTACAGGACGGGGACGTTTGCCGGCAGGGGAGTGGCGAGCTGGATAAGGATCGTGTGGACGAGTCATATGCTGGTAATGCTCAAGGTCGTGGGGATTTCGATGTCGGTGGCGGTCAAATCCAGGATATGGAAGGGTTGGGTCGGCAGCGACGTGCCGAGGTCGAAGTGCGCGATAACTCAAAGACCGCCGCAATTGCGGACGTGGTGCCGAAGTTCGATGTTGATGATGACCGCCGCGCTCTCGGGAATGATGCGGTGTTTCCGAGCCTGTATCAAACCCGCTTTCTCCACCGCTTAATTGTTGTTCGTGATGGTCGTTGTGGTGATGCTGTGCTGGATTGTGTGATGAATCAAACATACTGCTGTCGCGAGCATGTGGATGGTATCTAACTCTTCTTCGAGTTATTGCGCGACTAATCTCGAGACGTCTGAGTCGGTTCCTGATATTCCTGGCGACAATGTTTTCTATGTGCTCCAGATTCTGCATACTCGGTAGGAGCACACAAGACAGATCTGTCAGTTGTGAGATGGCTGGGTGGTCAAAGACGTGGGTAGAGCGGGTGCTGCAGAGACAGAGACGGCGGATGAGATGCCCGTTCGTGCTAATGCCTGCAGAGATATGATGTGGCAATGAGGGTGTGAAATCAGGCGGAGAAGGGTAAGGGGTTGGAGGTGTGAAGTGGGCGTGTTGAGAGGATGAAGGAACAGACGACGAAGAAGTTGAATAAGATGAAGTCGAGGGGGATGAAGAAAAGGGATAGTCCGGAAGATCTGTGTTTTGCTGGTAAAAAACGGAGGGTGTACGGGTACGAGACGTATCTGCTTGCGAATATGAGTGTGTGCCGTCAGTATCAATGTTCGGACACATTGAAGAGGACGAGGGGGTAACAGCACCAGCACCAGCACTACCAGGATAGCACGAGACACTGCTGGTGTCCGTCCTAAGCGATTTCGGTAATGAGAGTGTGTAGCCGAGCGAAGAGGCCGGACAATATGAGGCAAATCCCGAGAGAACAAAAGAGTCGGGCCAGTCGAACTGGTTCATTCGAATTGAGTGCCACAGCAGTGGTAAGAGTTGCTCGGACCAGGATTTACAGACCTGAGCACAGGCAATGAGCGTTCGTCCGGGGTTGGGTCGCACGCGCGGTCTCTTTCCAAAGGGGGCTATGCGTCTGAGCGTAGGAAATGAATTAGCTAACAGAAGAAAGTTGGTTTGGCTGATCGAAGGTGCCATTGAATGTGGAAAGAGCAATGGTGGTAATGATTCGCGCATACAGTTTGCCCTTGGGAGCGTCTTGGTCGTCTGTCTGTAGCTGATCCAGTCGTCCGGGGGCATAGTTATTAGCCTCACTCAGGATATAAAACATAATACAGTGGAATAACTCTGGGATGAACAGTGGCGATGGTCGGCTGTTGCTGTTCATGTTGCTGTTCATGTTGCTGTCCATGTTGCTGTCCATGTTGCTGTCCATACTGCCGTTAAAGGAGGAGGAAGATCGTGTCGGCATATTGAAAAGTCAGCCAAGCAGGGAGACAATCAGACAGACAGCGGTAGCGGTAGGAGTAACTGCCAAATGGTTTGCTGTGCGCTCGAGGTAGACTGTATGCCTGTTTGTCCGTGCTTACGTTATGTAATCTCGGCTCAAGAATCGAGTGTCGATGCAATCAGAGAGTGCTGTGTCGAAGCAGGCAAAGGAAGGAGAGGAGGGGGTGATGGAGATCGGGCAAAGGGGAAAGGATGGAGATCGGGCGGTAAGTACGGACTAAAAGTGTTAGCGCGCACTAGTCTCGCGTGCAACAAAAGAGAATCGAAAAAAGGCGTTTTGGGGCGGTAATGACAACAACTTTCGAAGATGGACTTGTCGCGCAGGGACCATCCCAAAGCACTAGTTCAAAACTTTTTTTTTTTCGCGTAGTGTCCGTTTCAGAAATAAAAAAACGAGATGAAGGAAAGTTGACGTAGGAACGGCAGAATCTACAGAGGAATAAGGAGTCGGATAAATCGGATGCTAAGAGTGCTAAAAACACAGTGTCCGCATGCATGTACCCAAAAGAAAAATTTAAGTTCGATCCAGGGGTGCTGTGCTACGCTGCAGACGCCAGAGCGGTTGAGAAGTAAGCAGTAGAGGACGATTGAACGACAGGATACAGCGAGTACAAAAGATAAGGAAGGAAGAAGAAGAAAAAATCGGAGGGGCGAGGGTGCGATGGTGCACTGCTTTAAATATATTTTTTTATTTTATTTTATTTTTTATTCCCCCTTTGATCTCCAGGCTAGAAGGTACAGAGAGTCCCTCTCTTTTATCGTCAAGGGAAGATCCTATTGACTTTAATTAACCCGTGCTAAACGACTTCTTCCGTCCACTCAGAGCTATCTGCCACAGCATTAGGACCCTTCCTCTTTACGGCGATCTTTTTTTTCCTTATTCATCGTTTATCTCGTTGACATCATGCAGGGAATAAAACCTGGCGACCCACTACCCGGAGAAGAAGAGTTAATGACACTTGCCTTAGTTAGCTTTGGGCTTCGTCAGGTCTGTATAGGTGTGGAACCGGGAGATTCGAAATGAACTATGGCCGAGTCTGGCATGGTCAGCGAGGTTGAGGTTGAGGTTGGGGCTGAGGCTGGGCTAGTTGGCACTTGGTTTAGGCTTTTTCCAGTCTAGACTGGAGACTAAAGGGGAGAGAGACCTTAACAAAAGCAATAACCGATCCTCGAGCGGTAAGTGGTGCCCTGTGGATTTGTCCTCATGTTCCCATGTTCCAGTTTGTGTGGGATGCAGCACGCAGTTGCTTTAAGAGGTTGGATGTGTCGTACCATGCTCTGTTCTGTGGCCGGTGGCCAATCGCACCACTCAGATGGCGAGGAGCTGCTGAACGCCAACATGTAAAAGATCTCCGGGAAGATCCCCCGATCTGCCTTGTCCTGTTGGCCAAGAGGGCGGACACGCTCAGTTATGTCTCTACAAATCGGTGGCCCTCGAACGGACGCTCAGATCCAAATTCAGATCGGGCAAAGGAGGTGGACCAATCAGAGCACGCGGTTGTTCACTAACCAGTTTTTTCTTCCGTGGGCGTGGGCCATTTGGAATGGATTAAATAGGGGCAGAGGAATTTGACAGAGCCCAGAGGCGGACACATGGCTCCACTGCGACCTGTGGCCCTCTGGCTGGCAGTGCCTCATCCTCTTAGGCATGTCTTTTTGTACTAGCAAGGGGCTAGACCAGAGGATGGCCGTGGTCGGATATGAGGACACATCAACAGGAACACAGATCCCTGGAACTCTGTGCTCTGGTTGGTCCCTACAGAGGCAAAGGAGCCTTGCGCACGTCTTTCCCTTCTCTCTTGTGCGTCCTTCGCAGCTGGCTGTCTCTGGCGACAAGCGGACGAAGGGACGAATCAGCATCGTCGGATCCAAGCATACAGGTCCAACGGCGAACACCCCCACCCACAGTCCTCCACGGGATGGGCATCCTTGAGCTGCTGAGATCAGCCTAGACCTCGATCGAGTATCTTATCTGTTCCCGTACGCAGTCTGATCCAAAAAGATTTTTTTTCGAAACCAAGACTATGAGTTGGCGGCGGCTGTGACGACATTCCCCCCTTCAGCACCTCAGATCGAGTCCAGTTACATCTCCCCATCGACCATTACTCATTCCATCCGCATCAAGCAAAAAAACCCTGCATCCACTCCCCCGGCTAGTCTTACATAATCACGTTCCCCTATTGCCGTAATTGCCTTTTACAGACATCCTTTCCCCTCTGTCCAAAACAGGCAATTGCCCTCTTTGCATGTCCTCCTTCCACAAGTCCACTCGACTACCTCGTCTGGTCGTCACAGACCTCGACGGCACACTCCTCACCCCGCAGCACACTATCTCCTCTCGATCCACCAGTGCTCTATCGCTCGCTCAACGCTTCCACCTCGCCACCCACAGTAATGCCAATGACATCCATGACAGCATCCCTCCGATCCAGATAATGATCGCCTCTGGCCGCTCCCCTCGATCGATCCAAAAAGTAATCGACCTCTTCAATGGCCTCATGGTCCCGGATGCCGTCCTCTGCTGCAACGGTGCCCTGACCTACAACCCCCGCACCAAAACCATCGCCCACCCTCAGTTCATTCCCCTGCCCCAGGCGCTTGCTGTCACCCAAACCCTTCGTGCCCACATTTCCAACCATGGGACACTTCGTAGTCATATTCCCGCCAGCACGACCCCGCAGAACCAAGAGGATGAGGATCTCAAGCTCTTGCGACTCAACAGCGATATCAATGGCCGTATTGTCAGCAGTAACGACCAAGGGGCAATAGGACAGGACAAAGATGGGATCGTAGCCGGAAGAGCAGGTTTTGCCTGCGAGGTCATCTACTTCTCCTTTGACTCCCTGACCGGCGCCCCTGTCTACGACAATGACACCAAATTCATCTGCGACCGCACCTGGGAGCTCCAACGAAAGCATACCATCTACTACGACTACACCGTCGTCCCAGACTCCATGGAATCCTTCCTTCAATCCCTCTCCTCTCCCTCGCCTACTTCCTCTTCCTCGACCGCACCGCGTGGAGGGATCATCAAACTCATGGCCCTAGATCGGAACCGCTCCGCCCCCAAAGTCTTTGAATCCCTACCAGCCTCCTTACGCCCCTCATCTCCATCTTCCACAACAACCGCCTCTGACGAGGTCTCGATCACCTATTCCGGAAACTACTTTCTCGAAATCGCAGCCGCTGGTGTGAGTAAGGGTCTTGGCCTTTCTAAATACTGTGAAGCCAACGCCATCCCCGCCCAGGGCGTCGTCGCCTTCGGAGACCTCCTGAATGATGCCGAGATGTTGCAGTTCGCAGGGTTGGGGCTTTGTATGGGAAATGGACACCCAGAGATGAAAGCCCTAGCGGATCGGGTTATTGGGACGAATACCGAGGATGGCCTTGCCCAGGAAATCGAGTCCTGGTTCGTTTGAGTCGTTTTGTTTTGCGGTATATTTATTTACTTATTCATTCATCCATCGAGAACATAGACAGATAGAATAGATTGATAGACATAGACATTTACCAACAAACATTCAGATTAAAGCGAGCACGGGCCTTTTTTTTTTTTTTTTTTTTTTTTACTGGAGTCTTGGTGTTGTTACAAGTAAAATAGTAAGATGACATTACTAGGAAAATTCGGAAAAAAAAGTATTTTCAGGATGTAGGTAGTGCGGACGAAATTCCACAACGAATGAAGAGAGAGGAGAGGCAATGCAAATAGAAAGAATAAAGTAAGGCAGCGACTTTGTACAATGAATATGGGGGGAAGGTGAGTTGAATATATGATCTACACTGGTAATAAAAAAAAAATGCGAAATATAAGCCGAGTATGAGGAACCCCAAGACCGAACAATAGAGGAGCCGCAGCGTGGCTACTGCGCTCCAACTCTCTCATCGAAATCGACATTAAGGTAAAGAAAAGACCATCGGCACATGTATTATTCGCCTTCACGGCGTCTTCCACGCTTGAACGGCGGCTGATCGTGAAACGCCGCAAACGAGTCCATATTCATATTCATCGGGCTCGACAACCTCGTCGCATTCGCCGCCGCCATTCGATTGGCTGTCATATTGAAATCCTGAAGTCCATATCGACGCTTCAACGAATCAGCCGCCATCTGTTGTCCAATCCCTCCTTCCGGTCCCGGAAATGCCGACTGCAAGGTCTGATCCAGTCCCGGATGGAAGACAGGGGCCGTGAATGTAAAGGCATCGCTTGGAAAAATCGTCGTCGGCGTCGGTGATGGCAATCCGGATCCATCTGTAGCTGTCTGAAGCAACCCGTGCGCGACCTGCTGCTGCTCTGGATGGGTCTGCTGTTGCTGCTGTTGCTGCGGATGCTCCTGCTGCTGGATATGTTGTTGCTGATGCTGGTGCTGTTGAAGGTACTGCTGCTGATGCTGCATGAGTTGTTGTTGTTGCTGTTGTTGTTGTTGTTGTTGTTGTTGTTGTTGTTGTTGTTGTTGTTGTTGCTGCTGTTGCTGCTGTTGCAACTGCTGTTGCAACTGCTGTTGTTCATGAATATGGTGTGCCTGCGCCTGTGCCTGCGCATGAGCGTGCAATTGCTGTTGCTGGATTTGCTGCTGCTGTTGCTGCTGCTGTTGCTGCTGAACATCACTTCCTGCAGAAGCACAATTCATTGATCGAGCGTTCGTGATAAATCGAATAATATCGTCCACAGAAAGACTAGTGTTCTGCCGGATCTCATCGTCCGTCTGTCCTTGTTCTTTCTTTTCCTGTACAGCTGGATGAGTTGCAATAAAGGCCAACAGATCCTGCAGCGCGGCTTCGTAGCCCTTGGCATGCTCCGCTCGCTGATGCTTAAGCGAATCCTTGTACAATTGAGTGACCGAAAGCGCCGCAGCCTTGAAAGAAGCCAACAAGACCTGCTCTGTTGACGATTCTTCCGCGACGGATTCTTGAGGGTGCACGGTCCCGTGACCGGCTCCTGTCGAGACAGGAGGATGGGACAAGGGGATCGAGGCCCCGTGGGTGCCAGTCATGGTGGCTGCGAGATGAGCTCGGGCTTGGTTGCTCACGGAGGATGGCTGTTGGTGCTGCTGAATGTGATGGGGGTGATGGTGGTTGCTTCCGTTGGGGGGTGTGTTATTGACCGAAAGCGAGTCATTCCTGAAGGGTGCAGCTGCAGTAGTGTTGGTTCTGTTGCTCATGTAAATATCGAATATATGAGGATGGAGAGGGGGAAGGGGATCGAGACGAGGAGGTCAGCCTTGACCAAATTTTGATTGCGTTGAGGGATGTTGTTTATTGAATGCGAGTGCTCTTGGTGGCAACTGGTTGTTCCAGATGGACTAAGTTGTTGGGATATGGAGAGGAGAAGGGTGTTGGGGTGGATTGGATGGATTGGATGGCTTGAAGCGATGAAGGGATGAGGAGATGATCAAGCCAATGAAATTGGGATGAGAGAAAGAAGGATTGACAGAAGAATGTCCAGCGCAGAAATAAAAGGCGGGCGACAAAGCAAAGGAAAAAGAAAAAAAAGAAAAAATCTTTTTCGCTGGAGCGTGTTTCTTCATCCTTTTCATCACATAGGATGTTTAAGGGTTAGGAGCCGAGGTTCAAGCGGCGCATTTGGGGGAGCCTACCTGGGTTTGTGTGTTCAACTGGAGCCTGTGCAACGGGCAGGAAGAGATAGCCTTAAGGCCCATCGACATCTACACACACACTCGCACACACACACACACACATATGGGTCTCAACTGCAAGCAGGCATGCTTCCCCATGTGTACATGAATACATGTTTATGTCCATCTAGCATACATTCTTGACAGAGCCATCGCAGAAAGAGACGCGTCGGTGCATGACCTGGAAAATGAAAACTATAGTAACCGGACTGTGAGGGCTGTTTGACAAAATTGGTGGCAAAAAGTAATAATAGTGCTTGCAATTGAGCATTCATGGCATGCATTGTATTTTTGGCAGAAGCCCTTCCCCCTTCTCTGTTGTTCACCCGCACCCTCTCAGCTCATTCATCACTCGCTCATTCGCCCTCTCTCCCTCTCTCCCTTTCTCTCCCTCTCTCCTTTTACATCGACTCCAACTCACTTCTCCACATTCATACCATGCAAAGCGAACAAGAACAGCGTTCCAGCTCATCACAAGAACGCCGCCATCGTCCGAGCGAACATCGTCGAGACCGAGACCGTGACCGAGACCGTGACCGAGATCGGGAACGAGAACGTAGTGCACGCCACCAACAACAACAGCAACAGCAGCAGGAAGATGAAGGGCGTCCAAGCTCCTCTTCTTCTACTCCTGGTTATCTTACTAGAGACGAACACTCCAGAGACTACAGGGACCCAGAATCACCTCGATCTTCCCGCCGACGCAATGACTACCCATCCAATCGGCCTTCCGAACAGGCTGTGAGCATCGAGTTCGAGGAGGAATATGCTACGGAAGATGTGGGATCTGAACATGGACATGACCCAAATGAAGCCGTGGATCCACCTGAGGGAGATCGAGCAATTTCATCGGCAGGATCAGTGCCAGCAGAAGAGACGGAAACAGCAACTGAGCCGACTCCAATGGAACCTTCAGAGATTCAATCGACCCTCTCCTCCTCGACACAAGAGCGACAGCAGGCAAAGAAGGAATCACAACAACAAAATGCAACATTGAAGGTATTAAGCCAATCAATCCCCATGTGCTTGTGCAACCAGGATCTCTCAACCATGAACTGAATACCGTTGAACGTCCTAATCCATTTATGCTATGCATTCAATTTCTGAAATAGGCAAAGGAGGATGCCAAAATAGAGGAGCTCAAGGCCACGATCCTGGAACTGCAGCAGCAAGAGCAGGAGATCATCCAAGCCATAAGGTCTCTTTGATGAACAAACGCAAAAATAGCCGTACTCCATTGGCGCTTTAGATCTCTCTGACCCATTGCCTTAATAAAACCATTGTTGTCTATCGAAAAAAACACTTGTAGAGGTGAAGGGACGCCGAATGAGATCATCGATAGACACATCAAGCAACTGCATCAGTACAATGAGATCAAGGATGTAGGGCAGGTCATTCTGGGAAAGGTGAGAGAAACACTCATTAAATATATGCATGTGTATTTCTCGATGATGAGAAGCCCAACAAGCAAGTTCATGCTTCTTCGTTCTTTGAAAAATAGTGTGCGGAACTGGAGGGCACGACCATCAAGAAGCAGTACGAGATGTTTGGATTGAACCCAGAGGACTGAAAAAAAAATGCGGCCCCATGGTTGTGCTGCAAAAGATCCTTTGTAGCCAGGGAATACTCTGTGGATTCCGACCTCATCGAGCTTAACAGCGTTGCTATTCATCTCATTGTCTTCTCTCTTATTGCGAATATGCCCAAATAAAATAAAGACCAAAACATTAGTATTGTATAATAGAATACGAACGCAGAATTTTTCGGATCACTGCCGTGGTTTAGACTTTCGGGTCTTCTGCATAGGATTGCAAGAGGAATTCGAAACGGCCAGACATCGACCAAAGATCCAGGAGAGCGGTACGAGCATATACTTGCTCAGTACCGACAGGTCGTCCAAGGTACGAGAATCCAGTAGCGTTTCATCTGTGGACGTTGTCTTCTATCTCTTCTGGTAAGAGAGTGAGATGCAGAAATGGTGATTTTATCGGAACCTTCGGGACGAGAAATGTATCCTAGGCGAGAGCGCTCAATTGAATGCGTACAACCCTAGAGAGATCATATGGGGCGTCAAGGACTTGTGTATGAAGCGAAAGGTGTATAACGGCACCGGACCCAAACTATAGGATTTTTTTTTACATGTGGATTACGACAGACAACAATTGTGGAGGGGTATATAGCGGTGGAGCGATTGTTGCAGGAATGAAGAGGGGCTGGAGAAGGAAAGAAGGGTCTGTTAAGAATGTGTTTGTGCGTATATGTGAATGAGAGAGCAGCTTGTAATTGAGTGAAGTCCTCTCAGTCCCACTCCGCGTTTCTTTTTCTTTGTTCTCGCTGTCGACCCTATTCATCATTCTCTTTTCTTCCCCTTTGTCCATCCATCCATTTCTTTTCCCCCCATCACTCATCCCCTCTATCCTTCCTTCGTTCCTTCGCTCCTTTCCACAGCCCAGTCAAAAAAGCTCGCTCTCTTACTCTCTCTCGCTCTTTCTCGCTCTTTCTCGCTCTCTCTTACTCACTCGCACATACACATCACACTTCATATTTCACACCTTTAACTGCTCTGTTACCCACGCCCTTCTTTCTTTCCCCCTCCTTTTCCCTCCTTCGCTCTCTCTCTCTTTGCCTTCTTTTTTCTTTCGCAAGTCATGGCCAAACAACCCAATCAGCTTATGCGCGAGTACAAGCTCGTCGTTGTCGGAGGAGGAGGTACTTTGTCGCCCATTTCTCACTCGCTTTATCGCCATTCCCTCAACCGACAAAAAAACAACAACCCCCGTCTTCTCTCTCCCTCCCTCGCCTTCGCCTGCAATATACAACAACATACAACAACATACAACAACATACAACAACACGCAGCAGCAAGGATGATATCATGCCTGTTTGACACTCAATAGACCAAAGGACTAGGCTTCATTGGATTGAATTGAATTGAATTGAACTGAACGGAAGGAGGATTCCGCATCAAAGCGTTTTCTCAACGGCACCACAGTTTGCAAGGCAAGTAAGCTCTCTTTGTACTCACTTCCTTCTACTTGCTTTTCCTACTTCAACTAAACTCCTTGTACAGGTGTCGGCAAATCGGCGTTGACCATCCAGTTCATTCAGTCTCACTTTGTGGACGAGTATGATCCCACTATCGAGGGTAAGCTACTTTCTTGTTCTTTCTTGCTCTTCACACATGAACTTAGTTGTGCAAAAAAAAAAAAAAAAGGTTTGGGCAAGAAAAAAGAGAGGAGGTGGGGGTGGGGGGCAACCACTACAGTACCCTTTTTCCAAGTCGAACTTGAACTCAACCCGACTTGCACTCAATGTCCATGAGTCTCGTGTTCTGTTTTTACGGATAAGAAAAAAATAACGGCAAACAACAACAATCGACAAAAACAAACAATCGACCAGCTATCAAACAGTACAAAAGGCCTTTTCAAGACTCGATGAAACGAAAGGACTTTGATTGTCTTGAGGATCATGGATGGATATGAGGGCATGATCGAGAAAAGGACCATATCCACGTTCGCATTCTCTCCACTCCCTTCCCCTCTTCGAGAGTCTCCGCCCCTTTGTATCTCTCTCTATCTGTCTGTAACCGCCCTCCTGAGCCTCCTGGCTTCGCCTCCCTTGCAACTAATTCTTGATGGGTCGCCCTATGTGTTACTGACGTGTATCTGCGTGTTCTAGATTCTTACCGCAAGCAGTGCGTAATTGACGACGAGGTCGCGCTGTTCGATGTTCTCGATACCGCAGGCCAAGAGGAGTACAGGTACGCCCCTCGAAAAAGAAAACAAAAAAAACGACAACAGCAATCAACAAAGAACTACAGGACAAAGAAAGATATGAATGTGTATGTGCGTCTGTTTATATGTGTCTGGGTCTGTGGGAGTTGTTCTTTTCATATCTCTCATGGAAAGTGGGTGGTTGCGGTGGTCGTGGTGCACATTTTCCACACAGTACAGTACAGAACTATGAGGGCATTTTTATTTTGCGCGGGATGGGAGGGCGGACGGGTTGCTTGTGAAACCAGCATGGCATATGGCATGGCCACCCAAGGATCCAATGCACCCAGAAGAGACCTCCTTTTGCCATGCGAAGTATGCGGTGTTTTGCCGTACCATGCAAGCAGACTTTTTTTTTTTTTTTTTTTTTTGCTTGCCTTGTTTCTCTTTGACCCTGCTTGGATCGGCCGTTGTTTGTGCTTGCTAATCCAACGATACCCCCCTTCCCATGCCTCGTTCCCAGTTATCCGTTTCAAAGACAACGGATGAGGGTTTATGGTTGTTTGTGTGAAAAAAATATGGGTTCGGGCTCTTTTTGTTGCCTTTACTCGCGCGCGACCTCTTACACTCTTATTACTCGTATCTTTCCGCCCTCTGTTTATGCTCTTTTGCTCTAATCTGGCTCTGACAACGAATGGGCTTCGTCACTTCGCTGGGAAGCTCATGATGATGGTGATAGTAGTGGTGGTGGTGATGGCATATCCCATTCCATAACAGCGCAAACCGAAAAAGAGGCTCACTGTTCCCGGGAGTGAGCCTCAGCTCTCAATTATATTAAAACATCGACACCTCAATGGGTTTCGTCGGTCTGCCTGTCCGGCCTGAGATACAAATGCCATTTATAAGTTTCATATCACCATCCTGAGCTCTGTCGCATGGAGGCCACGCTGTGCTGAGAGAAACAAACCAACGATGTGCTCTTCTTTGTTTGGGCGGATCTCGATTATCACTATCGCAGAAGGCGAATTGTTTGCTGACGATACGGACTTCGAGCTATTTCTTCATCTAAAGAGCCCTTTACACAGCACATGGGAAAGGAGCAATTGACGGAGAAAAAAAAGTTGGCATATGAATCGCCGACTGTAGACGATGCACGGCTTCGTTTGTTCAATGTTCTAATGCATAGTCCATATTATTTATAGTGCCATGCGAGAGCAATATATGCGCACCGGAGAGGGATTTCTGTTGGTGTACTCGATCACATCGCGCAACTCGTTCGAGGAGATCTCGACGTTCTACCAGCAGATCCTTCGTGTGAAGGACAAGGACTTTTTCCCGATCATCCTCGTCGCCAACAAATGTGATCTCGAGCACGAACGCCAAGTCTCCACGCATGGTGAGTGAATTTGATGATGATGATGTTTTTAGCCTGGGCTATGGTTTGCTCTGCAGCCATGGCTCAGGCTGCTTTTTTATGAACCGAGGAATATTTTAAACATGCTCACACATCTAAAATAATATAGAGGGTCGCGAATTGGCCAAGCAGTTCGGCTCCCGATTGATCGAGACTTCGGCGAAGCAGAGAATCAACGTGGACGAGGCGTTCTACAATCTCGTACGGGAGATCCGTCGCTTCAACAAGGAGACGCACAGCAGCGCGCCAGCGAATGGAGGATATGGATACTCGCAGCAGGGACAGGGATATGGCAATCAGATGGAGGACAAGCACGATAAGGGTTGCTGCTGCCTTGTCATGTAGAAAAAAAAAAAAAAAAAAAAAAAAAAGGAAAAAAAAAAAAACATAGCACACAGTACACATGACGGCGGCAGGAGAAGGAGAAGATGATGAAGGAGAGAAAAAAAAAGGATAGTTTGTGTTGCTTAAATACATGCTGCGACGATTTGTTGACTACCATCATTTTGGCAAGCAAAAGCGGAGTCCAGATGAGAAGAAGAATACAAAGATGCACAAGAAAAAAATATATTTTTACACGCATGCTTCATAGCTTGAACGACGACAGTAGCAAGGCGATCTCCTACATCTTCTTCCGTAATTTTATAATAATAACAAGTCTATTTATTTTATTTCTCTTGATCGCTATCCATTGACACAGAGTGCATAACTCCATATAATGCATGGACGTATGGTCGTATGAAGGCACGGAGGGTTAAGGAAAGTATGGATGCAATCATTGGGATGCGGACGAAAAACGGGAGTGCAGTGGAGTGCACTGGGAGTATGTGGCCCAACCATGAAACAAAGTTTGGTTCTGATGCAGAGCACTGTGACATTATATTCCACTCCAAAACACCGACTCTCCCTCTTCACCCACTCACACCCACTCTCTCTCTTGCTCATCCTTCATTCCACTCATCATCCCATCTACAGCCCCACCTTCTTTTCATCAACCTCCATTTCATCCAAGGCAAGTTGCCCCAGCCCCCTTGCCCCTACCATCCCCCTTCCTTCACCGCCACCATAATTACTATTCTTCAGTCTTTACTGAAACACTGCCAATTGCACACCTGCGATATGTATGGGTGGACCTAGCGTAGGGCCATTGGGCGCCATATTGTTGCCAGCTGGAGGTCCCTGACCCTGTTCCTGGCAGCAGCGGTAACATCACAGCAATCCTCTCGACAAAGCATCATTATCGACTCACTTATCGGACCCACCTTCCTCCTCCTCCCCCCCCCCCCTCTCCTCCTCCCCCTTTTCAAAGAAGACGCCAGCAATACGACACTAAAAAAAACAACCACTCCACTTCCTGTCCCGGACAAACAATCTTTATTTATATCTCGTCATCGCCCCCGATTCTCTATTCATATCTTGCCCGCTGTTCCTTTGCAACAGAGAGAACAGAGAACATGAACAAGACAGCACCGCACCCATCCCCCCTCTCTCTCCACTGGCAACTGGCGCTCGCCTTGGCTCCTTGTTAGTGTTGCTTAATGCTTGTTCTATCCCATGGAGAACCCAGAGTGTTATGTCATGCCCGCTCAGGCACCAGTGCCGCACATCTCACACCGCACACTTACACGCACTGTCAAATTCGGTCCCTTTGTGCCCAAAAACCTGTCTTGGATCTGCGTATAAATAATCTAATCAACTCTCTTTTTTTGTTTTTATCGTCAATCGTTTTCGTCATCCGCCAAACACTCAATTCCTCATACCATCGAACGCAGATCCTAATACCTTACCTCTCCCCTCCCCTCGACATCTAATAAAGCAGACCCTGCGTGCGAAGGAAAGCATAGGAAGCGAAGATGTCGACGCCCGATTTTGCTTTTGGCAGCTTCAACCACATCTGTTCGAAGGTGTCGTTGACGCTTTGCCCACTCGTGGGCGAAGTCGATGGAGTCGAACCGGTCTGTTATTCGCGTAATGTCCGTATTGCGGACACCCTCATCTTTCAGCCATGTAAGTCAACAAAAGAAAGCAAAGTTGCTCGTTCGCTTTCTTTCTTTTCTTTTTTTTTTTTTTTTTTTTTTTTTTTTTTGTGGTGATCGTAGATTATGAGACTCAGCAACTTTCCGCCTTCGAAGGGCGGGGACGGAGATATTGATGAGATGCCTAATTCTTTATTTCTTTGTTTCTTTCTTTTTTTAATGTAATCGTATCTGGGACTGGGGGGGTCATGTAGCGACGCTGATTATCCACATTATTGCGCTGATCATGACGGCGATCATGGTCTGGCACATCCGTTCCAAGTACACTGCTGTCGGTAAGGACTCTCTCTTTCTCTTTTTGGCCACATCTTTTGAAATGTTCTCAGCAGGACACAACGGCACAGGACCCGTCTAGAGAGCTCGCTGTAATTTAGACAAGACAGGAAAGAAGGAAGGAAGGAACGGGAGGCGGTTGAATATGGGGCTTTGGACTCGGGACGCAGAACACAGGAATCAGGACCTGGCGGAAGGAATGGGGGGGGGGGGGGGGGGGGGAACGGTTCACGGAGTTCTTTTTCGCACGGACTACACCAAGGAGATGCGGTAAAGATATGAAAATAGGAGGGAGGCGATAATGCAACAAACGAACACGAACACGCCGCAACTCCTGAGGAGGGGAGGAGCACACAAAATACATCACCGGGCATCGACAGCGGCATGACGATATGGACACGACAATCGGATTTCCACACAAGTCAGGATTTCACTCGCCATATAACTTTACAGTTCGTTTGTCCAGGAATGTACACATACTTGCGAACTTGTCCGAAGGCGTGAAAGCGTGGAATGGTCCAGGATCGGGCGCGGCGGCATTTCGATATTACTTCTGAGGAGGAGGAGGAAACACGTACTGACGCAGCGCTGTTTTGTATGATTCATCAATCGTTGGTTATGGTTTAGGTCGCAAGGAGATCATCATGTTCTTTTACCTGTACACGCTGGTGACGATCATGGACTTTTTACTGGTCTCTGGAATCATCCCAACCTCGAGTGCTCTCTATCCTGTAAGTCGTTTGTACTTGAAAGGACTTTCCCCTGCTTAGGGCTGAAATGCTACGGAGTATGAAGATACTGATCTCGGGGGTCTGTTGTTGTATGGATGTGAATAGTACTTTACAGGAGTTCATTTAGGACTGATCTCAGCGACGTTCTGGTGCCTACTGCTAAACGGGTTTGTCGGATTCCAGTTTGCCGAGGATGGCACGCCCTTGTCTCTCTGGGTGAGTTCCCCCGTCTGCTCTCTGCTTCCGCTTCAGGACATCGAAAAGCAAAGGGCCGTAAAGGAACGCATGTACTGATACCCATTATTTCCTGTTAATCCCCTTGGTTCCTAATAGTCGATCCGCATCTCATCGTTCATTGTGTTCGCGGCCGTGACGTTCCTGTCGATTGCAACCTTCAAATCGATGGGCCCCTTTGATCCACTGCATCCAGTCGCGCTCTGGATCGTGTTCTTCATTTTCAACGGTGCCGCTCTCCTCATCTACGTGATCCTCCAAATTGTGCTCGTCGTGAACACTTTGGACGACCGCTGGCCCCTGGGTGATATCGTATTCGGCATCATCTTTTTCGCAACAGGCCAGGTGATCCTTTACGTCTTCTCAGTCGATATCTGCAACTTTGCGAAGCACTATATCGATGGACTGTTCTTTGGAACGACCGCGACGTTGTTGAGCGTGATGATGGTCTACAAGTACTGGGATTCTATCACGAAGGAGGATCTGGAGTTCTCGGTGGGGTCGAAGCAGAATGTGTGGGAGGTCAAGGAGTTGTTGGGAGAGGATGAGTTGGCGAATGGGGCACTGTATAGTCAGCAGCAGCAGCTTCAGGGAGGAGGAGGTGGATTTGGATACAATGGGATGTCAGGTCAGGGACAGTACGGGCAGGCGAATTATTATGAGGACCGGTATTAGGGAAGGCAAAGGCCGCCCTCGACGAAAAGGGTTTCTAGATATTGTCCCGCGAGGAATCCGACCTGGAGATGTTGGTTTTATGGAGATTATCAATTTTTTGATACTATTCGTTCGATACAACTAGTATTGCATCCCGAAATAAATGCATTGCCGATATTTTTTATTTATTTTATTATTTTATTCGACTATTGTTTGATGAGAGCGTTGGGCGAGTGAGAGATATGTTCGTCGGACGTGCTAAGCGAATCATAGACATTTTTTCTTAAGATCCTATCTAAGCTCTCAAGCAAACATCGTCGTCGCCCAACCTCTCGCGCATACTATGCTGTCTCACGAATTAAGGACTGCATTCTCCAAGGCTCCGTAAAGGGAAGTGAGCTTGAGCACAAAGGAATCGCCTCTGAAAAGATATGCTGATATTGCTTGTGTTTTTACATTTTGCGGTCCTTCAGGAAGCATAGCGTCGCGAATTCCTGGTGAATATCGTGATGGCTTCGTATTTTCACACAAGGGAGTCGCGTTGGAAGGATCGTGGGAGGTGACGCAGAGCTTGTGTCGTCCTCCAGAAAGTCGATGCCATACATGAGTCGTCAGGCGTTTTATAAATAGATGACAGGTGATGGTGACATATCCATGAAACTCATGGGCTTTGCTTCGTCCGTGTCTTTTTACTCTCACTGTTTTCCTAGACTAGCAGCATTGCTACACTACTCTCAGATACTACACAGCATCTATGATCAAGATGGACTCCATAAGATTAACGCTTCGGTTCTCGGACTTTCTCAATAAAATCCACATTTACTACAGGAGGGCGGTATTCATAAGAGCGGATTATAGCTTAAGATCTTGAGGACGAAAAGATTAAGGATTCCATTTGTTGATGTAGCATCGCCTGATTTTTACCATGTACAAAAATGATAGTCTTTATTACCGTGGCAGACAAAAGTAAATTACAAGCTTAAAGAGTATTGAAAACGAAAACATAAAGTGTACGCCATTGACCCATTACATCTACGCCATATCTGTATCCACATCCACATCTGCATCCTCGCCAAGTCCAGATGCGCCTGCTTCGGATGTTCCTGCTGCCGCTGCCGCTGCCGCTGCCGCTGCATCCGCTGCTGCTTGAGCCTTCTTGCCCAGCTTGGGCTGCTTTTTGGCCTTGGCCTCCCTCTTCGGCTTGGGTTCCTTGGGCGGCTTTTCCTTGGGCTGTCGACCACGCTTGCCTTTAGGTTTCCCGGTTCCAGATCCAGAGGCCCCCTCGCCATTCTCGCCCGTGCCGGCATCTCCACCCTGAGCATCCATATCCGCCCACATCTCATCCAAGGTCCTGCCTTTACCAGGAGTCGCGGCTGCGGAGCTAGTGGGTGTAGATACAGACGTATCCTTGCCATCCATGTCCTTCTTGGACCGCTTACTAGGTCGTTCGCCCTTAGCCACGGCACCCTTGCGCGACTTGGCCTCCTCCTCCTCAACTTTACGTTTCAACTGCTGTTCCTGCAACTTGGTCGCCAGTTCGTCATCATCCAGCAGCAGCGACACAATCTCGCGAGGCTTGAAATCGACACTCTGCTTGAATTCGCCCCCTGAAATGACCACCTTCTGAATCTCATCCTTCTGCTTCGCACGTTGCAGGATCCTCTCCTCAATCGTGCCTCGGGTGATCAAACGGTACACTGTCACCTGGCGCGTCTGACCCAAACGATGGGCTCGATCCATAGCCTGCTGGTCCACTGTAGGATTCCAATCGCTGTCGTAAAAGATGACCGTGTCTGCCGCTGTCAAGTTGATACCTAGACCGCCAGCACGCGTACTCAGCAGGAAAATAAAGATTTCAGGGCGAGTCTGCCAATCCGTTACCATGTCTCGACGATCCGAAATCTTGGAAGACCCATCCAGACGTAGGTACTTGTACTGGCGATACGTCAAGTACTCCTCCATCAGGTCGATCATCTTGGTCATCTGGAAGTACACAAGTACACGATGACCCCCAGCCTTCAACTCCACCAGAAGCTTGTCCAGCACTGCCAACTTGCCCGAGTCCATCACCAACTGCTTCATCTGCGGCACCTCAATGGTCGAGTACCCCATCGAGCTCAGCGACGGCTCGCCCAAAAGGCCACGGCCACTATTGACTTGCCAGAGATCCATCATTGGTGCCACCTCCTTCTGCGATCCAGCCTCAGTTCTAAAGTCTGGGACACCCAAAAGCATCTGCCGGATCTTCGGGTCGAACAGCTGATCCTGCTGGTCGACCAAGAAGCCACGATCAGAGCAGATCATCTCGATCGGAGGTGCCATCACCTTAGGTCTGTATGCTGGCTCCATCATCGACAAATATTCTCCCAGCTCTGACTTTTCAAGTACGCGGCCGAGCTGCTCTGTATGACTGAGGAGGGACTGATTGTCGAGCGAGAACGGATCCGTGGTTTCACGAATCAAAAACTTTGCATAAGTGTTTCCTGGATATTGCGCCTCGGTGCCATCGTCGAGGCCATAGCTACGCCTCGACCGCATTTCGGCCATTTCGAGATGAAGTGCGAACCGGTCCAACAAATGGCCGCGAGCAATTTTGCTGGCCTGAGCAGGTGAGTAGTCCGAGAACCGCAAGAACGAGAATGTGCCTTCCTCTTCAAACATTGATTCTGCGATATGACCCGGTGTCCAGATGTTCATGAGTTGATCCAGATACTTGGTATCAGCCCCAGCATTAGACTGCTCGGATGGAATTCGCAAAAGACCGCCCTCGCGGTAAAATCGCTTGGGGATCGAGTACGATATCGTGCTTCGGGTCGTATACGCCACAAACAAATCGTCACCCTCACGGGCAATTGATGGTGTCTGGCTGAAGTAGCACAGGGCCAGAGGAGAGACGACATCTGCACGTTCAAACAGTTCGGGATGGTTGCACACTTTGCGGAATTGCATGACAAGGTTCATCAAACTGTCCACAGAGTCATTGTCGTCGAGCGAAGACGCCTTCTCCAAAAGCTCCGAAATTGAAATTTTCTCCTTGAGACCGCGGTAGAGAGCGCGCTGTCTTGCTGTCAACTCGCAGCTCACCTCAAGTTCAATCTATAGGCGATATCAAAAACAATAAAGACAGTAAGACTCCTGCGCTGGAGATGGATACATCATGCATATAAAAAAGAATATTGCTAAGTACCTTATCGCCCAGCTCGTTCTGGACATTCTTCTTGATACGACGTAACATAAAGGGCTTCAGAATCATGTGTAGTCTCTTCAACTGGTGCTCGTTCAGGGATCCCTTGTTTTCTGCATGTGACTCGATATCCTTGGAGAACCATTCGCTGAACTCTTCGTGCGAATCGAAAAGACTTGGCATGATAAAATGCAGCAAGGCCCACAGCTCCTGCATACTGTTCTGGATCGGTGTCCCCGTCAAAAGCAGTCGGTTGCGACAGTTGAATCCGAGCAGGGTCTTCCATCGTGCACTCGATGAGCTCTTGATCGCCTGTGCTTCGTCGAGAACCATGTACTGCCACTTGACGCGCTGGAAATACTTTTCATCTGAGACGACTAGCTGATACGAGGTGATAAGGACGTGGAAGGGCGCGTCCTTGTTGTAGACCTGTTTCTTGTTCCAGAACTTGCGCAAGATCTTTCGGTCCTTGAGGTTTCCCCAGTATGGCAACGCCTTCAGTTCCGGAACAAACTTCGTGAATTCTTGCTGCCAGTTATGAAGGGTCGACGCAGGCGCAATCACCAAGAACGGACCCCAGATATTCTGCGTTTCTGCCAGGTACGCCATCAACGAAATCGACTGAACAGTCTTGCCCAAACCCATCTCATCGGCCAAGATACCGTTGATGCCTTGCTCGTACAAGTTGGCTAGCCAGTTCATACCCTTGATCTGATAACCCTTCAGTTGGCACATCAGCATCTTTGGCTGCTCGATCTCCGTCACAGTCGGCATACTCGATGGGTTCTGGAAGTTCATCTCGTCCACTAATTGTATACGAAAAGAAAATCTGTGAGCACAAAGCACGAGTGCGATGTCTCGTATAGTTGCATGCAGCACTTTTTTGTGAGCGACTTACGGTCGTTCTGGTTGAGAGCAATGTTGGGTTTGCGCTCCTGATGCTCCTTTGCTTCCTCATCGAAAGTCTTTGTCCTTTGCTGGGCAGCTAATAGGGCTTGTTGAGCACTCCATTTCGCCTGCGCTTCTAAAGCCTCATCGGATGCCTCCTCAAAGTCGAGTTCGCCTTCCACAGGGGTGTGATTAGGATCCTGAGCAATGGACAGTTCGTGAGGTTCATTTGTAGGCTGCATCCTGACAGGCGCTGAATCATCGTCTGCTTCCGCTGCCTCAGCTGCGTTGCATATAAAAAAAAAAAGGTTTCGATCGATAAGTAACGATCTAGAAAGAATGCTTAGCATATTCGCAGCAGCGTAAATGATACTTACTTCCAATCTTCTTGCCAATGAAATGACTGTACAGCTCGGTCTGCGTGATCAAGAAATTGAGTTTGCGGGCCTGTCGTCGGGCTTCGCGCATTTCTTCTTCGATGCGAAGTTTTTCGATCGCCTCCTTCTCAGCCTTCTTTCTCAGATCGCGTTCTTCACGCTCATTACGCTTCCAGAAGAAGAGCATCTCGCGATTGGCTTTCCTTGCTTTAACGTGAACTTCCTTACTGGGTTTGACGGATCGAATCGCCGCCTTTCTGGCTTCCTTTTGACAGAATTGAGCAACTTTCTTGCAGTTCTGCATCCTGACTGATGTCACATTGGCCACAATTTTGGTCATCTATATCCATATTTATGTAAGAGTAGTACGCAAATCGTTATATACCATACTCTCAAGCATTCATACATACAATCCCGAAACAAAAGAAGGATGTCGAGCAAAATGTGCTTACCTCTCGAATCTGCTTGTGAGCAATAAGATCCCAAATGGCACGTCGTCTAGCTTCGTACTCCCTGTCTTGGCGTCGTGCCAGAGCCTCTTCATCCAGCTCAACGATCTGCTCAGATGCCTCTCTCTCATCGTCCGAAGCCTCAAAGTCAATACGTCGGTCGTTTCCATAGTCCTGATCATCGCTCTCGTCGTCATACATGCTCGAACGAGGAACATGCGCATCCTGATCTTCGTCATCAACTTCCTCCTGACCTGGTGCCAGTTCATTCTCCTGCGCACGTGCCTTGGCCTTGATGGCCTGCACTTGAGCCATGGCAGCTGCCTCCGCAGCCTCCTTTCGCTCTCTCCTCTTTCTCTCTGCCTTGGTCTCGGTGGGCACACCATCCGCATCTTGCTCACGCTTAACAGCGCCGTCTGCAGCTTGGCCAGCCTGCAATTTTTTCCGTCCGCGACCCTTTCCTTTTGTAGGAACTGGCTGGGGCTGTTGGGATGGCGCCCGCGATTCCAAGGAGGGTTCCCGCGTTCCGAGGAAGCCCTCATCGTCTTCTAATGGCTCGCCCGGATCTTCAGTAGTGGTTCTCGCGTCCAGCCGCTTCCCCTGCTTGATCAAGAACTTTTCATGCAGTTTCCGGCGCTTTCGCTAGCAACACATTCAGAACACAAAGTCGTGGGGTGTTAAGAAATCAGCATCGGCTGCTTAGTCACGAAGCAGAAATCATAGGCCATATCACAAATCAGAACGCATGTAAAAGAACCTACGGATGACTGCTTTTCATAAGCTCTTTGAACCTTTTGCCCGCGCTTGTGTACCTCTAGCATGTAGGTCATCAAATCCTTGGTCTGAGAGTAGTCCTCCTGATCTGAATCTGTATCGCCCAGATGAGGACCATTCATTCCATTCTCCTCTCCCATATCCAGAAGGGCATGTCGACTTGAAACCGCAAGTTCCTGATCGTCATGCATGCTGTCAGGTACGCGCTGTCGTTTCAAACCGCCATTGTTGATCTTGGAAGATGATTCTGCACGAGAGGCCCCAGCTGGGCCCGACTCTATAGTTGGTGGCAAAGCGGGACCCTCGAGCGGATTGTCCTTTGCTTTTGGTTTCCTTCCACGCTTGGCTTTGGCCTTGCCATCATCCGCTGGAGCTTCCTTTTCGTCGCTTTTGGTTTTTGCTGGTCGCTTTTCTGCCTCTGCTTTCGGGCGACGTTTAACTTGAACTGAAGGATTCTGAGACTTGCCAGCAGTGTCCTGCGATGCTGTCAGTGTCTCTGGATGCACCACCTCTGGCCAATTCTCTGTCTTGGTCGAGGTTGTCGAGATGGAATGCGCGTCCTCATGTGGCGACGATTCAACCTTTCTCTCATCACGCGGACGTATCGAGACCATGGATACATTGTCAAATGGATAATCGTCCGCGGCGGATTCCATCTCCCTGAATGAAGTAGGTTCAATTCTGGTAGTATTCCCGTACGACGCATTAGCCGGTAGATGATCTGAGAGACCATGGATTGGGAGCATCCTCGCTCTCTCTGCAAGCTGTCCTGGTCCACGAGCAGTCTCGTTATGACGCTGGTTAGTAGGTGAATCCGAGATGGGCGTCCGTTCTTGAAGTCGCATAGCAGGAGATGTCTCGCGTGGACTGTGTTCCTGAACATATTGGCGATAGGTTGACCTAGACCGATCATCCACTGGTTGCTCGTCCCTGTATTCTGGGGTGACATCTCGCGACTTATCGGCGCTCAAAAGCTGCGCAATCGACATGGCCGGCGCCTTTCTCTCACTTCGGTGCTGAACATGATTGACAGGCGATGGTGATCTAGAAGGAATGTATGTGGGGGCCCTGTACGAGGATGGCATCGCTCTATTATAAGTACTAGCCTCATACTACAGCAAACATTGACAAAGAATGGATCGTCAGTATGTCTAACAATGAAAATACGCTGGCACTTCATCGACAACGTGGATGATGGTAGAGCTGGCATCTTACCTGATAAGGAGCGGGAGAGTGACCATGGTGAACAGGAGGAGTCATTGTCCGAGGCGGCGGGCTTCTTGAGCGGGGTCCAGCCGTTGATGGGTTATGATAGTGGTGAGAGAAATACTGTTGTGCGACAAACAGGCAACGATCAATAAAACTGTTTTAAAACAATTGCCCAAACGACATAGCGTCCCTTCTTCTTTCACGAACCTTGTCTTTCTCAATACCCTCATCCACACTAGCTGATCTACGTCGATAACCCATAGGTGGGCGAGAGGTCACCTCGGGTGAGTGCTGCGAGGACCATGCTCCGGCTGATGCGTGAGCAGGATGGACAGGCTGGCGGGACGCATATGGCTGATAAGGCGATGCTGCTCTGAGCGGAGGTGGCGCCGGATTCTCGTACCGATCGGCTTGCATCGGCTGTCGCGACGAAGAATAGTACGCAGACTGTGTAGAAAATTGGAACAGAGCGCAAGGAATGTCTGAGTAACATGGGCCATTTCATATTCCTCACTGATTTGATCCAATTGCCATGGACGTAATTATCGGCTTACCTGGTGAGCTGCAAGAGGAGGATACTCTCGACCTGGTGCTTCGTGAGCGGGCCAAGATCGATACGAGGGGGCCCTGGAGGCGTGATGTTGCTGTTGCTGTTGGTAATGATGGTGCTGGCTCATAGCTCCACCCTCGCCCTCGGCATCTGAAGCATAATAATCTGGTCTATAGGAGCGTGCCATCTGTTGCTGCTGCTGTTGCTCGTAATAGTGGCGATAAGATATGTTTCCTGGAGGCGATCCATAGGGTCTTGGTGATGGCGATCGTGCAGTATATCTTCCACTACTGCTATAAGGATGAGCAGCGCGACGATCGCGATCCAGCATCTCTTGATCGTGTCCCGGTCCTGAGCTCTGGTAGATCGCACTATGTGTAGAGGACATGGGTAGTTGACCTGGGAGGGGCGGATAAGCGGCAGCTGCAGTCGAAGCCGGATGACGAGCCGTCGGGGCGACGATGGGCTCCCTGGATGACGAGGATCGGTAGATATCTCTATTAGTCATGGGTGGATAGTCGTGGCCGAGCTCCGCAGGATCGTACTCTCGACGCCGGTCCTGTTGATTGTAGCGATAATCTTCCTTTGCATATTCGGGATGACGTCCATAAGCCTGGCTCGAGCTGTAGTGCACTGGATGTGTTGGTGGAGGGCCAGAGGGGCCTGAAGAATAGGGTCCAGGAGGAGGGGGGTTGCCGTAAGATCCTGGCGAGGCTGGTCTGCGGTAATGAGGTGCTGATGAAGGGCCTCCACGTTCGGCAGCTGGTGCAGATGCCGCGGAGGGGGGATCGGGCGAGGAGGCGCCATAGTACGGCTGCCGCTGTGGGTTCATGATGGGATGCGAGGGAGGGGCACCCTGGGGATGGAGATGAGACTGAGGGGACGTGATGGAGAGTGGGGGCTGTGGATGATGGTGGATGGACGACCACTGTTGATGTTGAGGCGGATGTTGTTTTGCACCCTGGTACAAATCTGTCTGACGGGAGCCCTTTCGATCGCCACTGCTGCTGCTGGTGTTATTACTGTTGCTGTTGTGTTTCTCGCTTGGGTCGCTGTCCATGTCCAGGTCGATAGGTAGATCCGCTCCTTCCTTGTCCAAGTTTGAATCCTGCTGCTGGAAGGGTGGAGTTTATTTTTTGATGATGAGAGAGAAAAGAAAAGGGATGGATCCCTGGAGCGGTTGCCAGGTGGTTTATGACTGGTTTACGAGATGGGTACGGTGTGAGGAATAAGGTGTGAAGTGTTACGTGTGTGGTTGTGAGCTGTGTATGGGTGTGTGGGTGAGTGTGCGGTCGGTTGTTGTCTGATCCAGTCGATTGGGTTTTCCCATGCAACCCATTCGTGGAAAAAACGTGGATGTGGGTGGAACGTGGAATCGACTGAAAAGAAAAACCAGGCTTCTCCTCTGCAAATCGACAAAAAGTAAAAAAAGGCGACAGAAGGAGCGATGGGGAGGAGGGGAGGACTGGAGTGCGACTGAGAAAGAGGGAGCGAGAAACGAATAAACAATTTTTTGTTGTGTTGCTTGTCACGAACAAACGAACGACGAACGCACGAAGGCCATGATAGGATGGGCCAATCGGACGAAGGGACACCCTCTTTTGGATGTTGGATCGGCATTCATTTATATCAATCAATTCAACTATCCGATTCAATAGCACTTACCCAATCCAGTCCCAATCCCTATTTTTCTCTTTTACCCCTTGTTCTTATTCCTTCGTGGGACACATTGCTTCGGTATATAACTCATACCAACCCTGCTGGTAACATCGTACCGTCGACACAAAACTCCCCATTGCCGACCTGGGGCTGTCGTGCCCATCACGATATCTCGCCGTCGTTGTCGTGCCGAATTGCATTATCTCTGATCCTGCCAGGGTTGAGGTTGCACAGAGCGTGCGGCAGATTTCTCTCGGAGACACGTCATTCCGAATAACACGACCAACTCGGGTATAACGCGTCTTTCTTTGTCCTTTGGCGTCTAGGATTACAATCATCCCCAGAATTGATTGTCGTGGATACCACGTTTCTACCCGTCTAACGTATTAAATAAAAGTCATTGAATGTGCGGACTTCAACTATGGCTTAAATCAGCACACTGGACCCTGCCCCCTTCTCACTCTCTAACCAGTATTTTACTCATCGCTCCTTTGTAATATCGTATGCCATGTCATCTATCTCAGTCTTGACTGATTATTAAAGTGCGTGCCAGTCTATGATATTAACTAGGATGTATGAGTGCGTGTCGCCCGCTTCACTTATTCTTGTCCATGAAGATGTCTCTTGATTCATGCGTTTTTAATTTAGTCCGATGTATCAATGGTCTAGCTGCCGCCGTGTTGAGTCCAAGCATTTGGATTGAAAGGATTCGGAAAACAAGGGTGACTGCACCCAGTATGCACAATCAGTCAGGACTAAGCTAGAAACACAAATTACAAGGATGCGGTGCCGTTGAAGGCCTTGGCAACCAATAGCATGCACTGCCTCTGACCGCAACGCCCTTCCCGACTCTCCGTTATCTGTAGTATAGGCCAGGTCATGGTACTCAATACGCTTGACAAGGCGGTGTTATCTCAAGCGCTTTCGCTATGAATGTCGAGGAGTATTTTGGTCGAAAAAACACGCTATACCAAAGGGACCTACTAAAAATGAGACCAATATCTTCCCGGTTCTTTAACATGTCAAGGCAAAATCCACTGTGCTGAAAATGTAGGAAGTCAACCAGTAATCAGATTACGGTACTGCGCGCTATGAAAAGTGTATGGATTCGCGTCGTGTAACTAGTGCCAAGTTTGAATCCTACGCGGACTATATGTTGAGGAAACATAACTGTGTAGTTGCATAGCTTTGTGGATGCGAAGATGTAGAGTGAAAGCGCTAGAACATTGTCTACAAGCCATTTGGGGTTGACCCATGCCTACAAAGATATATTTTCAAAAAGATTAATTCCATCACAAGCTGGATCCCTCCGGTAGTAACAAAAGATAGTCTGCACGACGGACAGTGCTGCAGCTTGCACTCGACACACCTGTTGGTATCGATACATCCACGGCAGTGCCTGGAGCAAAGGTCAATAATAGTGCTTTTACACTATCCTGCTTGCAATGATCGCACGTGTATAAAGTGCAGTTGCTGCATACACTGGCATACTGCACATCAACGTCGCACTCGTAACATCATGGTCCATCCCCGCCTTTCATCCAGCCCACATTCGCTTGAGATGTAGCGCATAGGATATAGAACATCCGTACTCGATCTCGGCACTTATCAATCATACTGTGAATGTTGTATGCCTGGCTCTTGTCCTTCAAGTCCATGTACAGGTCCACGTCTACGCTTTTACCTGGTTTCTTCGCTGTGAGCACCAGTCCTTGTACCAATGAGGCTAGATTGACGTTCGGACACCGCTGGATCGCGGTGTTGCCAACCCCCCCCCCCTCCCCCCATAAGACCGACCGGGCGATGCCCTTTGCGGTGACATGTGTGTTGGAGATATCTATACCTGTGCTGTGCTGTGCTCGGTGCTTCATCGTTCCGTTGAGTGCTGCATCCGTGACGCGTGCCCGCGTGGCGAGACTCAGTTTCGACAGGTTCAGGTTGAGGCTATTAGCGCCGAGCCTGTGGGCCCATGCGACGCTCGAGATAGTGCGAGATACTCTCGCCGGACAAATAATATCTTCAATATCGAGGCGGTCAAGCACGAGGAGAAGAATGTCGAGTGGCAGCCCTTCCAGCGATGCAGTCTAACAAGCAGTCAGGCAAGAAGGGTGTGGATGAGCGTTGGGGCGAAGAGGGAAGGGAAAATAAATGGTCTTGTAACCAATCGTCTTTTGCGCCATCCCGGATACACAGCAAGATGGATAGCCAATAATGCGCTTCTCATCTTCATTTGCTGTTTATTTTGCGTGCATGAGAGTGGGGGGCACGACCTGGACACCAGGGGACCGCGCACCAGGATTGATTACCATATTAAAGCTGAGTTTGCATGTAAATGTAAACGTAAAATCCGGATATACGATAGATCGCTCATACAGCGCAGAGTACTACTATTATTATTTCTCGGCGGCATGTCCACACTGTAACTTGGTTGTTTGTGCGCATGAAAGCCAGGGCCCCTGTCAATAGATCCCGTTTCTTGCCCGACATTTGATGGTGATCCAAACCGACATTGAGAGCAATAGAAAAGCAGTCTGAGGGGCGCGCAATGCTGGCAAGTGAGGGCTTCGGGACTCCTCCTTCTTGAATATATCTCCATTTACCACGATATACAGCACTTGGAACACCGTTTTCATGGGGACTTTCGCGTTGGCTAATTAATACACATGAATTGAGCCTAAAGGGTCCAAAAAGGACTAGGGTAGTTAATCCCGAGCCAACGCTGAGGGCAAGAGCGAGGTTGAATATGCATTCAGTTCCCACCCAGGTCCCAGATCCAGAACAGAAACTATTCTTCTTCTTTCCCTCTCTCCCACTCCAACACCTACAAAGGGCAGAACGATACGTATATAACTAGGAGGAGCAAGGGCAACCATTTTCTATTGGGGAACATTTCTTCACGCAAAAATCAGCAAATCCACAGCATCCGTGCCTTCCTCCAACCCTTCTTCTATTACCACTGTCTCAAGCGCGTCGAACCCTGTCGACACTCGATGTCACTGCCACATTCCTTTGTGCCGCCTCTGCTGCTCCGCACAACAGGTCGATCGCTCTTGCCGATGAGACCAATCCGTGTCCCGGATACGATTTCATCCCCTACAAAGAAATAATACAGCTCATGCAAACGGCCGGCGTATGAGATATCAACCCTTATCTCTGCACTGCGACCGCGTCCACCTCGATCCTGATCAGCCACTTTGTCGGTCAGTTGCTCAGCCTCCATCGCACCCGCATCTTCAAGGGCGTCGAGTCTTGTGGTACCAATGGCCGAACCACTCTATATCTGTTCCACGCGTTTGACAGGAAGGATAGCAACATAGCTCCTTATGAAAGGTAGCAATCTCAATCCTTTCAAAGCTGCCGCAGAGTTGAAAGTTTGGTGGGCAGTGCCAGGATCGATGCTCAGATAGGAACCTAGTCCCCATCTCGCCGACATCAAGGCCTAGATCAGAAGCTACTTGTAAGTCAATGTCCTTGCTCCGACGAGTGACAGGCTCGGCGCATATGCCATTAGAAACGCCTTCCTTCAAAGCATGAAGAGGGTCGAAACCGTGCAACTTCATGCACCTCCTACGAGAGGTAGGAAGAGGTGGTATGTCGTCTCCCTACTCTGATTGCTTTGGTCTTTACTCTGTTACTGCCTTCTAGGGGCGCTTTTTAAGGGTACCTCGGCACTCATGACTTTCTAAACCATTGGCGGCGGCAAAGAGAAGGATATGTTTTCTAAAAACATGTTCGGATGTATACAATAGCAGTAAAGCTTTCCATTTTTATTTTTATTTTACATCGACTAAAAATCGTGCCAGAAGCTGCGTCAGTCCAACTGCACGTCGATCGCGTTGTACGGCGGATGTAAACGAACGTGCAAAGAAGGTGCTTTACAAGGAGCTACATTGCGGTACAGACAAGGGAGATGGCGCGCGCCTATTCAAGATATGTCGTTTCTTCAAATGTACGGTCTACCTCTATATGAGGACTCCGATTCAAACCACAGAGTAGCCTGCAAATTGTCGCTCTCGTCAAACAGACCGTCAATAATACGCAGCTTGGGCCAGTGCTCCTTCATTCATTTTGCTTCTTACTGTCCAGTTTTTAACTCCTTCAAAGAAATCTTCAGCGCCTATAGATCTTGCAGCTTGTCGAGCTAGTCCAGCCCACTTTCGAATGAAATCTGCTGACAGTCATAATGGCGGTCAACCTCCCATACATCTTTACATCCTCTGCTTAGAAACAGGCGACATGGCCCAGGCATAGTTCCACAAGCTTGACGAATCGTCGCAGACGCTCGCACCCTCGACGGTGGATTGTCCGTCCTCGACCAGAGTTCGCCTCGTGGACAGTAGGTTGGCACGTATTCCCTTTGGTATCGAGGGTCGCATCCGGCCGAAGAATGTCCGTAGCCTTGATCCTGAGCACCCTACGAGAGGATCCGCATCGCCATGGTTTGAGAGCATCAGACACTGGATCCATACCAACAAAGCCCTTGAACCATTGGCTTTGATCGAAAGGACTTTAGATGAAGCGGACTTCTCTCCGCTGAAGGTCGATAGGGTGTGCAGATTAGGGCAGGACGAAAGGATCCGCTTCAGAAGGGCACTGCTGGGAGAGCAGCATCAAAGCAAGCGAAAGCCTTTCGGCCGTCGAGCTGTACTTGGCCAGTGCCTCGCCTCGCACGATGGGACGTCAAAGTCCACATTGGTTGACGTCTACACAACCCTCCTGCCCGTCCGGCATGCAGAGAGTATACGAGCAAAGGCCGCGTCACCCAGGTGGACTCACTGGCAATGTCAATGCTGTTCAGATCCAGGATCTGAGTCTCCACGGCAGCGGCCATACCTAGGATTACGGCAAGGTCCTAAGAGCCATACAACGTCTGACCCTCTGCGCGGCCACATCGCCTCCAGGGCCGAAATTCGTTCTCGTCACACGATAACGGCACCACGTTCGACGCGATCCTGCACTTGAGCCTGGGCCATCCGACAAACTGGCATCTGCAAGGAGCCACTGCAACTTGGTTGAGCATCGAGACAGTAGATGTTTGAAGGTGAAAAGACTGAGGGGCCCTATAAATGTAAGCTCCTGCAGTTGTGGCACCAAAACGTCTGGGACGATCTCCGAAAATCTCATCGCTATCCAAGTCCTGAGAAAGCAAATACAGTTTCCTGATTCCGGAGCAGTGCTTGAGAAAGCGACAGAGGCGGTCCAATGCCACCGATTTCTTCGCATCATCGCTTTCCACCATAGCAATATGGTTCCAGTGCTTCTAGTCTAGTCTTGAAGCTGGGGATCTCTCTGATCCAGGAGGGCCGTACTTTGACAGCGATGACTCGGTACACAGCACTCGCTTCGAGCCGGCCTCTTCCCCTCTTTGTCGTGGATGGACCACTCCTTCCAAAATTAGATGCTCTCTTCCACTGAAGGACATGGATAGTTCGCAATAGCTGCATATACATGCTATCAATTGCCTTTCAATGACCCGCTAGTCTATCTGCCTGTTTGGCTATCTTTCGTATCGCTAATGAAAATTGAAAGTGTGCTAGGTCTCCTGTCCTACACCTTTTTATTATCTAATGCTGTTTTCCTTAATGCTTGATGTACTCGTACTTTTCCCAGCCGACGCGGTCCAGGGTATCGATCTTTCCAAGGACCTCCTTCTCCATGCTCTCTTGGTATTGGGCCATTCTATCAAGGTATGAGGGGATGAAACTACCGAGTATGCGCACAGCCAGCAGAGCCGCGTTTGTGCTGTTGTTGATCGCAACTGTTGCTACAGGGACACCACGCTAAGGAATGAAAGGAAATCGTTCATCAGTTGTTGTCAAAAATGAATAAAAAAGAGCATGAATTACGGAGTACATAACTTACAGGCATCTGAACGATCGAATGCAAAGAGTCGACACCATCCAGCGTGCTTCCACGAACGGGGACGCCAATGACCGGCAGCGGCGTCAATGCCGCAACCATACCGGGCAAATGGGCTGCTCCACCAGCACCCGCAATAATGACCTTGATTCCACGCTTATGCGCCATCTTTCCATAATGATACATTCTCTCGGGCGTCCTGTGCGCCGATACCAATGAAAGCTCGAACGGAACCGACATCTTTGTCAAAATCTGCGCCGCTGCCTCCATAACCTTCAAATCGCTGTCGGATCCCATGACGATCGAAACCAAAGGATCCAGATTGAAAGGAGATTCGTCCTTGGGGTCCATGGCCAGGACCATGGGCAAGAGCCGGTCGTGGACCTCCTGCATCGAATCGCCCACCACAGTGATATGGCCCATCTTGCGTCCAGCCTTGCATTCTTTCTTGCCGTAAAGGTGTGTGGTGGCACCGGGGATGCCATAGGCGAGCTCGCAGGCGAGGTAAGTTTTTTCACCAGCTCCGAGGATGTTGAGCATGCCGGCAGCTTGGACTTTCATCTCGGTCGAACCCAAAGGCAGGCCGAGGATGGCACGGAGGTGGTTCTCATACTGGGAAGTGTGCGAGGCCTCAATGGTGTAATGTCCAGAGTTATGGGGACGAGGGGCGATCTCGTTCAACAGGATCTCACCTAGTAAGAATCGGGAAATGCATATATCGTGAGTCAACAGACAGTCCATCGAAAAAAAAAAAAAAAAAAAAAAAAAAAGTCCACCTGGGCGGGAGATAAAAATAGTTGCCCTTACCATCCTTCATCAAGAACATCTCGACTCCAAAGACACCGGCTCCCGAGAGACTTGAGATGGCGTTCTCAGCAACCTTGCGAGCCCTCTCCTGGATCGAGGTCGAGAAGGTCTCGTCCGAAGTGCCCGTCAGTCCACGACCGACCTGAGCGGGGGCAAAGACCAAATGGCAGATGCTGTTCTTATGAACGGTCTCGACAACAGGGTACGAGCGCACCTCGCCAGTAATAGACCGCACGACCATGACAGCCAACTCACGATCGAACTTTGCCCATCGCTCTGCATATAGTGGCACACCTGGGGCCAATTTGGATCGAGCACCTGTGAGATCTTCCTCGGATCGGACCACATAGTTGCCTCGGCCGTCGTAGGCCATGGTCTTGGCCTTCAGCATGAATGGGTATCCGAATTGCTGTCCTGCCTGCTCAATTGCCTCCTGGTCCGGACAATCCAACGAGTCTGCGAGGGGGATGCTATGTTTTGCAAGGTGCTGCTTCTGAAGGTACTTGTCCTGAATCAGCGAGATGGTGGCAGGCGTTGGGTGGATAGATTTGCCCGAGGCCTCCAACTCCTTGAGGACGTGGGTATCGACATGCTCGATCTCGACGGTAATGACATCGACGGTCTCTGCGAGCTCACGGATCTTGGTTGCATCCTTGAAGGATCCGTGCAGGTGCTGCTGGGAGGCGTTCAGCTGCTTGGCAGGCGAGTCGACAGGCTCGTCGAGGATCGTGAGGGAGATGTTGAGACGGGATGCAGCCTCCTGGACCATGCGACCGAGCTGTCCACCACCGAGGATTCCGACCTTGCGAGATTCCATTGCTGTTGTGGATTGGACGATGAGTGTTGTCTGTTTCGTGAGAAGGCGAAGGGTGGGAATGCCGGTTGATCGAGAGAAGAAAGCGCTCGCTTCCAGAGCGATAAGAGTTTTTATTTTGCTTTTTAGATTTGCATGTTCCTTTTTGGGTAGACCATTTTTTGCGGGGAAATTCTAGGCTCGATTCCAGCCCTCTCTTATTGTAATTTCCTTATTTGTCAATTCAATGCAGAGGGGCTGGTAAAAAATGATGGGTCCAAGGCCGACATCTTAAAAGGAAGTTGATTAAGGGGTAATACTGGGCAAAACATGCAATAACAGAGTAGTCCGCTCCTTCGCTTGCACGGTGGCCCTGCCTTGAGTACAGAGCACCGGCCAGTCATCTCAGTCTAATCATCTTCAGCTACTCCATTCCTGTCCCAATGACGAACCCTGCATCAAACATTGACACCCCCTCCCCTCCTGCGCATGTCACTGCTGACGGTAGTCCGCCGTGGGCACCACGTGTGGAAAGAACGAGTAAGTGGAACGCGTCGCAAAACGCGTTGACGAATTTAAAAAAAAATCTACCCCTTTCTAACCTCGGCACTTCCTAGTTATTGTATTGGACTCTCCCTCCCCTCCTGCATCACCCACAGCTCGATTCTCTGACCGCGCTGTACAAAAACGACCGCGTGTGGAGAGAGGACGTAAGTAGAACGCGTGCCAAAAGCCGTCAGTAGAAACTACACTGGAAAAAAAACTATTCTAACCATGGCATACTTCTCCTCTCTTATCTATTTGCAACTTCCCATTAGCCCTCTCTACCAGCCTAGTGCCCGCCGACGAGGTGCTCGAGTCTCAATTCGTTTTCGAATCCTTTGCTGGGCAGGCACAGGCGCCAACATTTGCCTCTGTCGATGACGCCCTGCAACAGATCCTCGATATGATCTCCACTTGTGGCTACACCCTGCGCACCTTCTTGCTTGCAGTCTTTGACTCAAAAGGCACTGCTATTCGAAAACGGGCCAGATTGTTCTACTCGAAAGGCGGTCCTGGGGCGATGGTCGATTGCTGGAGTCAAGGTCTTCGACATTCTTCGAACGACGAGTCCTTCATGACGGCCGTTACAAACACGGTTATCGATCGAGCACACACCGAACTCAATGCACTCACAGCACTCCAGAGCCTGCGACAACCGACCACCGAGATTTCCAGCGAGTCTATCGAGAGTTTTTCGTTGGAGCATATCGAAAAGCAGCTCCAACGTACATCGCCCAATATCGTACGAGTCTTGCAAGGATTCGCACTCGCTAACCACAAGACCTCAGACTTAGAGAACACTTCATTCGTTGCTACTATCGGCAGCTTGCTGCTGCATCATCGGAGCCAAAAGTCAAACTATTTTCAGATGATGATTGGACTCTTTTTGTACAGCACAGGCTGTCCAAAGCGTGTGGTTACAGTGCTCTCCCAGGCGGGACTATCCGTGAGCTATCAGACGATCTGTAACGCCCTCAGAGCACTTACAAAAGCGGCCCTGGCTAAGGTGCAGTCCATGGTCTTGGAGCAGCCATGGTTCCTGGTTTACGACAATATCAACATCCCGAATAGAAAATACGACCAGCGTGGCAACAACATTGACACATTCGAGAATGGGACAACAGCAACCGTTGTGATCGGAGAAGATCTTGGCCACCCGCAGGCCCCAGCTCAGGTTCCACGGGATCCAGTAACCTTGATGGATCTCTTGCCAGATAACGAGAACCGAGCTCATTTCAGGACTGTCTCTCAATATAATCTGGTGCACGTCCTACAGCGGCACTTCGATATTTACAACCGCCGTTGCTCGATCCGTATCCCAGCTTTGAGCCCTCTTCCAGTGAAGCGCACAGAGACATTTCCTATGCCAAGTATGAAGATCGACCAATCAACTGTGGAAGGCAACCTGGAGATCATCGAAACGGTCATGAAGAGTGCACTCAAGCTCTCAGATGAATGGTTTGATGGTGACGTACGGGTCGTTGTTGCAGGGGACCAGCTCACCGTGTGCAGGGTAGGATCCCTAAAGAGCTTGCGTGGAACAGACATTACGAGGTTCGCTCGGATGTCATGGGCAGTGCCTTTAATGCAACTCTTCCATCTCCAAATGCTACTCTGTAGCACAATTCTTCGCACTCACTACGGATCAGTCTCGACGCCGGGATCACTGGCTTTCAATATAGCCATGCTGGAGCGCAAACGTGTCAATCTGGACACACCCGATTTTCACGCTGCAGACGAGATTCTCAGGAACACTTTCGATGCTATGGTTCAGCGATTGTGGGAGATTGAGCTGGGTACGGAGGATTTGGGAAGTTTCGGGAAGGACACGCCAAGATTGGACGACTTCATCTCTGAAATGTCCGGAACCATTCGCCGGAAGTATTTCAGCAACTCGTCTGAGCTTGCTCAACATTTCAACAATGTGGATGTCAATGCACTCTTGTTCCTCAGGGATATGAATGTCTATATCGAACTTTCGGCAGCCATCAAAGCTGGTGACATCAAGCGTATCGAGGAGACACTGAAGCTGATTGTTGTGATGTTCCAGGCAGGGGGTACCAAGAATTATGCCAAAGAACTCTTGCGTCTCAGCTATGGGATTTGCTATGCATGGACAGAGCAGGAGAAGGCCGCCATTTTATCGTCTTGGTTGGTCAACACCAAGGGCAAGGAGAATTCATGGATTCCTGCAGACTTGTACCAGGAACACAACAACCTCTTGACAAAGACAATCCATGCGGCAAAAGGAAGCAACATGTCCTGGGAAGTACTGGCCGACTCGGTTTCAATGAACATTCGCCTGTTCTCTAGGATCGCCGAGCAAGTTGAGACACAGTACGATGTCCTCCACTACAACAGCAGCTTCCACTCAACAGTATCAGCAGAGATGGACATTCAAAAAATAACCCTGTCGCTCAAAGAACACAAGATTTTTGCTAACGCACCTCGTGAGGACTGGTCCGACTTGCCACTTGCGAAAGATCTGCTTAAAGAAGGCATGAGAAAGCTGGTTGCAAGAATGACAAGACTCGATGAGTTCATCAAAGGACTAGAACATGAGGTCGGTAACGGAGAGGCAGATGATACAGCTGAGGATCTTGAGTTAGAACGAAGCCAGGCTGAGCAGTTTATTTCCTCATGCGTAGCTCCTATGCCGAAGTAATAAAGGCCGATATGGTTGAACTACACGGGCAATACCATTCGGTTTCTATGAGTACCTAATAGAATGACCTACTATCGAAGACGCTTGGTTCTTCCGTCACGGAAGCTTGAAGCATTCGAGTTCTTAAAGGGATCTCGCCGGTTTGGTATGCTCTGTGGTACTTGAGGAGCTGGGACGAGTGAAGGTTGACGAACTTCAACGGGGCTGGTATTGAACTGACTCACTTCACCATCCATTTCCTTGTTCAGGGAGATGAGAGTGCTGGCGAGATGCTCCAGCATCCATGGCTGTAGGGGCGTCCACTCAATGATAGATTTAATCGACTCCGCAGATGTGACCACAGCTGACTTCTCGCCAAGCTTATCAACAGACTCGTCTACCATCACGCAGCATTCTGTGAAAAAGTCGCAGAGTGGCGAGTAATACTTCTGGTACATCTCACGTCTCCAATCCCGTAAAGCTGCTTTGGCGAGTTCCTTTTGATGTTGTGTACGCCTTGGGGTTCGCGCCTTTTGGATGCAAGCAGCTGTGCTGTCCTTGAAGACGACAAGACGAGGCAGATCGGACGTTTCCAGTAGGGGGTGACAAAGGTCACAGCAGTTCCCGTTAGGCAGAACCTCATTGCCAAACACCTCGTTGAGGACCTTCCTGCGACATTCTTCTGTAGTGATATATTGGGCCAAGTGGGGATCGCCGAAAGTGGTCTCGGGTGAGGGTCGTGGTACGACTAAAATTCCTTGGCCTTGATGTTGAGGGCAGCGAGCTGCACGGCCAAGACGCTGCACCAGTGATATGATACTGGAAGGACACTTGAATTGAATGACACGAACGACATCGCTGATGTCACAGCCCATTCCAGCCGCCTCAGTAGACAGCAGCAACATGATATCGCCTTGTGCAAATTGCCTCATGATGCCTTTCTTGCAGTCTTCAGACAAGACAGAATGGTAGGCGGCAATCTTGGGCTTTAGAACATCAGACGCCAACTCTCGCAGATACGAGAGGGCTTCAGTGGTCTCAAGGCGGGTCTCGAAGTAAACGATGGTCTTCTTGACGTCGGTGGTGAGAAAATCGAGGCATCTGAGCCTCACTTTGGACTCGAAGTATCGCACTTCTAACCTGACATTGGGGCGATCATTGCCGACGTTGAAGATGGTGACATCCTGACGGAACCGAGCCTTGCTCCTGACATCCTGCAGGGCTTTAGCCGGAAGCGTGGCAGACACAGCAACCATCGCGACTCCTGGAGGTAGCTTCGCTCGTAGATCTCCAATACGGCCATAGGACTTCCTGAATGTAGTACCCCAGGTGCTGATACAATGAGCCTCATCCATGATCACTGCAAGCAATCGACCTCGCCAGCCATCGTTTTGCCAGAGATTTTTAAAGCGCTGGCTCTGAAATATGATCTCCGGCGTCATGAAGACCGCCCTGTAAGTTCCGTTCACAAGTTTGTTGAAGGTATCGTGTTCCAGGTGACCACCAGTGAGCATAATAGCACTGATATCCAAGTCTTCCAGCTTTTGCCGCTGCTCCTCCATTAACGCCTTGAGTGGAGATATTACGACAATGACGCGGTCGGTCCAAAGTATCAAGGGAAGAAAATACACGAGAGTCTTGCCCCATCCGCATCCAGCGATAAGTATGCAGTCTTGAGCACGGCCGATACAATCAACAACCTTAAGCTGCAAGTCCTTGGGGGTAACTTGAAATACATCTTGGCATCGTTTAGTGGTATCCCGGGCAAGGAGAGGGCTAATGGGAAGTTGCAAATAGATAAGAGAGGAGAAGTATGCCATGGTTAGAATAGTTTTTTTTCCAGTGTAGTTTCTACTGACGGCTTTTGGCACGCGTTCTACTTACGTCCTCTCTCCACACGCGGTCGTTTTTGTACAGCGCGGTCAGAGAATCGAGCTGTGGGTGATGCAGGAGGGGAGGGAGAGTCCAATACAATAACTAGGAAGTGCCGAGGTTAGAAAGGGGTAGATTTTTTTTTAAATTCGTCAACGCGTTTTGCGACGCGTTCCACTTACTCGTTCTTTCCACACGTGGTGCCCACGGCGGACTACCGTCAGCAGTGACATGCGCAGGAGGGGAGGGGGTGTCAATGTTTGATGCAGGGTTCGTCATTGGGACAGGAATGGAGTAGCTGAAGATGATTAGACTGAGATGACTGGCCGGTGCTCTGTACTCAAGGCAGGGCCACCGTGCAAGCGAAGGAGCGGACTACTCTGTTATTGCATGTTTTGCCCAGTATTACCCCTTAATCAACTTCCTTTTAAGATGTCGGCCTTGGACCCATCATTTTTTACCAGCCCCTCTGCATTGAATTGACAAATAAGGAAATTACAATAAGAGAGGGCTGGAATCGAGCCTAGGGAAATTCCGCCGCTGTGGGAAGAGCTTTGTACGGCAAGCACCTTGTACGTGCCACTGCGCGTCTTGCCATAGGCATAGAAAGACGCGTCGCTCTTCTCCTTTATTTCATCGCTAACAGCTTTGATCTGATATAGCATGCAGCCGCATGTTTGAGTCAATGTTTCGCTACCTTCCGAAAGAAGGTGTAGAGGTAGACACCACGGCCCCAGGCGTTTTGACCGAGCAAGCCCGAGACGCGACAACAATCTTATCGACCCACGGCCAATGCATCCCGAACCACCCATCCATCGCCTCGCTCACTCCTTCTTCCACATCGATCCCCGAACCCGCAATCGAAAATTCCTTTAGCTTCTCCAACGTTGCCAGCAGCTCGATCCCTGTCCCGAGCTGCAGTCTCAAAAACGACTGCCTAATATCCAGCACCCTCAGCTGTGTTAGCAGCGACAACTGCCTGTACACCATCCGCTCTGCCCACACAGCATGGTTTGCTTTGTCGCTCTCGCTATCGTCGTTGCTCTGAGCTGATCCCTGCTCCCGGTTTAACCCTTCAGGTACTACGTCAGCCTCCACCGTAGACGTATAATACTGCAGATCCCTTGGCCCCGCGACTCCAAATGCAACCGACAATGTCTCCAAGCTTTTGCATCCCCATGGCACTAACGTGCGCGTCCTAGGATCGACCATATCCTCGACCTGCAGGGTCATTCCCTTGATGCGCAGATGTACCAATCTCGTCGCAGACTCAAGGAATTGTTGTACAGTACGACTCTGCAGCTTGCCCATATTCGCCTGCGTGAGATCCAGTCTCTTAATCTGTGGGCAGTAGTATTGGAGAGCAGTGAGCCCCACGTCTCCAAACCGAACAGATTCGACGCCTCGATGGAGAAACGTTGGCAGCTGCTCCAGTAGCAGACTATTTGGGCAGTGTATGTTGACGTTATTGTTACTGTTATTGCTGCTGTCATTGCTGCTGTCGCGCTGGTACGAATTTGTAGAGTAATGGTTGGGAGGGCCGTGCGACCTTGCAGACTGTTGGGGAGGTCGTTGTGGGAACAAACACGCATCATTCTCCCTCACAGACTGAGCAGCAGCTGAACCCAGTGCCTCGAAGTCCTCCAATGGCGAAATCTGTCCATAATCGATCATCGTTACCGACTCAAGGTTCGGACACTGCAGCAGCAGTACCCACAGCTGCGCACTTGTTAATCCTCGAGCGTCCAACTCGAGCGACTTAAGCGAATACCCCGATCGCATCCGGCAGCCTTCCACTTCCTCCACATCATCACCAGCCCCAGTAGCACTTTTATTCCCACAACTTGCCGCTGTGAGAAATTGAGCATTGGTCCGAATACAGCAATCCTCCAGGCTTGGAGATACCTTGAACAGCAACTCCATCGGAACCATCTCGCGTCTCATGCAGTTCGTGTTCTTCAGGCTCAATTGTCGTAGCATCGGTGATGATTGTTTGAGCGTCGTCAGAAGTGGGGTCAGCTCAAAGGGCCCATCCAGAACAAGGGACCGTAATGAGCACGCATGCTCGAAGCCGAGGTTTTGGATTGTTGAGGTTGTGGGAAAGGAAATCTGGGATGGAGCACGGTAGACGGGGTGTCCAAGGGGAGGAGGGTATCTGCGTGCGAATGGACGGCACATATCTGGTTGGCGGACTCGTTGGCCTTGCTGTGGTTGCTGTAAAGATGGCAGCGTTGCTAATGATAGCGGTGCGCGCTCGCGGGAGACGTGATGGTATTCCCACCATTCTGTGTATTTCCACTGGAGAGAGTGGACCCAGTGAAGATTGGTACTAAGCGTCGAGAGAAAGTCAGGTTGGTGGCGGCTCTCGGAGATGGCGATGGCTCTCCAGAGACATGGGTTGAAGGTTAGATGCCAGACGGAAGAAACCAGAGTGCAGGTGTAGAGGTCGTGATGTGTGAGAAACGGAGCAAGGCATAGAAGAATATCGGGTAGGCGAAGGGCTTCGTATGTAGCTGAGTAGGATAACGATGTCGATGTGGATGATGAGGTGAATAGGGGGTTGGATGGCGTAAGATCCGTATTCAGGGTGCATGTGTATGATGCCGGTGTCATTGCTAGCTCGAGAAGAGAGAGTGGTGCACCAGGACGAGAAGGAAGAATGAAATGAAAAATGCACGCTGGCGAGTGGATGCGGAGGAAGGAAGAAAGATGGATATTGTAGAGACGAATCGATGGGTAAGGAGCAAAGGAGAAGGAGAGGAAAAGAAACGGGGAAAATCGAAAGAAATGAGATGAGAAAGGGCTCTGAAGGAGGAAGGATCCTCACGAGCAATGGCATATGAATGCTCTGGCATGAGTGTGAAATTATATCCAAGAGAGTCAAAACGCCGCCCCACAGCTAACAAAAGGTATGCCTATTTGCGGGATGGGACTATTTTGCAGATCCGTGGAGGAGCGCAATCCATATATGTCAAGGCCGCGTACTGGAGAAAGAGAAAGAAAGAGAGACGCGAGAGAAGGTGGGTGTGACCCATGCTACCGGTGCTCATGTGTTTGGTCTATGCCCCGGCTAGTGCATTCTTTTTTTGCACGCGCTCACTCGCTGCATGCATGTATGTAAAAAAGAATGATTCAGTAGGCTGACCAAAGGCGGAATCCACAATTATCCGTCGCGATACTCTGCCCAGCAATGCCATCCATTCACATCTGATTAACATGCCCTTACTTCTATTTTGGGTATCATAAAAACCATCTAGGCCCCTGCATCTCGGTTCCATAAGCCTGCCTATATCTGTCTGCTCCCGGTTGCATTTCAATGCAGGTACTCAACATTGTTTGAAGTTACACAGCGCGGTTTGTGGGTCATCGCGCATGTACTTCTAAAGGGAAAAGAAGGTGTTAATTTGATCACTTGCAGATCGGCCTTTCAAGCCAAGAAAACGTCCAGCAACGTCGTCAACAAAAATAATAATATACTCTAGCCCCACATTGCCGCCACAACAAATACCCTAATCCAATGATACGAAACGCTCATAGTTTCTACAGCGTTTATTGCGTGCAGGAAAAAAATGCTAACAAGATGCAAGTGTGAGTGGGATGCGCTATGAAATAAAAGGGTACTATCGGGTATCGTCTGATCCCTCTATTTTACTGAGCCTTGGTATGCTTTTTGCCTCCAGATTGCGCCTTAATATCCTCTAAAGCCGTCGACTTGACATGTGCTGGCATCAACGGGTTATGGTTCTCATGGTTCCGGAGACGATCTGCCAGGTCGCGGATGGAGCCACTGGTGATGTACTTGGCACTCGCTCCCTGCGGCATATGACGCTTCTGCAACATGCCCTTGAGCTCCGCGCGCATTGCCTTGATTTTGTTCTTGCGCCCTGTCATCGCAGAGTTGTCCTCATCCTTGTCCTTGGATTTGGGTCCTGCATTCAAAATGTCCTCGTCCAGAATAATGTCCATGGCCTCTGCAGACTTGAGCATCCAGTCGTCTTGATGAGCAGCCTATTATATCGTACATTTTTGATGAGTGCAAGATTTACGCGGTTAGTTATATCTTCTATCGCAACGGTCGACAGGCCTGTATGAAATGAACAAGTCCTTAAAGATGCTACCTTTTGGATGCGATGCTCCTGCTCATCAATCTTCTTGGCCAGAGCAACGGGCTTCTTCATTTCATTGATCACGCCACGGTCAATCGGGAAATCCGCGATGCCTTTGTCCTTCTTCAGGGTCAAGCAGATCTTGCGATACAATTGCACCTCGTCCGGCCCACAGATCAACAGCGAGATACCCTCGTTCTGCGCACGAGCCGTGCGTCCACTTCGGTGGACGTAAATATCGCCGGAGCGAGGAACCTGGTAGTGGATGACATGATCAACCATGGGAATATCCAAACCACGAGCAGCTACATCAGAAGCAATCATGATAGCGCGCGGGTTCGACTTGAACCGGTCCAAGTTCTTGAGACGCTGGCGCTGCTGCATCTGCGCGTGCATTCCCAGAGCATCCACGCCCAGTAACTGCATCATTGGCACCAGATGGCGGATCGCGTCGATCGAGTTGACGAAGACCAAAGTGCGGCCAGGGTACTTCAACGTAAAGTAGTACAGGTAAAGATCCTTCTCCGCCGTCAAACAATCGATCTTGGCCTCGAGCAACGTGGACGCCAGGATCTTGTCCGAGACAATATTGACAAACGCCGGCGACTCATCATGAAATTCGATACGCTCCATCAGGTCCTCCATGGAGCCCTCTGAACCCTGCTCTGCAGACTTAGCATGGTTTCTCTTTTTGGACAGATTCAAACTGAGCTCCTGGCTGAGCGTGGCAGTAAAGATAAATGTCTGACGGTTGTGCTCGAAATCTGTCCTGGCAATCGACTTTGGTACAATGGTGCCATCCTCTGACTTGTCAACGTCGTCCTTGATATGTTGTTCCCAATCACTGGTCTTTTCACGCTTGCGCTCCAGCAGCTTAAGAATACTGGAGAGTTCCTGAAAGTGTCCTGATTCGAGCATGCGATCGGCCTCATCGAGAACCAAGAATCGGACATGGGTCAGTCGCCCGGAATATGTGGGGTTACTCGAGATCAGTTCCCAGAGACGTCCTGGTGTTGCGACAATGACGGCTGGGTTACGGTCCAGTTGGCGTGTCTGCTTCTGGACAGACATGCCTCCAACAATGGGTACGACATGGTGTCCTGTAAACTGAGTGAATGCCACCAAATGATCCTTGACCTGGATAGCCAACTCACGGGTGGGTGTCAAGATCAATGCTGTCAAGGTTTCCTTCATTGGCGTATTACTCTCTGCAGCTGCTAAGGCCTGCTGTGCAAGGAATTGAATAATTGGAAGACCGAATGCCAATGTTTTACCGGATCCCTAAAGAACATAGAATAAACCGTATTTAGCATCATCCTTCTCCTTATAGGCGTACTTTGAAGCGGACGAAACCACTCTATAAGTGCTAACGTACTGTTTCAGCGACACCGACAACGTCGCGTCCAGCAAGACCCAAAGGAAGAGCCTGCTCCTGGATAGGCGATGGCTTTGTGAACTTTTGCTTCTTGAGCGCATTCTGGACCATCGGCACAAAATTGTAATTGCTCCACGCAGAGATATCGAATGCTGCATTTGAGAATAATACGAACAAGAACAAGACAGTTAATATCATCCAGCGACATGATGCGTAGAGCGCAAAGTGAACATGATCGGTAGAACATACATGTATCAACACCATCCATGGGATCATATGGCTTTTTGGGTCCTTCCTCTGCCTTTAATGATGCCATAGCGGCCTTGGCCTCCGCACGCTTTGCCTTGAGCTCTTCGACCTTGAGACGTTGCTTCTCCTTCTTGGACAGCTTTTTGGGCTCCCCATCCTTTGCCTCCTCGGCGCTATTACTTTCCTGTGATTCGCTTTTACTGTCCTTCAACTCTGCTGTTGCAGGGGCAGCGTCCTTTGTCTTCTGATCCCTCTTTTCCTTGGTTTTCTTGGTCTTTGCGTCTGTCTTGGTAGGATGATTCTCTGCAGACTGCGGGTCTACCTCCATGTCCTGTAAGTCCGTCTTAGGCTCGGCCATGTCAGTATCTGCATCCTGCGATCCCTCTGCTCCCTGTTGCTTCTGCTGCACTAGAGCATCCTCGTCAAAGGTATCGATGTCGTAGTACACCTCGCTATCCTTCACTGCAAGTGGTTCAGAGTGTTTGACATGTTTGCCCTTCTTTGCTGCTGCCGTCTTGGGATCATGCTGATAGACGTAGAAAGGCAAAGTTTGGATATTTGTGAACATCGTTCACTTGGATTGTAGATGGAGCTCTTTCAAATCTGCGCTCCTGAAAAATATATCTCACCTTAAAGACCACAGTCCTTCCTGTCTCTTCAGTGCCTACATAGTCCACCTCCACACCGTCCAACTCCTCGAGGCACAAAAATCCTTCCATATCGTCCATTATCATGCCATCAGTCTCAACAGGTGTCCATCCCCAATCGTCTAGCTTTCCATAGTCTGCAACGACGATCTGACCCTGTGATTTCTTGCCTCCTACATTATTATTTTTGCCCCTGCCCTTGTTCTTGTTCTTCTTGTTGGCAGTCTTACCCTTCAGAGGATCGGCCTCAGGCTCTGGTAGAGCGGGGACGTCGAACAGCGAGACCTTGTTCCAGTTCTTCTCGTCCTCAGTCAAGCTAGCAGCTCCCTGATGACGAGCACGCTTGCGTTGTGATTTTGAAAGTTCCTTCTTTTTGTCCTCCTCCTTGGTATCGGTTTCGTTATTTGTAAGAGAGTCATCCTGGCCATTCTCCTGAGCAGAGGTCGCAGCTGTGTTGTTTTTTTTCCTCTTTGCGTTCGAACGTTTTGTAAGTGTCGATACAGGAGCTGCTGCTTCTGCTACTGTTGCTGTGGGCGCGGGGATGTCTTGTACAATCCAGGACATGGTCGAGAGGTGAGGGTGGGAAGAGAAGAGTGATATTTGTGAATAGTGGAGAACACTTGGATAGGTATTTTTTAGGTGTGGGTAACAACAATCAAGCCACGATTTTTTTTTTCTTTATTTTATTTTCTTAGCGTGAGGCAGTCCCACACCCTTGGTTCAATTAGGACAATGACTTCTGATAGTCCAAAGGGAATATCATCTCATAGCCATCAAAACGTGGTAGCAGTGGTTCTGTGGTTTTTTTTTTTTTTTTTTTGAAATAAGAATAACCCGCAGCGGGTGCGGGACCAAAAATAGGTGATCAGCTCCATTGAGTATGGCTGTAACTCGAAAACGTCAGGTAAAAGGCATGATGTTTATCCGATTAGTTATAACCACTGGAGCGCGATGAAGAAGAGGCCATTTGCTTCAGCATGGGTAGACTATTTAAAGGAGAATAAGGTTTTGTTCCTGTTGTTTTTGCGCCTGGAAACCGATGGGGACATTGCTCTTGCGATGAAATGGGTCAGGAATTGGCGATATACCGCCGCCTGTGACTTGGACATTGGCAGCATTGCGTAGAACCAGAAGTGGATGAACATTTTGGCGTCATATATTCGGCCTTGGATCCGATCGATATTTGCGTGGACGTGTACGGCTGACGATCCTGGAGGGTAATGGATTGTGCTGCCAAGTCGCTCCCTGTGCTCACTGAAGCTGTACTGAGCAGAAGGCAAGCCACACTACCGGTTTTCAATTGCTCACCTCCAGTGCCTCTTTGCTCCCAATCACCCTCCCTTCCCTCCACTTCTACACCTCCCGTCAACCCGTTTCTTCCAGAACCACTTCCTCGCCAACCATATTCCTAAACTCGCTTCGACTTTATAAGGGCAGAGCAGTGAAAAACAGCAAAAAGGAAACGAACGCAGGACATAGCCTAGCCAGCATAAGCGCAGAGAGATCAGGATGGAACAAGAGGCACAGCGTCTCGAGCACATCATCGAGGAGGCTCATGATGGAAAGCTTCATCTGAGCGAAAACCAGATTCACAAGTGAGTACTTTTTCACAAGAGGGCACAGCTGTGGGCCCGTCTTGGCAACCAAATGGTTGTATCGGGCAATTGAATACATGGCAAGACACTACCGCTACTGGCATCACCGAACTCCTCAGGAACAGCTGAAGAGTCCTTGAACTTGCACCAAAGAACCAAACTTACCTTAAGAATTGTTTGATTTTTGCCAATAGTCTTGAGAACCAAGCCAAATATTTTCATGAACATGCGGGACATGAGGAGACACACAGCAGAATGGCCTTGATCATCATCGTATCCCTGATCGCCTTCCAGTTTGTGCTGCTCTACTGGAAGAAACACCATTACCGCTCATACCAAGCAACCACGACAATTGGTCTTTGGTACGCACGCTTGTTTTAACAATTATCTGAGATTCAACGGAGGATCCGAAAGAGTTGATCCGATTTACTTACCTGCCCTGCCATCGTCTTACTGCCATCTTGCGTAGGCTGATCCCGTTCTTGTTCGCTCTTCAAAGTGGCATGCGCCAATTCGCCTCACTTTGGGCCTTATTCACCATCCTCAACTCATGGATTATATTCAAGGCCACCCGGAAACCTCTTCACCACATGACACCCAAGTACGTCCGCCGTGAATGAATGAATGAAGAGGCGAAGTTCGTGTGCAGGAGAATGAAACGTCTCTAATTACGGCCATATCGCTATCTTTCAACCGATTTTAGGATCGTTTACAAGTGGTTTTGGGTTATCTATCAGATTTCCTATGTCAGTGGAATCATCGGCTACTTTATGATGTTCTTGACGTTCATGGGATTCGGCGTTCCTGAAGTCAAGGAAGGCGAGGAGCCCACGAGCTCGGGCCTGATCTCCTGGGGATTGACATTCTTGTCGTACGGAATCTATTTTGGGTAAGAATTCGTGCTTTGCACTTGCTCCACTTCCCAGGACCATAAACATCGAGCCATTTGAACGTTCTCTAACTAGCTTTTTGCTCTGCTTCATCATTTCGATTGCACACGATATTTTGGATGGGCGGAACGAACAAACAGCATTCTGGGTCGTGATTTTGTCGAATTCTGCACTGAATCAATGGCCTCGACACTGGGCTACTACACCAAGGAGGGATTTCCTCGTAAGCACCTGCGTCTGGGTGTCTGCGCGATCTGTGGAATCCATGTCTCGAATGCCATTAGCACCATCGACGCCCATGGACACCTACAGCCCCCAGTGATTCTTCAGCCCTCAGCGAATGGCGTACCGGTCGAACCCAGTATCAAACTGAACTGTGGACACGAGTTCCATGAAGAATGCATTCGTGGATGGTGCTTGATCGGCAAGAAGGATATGTGCCCGTACTGCAAGGAGAAGGTCGATCTGAGGGCGTTCAAGACCAATCCCTGGGACACGACTCAGCAGTTGTATTTGAACCTGCTGGATGCGTTGAGATATATGATTGTATGGCAGCCAGTGATTATGGGACTCGTGCAGTTTGGATTCTATATGACGGGACTCAAATAAAAGAAGTCGACCGATGGACTGTCGGCATCGTTATTGTCCTTGTCGTGGCTCCACTCACCCACTCATTCACTGGCCTTAGAGTTATCCTAGTCAAATGTAATGTAATAAACGTAATGCCTATCTTTTGTTGCTTCTGACAGGTGAAAGCTTCCAGTGTAGCATGACGACGAAATGAAGGGAGGGAAGAGAAAGGAAGGCACGGGCCATACTTGACGCAATCCATAAAAGTGCTTAGAAAAATGATCATTTCCTCTCTTTTTCCTTCTTCAAAAACAACTTCCTCCATACTCCTTTCGACGACACCATCCCTCGCTACAACTAACTCTCTGACCAGCCGCCCCACAAAGCAACAGCATCAACAAGAACAACAGACTGTCCCAGGCAACCATGGAGTTTTTTTTTAAGTATCACCGTGAACCCAGGACGGAGAAGGAGCGTGAGGCCCTTTATGGCCGTATCCGACAAACTGCTTACTGGCTCGACAGCTTCGCAACCGTCGGCGGACTCAACGTTGGACTCGAGGCGATCGTCGGCTTCATTCCTGTCATCGGTATGGTTTTTTGCATTCTTAAATGAACTGGGCTAAATGCCATCGCAAGAGCGCCAAGGGTATTGCTCCACTCAGCCCAGCTCTGCTCTGCTCAGCAGCGAAACAATTTCCGTTTTAATCTGACGCGCATCTTGGCAAAAAAAACCCCCTCGTGTTGTTTGATAGGTGACTTCCTGGGGCTATTCGCATCGCTATATCAAGTGTACCTCTGCTATCTCTTCAGGATCCCTCTGCATCTAATGATGGTAAGGCCTTCCCTTCCCTTCCCACTCCCCTCAGAAGAGTGCCCTTTCGATACAGCCATTACGATCAGAATCCTTAGCTCACCGCACAGAAAACGACTGTCGGCTCCACGATGACGCGCAATGCGGTCATCAAATGGACCCTCCGAAAACGGAGCTCGAGCGAGCGAACGAGCGAACGAACAAGCGTGCTTGTGAACAACTGCAAATTGTTCTGGCCAACTGACATGATCTGTATTGTCAATGTCAATCGTAGCGCATGCTGGTGAACATCATGATCGACTTCGTTGTTGGTCTGATCCCATGGATCGGAGATATCCTCGACATCTTCTACAAGTCCAACCAGTACAACCTTACCATTCTCACAGTAAGTTCACTCAAGTGAAAGAGAGCGACCCTTATAAGGTCCTTGAGCACACCAAGCAACACTTCAAGTTGCTTGGAACAAGAAACTGAGCTGCTTCTTGTTTCTTTGATTGACCGATGGTGTCCTCTCCTCCCATAGAATTGGCTGCATGAGAACCGTTTAGTGGACGTGCACAAGTACAATAGGGAGCACCCACTCGGTAACGGAACCGAACCCAGCGGACGAGCGCACACCCGATCGAGGGCTGCTGCAAGCGGCATCGGCATCGGTGGAAGCAGATTTTAAAGGACAGAAACCCGTGAACCCAAAAGAGCATCGTCATGTCCTGATCAAAGAACTGATGTATCCGTCATGCCATGTCTCTATAATAATAAATCTTTGTCGCCTTCAATGAGTCTTCAATCCATGGGGCTGCTTGCTCTGATCGCTTGTGCATTTGCAGCCCGTGGCGGTGGATATCCTGAATCCCTTGCTCTTTAACTCTTTCGCCTACTATGCTCCTGATTGAGTCCACTGGTCTTTCCGTTCCTGGTCCCAGGATCATGGCATTAATCACGGACGAAGACGCGGATTTTTTTTTTATCAAAACATTTATTAGATTAAGTTTTGGTTTTTGTATGTGCAAGCCCATTCCAGAGTCCCATGGAGAGGAAACAGGGACCCCCAAATGGGTGAATGATAGTTGATGTGGGATTCTTTTTTTTTTCTCATGAAACTCGTGAGAGTGGTGGAAGGAAGTGTAATGGTAACAAGTAATATAAACACAGAAAAAAAATGAGGAACTACAAGAAAGGGAGGGTCTATGTGAAATGAAAGAAGGGAGAGCCAGCTTACTTCTTGGCGTACATGGCCTTGATGGCAGCGGTCGAGTAGGACTTGGGGCGCTCCAAGGGCATGCCCAAGGCACGGTCCCAGATCAACTGGGACAACACTCCCAAACCACGGGAGACACCGAAGAGAACGGTGTAGAAGTCCTGCTCAGTCAAACCGTAGGCGGAGAGGAGGACACCCGAGTGGGCATCGACGTTGGGCCAGGGGTTCTTGGTCTTGCCGTGCTCGAGCAAGATGCCGGGGGCAACGGTGTAAATCTGGGAGACGAGCTTGAACAGAGGGTCGTTGGGGATGTGCTTCAAGGCAAACTCACGCTGGCAGGTGTAGCGGGGATCGGTCTTGCGGAGAACAGCGTGGCCGTAACCGGGGACGACCTGGCCAGACTTGAGGGTCTTCCAGACGTACTCCTTGATGGTCTCGTCCGAGACGTCCTTGCCACCGAGCTCCTCGCGCATCTTGGTGATCCAGCGGAGAACCTCCTGGTTGGCGAGTCCGTGAAGGGGACCAGCAAGACCGTTCAAACCGGCCGCGAAGGAGAGGTAGGGGTCAGAGAGAGCTGAGCCGACCAAGTGGGTGGTGTGGGCTGAGACGTTACCACCCTCGTGATCAGAGTGGATGGTGAGGTAGAGGCGCATCAACTCAACAAATTCCTTGTTGTCGCCGAATCCGAGGAGGCTGGCGAGGTTGGCACCGAAATCCTTGTTGGCGTCGATGGGGGCGACCTTGGCGCCATTTCTGAAGACGTTCTGGTAGATGCGTCCAGCAATGTTGGGGAGCTTGGCGATGAGGTCCATGGAATCCTCGAAGGTGGTGTCCCAGTACTCCAACTTGCTGACGCCCTTCTGGTAGGCCTTCGCGAACTGAGACTCGTGCTGGAGAGCAGTGACGGCGAGGGAGAACTGGGACATGGGGTGGAGGGTGTTGGGGCAGCGGTCGAGGAGGTCCTCAACGAAGCTGGGGAGGGTGGCACGGGCAGCCCACTCGGCCGAAAGACCCTTGACCTGCTCTTTGGTGGGGATCTCACCGGTGACGAGGAGCCAGAAGAGGGACTCGGGGAGGGGCTCGCTGCCGCCATCGGCAGCTGGGAGATCGCGCTGGCACTCGGGGATGGTCTTGCCGCGGAAGCGGATACCCTCCTCGGCATCGAGGACGGAACCCTCCCAGATGAGACCCTTGATGCCGCGCATACCACCATAGGCCATGTCGACGGTAGTCTCACCCAAGACCTTGTTACCGAACTCAGCCTTGACCTGCTTGACCTCCTCGCGCTTCTCGGGGATCAGCTCACGGAGGCGATCCTTCAAGCCCTGTTGTCGTAAAAACGGACAAGCGGAGACGAAGGTCAGTATAAGAAAGGACGACTGATAGGCGGCAGACATAGGATCCGACATGGGATGTGGTATGATAAGACAGCGTGGAAATGGACAGTAGTGGACATCACGATCTGCCTTGCCTATCGCATCGCCCCACATCATATCGCATCGTCGTGTGGGAGATAACCCGATGGTGTGTCTAAATCCTTCCCGCACCCCATACATATAAATCATCATACGTTCATACATCAGGTGGTCCCACCCAACCCAGCTCAACAATGAACGCCTTTCCTCTCCCCCTTGTCCAAAGAGAGCCATTATGCGGAGGTACTCAGCCAAAAAGACTTTGGACGATAGTGCGTCCTCAATACAACTTCCGATCATCCTGTACCCTTTTTTTTTCCCCCTCCGCTCTCTTTTTATTTTTATTTTTTTGGGTGGCTGACAGTCCCCCAAGAACTTCGATCCACAAAGCGCACCAGCACACACACACACAGTTCCACCGCAAGCTGTAGCGTTCGCTTTCCCCCCTTCACTTTGTTCATTTGGTGGGAGGACAGCAGCTTGGTGATTTCAACCGCTGGCATATCCTGTGGTGCGGTTTGCATATGCTAGCCCCAAACAACGAAACATGCCCAGCCAGTCGGTGTATCGCATGGTGTGATGCACAAAGCTCGTCTAACACTGTAGCGTAACATCTTGCCCTCCCTCTCTCTGGCTCGTTTTTTTCTTTCTTGCTGCCTTCTTTTCAATCGCTTTCATATTCCTGATAGATGACATACCCCGCAAATCCTTCTTTCCTTGACGAAATTGAAGCGATCGCGATTTCAGATATTACAACACGAAAAAAAAAAGACACGCACCTGGGGCTTGGTGGAGTAGGCGCGAATGGCAGAGGCAGCGATGGTGTTGTGGCGGGTAGCAACCTGGTAGAATAAGAATAACGCGTTAGTAAGGTATACTCTTTCTCAAGAACACGAACTTTTGACGAAGTGTCCGAATACTGTGTTCCGGTCAAGAAAAAAAGAAAAAAAGAAAAAATTGATCCGCAAGCGCAATAAGATGCCACGACAAGCAAGCAAAGCAGGCGACAGGGAAGGTCTCTGCAATTGCGCATGCGAGTTAGAGGAGGGATGGGATAGTAAGGCGAAGCAATACCTTGGCAAGGCCAGGGAGGCGGAAGGCAGCACGGAGAGAAGCCATGGAGGATGAAATTGGAGTGGAGGGGAAGGAAGAGTGGAGAGAGAAGAGTGAGATGAGAAAGAAGGAAAGAAGGAAAGAAAGAAGAAGAGAAGAAGAGAAGGGAAAGGATTGACCAAATGAAATACTCTCTTCTTCCGGTAGCCGGTCTTGCTGCGTCGGCCTTTCTTTTTCTGATCCATGTCCGTTTTGTGTTTGTTTTTGTTTACTGTGCATTTGCATGTGGACTCTGTAATGTAATGAAATACAATTCAAAGTAAACATAAAAACAGAGCGTTGTCGCGCTTGTCCTCTCTTGATAAGGACCGGGCACACGTCCTCTAATGAATCGGATGGGTATTCTATATCCAAAGTGACGTACGGCCGCCTCGTTTTTTCTGGGGTGCAATTGCCGTGCAGGTCGTCGCCATCTCAGAAACAGAAATGGGCGATAAACCCCAGCTAGCCCGTTCAAGACTGTGCCGGTCGGGCAATCGGCACAACCTCGCCGATGCCATCATCTCACCCGTCCCTCATTGCGTTGGAGGAAAAAAAAAGAAAGTCCTCCACGCAAATAGCGCACATTCGTACCCATCCTTCTGGCTGAATAGTTGATCCTTCTCTCCACTCCACCCCACTCCACCCCACTCAGCCATTGTCTCTTCGCACTTGCCCCCTGTCCCCCTGTTGGATGGATCACAGCTCGAGACTCGGGCTGCGATCTAAACAGGGTCATTCAACGCAACACAGCACAGCTTGACACTCGACCTGAAGCCGACGTTTTTGCTTTTCTCGCCCCGCACTTTCGTTTAACAATCTCCTTCTGTTTCCTCAGAGTCTTCATTCCGTGGACCTCCTCCCTCGCTTCTCCCCACAATCCACTGTTCTTTTCTTCGTACAATGGACCCTTACAGGAGACCGGATCAATCGCCAGCAGTAATGTACATAATGGACTTTGCCGAAGATTTAGGATTAGGATTTGTCAAGAGGATTTTTTACCACCCTCCAGGAAGGAGGTTCAGCAGCGTTGCACAAGGTGCATTTCGGTTCTCTACTTCTGTCTCTGCCCCACCCCGCAATTGACCAAATACGGCACACACACTTCCACACAACAACCGTTTATCTCACGGTTGGAATTCCACTCTCCTTGACACTTTGACCGCACACACTAGTTTGCGTGTGACAAAAACGTGCGAGAACCCGAGGGGGATCCTGATAAAGTGCAAAAGACAAAAAAAAAAAAAAAAAGACCGTGGAAAACTTCAAGTGAAGCTTTCGTCCGATCCGAAATCAAGTCGCAGCACGCTTCCGTTGACAATAATGCGATCTATCTGCTGTTCGTAGTCTATCACAACATCATGTACTGCTTACCCATGAAAGGAACAACGATTCTACCCGACCTGAACACCTCGTGCTAGAAAACCATACGTAGAAAACATGCACGATGAACAATAGAGAAAAAAAAGATTGAATACACATTCCATTCATTCGCTCAGCAAAGCAAAAATAATCATCCACGCCCACGTACCAAGAACTCAAATCGCAAGAGCGGGGTCAATGACCTCAAAAGGCAATGCCGACTAGATCAAGCCTTCTGATGTTGTCGAGATGGGAAGATAAGAGCCGTGCATCAGGAAGGAACTCAGAGAAAACTTTCCTGGGGCGGATAGATCGAAAAAAAAAATCCCTGACAGCTGCATTTCATGTGGAAAGGACGACGTTCTTGGTTTTGATACGCTGGAATGCGAAAATAATATACTTCGTTCTCGTTCCTCAAAATAAACACCCATCTCCTTCTCTTCTTTCCCTTGCTTCGCCTTGAACTGCAAAACGGCATCCAGGGACGATCTTTTTTTTGCTCAACACTTGGACCGGACCCATCAGAAAGCACGAATGTCCATTTCTCGCCTTTTACCAGGAAGGACGCTGCATCGGCTGTTCTATCTGAGCAAGCACGTCTTGTGAACATTTCGTGAGGGTTATAAAGTAAACCGACAGGATGTCGATTTTCTATATATCGCTTGCGACTGTATTTTCTTCCCACGTGTTCAGCGGTCCCTGAAGAACGAAATTGACCCGCTGCTGGCCTCCTGCATTAGATTATTATGCCACCGAACGGCTGATCGTGAGAGAAGAACAATGCGCCGACTTCTGCCCACACAACAGCGATATGTCGCTTTTGCTGATCAGAAACAGGCAATGGAAACAAGGTCATTGTCTTGACCACAATGGATTCACTACCAGTCCTCACCAGGACGATGCAGGCAAGTCCAACCGGATCTCGTTGTTCTTTGTTAGCCTTTAATAGAAACATAACTGCTGAAGCTGCAAACGCGATAATTTATCTTTTTAAACGTTTGCATGTCATAAAAGTCTTGCACTTTGTGAAGCGTCTTGGGGAACTTTGAGGATTCGATGCAACTCGAGATCGTTTCCTGTGTCATCGTTGTTTGCAGGTTCCTCGTTGGTCATTTGGGAATCGGAAATGGTTTGCCTGGGGCTCAATGCTTGCAGGCCAACAATTGGAAGAATGGTCTCCGCTCGCTTCATCATAAGGTAGTTTATTCGACTTCAGGACGTCTTTCACCTTGTCCATGACGACTGGGCAGGGGTCTCGGCTATCCGATGGACGGTCCAATCCTTGTACATGTACATAAAGTACCCGACCATCACAGCGCTTGCCTGACAGAGTTATAGAGCAAAAGCAGCGAAGACGCGATGATCAACAGGAATGGATGAAGGATCATGCGAAAAGGATAAATTTTCAGTTAACACGTTACGACTATGGTTCATCCTCCGCTGTTTTATCTCTATAGGGTATTTAGAGCAAAGACGACTGTCTAAAGTACTGTTCGGCCGAAAGTCGTATGGCGGTCCGACACAAACTCAAGCTGAGGATCGTACGGTTGCTTGGCACACATCCAAAAGAGGAGATCTTATCACTAGGACTCCTGTGAGCAGTTTATAACAAATATGCATGGATAGGCGTTGACGACGCGGAAGCGTTACAGGAAATACTGTCAATTGTATCGAGTGTGAGCCAGTTCAGGATACGAACGTGATCTATGGATTCAGAAGGAAAGGTAAAGTCAAGTCCGTGCAAGGATGCTCCGGATGAGCATAGAGAATCTACCGAAAGGATAGATCTTTAGATAAGTGGCCTATCCATAGCGGAACATTTTCTGCATGTTGTGCGGTGGAGATTGTTCGTAATAAAGACCATGGTGTTTGCAAGACAGCAAGCCTGTCCACCATCCCAAGAGATTACGGGAGCCATTATGTCGCAGAACAATTCGGCGATGGAGTTTGATGCGTTGGCACCCAAAGCTGGCTGGCTGAGGAAGGATTCGAAGCTGATGGTGGTATCGGGCAAGGAACTATGGTCACTGAAAGCATGAAGTCTCAGCGTGCACGTATTCACGCACGCACGGACCTCGGTCATGCTTTCCTCCGAACTCGCATGCACTTCCTCCCACACTCTTCTCGGCTGTCTTCAAACACATTCACGTCTACCTTATCCGCCTTGACATTACCAAAGTAATCCAGAGGCTGAATTTTGAACTATTGATGGGTCATATACGCTTACGCGTATTTCCCTCGCGCCCGTGCCTTGTGCCCGTGTTTGTTCCTTTCCGGATTTGATGTTGCCTGTCCATGTGCACACAATTCCTGCTACAATCGGTTGTATTCGCTCAGAAACGTGTGATGCTTGGAGCCGCCACTTGGAAGGCCAGAAGACGGTGAGGGAGTGAGTGGGTGTGTGGCAATGGCCATGATATGTGGGGATAAACGTACCTTGGATAAGAGTTAGAATAGGGATAGGGGTAGAGATGCCCAGATGGGGTACCCTTGTATACGTCGGTGGGTCCAGCTGGTGCCCCAGTCCAATGCTGGAACCATGCGGTTCCAAAATAGTACAGCAACTTGCAGTCTCTCGACGGATGAAAATAAGATGTGCTCACACCTTTTTTTCTTTCTTGTTTTTTTTTTTTTTTTTTTTTTTCCTCTTGGAGTCTTTGTCCATCTCTTCGTCAGGTCCTCTTTCCTTTGCCTGACATTCCATTCCTCTTCAACCTCAACATTCGCCAACTGCGATCACAAGAGAAACACAAAAGGACCAGCAGAAACAGGGGAAAAGGAAATAGGAAACAGCAATAGCAATAGCAACACCAATTGCAGCAAATGGAGAACACGAACTCGGATACGCCCTTGTTGCCCAAGGATAACTACCAACCCGCACCACCAGTGATCCTCCAGGACGACCAGCCCCTCGATGGGTCCATGACCACGACCCTGTCCTTCGAAACTGGCGCCGACACGAATATCGGAGCCACCATGATGGACTCAAACCAACCCGCGGCCCTCACCGACACTCTCTCCTCATTTTCATCTGACTACAGTTACCTTGGCGGCAGCAACAACAACACACTGTCAACCTTTTCTTCTGCGACCTCGACCTCGGGCTCCAGACGCAACTCCATGCAGTTCTCGAAACCGCACGAGGTCAAAGAGACCCTCGATGCCTCTGTTACCCAAAACGAGGATGGCTCAAGACAGCTGAAAAATTACAGCCTCATAAAGGTGATAGGCAAAGGTGCCTTTGGGAAGGTCCACCTGGCCATTGACCCGGAGACCAAGGTCCATTATGTAAGTCTATATTGATTCATTTGCTCTTGTTTTTGTGAACGGGATGTTGGGTTTTGATTATGGAGGCGAATCCAACCTCAATTGAACCATGGATGATGTTTTTCCTTTTTTTTCCCCCCCGCTAGGCTGCTAAAGAGTTCAGCAAATCCAAATTAAGAAAAAAGGATAAGGCCAATTTGTTCAATCTCGGCCCTCGTGGACGAGGTCGTGGTGGTCGAAGAAGAGGCCCAGGAGCAGATGACGCCCCTGGTTTGAGTGCGGGGTCGCCTTTGGACCTGATCCGTGGCGAAGTCGCCATTCTCAAGAAATTAAACCACCCTAACATTGTCCGGCTTTACGAGGTGCTCGATGTAGCGACGGATGACTCCATGTACATGAGTACGCTTTATTTTGCTTTATTTTTCTGTGGAAGGATCGTGGTACTTGCTGAACAAAAAAAAAAACGACACGGGAACACTGATGAGTAAAAACTATTCGTGTTCTAGTTTTTGAATATTGCGAGCAAGGAGCTCTCATGGAGGTTTCTCTGACTGAGGAGTACAAGGCCGCCTATGGGGATGCAGAGTGTCGCAGCGTCTTCCGACAGATCATCCTTGGAATCGAATATCGTAAGGATCTTACCATATGGCATATGGTGGATGGTCCGTTGTCCTTGATGAACAAACTTCACTTTGAATTAACTATCTCTCTCTTTCTTCCTCTTTGTATCCATATATCCACGTGTCTATCCCTGCTAGTCCATGAGCACGGCATCATCCATCGCGACATCAAGCCCGATAATTTGCTGCGATCCCACGGTGTTGTCAAAATTGTCGACTTCGGTGTGTCAGAGATGTTCGACAAGAAGGGTGACGACATGACCAAGAAATCCGCTGGCAGCCCTGCGTTCATGGCGCCCGAACTCTGTCGTCCTGATCATGGCGAGGTTTCTGGAAGGGCGACGGATATCTGGTCGATGGGCATTACGCTTTACTGTTTGAGGTACGGTCGTTTGCCCTACGTCTCCGAATCGATCCTGGAAATGCAGCGTGTGATCCGGGAGGAAGATTTTGAGATTCCTGAGGAGAAGGACCCACGGTTTGAGAGCCTGATCAGGAAGTTACTGGAGAAGGATCCAAACAAGCGTATCACCATTGACGAACTGAGGGTAAGTAAGACCTGGACAATGGTATACCAGCCTTAATTATCGCTTACACTAATTTCGTTATTATCGATATACATGTATGATCTACAGAATGATCCTTGGGTAACTGATGATGACAAGTGGCCATTGATGAGCAAGGAAGAGAACACGGCTACTGCCGTAACAAACATTACCGAAGCCGAGCTCAAGGGCGCCATTCGAAAGATCAACAGCCTAGCAGCAGTGGTATGTCCCTACGCTCCCCCAAGTACCCTGGTGTTGGATCATCTATGCACTTTCAGGCTAGAACGACTACTTACGGCGATTCTTTTCTTGTGTTCAATGATGCTTCATAGTTCAAATTTATCTCGAACCTAAAGGCAAGCACCAGGAACTCCGCATCGCGCTCGGCCGTCACTTCCCCCTCTACCGCAGGCGACGTCCAGCATATTGGTAGCAGCGCCAAAGAGGATGAGCGCATGCAGGATGCGGATGAGGGAGTCTTGGCCAATGCAAAGGTACTCGTACCAGCTAAGAATGCCGAAGATCCCACCATGACCGCCATTATCGAAATGCAGGACCAAGGCCTGAAGAATGTCTCGCTGGAGGATATTAAACCCGACGCCGAGACCAAGGATGGGCAGGAGCATCAATTAGCATCCGTTACTATCCCAGCGCAGGAGGCTGAAGAGGTGACAGCAGCAGCGCCAATATCGGAGGCAACTGAGACCAAAAAGTTGCAGGAGGTGACTGCACAGGCAGGTCAGGCGGAAGAAAAGGAGGAGCCGGAGGGTTACGAGGTGTGTGATTTCGAGACGGGCATGTGCTATTGGGTCCCTGCCAAGGAGAAGAGCAAACCCGCGGAATCCGAGCCGACGCCAGCTGCTACAGTCGAACCGAAAGAGGCAGAGAAAACTGAACAGGCAGAGGTGGCATTGGAGCAGCAAGATGCTCCTGCGATTCAAGTGGCATCAAAAGTAGTGTCGGAGGAAACTAAAGAATCGCAGGTTGACACAGCAACGTCTACCACCGCATCGGTTGCACCTGAGTCTCCTCGGACCGTATCTCCTGGTCCTGGACAGAGGAATGCGAGCACACCATCGGGAGACACATCTCCTGCACCATCACTGGCGCCTGGACCACGGTTGGTGGGCAAGTTGTCAAGGGATCGGTTGGCGATGTTTGAAAAGAGCGCTTAAGCAGGATTCTGTGGCCCTGTTGGATGGTGTTTTGTTTGTTATATCATCTTGTCAACCATAGTAAAGAACGAAAAGCAAGAACATCTTCAGGATCGACGGCTTGATATATTAATACATGGTCATCTCTTTATTCAAGACCAGAAGAGTGAAGGCGAGGTAAACCACTGAAAAGCCGTGAGGACGAAATTGCTTCGCCCACTTGTCTACCGACGGCCTCAAAGATGACCAGATTACTCGCAGCTGCATCACCATCGATAAACCTTCGCCTCTTTTCGAGCTGTCAAAATTGTACTCCTCAAAGCCGACTTCTGTTCTCTATATGACGACGAGGAGCAAGCGCCGGGGAATCTTTCCCAACCTAGCCCATCCTGATCTTTAGAATTCATGATTTGGATTTCTTTATAAAGAGGACCCAACTGGAAGCATTGGCCAACACCAAAGAAAAAAAAAAAAAAAGGAGAGAGAGAGAGTAAAGGATAAATCTACAAGTGGGAGATGGTGATGATGAGGAGTGTCGAGCCACGCAGGCTACATCAAATAAATATGAACAGGTATATAAATGAAATGAACAAAATGCAAGAAAGGAATAATAATATAGTACTATGTATGAATAATGGTGTGAAAGAATCTGGGTTTTGTTGGGAGTTGAATCGCGCGGCATAGAGCAGACATATGTTTCTTCTCTTGCTTTTTTTTTTGTGGTGCTGCGGGCAAGACAGGCGATCGAGAGAAAAGGAAAAGCAGTTGAGGCTTCTCTCTTTCCTTTCTTGGTGCTGCATGTAGATTGTTTCCCTTCTTCTTCTTCTTCTTCTTCCTTCCCCTTCCTCGTCCTCAGATATTCGCGTCGTAACTTAATACAAGACGCGGGTAATGATATTCGTGGGCGTCTCGCTCACGCGTCTGTAGATTTCCTGGATCTGCTCCTGTGTCACATCCGAGATATCCGCCATCAGGTACGCGATCTTTCCCTTCGAGTCCGAGAACTGCTTGTCCACATTATGGTCCGCCAAAATATCCGTGATCTGTCTCAACACTCCAGGAACATTCAGATGTGTGTAGCACAGCCGGATCGAGTTCTCCTCCTCGTACCGGATCGCACGCAGATCAACCTCCGGATAGTTCACCGCTCCGATCGACGTGCCGTTGTTGATAAACTTGATCAATGCCTGTGAGACCTCGACTCCGATCATCGACTGGGCCTCCTCGGTCGAACCACCAATATGGGGAGTCAGCAACGTGTTGGGGCAACCAACCAGTTCAGACTCAAAGTAAGGACCATTCGCGGCAGGTTCCTTCGGGAAGACGTCAACGGCAGCTCCGCCGAGGTGTCCAGAGCGGAGAGCCTTAGCGAGAGCGGGGATCTGGACGATGGTGCCGCGGGAGGCGTTGATGAGGAAGGACCCTCGCTTCATTTGACGAAGCTCGTGTTCGCCAATCATGTTTTTGGTCTCCTCGGTTTCGGGGACGTGGAGGGTCACAAAGTCCGAGGATTCGAGGAGGCTAGCGAGGGTCGTGACCTGCTTGGAGGTACCGAGAGGCATCAATGGGACGACGTCGTAGAAGAGAACGCGCATGCCCATGGATTCGGCAAGGACCGAGAGCTGCGAACCAATGTGGCCGTATCCAACAATTCCTGGTTGAGGACGGAGGAAAAAGATGAAGTAGCGGTAAGTATATCGCGCGTGTCATGGATATGTTGTTGTCGCGTTGTTTGTTCGGTGTGTTGATGTCGACCTGTTACCAAAAAAAATCTTATCTCTGCGTGTATACACATCAAAAATCGCTCGTGCGCTGTCATTTTTACACATCACCTACCGAGAGTCTTGCCACGGATCTCATAGCAGTTCGCCGAGACCTTCTGCCAATTGCCTTGGTGCATCTCCTTGTTACGATCACCCAGCTGTCTGGACAGCAACACGATCTCGGCTATGACCAGTTCTGCGACCGAGCGCGAGTTGGAGAAGGGCGAGTTGAAGACCGCGACACCCTTCTGAGAGGCATGCTCCAGATCAACTTGATTGGTACCGATACAGAAGCACCCGATCACTCCGAGCTTCTCGGCGGCATCAAGGACCCTCTTGGTCAGCTTGGTCTTGGAGCGGATACCGATGCAGTGGATATCGCGGATCTTTTCAACCAGGACGTCTTCCGACAGGGCCTTGGCGTGTGTTTCGACCTGCGTAGGAAAGAAGAAAAAATATATGAAAAAACGAATTGCGATGTTTCAGTAAATTGGTTCTAGAGAACAGCGAAAGCTGCTACTGTTGGCAATGAGCAGAGAAAAGACATGCAGTCGATTTAGTACCTGATAACCTTGTTCTCGGAGGGCAGAAACGGCGGTCTCGTTGACGTTCTCGAGCAAGAGGATCTTGATGTTGGCGGTGTTGAAGGGCTTGAGGATCTTGGCTTTGTTTAGTCCAGCAACTGAGCCCCTGCGCTCATGTGAGACCTCGACACCGCCGCTGGGCATGCTGGGCACAGGTGTGGGAAGAACATTGTTGTCGTTCTCCGAAGGTGTGGACGGCGTGAAAGAGGGCATGGTGGCTCCTGTTGTGATCGGTGTGATGTGGAGGGAGAGATATGCGGAGAGAACTGTTAGATGTGGAGGGAAACCGACAAGAAGAGTCGAAGGATGGCTGTGGCGGATAGATGGTGGGGTTGAAAACAAAGAAGAGCAAGAGGCAATTGAAGTAAATGGCCGTTGCCTTTTTAAATGTCTTTGAAAGATACAAAAAAGACGCTATTCAATGGATAGACGATTTTCTTTATTTTTTTTTTTTTCTCAAATCAAATGGCTTACAAGAACACTAAGCAATAAAAATAAAAATAAAGATGGATGCGCCTTTTTGTCATGCATTATCATTGCTGGCTGTTCACGATGGATGACTACAAGAGTACTTAAGCATCATCTCCCTTGTTCCTTTTGAGATAGCTGCAGTCGCTCGCCGTCTTTTTCTATGTGTTCGTTTTGAGTGAACAGTTTTGTCCGCAAAAGCAATCGAGCACGTCTCCCATATAAGGATGCCCTATGTATATCCAGAATTATTTTTTTCTTTTACTCCAATATCATACGATACACTCGTCGTTGCCCTTGTCCTCCTCACTCCTGATCGCTGCTCATTGTTCATCGCCACAATCGCCGCAGGGGCTCCCTCCCGTCTTGGATCATAGAGGTTATCATGGCTGGTTTTATTTTGCGATAACGCATAGCGCAGATCGAAACGCCATTCGTGACTGGGTTTAGTTCATCATTTCAAATCGCCAGGGGAACCTGGACTGGAGGACTGTGCCCTGAAGAACCACGATGAATCATATCAGGAGCAATTTGTGTCCTTTGTACTCGCCCATTAGATCGACTACTCGTAAGCGGTCTTGCTGTTTGCTCATGGGTCTTTCCAAGGCGATATATACAGCGAGGGTTCAGCATGACTGACCATCCCACGCCTTGAATGGATGACAAAAAACGATCGAGTGGGCGCCGGGAATGCGATGTTTCAATAAAGAGCAGTGTATTTATACAGACATTTTTCCCCAGGTCTTTCCTTTTTCGGGCCAACGGAGCAGGGTGCCCTCGTCGAGCAGAGATAAGAAAAAAAAAAAAGTGCTCTGAAGCGAATCTCCGCAAACAGGGTGACGAGGCACAAACAACCCGTCCTAGGACACAAAGACTCCCGACTACGCAAAGAAACCTCATTAGGCGGACCCCGCATCTTTTTCTGTCCTATGACTCTTTGGATACCAGCATTGACATGTGCTTTCGCCCAGTCTACTCGCTCTCCTTTCTTGTCCTCTGCAAGTTTAGTTTATAGACAAGCGCATGGGTGCTGTGATCTCGTTAATAAACACGCTTTCGCACGTTTTTTTCATTGCAATGTGTCCAGATCGAAACGAAGTCTACACACCCACACAAGGCATACATGTCTATATTGTCTATATCGAGAAAAACAAAAACTTTTTTTTTAATTGTTCACTTCTATCGTTACTCTAACTAAGGAAAGCAAACGGTCTATGGTACAAACAACTTTTTTTTTTTTTTTTTGCTAGTTCTTTCGAAAAACGAGGTATTATACATTTTTTTCTTTTGGCTTTTTGTCAAGAACCAGATATACAAAAATATGCGTAGGAAAAATGCGTTCAAACACTCAGTCCAGCCGCTCCTGTCGCTGCCGTAATGCTCACCGCCCCATCCACCAACGACCCACGTCTCATCTCCTGCTGCCTCTCCTTCTCCGCCTCCTTCAACCCCTCACCTTCCTGCTCTTCGTCCCCCTGTCTCGTGGATGTCCCAACCACACAATCCAACGGCCCATCATCCAACCCAGTCGCCACCGAAATCGGGGGCCACATCTTCAAACGTCTTTTTTCGTCTTCCTCTTGTGTAAGACCTTTAGCTACCCCAAGTACCGGCGCCGACGGCGGACCAGTCAAAGACATACAGCCCCTTGAAGCATCTAAAGGCCCGCAGCCAGAGTCCCAGTCATATCGAGTACTCTCCGTCAGAAGCGCAGGTGTACTGCTTCGAGAGCCAGCATGAAGATGATGGCGAGTGTGAAGGTGTGGGATCTGGAGTGGATGAAGCTGCTGCCGATGTCCTTCCGCGAAAGCTGTCCCTACGGCAGGCAGCGACGGTACCGGCGAAGGCGGTCGAACAGAACATGTTGTACTTGATATACACAGAGGGTCCGTGGGTATATTACCATCTTGCTCCTGCTCCTGCTCTTGATCCGTGCTGCTGTCCTGGAGATTGAGTGTCACATATCCATCTCCAAGCTCCTGCCGAAGCCTAGGATGTGCGAACTCAAGCTGCAGGCTGCCGTGTCGGCGCTGTCGGAACGATTTCTGAGGTTGCGGTAAGACCAATGGCACCTTGTCGCTATCCTCTATTTCCCCCACTGATCTACCTTTCGTCCATACTGCCGCCGCTTCAGCTGACGCTACTGCTGCAGATGGTGTAGCAGATGAGTGTAGATGCATGGAGCGACCCTTATTTTCGAGGACGGTTGCCTCACGTTTCATTGTCGAGATCATAGCTTCCTGCTGATCGCGTAGACATGTCGACAGAGAGCGGCCAGAGAGCGAGCGCTTGATCTTCCGAATGGCATGATGGCGGTGGTGATGGTAGAGAGAACCTGGGCTGTCGGTATTGGTCGAGTGGCGGAGACGCCGGTGCGGGTGTGGAGGGGGGCGCTGCGGTGTATCGTCCAGGATCACGACTCCAGCAGCCACTATGTAGTTTTAAATGCAGAAAAGAAGCATAATCGTTAGCATCGTCTGAATACGAACTAGGAAACGAGCATATCGCTTCATTAGAGAAGCACTGTACCTGAGAGGCGACGGCCAGGGGCAAGGTGTGGTGGAAGGGGAGTTGAAATCCTCTGTTGCAAATCCTTCATCTGTTGCTCTGCACTCTCGACACTCTGCGCAACATCCGCATCCACTGCTGTCATGGTCATGTTCTCCATAGCCACACAAGGCTCCATCTTCTCCATCTTCTCCATCTTCTCCATCTTCTCCTTCAACTCCTTCAACTCCCTCTCCTTCTCCACCTCAATAGTCGCCTTCTGCAACATCCACTGCTCGCGATTGCTTATCAAATTGGTCAAGAACGGCGCTGCCTCTGGCAAGAACTCGACAAAGCTTTCGAAATATGGTCGGACCACAAAATCTCCAAATCCCAGCGCGATCTGCGCCTGGTTAGACTGATCGCGATCCATATTCGGCGAAACCGGCAGCTTTTGGGCTTTCTCAATATCTCCCTGCCGGAAGAACTCTTGAACAACCAGATCCGACCACCGCTTGCAGAGCTCCCAGGGCTTAATCGCGTTGGAGATGTCTGCAGCATGCAGCAGGCAGTTTGCAAACACCTGGCGCAGTTCAGGAGTCAGATCGGATGGTAGACGAGCGGCATTAGCGAGGACACTGTGGTTCGTCTGCGTGGAGCCCTTTGAGCAGGCCGAGTCGACTGAGGATGTAGAGGAGATAGAAGAAGCAGAGGACTGCCGGCGGTGGTGTCGGGCTATTGGACATTCGAGCCGCGCGTGCATGGCTCGAACTTGTGCTGCTGTTACCTCACCATTTGCGCTACTGGGAAGGTGGTTATGATGGCAAGGACTGGGCAGAGTCGGTGATGGAGGTGCACTCATATCTGAATCCGTGTCCGATTCGGTCTCTGTGGCCGAGGCGGCATCTTCGCTATCAGAGTTAGCTCTTGAAGATGTGGGTGTGGATGTGAACTCGATGAGGGAATTGAGGTTATTGAGCATGTCGTAGTGGAAGGACATGTCTGTGGCCATGATGGCCTTGATCATCGACTCCTTCATGCTCTCCTCCGTTGCGCGGTGGCCCTCGGGGAGGGTTGCGGCGGGAGATTGGGCAATGTTGCGGAACAAATTGTGTTTCTGGACGAGATCCATCGCAAGCGAGCACGAGTACCTCTCAAGGACGGATGCCTCTCCGAATTGGCGGACGAGTTCTGTTTGGGCATTGACCTGGAACAGGTTGTTCAGGCCGGGCTAAGTCGTTTGTCAATAGCGTGTCAGTGTTAGAATGTAGCAATGAGGCACGAGTAGAACGACCATTCTATTATGAAATGTGTGATGATAACATACGTGTCCGATATCATGGCAGAGACCAGCGAGCAGCAAAGCTGCCATGTCTGGTTTTGACAGGTATTGTGATGCGTTCATCTCGAGCAGCATGTGGTAAAGGATCGAGGTGACATCGGCGGCATGGTAGAAGGAGTGGTAAAAAGTTGCAAGGTAGCCCCGGTCGACGTCGATGATGAAGTCAAGGAGTTCGCTCTCGGAGATATTGAGACATTCGACCAGGCCTAGCTTGATGAACATGCCGAGGATGACCCCGTAGATCTCTGGCAGAGAGTGATTCCAGACATTGAAGCCCAGGGTTATGGGCTGGAACTTGCCAGACACGAATCGCAACATAGTCTGGGAGGGTGGAAGTGAGAGAGGGTTGCAAGGAGTGTGAGTAAGAAGAGTTCGCGTGTAACGGAGTGTGGATGGTGGAAGTATGGGGGTACAAACAACCAATGGCCAACGGATGGAGTGTGGAGATGGTTGCGCACAGATGTTGATCGCCTTTTTGTATATACCAGTATCTGAGGATGAAGAGGAAAGAAAAGAGCGTAGAAGAGTATAGAGGAAACTGCCGCCATAATGTTATTTTAATAGTAATATATATAAAGTATAAGACGCACGATACCACATGGCCGCTGGAACATCGACAGCTCATTGGCTATCCCCCTCCTCTGCTTTGTGCCCCGCACCATTTCTCCTTTCGTTTGTTCGCTCGTTGGCTGGCTGTCCTTGCCCTGGCAACGGCTGGAAACCCGCATATGTATTTTTCTTAATGCCTCATCTTGGCAACATGCGAATGTGGATCCCCTCCTTGGACCGTGGCAAGGTTATCGCATCCGCCCTTTTTTTTTCCTTCAAAAGTCTGTCCCTGAATGGACACAAAATGGAGCAGTAACGACCCATAGCCCGTTGTCTGTAGTTCCGGCTCATTTTAGTTCGCACACACGCCAAAAATAAGAACAGTATCAAAAAAATAGGAGAGAGGAGTTTCTGGTGGTGGGCTAAACAGGGGGAAGAGATGAGGGAAGAAGAGAAAGGGAGGAAGAGACGAGCTGCAGGAGGGGGTTACGTGAACGCATGCCCAAACCAGAAACATGATGCAGCCCAAAGGCGTATTAATATAAGCAATGCGCAGACAAGAGCTAGAAGCAACGGACAAAACGCAGCGCGCTTGTATTTGTGGATGGATCCCATCCTCGGTTCCAATGGCCCTCGGTGATGTTTTGGTGTAACTGAACTAGCATTGTCCTCTTTTCTTTCCTTTATGGATGTCAGACGTAATGTTGGATGTAACGGCCACAGCGCATATCCGCATGCGGTATGATGACAAGAACGGGCAATTGGGTTGGACACATGTTGTAATAGTGTTCAGCCCATACCCCTTGCACTTCACACCCTCACCTTCACGCACTTGGATCCAATTCCAATTGCCAATTGCCAATTGCTTTTCTGCACCTTGTCTCCGTGGTCTCCTTTTAATTTCGCCCGCATAGAGGTATCTCGAGGAAAGGATGCATCAGTAGACAAGGAAGAATGCAGCAGTAGACAAGGAAGGGTGATAGAATGTGCAGGGATATATTAAGTGGAGAGAGGAGGGAGGGTGTAGAACACATGAAAAAGTATATAATAATATTACAAGGATTTCATTCTTCTCTTCGTCCTGGGAGGTTTGAGTGTGCGATTCTCTCATTCCTGTTCGAGCAGTCGATTCCTGAAGAATGTGAATTGCATGCGAGTTGCGATGCCACTTACCCATTCGCAAGTGATGAGGTCGTCGGAGCTCTGCCGGCAGTGCCGAGGAATAAGCATGTTATTATGATCTGGTGGGTGGAAGGAAGGGGTAAGAAATCGAGTTGGGGCAAGACGGTGTAGTTGTCAAGGTCAGTGTGTGAGGTGCCTTGTGCTTTTGTCAATAGAGACAGAGTGTGCTGCAAGGAGGGGTACTGGATGAGACTGAGGATGCAGTTGATGATGATGACGATGATGAGGAGGAGGATTGAGGATGATATCTGTCCATACAGCAACAGGCAAAGAAGTGATGATGGAGAAGGGGCAGTGGTCAGTGTCATTAGTTCAACGAGAGTTTTCCCCGACGATTGGGGAGCGTGCGTCCTTATATGAACGAAAGACTCAAGGTTTTTGCGGTCGCACACTCCGCCTGTGGCCCAAGCATCCAGACATATTGTACACACCCCCAGTCCATCTTTTGCACTCTGTTTGTTGTTTTGTTGTTTTTGTTCATAGACTAACATGAATTGGAGGTGCATGCTGTTTGTCCTTTCCTGTCCTGCCAATATGCATCTCTGCTGCGTGTTGCGACGACTGTGGTAGGTCCGGGGTGCAAGGCTATTTTTTTCTATCTCTATGGTCGATGTCATGCCGTATCAACAGAGGGAGATGTGCTAGCAATATGCATGCTGATGCCCTGTTCTCTGACCCCTTCCATTCGTCCCTCTGTCCTAGTCTTCTTTCGTTGTGCTGTATTTCTCTAAAATGAAGATGTGGTTTTCCTTCGCTACCCATTTATCCTTGTACGATCCATCTGTACCCGACTTTAGGCTCTTTTTTCTCGGCTTATGTGTTGTTGATCATGATGGTGTTGCCTTGCCTTTTTTTGTGTAATGTGTGATCCATCCTATTCCCCTTCATATCTCTCCCACGATCGAAGAGCACAATTGATTTGCTTACGCGGATGTGAACACTTGAACCTCGGAAGATCGTGCGAGAGATGAGGGTAGAAAGGCAATGGGAACATGAATTGGCCGAGGAGCCAAAAGGAAAAAAGATTGGGAATTAGGAAAGATAGGTAGCACTGCAACTGGAGAACCAGGCTGATTCATCTTTCCTTTCCCTCGGAAAATTAACCGTGGTCGGATGAGAATGAATAGGATCATTGTATTGTAACGATATACGAAAATACGGTGTTGTTGCACTAGTGGTGTGAGAAAGAAACACAGCTGATATAGGGACAGATATGAACCATCAAATATGAAGCACCATTTCTCCCATCAAGGCTGTGTAGATCCCTTTCATTCCTGATCGCCGGGATACTTCGCACCCCGCTGTTCGCTTCGTTTCTGGTGACTATTCTTCTTCTTTGAGGTAAGTCTACAGCGTTTGAGGATCAGCAATCAACGGCTGAAAACCCCCCTACTGAGACACATCTCGGATACTCTTCAATGGCAGAGACCCACTCTGACATCTATCGAATGCACGGTAGGCCATGGATTCTTCTCTCCATGCTCCTCATCGTATCTCAACTACCACACTGAATCACAATATTAATCTCTTCTCGTACCTGTATTCTTCAAAGGATATGTTTCGACCTGCTCAAGCGCGCCTGTGGTTTAGAATGTGGACGTTCAAACCTACCCATGTAGATGCTTACGATCAGTCGAAGGCAGAATCTGGACTAGAGTCGTATGGATACGACGCTCTTGACCAATACAGAGCACCAAAAGAAAGCAGGCATTCGTTCCAAGCATATACTATCTTCCCACTACCTTACTCTGTTCTCTCAGACAATTTCCAAAGTTATCTCTATCTCTCCCTCTATCTCTCTCACACACACAAATAAGAAAAAAAAAAGACAGGGGTTTTCCTAGGAAATATACATACCAAGAAGGAAATGACAATAACAAATAGGTACGGGGAGTGCGCGTGAGAGAAGGGCTGATCACAAACACAATAATCGCAACTTTAGGTCGTCGAGAGTCATCAAACTTCCTTTGGAATATGCGCGCCTCACGAGATAGGAGAACGAGGTTCGATAGACACAAACATATGAAGAGATAAAATGAGCATGTGCATAGTCTTCGTGTATGCCTCAGCTCAGTACGCAAAGAACTTATAGCAAACAGTCGACCAGGACCCCTAGCCTGAATGAGGATTAGAAAAGGAGCAATCGAACTAGCAATGAATGGGATATTACGTAAACCCCCCTACCGCGAGGAATGTGCTGGAAGTTGTAGTCCGACAACACTAGCCTACAGTGAAGGATTGACAACCACAAGCCGTGTACTAATGCCAGAGAAGTAAACGGTCTCCTGCCCATTGGTGCATCCGGAGTATATGAGATGCATATTATGGCGCCCATTTCTCGAGCAAGTATATTGATGTTATAAAAATGCAGGAGCTAAATGGAAAAAAAGTGAATCAAAGGCTCTTCCAGCGTATGAGATATATAGAAGAGAGTGTTAATGAAGTAGGCTTGAAGATTTGAGTGTAGGGATAAAGAAAGCTAATTACTTTGCAGCTTTGACCTAAGCATGCGAAGTCCAAATAGAGCACAGGCCAGCTCTCATTCTTTTCATTTTACATGATACCTTTTTCCAGAAATGCGTAAAATAAGGTATTGGTATATCGTCCATGAATGAAAGAAAAAGGATGATGGTATTTAAAGGTATGCCTTGACCATCGGCTGCTACTCAATCACACCTTTTCAAATAGCAGAATGAATCTGGGATCTCATCCAAATAAGCGGACCTGGGGTGAAGAGCTGAAGGATGGACAATACGAGGGTTGTGGTGACATTCAAAAAATGAAGCGGGACAGATTGCGGCATCGCAGAGGGAACCACGCACTGGAAAACAAAAACATGCATGCCACCGCATCCACAAGGAACTGAATGGCGCTTACCTTGCACGGGACAAAAAGATACGTCGAAGCGACAACGGCGATTGATATCGATGGGAAAGACGTGTAGAATGTGAAAAAGAATGAAGGCTACGAACAACAACAACAATAATAGTAAAAGAAAAAGAGCAAGATGTGAGGGAAAAGCAGAGATGGATATTCAGACTAAGTGTAACGGCGAATGCAGGGGGGAGAAGAACGATGACAACGACCTTGCAAAGTTCAGTAGCCCACAGCACACTACGGCACCATATTATAGCACATGTCCAGCAGCGATGGTCGATACTCCGTCATGCCTGGACTGGGCACATGCTCAGACTGGAAGTCTCCCCTTTCAGTTGCCGGATCAAGTTGAATAGTACACTCATGTCCTGCTTGCTGCGGCTGTGGATACATGATCCCGTCTCCGGTTGGGTCTGATTTGTCGATTCCAGTCATCTCAAAGAGGCTAGCCCGCAGCTGCTTCTATCCTCTGTTTGCTGTTTGCTGAGTTTGTATCCATCTATCCCCGGCCAAGCAAACTAGGCACGAGTCGCCATCTTGGCCAATCCTGGTTGCCGACCCGGTTCTCGGGAGGAAAGCTGATTCACCAAGAAAAAAAAAAGTATGCACCACTCCAAACAGTGCACCGGTCTTAGACCGGGCCAATCATATCTAAACCAAAGTACGCGTTGCTTTTAAAAACTCAAACGTTATTACTACACAATCTATGTGCGGTGGGAAACTAGCGCCAATGACCAAATGCTGACATCGTCCATGGAGTGTCCTTTAAAAGGCCAGTGCGTAAACAAACTACGATGAAGTGCCACAAGGATACATGGCAACGCTTGACTACAGGATGTTCGAGAAGGACACTCCTTAGGCGCTGTTGAGCTTGATCGATGCTGCAGCCAGGAATGTTAAAGTCCTTTGGAGGTATAACAACAATAGGTCCTTCCATTACCCCTGACCCCACAATCCCATATCGCGAGATTCTATTTCGAGATCGTCTATACCCCCAAAAAGATCGATGGTCAATAAGACAGAGATGCCAATTAGAAAAAATGCACGTACATGCCAAATGAGCCTTCCGTACGTGAGCTACATCAATTGGCCAATGAGAACGAGCCAGGGAAGCAACCGCCTGGATAGACGTGGACGCTGGAGAGAAGCCCAGAGGAGTTAAAAGAAGAAACTGTCTGAAGGGATTCTCATCATCAGCATCATCCCAGCGCTGTTCTCCACCTTCATCGTTTTCTCGCTCCACTCCACCTCATTCCTGATCTCAAAACATAGCCCTGATCTGTTTCTGCTCGTTGTAACTAAGCAGTTACCTATTCATAAATCAACTACGCTCACTTTTGCCGTCGCCGCGCAGAAGCAGTAACCATTCTTCTTCCCTATCTTCTGCCTTACTTCCCTCTGCTGTGGTAGCCTACACAAAACACATAATGGTCCAAACGAAACAGTCAAAGGTCAAGAAGCGATCGCTGCTGACACTCGGCGCAGTCGCGGCCCTGGCTACCCTGTGCCTGGATACGACGCCCGTCGATGCGGCCGTCATATCCATTGATTACGGTACTGACTGGTTTAAGGTCGCGCTGGTTAAACCCGGTATTCCTCTCGACATCGTCCTCAATGCCGAATCCAAGCGCAAGACTCAATCTGCCATCACGATCCGTGGCAACGACCGCGCGTTTGGATCCGAGGCCCTCAGCTTGGTACGACCTGTCTACTAAACACATCCCGCAGATCTTGGAGGAGCCACTTGCTGATTTTGTGTCAATTGCTTTCTTATAGGCCACTCGATTCCCACAAGACTCGTTTATTGGATTGAAGAGAATCCTGGGTCGTGGTTATGATGATGATCACTGCGTCGAATATCGCAACACCTTCACCAACAACATGATCCAGGATCAGGTTCGTGGAACCGCGGGATTTGAAACGACAGCTGGAGTCAAATACACGGTTGAGGAATTGGTTGCCATGCAGTTTGCTCTCGCCAAGCAGCAGGCCGAGGAGACTGCTGGAGAGATCGTCAGGGATGTTGTCATTACTGTAGGTTCTCAATTGCTTGCAGAAACCCAAGGCAATATGAACATCTTCCAGCCAACAGGAAATGTAGGAACGGTGGAAATATTCTAAACTCAGCATTGCTTTCTTTGTCCTACTCATAGGTTCCTCCATATTTCAGCCAGTTTGAGCGCCAGGCTGTGCTTGACTCCGCCGAGCTAGCTGGACTGCACGTTCTCTCCCTGATCAACGATGAGTCTGCAGGTAAAGCAATAGGGTCATGTCGCAAAGTCCATATACATATTCAAGTCTACCATGGTTTTAGAACAAATCAAGCTAATCCTCGCATGTATTTTCACCCATCGATATATAGTCGCTCTCAACTACGCTACCAGTAGGACCTTCCCTACGGAGCAATGTCACATCTTTTACGACATGGGCGCAGGAAGTACGGTTGCCAGCTTGGCCTGTTTCCAGGACTTGACTGTCAAGGACGTGGGCAAGTTTAACAAGACAGTGCAGCAGGTGGAGATCAAGGCTGTGGGCTACGACCGCACCCTCGGTGGACATGACATTGATGTTCGCCTGCAAAAGTTCTTGGCCGACAAATTCCAAGAGCAGAAGGGATCCAAACTCAGCACACTCGTCATCCAGAATGAGCGCGCTATGGCCAAGCTTCTTAAGGAGGCCAACAGAGTCAAGCAAATCTTAAGTGCTAACATTGAGACCATGGCTTCGGTGAGTGGTCACTTATACTTGTTAACAAATCACCGATGACCAAACACTATACGCAGACGACTAACCAAGTTGCTCGTTTTCGGTTCAGGTCGAGAACTTGATGGAAGAGAATGACTTCAAGATCAAGGTCACTCGTGCTGAATTGGAAGACTTGTCCAAGGATCTCTTTGTTCGTGTCCGTGGACCCATCGATGCTGCCTTGGCAGATGCCAACATGAAGCTATCCGATATCCAATCGCTCGTGCTGGTGGGAGGTGGTGTTCGTGTTCCAGCTGTTCAGTCCAATTTGGCTGCTGTTGTTGGCGAGGAGAAGATTGCGAAGAATGTCAACGGAGACGAGGCGGCGGTCATGGGCGCCGTATTCCGTGCTGCCAGCTTGAGCAGACAATTCAAGGTGAAGGAAGTCCGTCTTAAGGATATCTCGCTTCTCCCGGTTGAAGTCAAGTACACAGGAGAGGCCAAGGATACTGTCACACCCGGAAAGCCCTTCGTGACCCCTATCTTTGCCCCAAGGTCCGTCCTGGGAACGCGCAAGATCATGAGCTTTAAGCGCGTGACAGATTTCGGATTCGATCTGGAGTATGGCCAAGTCTCGGAGGCACATGAGGGAGAGCTCCGTGAGAAGCAGATTGCACACATTTCATTGTCGGGATTGACGGACGCCATCAACAAGTTCAAAGATGTCAGCGTCGCGACTCCCAAGGTCAAGGTCACGATTGAGCTCTCGGACTCTGGTGTGTTGAGCGTCCAGGAGGCGATTGCGACCATTGAGACGGACGGCACCAAGAAGGCGACTTTGGCCGACAAGGTCAAATCGTTCTTTGGCGGAAACGACAAGAACGAGGATGTCAAGGATGCTGAGCCCAAAAAGAACGATGGGGAGCAGGAGAATAGCGGCGAAACCAAAGAGCAGGACAAGGACGAGCCTGCTGGAGAGAAGAGCAAAGATAACAAGACTGAGCAAAGCAACAACAGTACCGAGGTTCCCGGTAAGAACGAAACCGTGCCAACAACCCAGACGGAAAAGGTGGTGTTGAAGGTCCATACTGAATACAAGGGCATCGTACCGTTGACCACATCGAGTAAGAAGGAGTCCTTGAGCAAGATTCAGAAGCTGGATGCCCTGGATGTAGCAAAGCGCGCACGTGAGGAGGCTAGGAATTCACTCGAGTCCTTCTTGTATCTCGGGCGTGATTTGTTGTACAGGGATGAGGTTATTGAGGTGTCAACAGAGGAGGAGCGTGAGAAGTTGTCTGAGAGCCTGTCGACGGTTTCTGAGTGGTTGGACGATAACGAAGATGCGGACACGGTCGAGTTTCAGACACGTCTGAAGGATCTGCGCAAGTTGGAGCGTCCCATCTCGGTCCGCGCCGCTGAGCGCATCTCGAGACCCAAGGCATTTGCGTCTCTCAATTCATCTGTAACGATGGCCCGATCTGTTGGTGAGCGCTTGTTGACAGGGGAGGGTGCGTTCCATGAACCCGAGGATGTTCAGAGGCTGTTTGATGCGTGCGATGACGTGTTAGCATGGATCAAGGAGAAGGAGACCGAGCAAGCTGCGTTGCCGTTGTGGAAGGACGGTGTTGTGACAACGCGCGAGATCGAGCAGCGTGGCAACACTGTGGAGCGAGAGATGCACCGGTTGATGAGCAAGAAGAAGCCAAAGGTTACGAAGAAGAAGGAGGAGAGCACTAACTCGACAGAGAAGGCGACGGAAAAAGAGAAAAAGGATGAGAAGGAAGCTAGTGAAGAGAGCAATCCGTTGGAGGACGGGCCTCAGAAGGAGGGAGAAACAGCTGCGCCCGAGAAGGCAGAGGAGCGAAGCGAACCTGTTGTCGAGCCCGTGAAGCACCAGAAGGACGAGCTTTAGATTAGCTAGCTTATTGTCGCACATTCACTTCGTTTAGCACCCTATATTAAACACTAGATCAGAAACCAACAACATAAAAGCTTTACCCCACAATCTGTTGTGAAACGAGCAATTGAGTTCGAGGATGCACCCTTAAGCTAATCAGGGAGCGAGTGCAGAGAAGAGAGGAGAAAGTCCAGAGAGTTTCTCATTCGACCTTGCCATCATCCTCAGCACACAAACTTACTCCGCCCAACGTTCTTTGTTTCCCCTTTTCTTACAAAAATGGTCTGGTCTCCTGCCGACTTGCTCTGGTCATTGACTGACCGAGCATCCCTGACGGTGTTCGAGTCCATCTGTGCGAACCTGTTCTTGGTCCTCATTGCCTCGTTTGGCGTCACACCCGTGTATAACCTGATCAAGGGTAACCAGTTCCAGGTTAAGGGCAAGGTATAGATTACATTATCTATCAACGCGTTGAGATTGAAGTTCAACTGAGGCTGATTTATCATGGTATTGGACCTAAACAGGTTTTCTTTTTGCTCAATCTTCGGTTAGCATGTGTACGTGACAGGAAGCGTGGGACTCGGTAGAGCGATCGCGATCGAGTTGGCGAAGCAGGGTGCGCATGTTACGATTGTCGCACGTAAGGAAGCCCCTCTCAAAGAGACCTTTGAACTCATGAAGGTACGCTGAACCCTCTTTTATTTGTCAAGAGCGCGGTATCACCGCTGGGAACGAATATCTAACACAATTTACATTTTCCCTCAACTGCCTTTGTCTGTTGCAACAAACCTGTCCAAAAAAAAAAAAAAAAAAAAAAAAGCAAGCAGCCGCGACCCGAAAGGACAAGGATAGGGAAATGACCGGTGCGCCTCAAAAGTTCCATTGGATCAGTGCAGACCTGACAGATCGTGAGCAAGCAATCCGGGCCCTCGACGAGGCCTCGATCCAGGGAGGCTCGGGTTCGGGTGTTCCGGATATCATCGTCGCCTGTGCGGGCACCTCGATCCCAAAGCTCTTTGTCGAAGCAACGATCGGCGAGTTTGAGATGCAGATGAAGCTGAATTACTTTGGGACGCTTTACACTATCCATGTAAGCTTTTTCTTTTTCATTTTCATTTTCATTTTCATTTTCATTTTTTTTTTTTTTTTTTTTTTTTGTTCTGCACAAAAGCTAATGTACCGACGATTCAATATTCCATAGGAAGCCACAAAGCGCATGGTTGAGACGGGAAAGAAGGGCAAGATTGTGATGACGGCCTCGACGATGGGTCTGATCGGCTTTGCAGGATACAGCAGCTATGCTCCCACAAAGTATGCCCTCCGCGGTCTGGCCGAGTGTCTCCGTAACGAGTTCTTGATGTACGGCATCGGCGTCCATATCTACTATCCTGGAACTATGTTCACTCCAGGATTTGAAAACGAGGTATTTTTTTTTATATATAGACTCTTTTTTCATGCAGATCTACAATGGTTCCATTGGAAACGTAGGGTTGCTGATGCTCGCTTACTACCTTTGCTTTGGGTGTAGAATTTGACGAAGCCTTTGGTGACAAGGGAGATCGAGGGAAGTACGGGTCTGACTCCGGAAGAGGCCGCCAAGGGCATGTTTGCTGGTAGGTCATACTCCTTCGTGGAACACTCGTTTCTATTGATTTCAGGAGTGCTATGTATGGTTTTGGGAACGATTGTCTCTAAAAAAAGGAATAATAATAATAATAATAATGCTACTGTAGGTCTCCGCAAGGGAAACTTTGCTGTCACGACCGACTTTGACACCAACTTTTTGCGTGTTGCTGCCAGGGGCGTGACTCCTATGGCCAATATTGGCCTGGACTATGTCTTGGGCTTGGTTGCACCTGTAAGTAACCGCTTATATGTATATCCGTACAGCAGGTTTGTTTTATTATATTGAAAACTAATCGACATGTCTATTATTTGATGAATAGTTTGGCGCGACGCAGTTCCTGTGGGAGACCAACTATAAGGTCAAGAACTTTGGCAAGAAGATGCTCAAGAAAGAGCTCTAATAGATCTCGCTTTCTCCTTTCATTTCCACACTTACAACACTTGGTTTTACTAATAAATTCTGTACTTCAAAGCATTTCACGAGTGAACCCATGCGATCTGATCAATGCGGAGCAAATTCAAAAATGGAAAGAATGTGTGAAAAGCTGCAATACTGCCGTCTAGACGATTCGCAAGTGCCTTGTCGCGGTCATGGCCCTGTGTGCAGTCACCAGCACAAAACGTGCTCTCTTTTAATCTTGGCAAGTAATAAAAACCAAAAGGCTTTTGTTAACGACACAGATCATCACAAAGGCGGGGAACTCTTTGAACGATCCATGCATGTTGCCGTCAAGAAAAAATAAATAAGGAATACCATTTCCAACAAACCAGTCTGCTTCATAGTGTAGGTATGAACACACAATGTTATTATGATTTGATAATGTTGATGATGACAGGCTGCAGTTTACCCCTTCCCTCTTATCCATCGTGGCCAACTTTCCTTCAGGCTCGAACCAGTTTTATCTGTTCGCTTGTTTCTGGTTTTCGCTTCGTTTTTCCTCTCGTGCTAAATAACACCTCGGATCCACAGCAAAAAGACAAAGGAGATCGAAATAGATAAAAAAAAAGAAAGGAAACATGAAATGCGCTTTCTACTTTGAGTCGTCTTCGTCATGGTCGTTTGCGTCCTTGATCAGCCTTCCATTCGCATCCAACAAGTTGGGGTCCTGCTTGTTTCTGAGCCATTGCATGCGTGGTCCACAGCGACTATACTCTGAAATCTTGAATCCATAGATTGCTGGCGTGTAGATCTTGTTGAGGACATTCGGCTGGAGCTCTGGGTAGATATGGAACAGCATGTGGGCGAACGTCGTTCCGAAATATGCGCCTACAAAGCCAATTATTTCGTGATTGATAAAGGGGTTAAATAGCTACACCAAGGATGATTCGTGCCCAAAAAAAATAAAAATAAAAAAGCGATGTAAACATACCATCGAGGTTATGATATCTTGAGCTGGGCGGTGAATAGATATCCTGGCAATTGGGACAGTACAGCTTTACAGTTTCCACACCGGGAAGATCGTATCGTCCACATGGCACTACATTTGTTGACTGGCAGTAGGTTCGAGGGCAGCTTCCAAAATGTCCAGCCTGGTATTTATCAGCCTAGAACAATCGGTTCAAATTCATGAAAAAAGACCGTGCGTTAGTGTTAAGTAAGTGATCGTTTTCCCCGAGCAAGCAAGATGGTCCGCAGCACCTCTTCTCTATTGAAGAGGCACTCGCCATCATCGTCGTCCTCATCATCCAGAGGGCAAGCCTTTTGAGACCGAGTTGCGTGTTTGGCATTACCATCTGTTGTAGCCCCTGCCGTGTCACAATGAAGCGTTGGTGAATAAGACCATAAAGCTGTTCCGCCGACGCCTCCACGATTGATACATCCGGCACCTTCGTGCTATCCTCCTCTGTTTAATTGATGGCGGCAGCAAAACCAGCGAAAGTACAGACGTCTGTTAGATAAGTGATTTGACATCAGACATGCACGTGGAATAGAGACTGCAAGATCGGGTCCTACCAGGCTCCAGGTCCAGAATCATCTCCAGTGCCTCCTTGTAGAAAGGAACGATTGAGTTCAGTCCTGTCAGATTGAAGTCATCCTCTACAAACTCGTCTGCAACCTCAGCAAAATACTGGTGTCCTCCGAGTGAGCAAAACCACGCGATCCAGGGCATTGATTCAGTCCCAGTTTCATTAGAGACGTCGGATCCTATGAGTCGTATGAAAAGAATGATGAGTTCGTTGGTGCTCTCAAGCATTAGAGACATTTACTCGGAAGTCATTTGTCTCCTTTGGTTGATTCATATTCTAGGCTCAAAGGCAGGTGTCCGCTCATCCTCATCGAACAAAAGACCATCGAGAACCCTGCAGCCTCTGGAATGTGCCTGCAGGTCTTATGGGATGGAACAAAAGGTGAGACGAGTTGGTGAGATGAGCCTTACCATAGTACTCGTCGCCAGCATACTCTCCCTGAAGCTGCTCTTCCTCCTCCTCTTCCTCCTCCTCCTCTTCTTGGTGAACCTCGTCTGCAGCACGCATATCCCGGACCTGCTGTTGATGATGCTGCTGCTGGTGAAGGTCGTGCGCTGACATAACTGGCTGGACTCTGAGTGGTATGATGGAAACGAAGGGAAAACGGGCTGTGTCTCCTCGAGGACAGATGAAAGGGGAGGGAAAAAGAGAAAGGAAGTGGATGGATTGGATGGATGTAGGGGGACAATCAAACGGTGCCTTGATTGAGAGTGTGGAATTGGTGAGCTTTTTTTTTTTGTGTGTATTGAGTGAAAAAAAAAGAGTCCGATAGACTATGTTATGGTCGAATGTAAGCGCTGCGCGGTGATATTACACTTTTGTTGACAAACAAATACAAAAGCAAAAGAAGAGGCGAGGGAGACTGGTGTCATCAAGTCAGCTCCTAGCTTGGAAGAAAGGTGTAGCTGGAGCTGGAGAAAGAGAGGGGGTAGAAGTAGGGGCGGGCGAGGGCTGATGGTCGTCTGTTGCAGCAGCGTGCTCAGCCTGCCTTGACCTCTCTCTCTCCGCAAATCGAACCAGCCAATCAAACAAAAACACTGCAGTGACGTATAAATCTACCACAGTGGAGGGATTATGTTCATGCCACTCTGAATAGGGCTGTGTGATACAGGCCTACATGTCCAGCGTCGTATTCGTGGCGGGTTGCACTCGTTGTATAAGGTCCTGTTGAAAGCATGGGACTTCACGATCTCAGCCTTACACTCGACACATGTTGACTTCAATACATCCACGGAGTGTCTTGAGCAAAGATCGATACCAGGATTCATCTCAAAAAGGCGCGACTGGAAGAAAAGCAGCTGAACGGACCGAGTTCTTCGGGCGTTGAAGCGTGCTTGGCTAACGCCTCGCAGAGCAGGCGGCTGTAATCCACAGTGCCGATCACCGCCGCTTTCCAATCCGGCATGCAGAGCGCATACGGGAAAACCTCATGCCACTTAGATTGAGAGGATTGTCGTTGATACGGATGGTGCTCAGATCTGACATTTGCCTCCAGGTACAGCCTCTTGACACGATCGCATCTAAAACGAGCTCTTCCAGTGCGATCAAATATCGCGGAGACATATCCATATTCCCAGCTCCTGAGTCCAGCGCATGGCTCGGGGGATGACGAAGGAAGTCCGGATTCAGTATCCATAGCATGAAGACGAATCGAAGGAGATATCTAGCTCAGGAGCCGCTACTTTGACAATGACGACTTAAAACCGAGCACTTGTCTCGAAGACCCTGTCTAATTGACGTATTCGAGACCCGCATTCTCTCCCTTCGGTCGTGCATTTTGATGTACTCACCGATATTCGCTAAGGACTGTCCTGTGAAGGCGCGCCCATCCTGAGTTGCGGTGCTTTTCCCAGACAGGTGAGATCGCGTCAGATATGAAGGACAGCAATGTAGCACCGAATTCGCTGAAATAGCACAGCCCCCTTTTTGTGACTTTGTTATGCTCGCTTTTTTTTTTTTTTTTTTGCCCCTCCTTCTGCAACTCTCTTACGCTCTTCACGTCCCTCATTCCACACCAACAGTAATGGACTCTGACTCCGGCTCCGACTATGGTGGCGAAGCGCCCAGCTACCCCAGAGACCTACCCAACATTCTGATCACTGGAACACCTGGAACGGGCAAGACCACGACTTCAGAAATGGCTGCTGAGGCTACAGGACTTACACACCTCAACGTCGGGGACCTCGTCAAGGCAAAATCCCTGCACGAAGGATTGGATGCCGAATTCGACAGTTATATCCTGGATGAGGATAAGGTATGCATTTGCACATTTCATGTATTTTTTATTTATTGAGCAGTAACCGTATCGGTAATTATGGTGGAACTGGAGACTTGGAACACAGCAGTCAAACTTGCATACTAAAGGGTCGATCGTTTTCTTTCTCTCTCTTGCTTTTGCTGTGCCTTCACGTCCTTGTGAAAGCTTATTGACGAGATGGAGGATATGATGAGATCTGGTGGAAAAATCGTCGATTTCCATACGTGTGACATCTTCCCTGAGAGGTGGTTTGATCTTATCATTGTCCTGCGTACCGATAACAGTGTCCTTTATCCACGTCTCGAGTCTCGGTACGTCTCCAAGAAGCGTATTCACAACAGGTCAGCAATGGTATGTCTTCTGCTTTCATAACTAACATCATCCCCCTCATTTTTTCATGAACTGCTTAGTGGATACAATCCCAAAAAGATCAACGAGAACATGGAGTGCGAGATCATGCAGGTCGTTCTCGAGGACGCGCGCGAGTCGTACGCAGAAGAGATCGTGATTGAGCTGCAGAGCAACAGCATCGAGGAAATGGAGGAAAATGTATCAAGGATCAAGGCCTGGAAGGACCACTGGATCGTCAACAACAAGAAGGATTGAACGTCTTTCGCCAGCAAAGCACGAAAGCAATTGTAACACTATTTCGAATAAAGAACAAGACATCGTAGACAGCATTGCGACCACCAAGATTTTTTTCGATAGTTATACTTGCCGTTTGTCGTTTCGCTTTTGATAGCTTTTGGTGGTGAGATGGATCTGAGGAGGTTGACGATCGCTGTGCTTGAGTTTCAATTTGACGATATGTGACTCGTGGAACCAATTAAGGGAAACAAAAAGAGAGTTGCGATTGCTTGACATGGCCACCATGACCTTCAACACCTTCAACTTTCGACAAAGAAACAACCATGTCTGACGAGTCCTATGTCCTCGTTGGTACGCCCTTGCCCTCGATAAAGACGACCGACGCCTATGGAGAACCAAAGAGGATAAATCCGACCAGGGATCTCGAGGCAGGCATTCAGCATGCGTTATTTCAGCATTCTCCTTGCCCCCCCTAGTACCGCGGAGCAGCCATGAGGACAGTAGGAACAGGTTACTCATCACATACACCTTTGTTTGGTTAAATTGGGTTTGAGTAGGTCCGGGATGAAGAAGGACGTAGGAGATTTCATGGCGCTTTCACGGGCGGATTCTCTGCAGGATACTACAACACGGTTGGATCGAAGGAAGGTAACGACGAATCCAAGCACGCGTTGCTGGATCAATGAGAAGCATGGGAAGAAAACGATAAGTGCTGACGATATGGTGTTATTACAATTCATAGGATGGGCGCCGTCAGAATTTGTGTCCTCGAGAGACAAGCGATCTGAAAGAAAAATTGCCAGGCCTGAGGATTTCATGGACGAGGAAGATAAACAGGTGAGTGAGTCTTTGATCTTCCAGGGTTCAACGTCTTTTAGGAACAATAACATGTATTCTGTAGTCCCTAATCACATGGTACTCACATTATTCTCCATCATGTTTTTGAGTAGATGCTTTCAGATTCTGCGCGACTCGTGGCTACGGACGATTTCGACACCATTGGATCGACGCAACGTGATCTGGAAAAGAAGCGCGCCACTGCTAGAAATATGCAAGCAACTGGAGGGTGCGCTATCTCGTGGTTCTTTTTGAACTCCACTTTATCTAAAATAGCATTGCAGGACTAAACACTGTGGTTCCTACGACTAAAATTGGACCTCTCTTTTCCTTTGGACAACTTATAGTGTGCTAGGTGCACTTCCAGACACACTGATCGACGACATAGTTGTCCCGAGTTCAGAACCGGTTGGAATAAGGTTGCTGAAGCGTATGGGATGGAAGCCTGGACAAGGAATCGGTCCACGCGTTTCTAGGCGGCAGCGGAAACCAGAGGACGGACTCCTTTCAGATGACGACGAAGTCCCAGCGAACGTGACATTTGCGCCGATCGACTCCGCAGTAGTCGTCTTCACACACAAGTCCAACCATCAGGGTCTGGGCTTCGATCCATACAAAAATGCACCAGAGTTTGATAAATCCATGCAGTCAGGGACAAGCTCAAAGTACCTATCGGAGTCTTTTCAGAGCAAGAAGACAGGATTCGGTTTCGGGACATTTGATGACGACGACGAGGAAGATGATGTGTATGGATCAGGGCCTACGCCACTGCGATTATTGGATCGGGCCACGGTCCTGAATGACGACCGGCCATATTCTCGTAGGAAAGAGAACAAAGACGTATCGGAACCACAGGTGATAAGAAGAACCAAGTTGTGCAGGACAGTCCATGTCCAGGAAGCATAGGAATGTTTATTAATAATGCCCACTTTCATTTTTGTAGCCAGAACCTATGGTACCGTTGTATTGCAGCGATGGACGGCCGCCATTACGTGGATTTGTTCTGGCAGCAACTCCCGCGAAACCCATGGTTTGGTATTCGGCGCCAAAAGTGCCTCGGGATTTTGTTCCATACCATACATTCGACGACAACGTCAGGCCTGTCCTGCCACGAAAGGGACGTGAGCAGCCAAAACTCACTTCAGACGATGTACGTGCCCGCGGAAGGAAGTATCTGAGGCAGACTGGGTCTAATACACCATATTTACTGACGTTTTTCATGTATACTATTCTTCCCTGTATCTCCTTGTAGCGTGCACTAGTACTCGGAGAAACGCCCATTGACGCACCTCGCAGATCGGTGTTCGAGTACATGTCCGCTGAGAACAAGCATCGTCTGGACAATGTTCTTGGATTTGTAATGGACACGGAGGGCGACAAACGGTTGCGCAAGGACTATTGGGAGGTGCCCAAAATCGAAAAAAGTGCGGCAGAGGCAGCACTGAAAGGGTTTATGCCCTTTGGCGACAATATTCCGAAACAGAACCGATATAAGCAGTTCCTGAATGTCCAGGCTGGGATTTCAGACGAGAAGATCGAGCTGGTTGAGGGCTTTAGAGGAGAGGACATGACTAAAGAACTCAACGAATTCGTGCAGGCAGCCAGGATTTTCAAACCCCTGACCTCGACCATGGCAAACAGATTCACGTCTGCAAGCAAGGCGGTTGAAGTCACGCAGCCGTCAGTTGGCCTGAGGTCTGCTGAGGATATCAAGGCAGCGAGAAGGACGGCCCCGATGCATGTGTTTGTCGAGAAGATGGAGGTCCCGAAATCACAAGCAGCCAAGGCAGCGGCCATGGGAATGTTTGGGCCGCTGACTCGTACGATTGTCGACTTTTATCCTTCAAAGTTGCTGTGTAAGCGATTTAACGTACCGAATCCGCATCCAGACCATAAAGAGTCGGGTCGCGAGGCAGCAAAGGATCTGTTGGACAAGGATACATTAGACAGGATGATGATAAGCAGGAAACCGGGAGAAGGGATTACATCAGAGGATTCAATCTCAAAAAGTCGGAAGGAGAGTGCTTCGGCTGATGCACAGGAGGATGTTGGAACTGAGGCAGTGGTGGAAGAAGAAACCTCGAAGGAAGCCGAGGTGATCCAGGAGCGTCCGCCTATGGACATCTTCAAGGCGATATTCGATAACTCTGACTCCGATTCGGACTTGGACTCGGACACGCAGGCTGAGGACGATAAGAAAACTCCTAGACCAGGTCAGCGTGCCACTGATAAGCAAAGAGATGCCAGCATGTCAGATACAGAGGAGGGCAAAGAGGGGACACCACAAGGAGTATTCAGACCTATATTTACAAGGCTGAGTGAGAGGTCAGAGACGCATTCTTCAGCAACAACATCGCGCGTGCAGCCTCGGTCGAGCAAACTCGACCTCTCACATTTGAACGAGGAAGAGGGTGACGATGAGAACGAGATGGGGCCGAAATTCGCTATACCCAAATCCAAATCGACTTCCTCGTCTTCTAAACGACAAGTGAATAATGCTCCAACCTCTACCGGCGCCAGGACCATCTCGTCAGCCAACACCTCATTGCCGACTCGAGAAAGGTCCCCAAGTACGGACGAATTTATTGGACCGGTCCCACCAACGACGGAGAAGCGTACCAAAGACGATTCTGGTTCTGAGCAAGAGCATCTTAAAGAAGGAACATCATTATCGTCGCTACGTCATGAAGAGTCTCGCTCGTCGAAACGACACAAATCATCATCATCGTCGTCCAGATACAAGTCGTCATCTTCCAGGTCAGACAGGAACGATTCGCACTCGAATAGCTCACATTTTCAACGTCGGTCCAAGAACCGGGACCCTGGCGAAAGCAAACAAGATGATTCAGAGACGGATTGGAGCGATGCAGATAAGGATGGCAGGGATAGGAAGAGGCATAGTAGGCACTTGTCCTCTTCAAAGACTAAGAGCAGCAAGAGGCACCGGAAACACAGATCGCGGAGTCGAAGCAGGAGTCCAAGCAGCCGGTCGCACAAGAAGTACAGGGATAAGAATGAAGATCGAGATCGAGATCGGGAGAGGAGTAGCAAGCGTTCACGGTCAGAGAAGCACGTCTCTAAACACCGCGATCGCCGTGAGCGCGACAAGGCAGATGAGAGCATGGACGAACTGTGGGTTGAGAAGGAGGTCGATATTCCAACTTCAGCTGGCGCCCTCACGCCGAGTGAGCCTTACCGCCCAGCACCACCAACCAATCGCCCGCGTGCCACATCCTTCTTTTAGTGGCGATAATAAAGCATGGATGGTAGTGGTGGTCTCCTTATTATTGTTTTTTATTAATGCTTTCTTGTCGAACGGACGGCTATGCAACGAATCACTCGTCCACTAAAGGATCGGCAATGCCATCCAAAGGTCCTCCGTAATCGATACTGAAATCGTCCAACACTACGCTTCCCCTGCTGCTGTTGCTGTCATCCTCGAGCAGGCTTTCTATAATAGTTGCCAGAGACGGCGACCGGGAATGCCGGAAAATCATGTATCCGGCCCGCTCACACATCAATGCCTGCTTCACGGCCGGATGGCTGGTTCGTTGGTGTTTCCAGTCTGATACTAAAAGACAGGTAGCGGAAGAAAAAAAAAAAAAAAAAAAAAAAAGTTAACTATTTTAGTGTATCTGACCCATTGAGAGGAATCGGGAACCTTCCTAATCGTACCAGGACTGGACGCCTCCGATTCGGGCGGCGGTATGGGTAACCCAGCCTTGTCAAAGAAACTAGACGCGTCGTATACAGAATCCACACGCGGACGGATCATGGGGATCAACCATGATCCAATATCGGCCTCCTCCAGCTTCACGTCGACCATATATGAGGCCTTGGAAGGCGACAGCATCAATGAAGAAGATGGACTGTGGGAGCAGGAAGACGTAAATGACGAGGGGAATTCGTTTAGCGGAGTGTTCAATGACAGGGACGTGCAATGATCTACAAACTCGATCATCCGTTGGATCCGCTCCAGGAGCTCCGTACACGGTTTGCTGTACTGCATGATGAAAGGGTCCTAGATGTTACCCATCGTATGAGGGGACGCGATCTTGGTTAGATATACGAACAAAGATGCCGGCCCCATTTCATTCGACAGCTGTTGAAGTCCCTCGGCTTGTTACCTCAAGCAGTTCCTGTGTGCTCGGCCGTGCCTCTGGATCGGGCGTCAAGCATCTCGCCACAAACGCCCACATCTCCTCAGACATACCCATCCCTACTGCTCCAAACGTTTCTTCCTGAAAACTATCCCAACCACCATTGTCCGTTGCGAAATACCCACGCCCCTCTGTGCTGCTACTGCTGTTTCCTGCTTCCTGACTCACTAATCGTTGCTCTCCAAACAGCGCTAGAATAGGCATTTCCGGCCTCGGTGGACGACCTTGCGAGAGCTCGATGCATGTAACACCCAACGCCCACACATCCGTCTCCGCGCTCGCTCCCGGGATCCACTGCAATAACGAAGACGAACCCACACTGCCCTGCATCAAACTATCTGCAGTCCCAGCTTCTATCTTGAACTTTGGTGAGTTTGGCGTGGCTATTGGTGACGAAGGGCTGGATTCAGGGGCGAGCCAGCTGGCGGGGAATTCTGTCATGGTCAACGATCGTCGTTGGCGTTTGCGCTCTCCGGCACCTTCCTTATGGTTCATCACCGATCCTGAGCCCCCAAGTTTCGCATGCCCATCGAATGTGAGCAAGATGTTGCTAAATGAAACAGAATAAAAGTGTGTCGATAAAGCCGGGTCCTTACGCTGCTCTCTCTGTTTCATCGTTTCTCATGATGGATACTCTCACCTACCTAGCTTTGATATCACCATGGACATGATCTCTGTTATGGAGATACGCGAGCCCCAGAAGGATCTCGCTAATGATCCATCCGATTTCTGATTCTGTCAACGGGCCATCCGAGAGTCGAATTAGATCTGCAACCGACCCTCCCTCACAGAATTCCAGTGATAGCTATAGACGGATGAAGTACGTGCGTTAGTAAATAAATAAAAAACGGATTTGTATTTGACCTCGCACGGGAAAAAAAAATAGTGCTTGATGTGGTTTTCAAGGGCTACTTTGTTCATGTGAAATAAAAACAAGTTCAGAGCTCAGACCATTCGACCACCAAAAGCACAACAACGTCTCCAACGGATCCGGATCTATAGTCTACCCGTAACAAAAATCGTCCCCAATCCTTATCATAAAGCACGAACGGGAAAACACATCCCTCCTTCTTCTATAGTCCAACCGAATAACTCTTGCTCATGTTCTCTTGAAAACTTACCCACAGTTCGGTATCCGTTCGATGACATCCCATACATTTCACAAGCTGGTCTAGCCCTCTCACTCTCTCCCTAATCCATGGCGCCGTTGTTTGAGGTCGCCGAGCCTTGTTCACTGGGCCACTGTCGAGAATAATGGATCCGTCGTCATCGTCGCTGTTATATTCTTCTTCGTGATTATTATCATCATCACCTCCTTCGTATAAAGAGCCACCGTGATATGCGATGCAACTGACATAGTAATCTACGTCCGCCCGTGTAGCCACTACCCTATCAATGTCGACGATGCCGTTGCTGCTGCTGCTGACGGTGGTGTCTCTGAAACCGTCAATGAATGTCGCGAAGGGAATCTTCTTGATCGCGACAATCTTCATCCCATCCTGTCTGTCACAAGCTTTGAACACAGACGAGCCGCTTGAACTGTAGAAGATAAATAAAAGAAGAAAAAAAATTAGACAAATGGAAAGGAGGTGCGTGAGTAAAGAATAAATGCACATATAAAAAAAATAGTAGAAAAAAAGGGCGGAAGATCAAGGTTGGAACGCTTCCAACAGGAAACCAAAGATAGCATGCGGGGCAAAAGGTGTATCTGAGCTGCAGAAATCCATCCACGAGAATGGAACACCAGTTAATTCACGCAAACTTTACTGTTGTGATGTACCTCCAACGACAGTACTCTCAAAGCCCAATGTATGGAGGATAGCTAAGACCGAAACACCGTGCTGGATATATACGAAGACTCCTGGACTCTAATTTCCCCTTAGTTGGAAGACATTAGCTGCACGTACCCATATCCCAGGCGCTCAAGGATCTCGAAACGAGCTGTAGGATCCTGCGGCCCAGTTTCGCCTCTGTATGTCTTGATTGACGACCTAGGTGCCTTATCATTGTCAGGCAGTGTGAAGTAATTGAGTGCTGGCATGTAGGGCGATGGTGTGGGTGTTTGTAACGGCGATGGTGAAAAAGGTGAGACAAGGTTGGCGTCCAAGATATAGGAGGCGCACGACAGTCGTTCACCACGCGCACCCTCCTCGTGTTGAACCCTGCTGGTCAGGCAGAGCCCTGTGTCCTGTCTCGGCTGATGGCCCTCGCTGTAATTATGCCACCGCTGTTTTTGCTGCGCTCGCTGCTCTTGCCCTTGATGCGGCTGCCCTTGATGCTGCTGTTGCTGTTGTGCATCCCTGTGCTCATGTCCATTTATATCTTGTGGTCGATGCAGTTCTGCATGACAATGCTGATGAAAAAAAGGCGAGTGATCATTTTTTAGCTCCTCCGCTGCTTTTGCCTGTCCTGCTTGCGAGTTCAACGATGAAGGCAGAGGCATAGGTGAGACAGCCGATGTTATTAATGCAGTTGTTTCTCCTGTTAATATTTTGGTTAGATTCTTTGTGTCTGCATGAATCTGCTGAGCTATACCGACGAAGACTGTACCACTAGTTGTTGAAGAGGTCATCAAGGCCTCTGTCCACTCTTCCTGTCGTTCCTCATGTTTTTGTTGTTGTGTTTGTTGTTCTTGTTCGCAGTGTTCAATGCGCTGCTGCAGCTGCTGCAGATGCATTGACCGTTGCTGCCGTTGGCCCACAGTATCTGCAAACGGTTGCATACTGCTGTTGTTGTTTCTCAAACCATTCTCCACACACGAATACGTCGATGGGGCATTCGAAGATGGTATGGAAGGTGATCGTGATGTGGATGAAGCGGCTGAGGGGAAGTAGCGAGCCGGTGCTGTGAAAGGTAATGGTATAGGCGTTGCTGAGGGAGGTACTGTGCACTCTGTTGTTACTTTGCTATCGATTCCCGGTGTGGAGAGACAGGCCGCAGAGGACCGACTCGAACTCGAGACCATAGGGCCATCGTGCCGTTCAACATGAGGGCTCTCTCGGACAGGCGACAATGAAGCAACCGAAACATCAAAGCATCGCCCGTCTTGCAGTGAGGACGATGGGACGGATGCCGACCGTGTCGAGCAACTACTCGCAACTCTTGCTATTGCAGCTGTCGTCCTCCCGATTTGAGCCTTCAGCAAAGATATCGATAACTTGCGACGTGATCCTTGTTGAGTCGCATCTGAAGCTGAACCACTGCGACTTGCGATAGAGTCGGGTGTTTGGCAGATCGCAAATCGCAGCTTATTTTTTGCCGAGTCCTTGTGTCTACGCTTGCGATGGGGTTTAGAGGACGACTGCTGCTGCGGGGGCTGTTGTTGGTGCCCCTGAGTACGAGCAGGGACAGTGGGGGACCGTTGAGGGGTGGAGGATGAAGAAGAGGGGGAGGATGGGGTGGTACTGGTATTGGTGGCGGTGCGGTTCCTGGCGCCCAATGGAAGGAAATTAAAGAGAGAGAGAAACGCAGGTGACATGGTGTTGCAATGGTTTGGTATGGTATAGCATGGTGGCATTAGTGCCAGAAATATAGCGAGAGGGAGAGAAGAGAGTCAAGAAGAGGCAGGGCGTAGAACGAACAAGCAACGACTCGGGTTGTTCGTGGTAAGGAGACGAAAGGACGAGGGATGCCTGTGGTCTTCCCCTGGGGTATATGGCCACAGCCAAAGCGAACGGGATGGAACGCGGTAACAGGGGTCTGTGGGGCGAAAGGGATCTGGGGAGAGGGAGGGTTGAGGGGGTGTGTGTTTGCTCCGAGGGGTGAGCAGGGGGAGGGGCGAAGGAGGGCCATGATGCGCAACACACACGCAGGGCGGTGCTCAGTGCGGGTGGTAGACCAGGAGGGTAGCAGCATGGACTGAAAAACGTGTGGAGCGAGAAGTAGTAAACATTTGTGGGTCTGTGCACTGATAAATTGCACGTTGGAGTCAAATCGACACCTCCATCTTGGGCTCCTCGATCCCAGGTTCTCGGGCTGGCACTTTTATTTCTTTTATTTCTTTTATTCTCCTTCTTGGCCATACTTGCTCCTCCTACATACACATACACCCACCCCTCCTTTAGCATCATCGAGCCCTGTCCAAAGGAGTAAGTAACACGCATCGTCATCGTTTACATCGTAGCCCACACCCACTCTCGCGCATCATATCGCTATAGCGAACCATCCAATGGCATCCGAGGCTCAACAAAAACAACAACCACATGAGAAAAAAGGGTACGTGAATATGGGGGTATCTTATTCATCTATTCATTTTATGGTACCTTGAGTGGCCAAGAATAGCACCATAACCACCTCACTCCCCTGGGTGCACGCAGATCCCTAATCTTTCTGTTCAAGTTCACCCAATGTACCATACAACGCAGCGGATCTGGGCGAGTGAGTCGGGACAACCAGAAGAAGTAAAGGCTGAAGGGTGCGCAGTTTCTTAAGACATCATATTCGACATCTCTGATCCCTCTACTGTTCCTTCCCCTCTCTTTCATTCTGCCTCCTTCATGCGCCGAAGGACCGCCACTGATACCCCGAACCGTCGAGCACCCGCTTCGGATCGTTTAGCGCCATCCAGATCCAGTAACGTAGTCGCGCATTTCACTTCCTTCCCCTCCACTTCCCCTCCCCTTCTCCACGCCTCTCTTCCTCACTTCTTACTCCCCTACTCTTTTCTATTCCGTTTACAACATACTACCGATCAGTCGCCTTGAGTCGTTCCAGATATTCTTACTTCAGCGTATTTATATCTTCTCCATCTCCAGTACATCCAGCTGTTGTCTTCAAATCCCCTTCAGGACCACAGTTAGAAAAATCAAGCTCGCAAAATTATTTTGGGCGTACTTGGATCATAAAAAAAAAACGTGGGTGTAAGCGTGTGTGATAAGTTTAGGGGGTGGACGAATTTTTCCAAATGTCTGCTTTCTGAAAGTGGTGCTTTGGCCGCCTCTTTTTTTTTTATATCGCCGCCACTGCACAACGTCCGAAAGAAAGAAAAAAGATCCACTCAGGCTTCAGCAGCCTCGAGTGCCGCAAACCGATTCTAGGCCGTATGCTTGGGACATAAACGGCCCTCAATGCCATGCAGGAGCTTAAGCGATCTTCCACATGCGCCCACGACGTTGCATTTTGTATTAAGTGTTTTTATTATTATTCTTTTATATCAGGCACAAAGGATGCAAAGGTGTATAATACAGACTATGTAGCATGGCAGACACAAGATTACCAGAGAGTTTCAGCAAGGCAAGGTAAGGCAATCAAATCGTATTGCTACGAAATGACCACTGCATGGAACGTCTTTATGGTGAATCTAAATATCACATCATATTTCACACGGCGCGTTGTGGAAATCCTAGAGCTGATTTATCGCAGGGATAGGCGCCGAACGGAACGGAGAGCGTCTTGGCAATGCTGGAGGAAGAACAGGAGAGGTCGAGGATCGAGGAGATTCCGTCAAAGGACGACCGATTGGGCTTCTCAAACTATCACCTGTCACTACCGAAACTGTCGGCGGACTCTTGACGCGAACAGCGCCAATAACCGCATTATCCACAGCGCCTTCGGTCCGACCAGAAAATGAAGATGAGCACGTCGATTCTGGCGCTGAGGCTGTTGCAGCAAAGGCAGACAAGAGAATCTCGTGTGCCTCATCATTAGGCGAAGAACCTGAATCATTTTTCTGAACGGCGTTCCCTTGGACGTCCTCCTTTCCTGTATCGTGTGCTGGCAGATCGGCCTTGAAAACATCGACATACGACTCTGTAACGCCTACAAGTGCGGATGTTGCTGCGGACGTAGGTCTCCCCTCGCTGTTTCCATCACTTACATTGTCAGTCTCAGGACTCGTCGCTGGCCTCATAATCGACACTGGTCGACTTTCCTCCTCCTGCGACCTATCGAACCGCTCAAGCCCCTGCTTCTGTATCCGCTCCTCCACTTCCTGGTTGATCGCCATTGCAAGCTCGTCCGGTGCCACAATATGTTTCGCTACATCCCCAACGCTATCCCTGCCAATGCGCTCGAGTTCCAGATCGATACATCGCTGTTGCTGGCACCTCTGATTGTGCACATGGGTGGACCAGTCGTTCGTGATCAGCGAAATAGGCGCCGTTGTGATCTTCGGTGCCAGCAAGTTCGACGAATACGGTTGCCGGTTGTTGTGCAACTTCTGGGTCGACGACCGAGAGGACGATTGGAGCACCTCATCCAGAACCGAAACTGAGGGAGATCGCATCCTGGACCTGGACGAGAGCGAGGCCGTGGACTGGTCGAATCCAACAAGCTTCGATGACGATGATGCCGGAGAGTATGGGGAAAGCAAGAGGTGTAGAGGGTCGCCTGCCTCGCCTTCGGATCCTTTGGTCAGTGAGCTCATCGATTTTGAGAATCCTTTGTGGTCCTGTTTGCCGCTACTGCTGCTTGATTTTTTCGAGGGCGCCGATACCAAGATTAGACTTTGGAACATGGAGCTGTTCGTATCCAGCGTTTGACTAACGTTCTTTCTACCCAAACTTGTACCACTGCCGCAACCACCATTCGCCTTCTCCAACACAGGCGGCTGCCCTCCTCCTCCATAAGCATTCCACAGCTTCTTTGTTTTCTTGGGACTCGTCGCCGCCGTCACATTCTCCTCTCGATCCACGATCTGCATGAGCGGAAGATCATGGTCCGTGCAATACTTCTTCCCAGATGTCACCGATAGGGTCATGCTATTCTTTCTCGGATCCTCGCCAATGCTCGTCACAGCCGATGCATTCTCAGTCACTGTTTCTGAGAAACCATTGGCATCTGCGCTACACGAGTTGATAGTCGAAATAGAGCCGGATGAGGCATTGCTTTCGGTGCGCTGCGAACCAAGCGGATTGGTGTCGACCCTGTGGCACCGCGTTTGAGGGGAGGATGGCATTGCATGGTTACTGCTACTGGCATTGGTGTATGAGGCGAGTGCAGCCGCAGAGCTGCCAAAACCGATCATCTTTGGCGAGGAAACCAAAAAATTCGGAGAACTCGTATTAGGCGACACACATCCTGCTAACAGGAATGAAAATAGGTGAGGAAATTTGTCATCAGTATCGGCGTGGTGGTCCCGCATCCATAGCAATCCCAAATGATGCTGCTGATTTGTACCTGCATCAATGCAGATCGTCTGTCCATTCTTCCGTGGATGAGGCTGCGGAGAGTTGTGCCCCGTCAATGAAGACGAGGGGGAATGGAAACTCCCTTGATTTGCACCACGGCCTTGCTGCAGACTTGATCGTCCCTGATGATCCAGAGGTTGGATCGTGCCCCTGCTATAGCTGCCACTAGTCTTGCCACTGCTGTTCCCGCCAAGACTGAACTCAGTGTAGCTCGAGTAATTCGAGTGCTGGTCCGTATAGCTCGATGTCGGACTCTGGGTGAGGCTGCCTCCAGAATAGTTGAGCGTTCGATGCGGATGGACACCACGGATCACGATGGGACTCCGCTGTTGGGACGGCAGCGAGTCCAAACTGGGCTTTGTGGACGCCCCATGACTGCTACTACCATTCAGAGTCGGTGAGGCCGAAGGTGCCCAGCCATCAAGATTGTCGTCCAAACTGAACTGCAATTCCTTGAACGACTTTTGTGTCGGGTGTTGATACGACAAAGAAGGTGATGACGTGGGATGTTCATGTGCTGGCATGATCAATGTCGAAGGATCGTTCATATCCGAGAGTGTCGGGTCCTCCAGCTGCAGTCGGTCCAGTACCTTGTCGATGATCGACTGCTCGTTCCCTGCAGACTGAAGGGAATTATCACGGGACCTCCTGGACCCTCGTCCTCCTTTTACTGATCCAGACCCTTGACCCTCCTGGTTCTGATCCAGGAGACTATAAGTCCCCTCTAGATGGGCAAGCGCATGGTTGATATGGGCCTGGATTGCGTCCAACCAAAGATCGAGTGCCTGCGGGGTTTCTGCATGGAACATATGATGTTGGTGTTCGTGCGGTATGGACTCGGAGGACGAGAGTCGGAATGCATACTTGGACTTTCTGGAGACCTCGGGTCCTGAAGTTAGAATGGAATAGTCCGCAAGATGGAGTACTCCCAAAGGCTTCGTATCGGTCTAAAGCAGTAGACAGTATAACAGCATTTTTTTTCGTCAATTTCATGCATAAAACGCGTGCGGCAAAACGGCGCACTGATAAAATCAAAACATCGGCAGCGAGGGCGGGGGAAAGGGATACAATCATAGTTTCATAAGATGTGGATGCTCTGGACCCTGCTACTGCTGCTGCTGCTGCTGCAGGAATTGAACCTACATTAGTCCGATAATAGTAAAGGCGATCATCTCGCAGGACGCACCACCGTCGCTTCCAAACGAGCTGTAATGAGGATGATCTCTTTTGCAGCCATTCCTCAAGCATTATCCGCTCGTCGTGCATGTTCTTGGGATGCTGCTGAAAAATTGCATTAAAGGAAGCGACGCCAGAATCCGGCTGCGCTGAAGACGCATAGAACTCGTAGTATGAATGGTCGACTTGTTTGTTGCCGTTGATCTGATGATGAGGGTGGGCGCCGTCAAATTGGGTCGGGGCCTGATCATGTTTGCTCGGTTTGCTTTTGAAAGAGTTCTTCAAACTCCTATGAGAGGCTGTGTTGGTGTGTTCGAACGGAGATGTCTCGTTATGGCTGGGCGAAGGCTGAGAGTGGGTTTTGCGAAAGGCGAGGCTCTTGATTCCGGACGTATTTCTGGTTTGGTCACTCAGACTGCTGGTATTGGTGGATGTTGACATTGATGTGTTCTTTTTGCTGTTATTGCCCAGGTGTTGATGTTGTGAGGTGTTGAGAAGGCCTGATCCTAGTTTCGTAGGTGGGGAGGAAACTGTACCGGAGATCATGATGCTGTGCGAGGAGAGACTGGGACGTGGAAGGGAGAGATCAGACCGGTGAGCAGAGAGATCATGGCCTTCGGGCTCAGTATTGAAGCAGTAGTTTTTGGACTGAACAAAGGGGCCGAATGGGCTGGGGCGAGAGGTCTGCTTTGCTGGAGCCGACCCAGGATGGTGGATAGCACCAGTGTTCTGCTGCTTGGTATTCATGGGACGAAGATGGCAAGGGAAAGGAGAAAGTGATACGATTGGAAATAGCCGGAAGTGATGATATTCAGGGCAGAAAATATAGGCAAGCGATATGGATTGCTAATTCGTGAGGTCCCGTCTGAAGTTAGAGGAAGATCTTTGATGACAAAATGAAAGATAATCAGGAACGAGCGGGGGGCAGGCACCCTCCGGGGTCGCGATCGGGCGCTTTCTGTGGTTGTGATTGGAGGGTATGATGGAGGTCTAGTCCGTGACAGGAAATAGGATAAAGGTGGCCTTTGAGAAGTATGGAAACAGAGTAAAATGAGACAGAGGCGTGAAAAGCGTAGAAAAAGGTACTGTGTTCCCTTGTGGCAAATGAAAAGTGAAGCGCAACTGTGAGTAAGCCGCGGGGAACTGAATGTGGAATGGGAATGAACAAAGGAAGAGTCGAATGTAGAAGGAGCTGAATGAAGAAAGACTTTTGTCAGTCTGGTCTGACAAACAACAACCAATACACGCAACGCCTGTGAGATGCATGGGCACGACACATGTGTTTAATACTGCATATGCTCTTTTCTATTGGAAACACAAAGACAGCCCAGTACCATAATGGCACCACAATTCCATCCCACGGCAGGTATTTCCTCTTTCTGCTCATACAGGATATCGACTACCCTCATTGCCATCAACATTTTTGATCAAGGTTCTGTGGGAACATGCAATATACACACGAAACAAAAGGAGCAAAAAGAAGAGACGAAAATCGAGAGCTGAAAACAAAGAGGGGAGTACAAAAATGTACAACAGGGCCATTCAACTAAGATAGCTGATGGCGTGAGTCTGTGTCTTCATTGTGTCTGCGCATACGAATGTGCAAGTGTTTCTCTTTCATTATTTTTGTGTCTCCCATCATGTTGGGCAAAGACAAAGACAAAGAGCTCATTGGCTGAGGACCGACTTGGGCGTGTGAATTAGTTCCGCGCTCTCGTTACCTGTCTGTGTCAAAAACGCGAGTGTAGCCTGGTCAAGGAGGCGTGTAGGCTATTTAGTTGGTCGCAGTGAATGAATATTACTGAGGACAGTTGTTTGCTTCAGATAAACGAAAGGATCGACTGTAAGGGTGAAGAATCCGTCAAGTGAGTTATGGGAATGGTATTTTGCCAAGAACAATTGACGCTCGTAAACGATAAACAGAAAGGATAGGAAAAAGAGGAAGAGATAAAAAGAGAAAGAGGGAAAGGAGAGAAGAGGAAGGAGAAAAGAGGAAGGAGAAAGACGTTCCTCTTTCGCGTCCCTTGCAGCTCGCTTCGCATTCCATTCGTTTTAAAAAAAATGTCTGTCATCACCATGTTTATTAACTTTGAGTGGGGGGTTATTCTTTTGGACCCATGGGCAGCCATGGATGGTGCTTACTTTCATTCGCCGGGCACGTTAAACGTACTTCTTCCGCCACAAACAGACATCATCCAGCATCGTGTTGCTGTTGTGTTTATCAACAACGTGCTCAATCACGACAATAATTACGGACCATGGTGCACCAATGCCATGCCCATGCCCATGCATATGCCATGCATCATGTTGCTCTCTTGTGTTCCCAACACTTACATTTGTTCTATTCATTTGTAGGCTGGAAATTGTAGTTTATACTCTCACAAAAAGGAAGCCATCGCCTTCCGCGCCCCCTCCCTGTTCAGCCTTATCTCGACTTCGCCCTGAATAATACTTTCATTCACCGAAAATGAAATCGTCAACCACGTCCTTGGTGACAACATCCTTGCCCACATGGGCAAAGTCCTCTTGTTTATCTTTTCCTTGCATTTCTTTTTTGATCACATCCGATCCACCCTTGCGACGCCCATGTGTGTGCGCAGTTGAAATAACAAAATGCAATTTCACAAATGGATGATAGGAAAAAATGCGTTCAATAGGCTGGGCTTATCCCCTTCCGGCCTAGTCCCAGCTCAATACTACATGTGCGTGCGTCAATGTTGCTATAGTCTTTCAGCAACAGCCTGCCCTGCAAACCTCCATGTCTTCAAGAGTGCTCGTTAATAAAGCAGTTTATCCTACAGTAAACGAGAGCCAGCAATCAACCATCACGTACCAGTAAGGGAAACCGATGAGACAGAAGAGAGTGAGAGTTGGCAGTAAGATAGCATCACCGACGAATGCGTTGACTACATGCACTGCAGCGGCTCAATAAATAAAAATACTAATAAAAAGCGCGAGCAGATGATGAAAGGAGGCAGGCCATTGTTACCAAGTGCTTGGCTCCAGTATAAATTTATAGACTCGAAAGATACCTCCAAGATGGATGCCTTCTTTCTTCCGAAACGGCTCCCTTACTTCCGCTCAACTTTCACACACATGCACACACCTGTTTTTAAACGGTCGCAGGGAGTGTCTTGTTTCCAATCCATTCTTTTTTTTTCTTTTTTTTTTTACTGGTGTCTTGCTGCTCATGTAGGCTTGCTTTACTCATTGAATGCGTTCATCATCCAGTGCCGCCTCTTCTTGTTCGATAACGCCATGGCGTGTACCCAATGGACAATTCCAAATTACGCGCTCTACGCCAACGGTTACCTTAATACTTCCAGGTTTCACATCTCTCTTCAATACATGTACGCGATGTAATTGTGCCTGACTGTTTACCCCAATGTTTTTTTTGTCGATCCCCATTCCTCCTTTCGAAATACTCTACGGTCCCGTCTGAGCCCATTATCTTGACCCCTACCTGTACCTGGTGCCTAGTCGATTGACCTCCGATCGAGACAAGGCCCTCCTGAGAATCATCTGCTTCGAAACTGGGTGCTCTTTAGCACCGCATTGCCCTGTATATGTCCTAACACTGCAATGCCAATTTTTTTTTTTTTCTTTAGTAACGACAGGACGGTGCACATGTTACGGTCCTAAGATGGCTCCTTTGTTTTTCGCAACAAGGTTCAAAAAGAGCTCTGCCTAGTAATGTATGGAGTATTTCAAGACGTCGAGATTAGGCACCAGGAGTACATATCACTTTGACAGAGGTTGAGGATGGTGGACCCAGCCGACACCAGGGCGGCTGAATTAAATGCAGGAACGAACTAATCTCAAAGAGAGGGCAGACAAATATTGATGTGGATCTCCTTTTATTAGCTTAGCTCTCGCTTTCGCTTCATTATTTTTCAGCGTCTTCTGTGAGTTCCAACTGGGCCTTCGTGGTATGCGGGTTATCAACAGCACTTCGAGCGAATAATTTTTTTTTTTCATTTAATTCGTTCCTTCGAGAGAGTTGAGTATTACTCCACATGGGAGCGTACGTAACTTTACTGTACGTCTACTATTTCCTACCATGAAAATGTAGTGCCATTGAGGGTCAGAACGAAGGAGCGAGCACGAGAAAAAAAATACATCGTTTGAGGCGCTGGGCTTTAATAACATTTTGGTATAAAGCTTTTGCACTTGCTAAAAACGTCTTCAAGAAACAATACCAGCGATGCACGCAGAGATCAAAGTAGAAACCGCCCCACACATACACGCCGAGAACGACAGCCTTGCGATCGCATCCGATCGGTCTGGCGACAACGTCAAAAATAACGAAATCTGCGTTCCAATACTTCCGATGTTCGCAAACGATGCCATCGCATAGGTCGTCAACAGCTTTGTTCTTGGCTCCAACGAGTCCTGGATTTGTGTAAACGCCGCAAACGCCGCAAACTCGTTCAAGATGTATTTCACTCCCATCACCTCCGCCGACTCTCTCAGATCCCCGGAAGGGATCCCGATCAGCCACGCAAGTGGATACAACATCCAGGACGCGATCTTTTGAATCGAAATTTCAACTCCGTAGAAATGAAAGATCCAACCCAGGAAGCCGTTCGCGAGACCGAGTAACGAGATCACAGCGAGCAGGACCGCAATGATGACGATGCACAGCTTGATACCAAAGATTGCGCCGTTCGAGATCGCGTGGATCGCATTCGACTCCCGGTCTTTGTATGCAGGCGAGATCGCCGTGCCCCTCGTCAGCGGAACTTCTTCTTCAGGGAACCGGATCTTTGAGATCACAATCGCGCAGGGGACAGACATCATGCAACATGTCAGTAACGCGGTCGCGTCCGCACCGAAGGCCAACAATCCCAGGAACACGGACCCGGAAATCGTCGCGAAACCAGAGGTCAAGACCTGATGTAGTTCCGCCTCAGTCATCTCCGAGACAAACGGACCAACCAGCATGGATGCCTCGGACATTCCAACAAAGGGCGCAGCACAGGCAGCAACACACTCGACGCCAGAGATGTCAATGATGTGGATCACAACCTTGGCCATGCCTGCGACGACGGATTGGACAATGTTGTAGTAGTACAGACACTGAATTACAGCTGCGAAGAGGATGATCGCAGGCAGGACCGAGACCGCAAAGGAACTCGCGAAAGGGATGGCCGTGCCGTTGTAGGTGACTGAATTCGGCCCAAAGATAAACTCGCGGCCCTGGGAGGCATAGCTGAGAAAGTTCTCAGCCTGTTGCGAAATGAATTGGAAGACATTATAGCCAACAGACCAGCGTATGATGAGGACTCCAAGGATGTACTGCATGAATATCCCCGTCCAGACGATCTTCCAGGAGATGGCCTTGCGGTTCTATGTTATGGTCGTGCCACAATTGAAAGGATGGATAGCATAACACACTTAGAGTTCAGAGCGTGCCCATTTCCAGATGCAGTGCATCCCTCCCTTTTCGCATTTCTGTCCAAATCTGGCCAAGGCTCCTCTTTCAAGGTCCATGACAAACTAATGACGGGAGAGATCTCCCATGAATCGGCCATGGTGAATGAGGGCATGAATTAGTTCTCTGGGGAACCTCACTCAGAAAACCTATTGCTTTACCTTTGAGAACGCAATAACGAGCGACACTAACACCACGAGTCCCAAGCAACTAACCAGTCTCTGTGCTCTTGTTCCATGAGCATCATTTGGCCTCAAAGCTGCCGTCAATATCAGGGCCGCTGGCGGGAGTCCGAATCCCAGCCCCCGGACCAACCACTTCGGCAACCTCCCAATCGCCCTCGCTCCATCATTCCAAACCGTGCTTACCGGTCCTGCAATCGTTCCCTTTGGCAAATGTCTCACCACGATCCACCACACAATCGCCGCATACAACAAAGAAAGTACCAGGATATTGCCCTCCTTATGGATCACGACCGCGGGGATGAAGAGACAGGTGCACGCCACGAATGCGATCGCATGGTGCACTAGAACCTTGTTGTTATAGTAGACCGGGAACCGCCCATGGTATGATGAAGCCGTCGTCGTAGTTGAGACGTCTTCTGCTGAATGCACCGAATCTGCCTTTTCTTCCTCGACTTTATTGTCCTCAGCAGTGCCAATTTTGTTATTACTGGTCGGATGATCACGTCGTCGCTGCGGTTGTATTGAAATATTGTTTTCTATCACTTCTTCGTCACTAGGAGGCTGCGACTCCATGTAATCCAGCTTCTCGTCGTCGACCGAATACGGGTACGCCTCTCTTGACATTTTGTTCAATTGATCGACTCGTAAGGATGATAGTTGGATATCAGTAGAAAGGAGTGAGAAAGGGAAAGGAAATGCAGGAAGGAAAGATGAATCTAAAAGGAAAGAAGAGAAAAATGGTAGGAAGGGGCGAAGGAGGAATTGTGGAAGGAGAAGGTGCGGTTCCAAAAAAATCACTTCGAACGATGTCTCACTAGGGACAAGTGCGATCTGCTTGATCACCCACAGAGATCGAAAAGTCATTGACTATAGATGGCGTATAGCGATGGCAGGCCCTGTACCTCATTGGCTTTAAGCAAGCATGTGGAGAGTGTAGGTAGGGGTCTCTTTCTCCATCCTTTCTGTCGACTGGGGTTTATTATGATAGTTGCCTTGAAATTTTATAATGGTATGTTGGCGGGTATGAAGGATGGTTTACGCATTAAAGACAAGTCTTGGTTCTTGTGGCAGGGGCTTGATCGAGCCACGGTCCGGTACCTGAGGCAGGAAATGCAGCTGTGGACGGCATTGTAATCGCTGCTCATTCGACTTCCTCGCCAGCTTGGCCGGCATGTAGCCGAAAAAGATCTTGCGAACGAATTGCGAGACTGGACCCTTTCGTTATTGTTGTTGTAAAGCAAAAGAAGCATGTAGGTGTTAGCGGTCGGTGTATAAGAAGTTTGGGTTAATATGGATATTTTGCTGCGCCGTGGCGATCTCGGCCTACCCTGTCTCCCATGACCTTGCCAAACTGTCGCGACTTGCTGAGACCTGCTTTGGCGGCCAACATACGTTGGGCGTAGTAGGTCTCGAACACCTTAGTAATGTTCTTTTGTGTCACTTCAGGCATGTCCACGAGCAAGTTACACAAATAAACACCCTCCAGAATCGCAAGGTTTGCGCCGAGTCCTGCGCTTGGGACGACCTAAACATTTGCCGATGGGTCCCACGATGGCATTTATGAAGTTAGCCGAAGGCGTCTCTTGTCGACAAACATAAACGACAAAACAAAACATCCGTTATACCTTGTGGCATGCTGTGCATCGATAGATAACAGATATACGTGGTCAGCCGATGTTGCTCTATTACTTATGCTCGTTTTTTTTTTTTTTTTTTTTTTTTTTTTTTTTTGCTTACCATCTCCTAGAAGGACAACACGATCCTCGTACCATGTCTCGAATAACTTTTCTTCCAGCATAATCTTTGAAATCTCAGGCGACCTGTCGATGATGTCTCCCAAGGTGCCCTGGAACGGGTTCGGCTGGTGGCGCACAAAATCCGCCATTTCCTTGGAGGCCTCTGGACCCCATTCCGAAAACCTGAATCCTGCACCCTTTTCGGCATTGCCTCTGGGTACGTTTTGGATCACGGCCCATGAGATCCTGTTGTTGGGTAGAGGCATGTAAATTGCCTAGACACCCGCAGATTCACATGCAAAATAATAACAATAATAATAACAGCCAAAAATGTGAGTAGGAAATGCCAAGGATACTTTGTAGCGCCGTGCTATCATGTCTATCGACTTGTAATACGGGGCCATAAAAGATGTCTTTCACATACATAAAAAGGATCGGTCTTGGGGATGACGACTTCAAAGTCTGCGAAGTCGTTCTTCAGCACTGGGTACTGTTCAGGATCCAAGGGCTCGCTGATTCCGACTAGAGTTACGGCGTTGTTTTGATCAGGACGTATGAGTGACGGGCGACGGCATTAGATGTATTTAGTAAAAGTACATCGAGTGTCCAATCCACGCTCGCTCCCAAGAGATGCTGTGGTGCACATGTTTATACCTAAGCAATGCTGGTTGTAGCCCAGGGGCTTGTCGTCCGAAGCAGGGAGCTTTCCCTTCTGCTTCAGGCTCTTGTATATGTTCTGACGCACTGCAGAATATGCCCCATCGGCACCGATGATTATGTCGCTCAAATACGCGCTGTTGGAAGAGAGGACTCGCTGCGTCAATAAAGGTCCAGAATGTTGATCCGCGATAGATGGATGCGGACAATGAAGGTTTATTTACATCGAGGGAAAAGAAACGAGAGCCCGCTCCAGACAAATAGCTTTTTTTGTTTTTTTTGTTTGTTTGTTTGGATTTACCTTCCATCAGCACACTTGGCCACCGCTCCATCTTCGCCCTGGGTGATCGAGAGGACTCGCTTGTTGTAGAGGATCTTGTGCTTCGGCAGGTTCTTCAGTAGCACATTGTAGAACGCTGGACGATCTAGGATAATGGCCGGGTAGCCGCCACTAAACGGTGCAAGAGCACGAAATCATTAACCAGAGCTTGGAGGTATATCCATCCTCGGCCGTCTCAAATTTCCCGCGCGTTTTCATACATCTCTTCCAGGTCCGAAAAATCTACTCTCCCAATGGGTTTGAGTTGGTCGTTGTAAAAGTTGAAGTGCCGTACAGGGTTGGAAACCTCGTAAAAGTCATTGAGCAGGCCCAATTGCTCCATGACAGGCAAGCTCGTTGCATCCAGACCGAGGGACGAGCCCAGAGCTCTGATGCGGGTTGCCTTTTCAAGGATGATGTAGTTGATGTTGGTCTTCTCAAACATGTTGGCGAGGGCCAGTCCACCAATACCTCCGCCCACAATGGTTACAGTGAGGCTGCTGGACATGGTGTCTGAGGAATGGGATTCTGATTCGGTCGAGCGGTGGGGGAAAATGGAGGAATGAGTTGAGTTGAATGAGGGGAGCGCGGCGCAGAGACAATTTGGAAAGAACACTCGGTGGCGTGATGAAAGCTCCTGAAAAAAAAAAAAAAAAAAAAAAGAACGAACCAGCCCAATGGATGAGAGAGCGGGGAGGGAGGAGCTTTCTATCTTCAGTGCTCGTTATCTCGGAGGATCGCCGCATCCTCCATCTGCTCCACCGTTACACAGTCTCTTGCCAAGTGTGCCAACTGTAATTTACATTACTAAAGGAATAACCAATGAAGCACTTTCGATCCAAAGAAGGCCCAGTGGAAAGCAACAGGAGCACTGTCGAGGTGCGTAAAAAAGAACACTTTATCAAGCCCATGCGGAATGTCGTCCATTGTCCAAGCGCCCCTCTTTTTTTTTTCCATCTGCAGACTTTCGCATCTAGCTTGACACCACTGCCTCTTTTAATCGCAGGGTATATGCTCTGCAAGTCTGCCACCGCGTGCGATGACAACGAAGGTATATCTGAACAACGACAGTGGCGACAAGGAACGAGATATAGATTAGATTACGTTCATTTTAGTGGGCTTGCTTGAGCAATCATTCGAAGAAGGATTGGAACGACCTCTTGTCATATCCAATGAACATGCGTTCTCCTCCGTTACAGACAGTGGTGGAAGTCCACTGCAATCGAAGGTAGAAAATACCAGGTAGCTGCTTGGATCGACAGTTGCATATGCCTTGCTACCTTCCAGTCTTCCGTCCTTGATACAAGGCGAATCCTTGTTGTGTTTGACAGTTGCTCGTCCGTCGCAGGACATGGCAGGATATTAACCAGCAAGATGGTCTGAGAAATGCAACAAGTGATCGACGTTAAAAAAGCTACGTCGGTGATCTGGCTCACGCACTTTTGATAGACCAACGTGGGCACACATTATCATCAGCACTTGCTTGGAGAACGGCAAGAAAGTTGACTTAAGAGTCGAAGTTGGTGGGATGAAATAGTGTCACCCAGCTACTTCTTATCTGACAATTGGGCTTAGCTTGAGGACTGCCCGCGCACTGTAGGTCATCCAGGTGACTTCTTCGGTAAGAGTATTTGGCAGTAAAGCTTTCTCGATAAATGCTCGCAGGGGTAATGATGAAGAAAAGGAGGATCGGCGTATATCTCCAAACAGCAGTCAGCTAATGATATGAAAAAATAGAAAAGATAGAGTATTGGCAGAGATGACTTGCTTTCCTTGCAAGACGCATCACCAGCTCACAGTATAAGAATGCTCAAAAGAATGAACTGTTCATGTGAACTTCATGGGACATGCCGAATAAATATCCCAAAAGGATCCAGGGCACCACAATGCATAGCATCGAGATCCAGGGCAGCGAAGAAATGTCTAGAAAGGAGGATGGAGTACGATACAATTCCAAGGGCGACATCAGAGTCATACTCGAGAGAAGGATGTGATAAAAGTAAAAATAACCAGGCTCGATGGATCAACGAGACGACGTGAAGTTCATGGCGAAAAAAGCAAAGTCAGCAAACACCAAAAAAGTCTGGTGCAAAAGACGAAGTAAGGGAACATGAATGCATTGGCCAAACTCAATTACTAAACTACCGAAAACTTGAAGAGTATTGAGAAACGGGGTTCTTCCTGCTTGCGGTCCTGGACGCGCACGAACCTGTTTGTCATACTCGCCACAAAATGATGCTCTTAGCGTGTCTCGATATGTATTTCAGCAGTTTCTAGAACCGGCTGTTGCGCCAGTAGCACTAAGGTGGGCGCTCTTTTTATTTCGGTTCGCAGGTTCACAATGGAAAAACTGCGAAGTACTCGTCAACCCTATCCTCCAACCTCCTGTAATTCTCTTCCTATCTAATGAAATTTGTTGACTTCGCCACCGCCTCTTTCCTAGCATAGTTTCCAAGTCCCCATCCCCTTCCCTAATCTATATAACATCCCAAATCCCTTCCAGGCATAATACATCTATATATTGAGTTCCAAGCCCTCCTGCGCATGCTCTGTGCCTTGACTTTTTCCTCGGCCCTTTATCAGCTCAATTGAGTTCGACTATGATCTCAGGGTCCATCTGATCTCAGTCCCACTGCCATACCGGCGTCCTTGCACCTCCTGCAAACAACTTTCATGCCGCTAAATCACAGTGTAATTTGCCAGTTAGCAGCAGAGAAGCAGATATGCGTCCTTATCGACCACTGGCATAACACCTACGTTGCGATACGGCTTCTTGAGTATCATGCTGTTACTTGGTAATTCAGCTTACGGACTAATTGAAATATAAAAAGAGACTGCCTTCCCTTTCATTGCCTCCTTCCATCGATTTCGGTCCAAGCAAAAGGCCGTAAGCACATTATCTAGTACCACGTACGAGAGTTTGACTCTTTGCGATCCTTTTGTAGATGCTGGTTTTTGGATATAAAAGTACGGATGATTCCATTCCACATGAACATCTTTTCAGCTTCATCTTCCAGACCAAAGCTCCCTCTCTACTTCTAAGCCTAGTATCTCACTTCACTTTCCAAGTAAGTATTCCAACGCTTAGATTTTTGCTCCGTTGTATAGGGGAAATATAGAAGCTGATGTGCGCGTCTCAAATTTTGATTGCCATTTTTTCTAGAAGCTCAGTATGTACTCCCCCCAGCTCATCCTTTTGTTTGCCCTCTTACTCTCTTACTCGGGAACCTTTCATTCACGTCTGCCCATACCTAATCACTGTTTGTGACGGATGAGCGTCCGTCAAATATGATTCTAAGGACTCTCCATGTATCAAAGATGACCGAGTGAACGGATGTGATGACACTGCCACTGCCCACGATAGCAGCAGCAGGACCATTCAAGTTACAACTGCTCAAGACCATTTGTGATGACCTAGAACGGCAGAGTGAGGGTTCGGATAGGATCCGACAAAAAATCGTACCAGTGCGAGTAAAGAACATCGGTAGGGTTACTTTGTTCAAGATTATCGTACTTATCCGGAAGGCTGCCCATTGATTTCGCCAGAATTATAATTATTAACGCGGTGTACCTCATGTGGAAGGAGAGTGTGCACACTAAGACACTTTATCAACTTCGAAACGCTTGCAATCAACAGCCATGAAAGTCCAAGTTCACTCATACACGTATAAAAAGAATAAAAAATGAAAATAAGAAAAAGATGCTACCAGTTGAACGCCTTCTGCAGATAGCTATATAGTTATAGGTGGGCATGGTGTAAGAGGCGGACAAAATGGCTTTGCTTATATCAATGGCGACCGTCCTATTTATTGCTCAATCTTGACGCGAATATCGCCATTTTTTCACTCTCATTATATGAAGACTCTTTGTTGATGCGGAAACAAGCGCCATCTGTACACCAAGGAGGTTCCCCGATATGTATCTTAAGCCTGAGGGCATCCTCCTCCGCTGGGGTAGGGCGCTGAATTACGTGATCGGAGACCGCCGTTGTGCAGCGGATCCACGCTTAACACCGTATAGGAGCTTTACTTGGTAGCCTCGCCTAAACATAGTAATAAACATAATTGTATATCTGTGTGTTATGGTTAACCAAGTCAGCAATGTTGCAGCGCAACTGGAATTTAGCAATTTTGGGCTAAGCATTTACTACCGAAGCGTATCTGCTTTATCTCCCTAAAAAAATGTGAAACTTGTCCTTATCCTTGTCTATTGGGCGGAGCCTGTGCATCCGTGCAGAGTGGTTAACGGCTACCCTTCATGGATTAGTAGCGTATTGAAGAAGATAATCGTTTCACTGTCGCTATCAGCTGTGAGTGGTTGGTTGAGCTGGGAAATGCGGTTTCCCGCTACGTACCCGCAATTATTCGTGCACCTCGAATTAGCCGATTCAAGTCAAGACTTTCTGTGTTTGTTGCACCCAGCCTAGAGTCGGAGAGAAAAGGAAGGAACAATTCAAACACAGCTAGCCCTACCCCTGTACACACCGTGTACCACCACATGGGTCCCGTCAATACTCGCTCCTCTTTTTAGTGGCGTGTTGACGTCACATAGTTCGTTTCCTGGCCGCCCAACTGAACAATGCTCAGTATAAAAGACTCCTCACTCTCGATACGCTTCTTTCCTTTCCTCTCCTTTCGAACACCCGATCTCCACCTCTCCCGCCCCGTACACTCTCGCTTAGCCACTCACTTTCACACACATCCTTACATTCAAAATGGTCGCCTCTGTTGGAAAGATTGCCCCCGGCTTCAAGGCCACTGCCGTCGTTGACGGCGCCTTCAAGGAGGTCTCCCTCGACGACTACAAGGGCCAATATGTCATCCTGTTCTTCTACCCACTTGACTTCACGTAAGGGAAATGGAAAAATTTCTTTACACATGCCAAAGCCAGCATCTCTTTGCAGCCGTTGGTCTGTTGTTTTCTTGCTTGGATTTGTTATCTGACCCCTGCATTCTCTTGCCTTCCCACTCACAGCTTTGTCTGCCCCACCGAAATCATCGCCTTCTCTGAGGCCATCGAGCGCTTCAACGGTCTCAAGACCGCTGTCCTTGCTTGCTCCTGCGACTCCGAGTTCTCTCACTTGGCCTGGGTTAACACCCCCCGCAACCAGGGTGGTCTTGGCCAGATGAAGATCCCCATCATCGCTGACTTCACCAAGAAGATCGCCACCGAATATGGTGTCCTCAAGGAGGACGAGGGTAAGCCTTTTTACATTCTGCTAATTTCCAAGCTGATGGAGCTGCGCAGTAAAAAAACGTGGAAACAATTAATTCTAATTGTATATCAACCCTTTCATATATATCTAGGTGTCGCTTACCGTGGTCTCTTCATCATCGATCCCAAGCAGGTTGTCCGCCAGATCACCATCAATGACCTTCCCGTCGGCCGCAACGTTGACGAGGTCGTCCGCCTGGTCGAGGCCTTCCAGTTCACTGACGAGGTTAGTAATTTTTTTCCCTTTGGGTGGCTCACAGTTTCTTTGTTTACTGTTTGCGATTGGCACGTCGTACCATTGGGCGTAGCAACACCAGCGGTAGCAGCGTCAAAACGCATAGACTATGTCTCTAATCCTTACCTTTTTCTTTGCCTGATCCAAATAGCACGGTGAGGTCTGCCCCATCGGCTGGCAGAAGGGTCAGTCTACCATCAAGCCCGATGTCGCTGGATCCAAGGAGTTCTTCGCCTCCTCTGCCTAAATGTGCAGTTGGACGCCTATCCATTGCGCAATCATAAAGTTGTGTCCCACAGCTTTAACAACACACATTGTCATATAGCATGCATTTTTGCACAACCCATATACATACACGAGCACGTCTTTTTCTTGCAAATAAAAAAACCAACTAGAGACAAACGAAGTGGTTGAAATTGATGCATCTGATCTGTGAGACGACCCAAATATGGCCGATCCGTGTTGCTGCGTACATGGAACAGGTTCTCACGATAAAGTGGCGCATGCACATTGGCTCATGGCGTGTCCGTGTTTGCACCTATCTGATCAAGACGATCGCTGTACCCATGAGGGTGGACGTTGGACTTCGAATGCACACGGCTGTCACGGCTGTCACAGCTGTGCTGCCGGCTCCTGAAAAATAAAGGGTCAGTTACACATGGATCTAGACTCTTCCAAAAAGCGCGCTGCATAATGGCGTGAAGCAGCACCACTCCTGTTTGATAATCCTACAGAGCAGCAAGAAGATGCTCATACAATGGACGAAGCTCCTTCCTTGACCTCCTTGCTTCACAGACGACACCTTTTCCTCCTTCTCATCCCTTGATTGATACTGGGCAACGTGCAGCTGCAGCATGGTCAGCCATGCCAAATGCGTCGATATCGTGAGCAAAAGTGCGGAGAAAGTAGAAAAATAAATAAATAAATAGAAAATTGGGATGGCATCCAGGCAAGCAAGCGACATGTAGCCAAATATAAAAGGTCCCTGAGGGAGCCACCATGCTCTCAATGGTCTTCAAAGCATTGCGCCTTGGACTATAAAGTCTACCTTTGCTTCGCTGTTTTTGTTTTTTTTTTGTTTTCAGCAACCCTTCTTATATCCACTACATAGTGCCAAGCTTAGTTCATTTCACCGCACGTCATTTTTTTTTTTGAACCTCGCAACTGGGTGATACTGCGTATACATTTCGTTCTCTCACTCGTTCCCCCGACTTCAAAGTGCGCTATCCATTAAGTAACGGATCTTATCGCACACGATTATACCAAGCAAGGCACCATCGCCACAATGTTCAAGTCTCTACATCAACTTCTCTCGCATCCTCATCGCCGCTATTCCGGCCCAAAATACGCACGTTCCACCACCTTATACGCCTTGATCATCGCGTGCGCTTTATTATTGTGTCAAATAGTCATATCTGCTCAAGGAGCCCCAGTTTCCGTAGAGGGAGTGCGGAACACTGCTGCAATGACCGAATCGAAGGCGCCGACTGCGACTCATGGCATGCTACAGAAGCGATACACCTGCTATTATGGAACTTGCAACTATCAGACGGGCAAGTGATCTGTCTGGAAGGAGGTGCAAAGGAGGCGCATTGAGGAGGATGCCGGGTTAGCTGAGATTCTGTCGTAGCGGTATACTTATCATTTCGCACCTTTATTCTTTCCGTTTTGCTATTTCAATGTCTCTTCCTATATCGAATTTTTGACGAAGTGGAAGAAATAAAGAAGACATGCCCACAGCTTCCGTACGTAGTAGGAGAGAAAGGATGGTGTTGGTTACACCTCTCCCATTCTTGTTGATCCTTGATCGTCGTGCGCTATAATCAATGCAATTGCTTCGCATTCTTTATTGTAACGTCTTCCTGACCTCCAGTACAGGCGTTAGCGAGCTGCTTCGGGTCTAATTGGTTTAGCCATGGACGAACCTCAATCATCTGCGCACAGACAGCGCGACCACGCGAGATCTTGAGTATGCGTCACGAGAGTCGTGGGTAACAACATAATCTTAGTTTTAGTGCCCTTATTGGCTAAGATCTATCTATGATTGAGATTAATGTCTGGGAAAAATGCTCTCTTAGCGACTATAGGTGCGGCTGACTGCAAAAAGTCTGAGTACTTTTCCCACTCCTTTCTCCTTTTCATTTCTCCATGATTCCCACCTTTACACCAAACCTCTATCTCATCTTCTCACGGCTCTGCAATGGGCATTAAGGGCTTGTGGCCTTTGCTAAAAAGAAAAGAATATGAGGTTACAGTGCGCCATAGACACTCCAACCTCTCCAATCCTTTCCACAACCGCCCGACGCGTTGAGTAGACCACTTTTGGTACATTTTTCCTTACTATCCAGCATGGCTACACATCCCACACTATGGAGGCTGCACACACCGTTGTCGAGAGGGAGCTGTAGACGCTGGCGACCCTACTAATCCAGTTCTTTACCTGGACGGCTGTCTTTCGCAAGAAAAATAACCCACTCGCCATCGTCAACAATCCATCCGTGACAAAGCCTTGGGGTTAGCCCAAGAGGGCCTCGATGAGCTGGAGGGTCGTGTGTCAAACAATCTACGGATGCGGAAGCAACGTTTCTTAACCGTGCAGAGGAGCCTGACGAAGTCCTTCTATTAGTTGCCGGACCATCAGGACTCAGCTCACAGGCCTGGCTGTGGTATCCAAGAACGACTACAACACCAACATCCCCACGCTGGGTTGTGTGAGCAGTTTTAGCATCATCAAGGCCTTGAATGGAGAAGGTAATGTAATATTCATTTAAACGAATGACCATCCTTTGTGTGGGCATGTTCTAATGCAATGTTCTTTTATTTCCTTTATAGACGCCACATCGATGATAGAGCAGTATTTGTCTCACCGTCTGGTCGTCTGCAAGAATTCAGGTAATGAAAAGTTTGCTACATCGTTTAGCGTGCTCGTCAGTTGCACACAGACACTTTCACCATCAATCCAGACCCTCACGGCTCTCGAGTACCACGAGCTTCGCACAGACTTCAATCGCATCAAGGAACAGCTTTGCGAGATGCGCGTCAAACGGAGAAAAGATACAAAGTACTGTTACTTACCCTCTCATCAAATGTTGTATACATTCTGGCACTACTTGTCTGGATGCAGCCAAGTTATTAACCCTGGTTTACTCATCATGGAATCATGATAATGAGTTATCTGGAAGCACGGTTCAGCGCCACAAGCCCTGGCAGATGTTTAATCGCTACCGCCCGGTCGATCCCCCTACTCCGCAGAATAAAGAGGCAGTGGCGGTCAAAGACACGGAGATGACAGCAGCGCTGCCCAGCTCGTCTCAGAAAGAGATCCTTAAATACCGGCCACAATATTCCATCATCGTGCACACTCCAAAAAGAGAGCACAGGCCACCAGAGAGTATGAAGCAGTACGCATGGAAGCCTTGGGAGAAGCCGCCGGAGAGTCCATCTGGCCACAATATCGATGTCCCCCAACAAAAGAATACAAACAACAAGAACAGCAGCAGCAATAAATATAACGAAAAAAAGGACAACTGCAACGGAAGCAAGGATAAGAACAAGGGGGAACCAGCTAAACCAGTAGAGGACATGGACAAGAAAGGACTTATGAGAGCTCTGGCATGGGAACATCCCACATTAACCCTCGATATTGGAACCTTATCTGCCAATGTCAATAGAGCCTTGGTCAGCCAACGAGATTAGTGTCCGAGGTGGTCAGGTGTTTGGAAGAGCCCATGCGCCTCGCAGTCAACATCAAACGATCATGTCAACAGCTCGTCGGTCAATTCATTGAACGCGTTGCAACACCAGGCGACTGCACGGTATCAGACAGAGAGTTATTGGACTGTATTTGCCACGTATCTCTACAAATGGCGTAGGCGGCAGCGGTAACGGCGACGGCAACCACGATGACGAAGACAAATCAGCAAATGTGGACGATTTGGATGACAAGAGCGGCGACGCTCAGCTTGGCTTCCTTTCCATACTGTTGCGATACCTCTACTCTGGCTCCTTCTCTCCCACTACGGCGACCGGTCCACGCATGCAAAAGCTCACCACTCGATTACAGGACCTAGGCTTGATGGATAAAAGGGACGGAGCAGCAATAAAGCTGACTATGCCATACCCAGCGACATCCTTGCTGCGATCTGTTGCCTCGCAACTCTTAAGCGGATGTTTTGGAAAAGCAGTAATAAACCCCATGAAAAGGTAAAGAACTGACTTTAGATATCGTTGTTATACCCACGAGTTTAACGCCAGAGCACTTCAAAGGAATGCGAAGCTTACAGCACCAAATGATCTATATACTGTAGCTCAAGATCAAAAGGGACAAAGGGCTCTTGCCAGATGGGTGCGGCGTCGAGACTAGGAGTGGCGAATCCGCGTTCGAGAGTTTTGTCCGCTTGAACCAGATCAACAAAAAGCGCCGGGGGATCGTTCCTATTACGCCTGTCAGCCAGCCATTCTTTCCTTTCTCGGAAGGTGAGCTGCTTCCGTTCTTTTGGAAGAGCGATGCGCTGCAGAAAGAAATCAAGAAACTTATAAAGTGAGGAGACTATGTGCTTACGGATGCACAGAATTGGCTGTCCGATAAAGCGCCGGGATTCCTCGTCACAATTCTAACCATAGATATCAGGCGGGATGGACAGGATAGGCCCAAGCGCCAGTAGCCAGTAAATCATGCAGGAAGTAACACAATGCCCGTGGAGGAGATACGGCAGCACCTAACACTCATTCGACAAAGCAACTTCGATCCCAGGACGTACGAGAGAAATAGCCGTATCCTACATGGGTCTCTCCGAACTGAAGGATTCCGTCTTCAGATCGTCGCCTTCGAGTTGCAGGAACCCCAAGCCGCTCGATACAAACAACTCTCAGAGAGTATGCTGCCGACTCGAACTACATCCGTCATTGTCGGAAGGGATTACCATTTGACTGAAGTTCGAACCGTTGTTAAGGTCTGCAGGATGTTACAGCTCTCTGGGGATGCAGATCAGAGGAAATCAAGATCCTTGGTCTGGATCTTGGTCAAGCATGTGTAGTCGGAGCAAGCGCGTTGTTGCCCGAGGAACCCAAGGAGGCGGAACTCAAGAAGGCTCAGCGAGATCAGGATGGCGGTATTGTAGCGAAAGAGCCCTGCAATGACACTAAACCAGTCCCCGGTCTCGCCACTTATTATAATCTGGCTGCGGCGCAGAAGGCTGTCTACCAACCAATCCTCAAGTACCGACGCTGGCTGGAAGAGTGCAAACGAATAGTCCTCCCTGGCGCAACAGAATCCATTAGCGACATCGAGAGTGGGCTGCCACCTCTTTGCGGCGACGATGCCATTTTCGCGAAATATGTGACGGAACTTGGAAACGCAAAGGAGCAGTCGCACAGCTTTTATAACCACAGTATGGTTGTTAAAAAGCACCGGTGGGATGCCAAGGAGGCTCAGGAAGCAGAGTACGCGATTATTATGAACTGTCTGCTCAAGATGGTCGGGGTGCAACTGGCAGAGAGAGGGACGAAGGGAACAAGGTCGTGATTGGGGTAGACCTTGGACGACTTTCAAGAAAGTCTAGGCCTATGTCTTTGCATACATTCTTCCAGTCCTACTTTGTCTAGAAAGCAAGTATCGTTGCTGGGGTCTGTGAGAGCATCACTTTTTCTTTAATTGTCAATGATACTTAATAGTGGACTGTCCTTTCACGGTCCCTCGGGTACATCGTATTACACCTCCAGGGCTCTTTCCTTCGGTGACGTAGTTTTCGCGGCCATCGTCCTGGAATCTGTATTTATTTATTTATTTTTTTGCATAAAAAGATCTGCTTCTCTCCCTCCCTGTCCCTCTCTCTTTCCCTCTTCACCTCTTCCAATCTCTCAACAAAGACAACAGCAACAAAGGTATGAACAATTTTTTCACTTGGACTTAGTCTTTACAAAGGAGAAATCACGGACGACGATGACTTGATCGACCCATATAAAGTCATTCCTGAATTACCATTATGTTGAACAAAATACAGTTTCAGCCTTGTCTGAGTCCCCACCTTTCTCTACTGATTATCATCACCTGAGATAATGTCTATAAGCAGTTGAAATGCATCGCATACTGACCTATATCCTGCTCAATTAATCTTGTTTTCCAGGTTGTTTACAAGGAGAACATCAACGGGAGGCAATTGGAACGAACGATCGATCATCAACCATAGGAAAGCCAGTAACAAAGTACACGTATGTGCATATTCCATTTCTTTCAATATCACATCTATGGTGGTCCTATTAATGATTGTAACGCATGACGGGCGGTCGGAATGTGTTCGTACAAACACGTCAATTATGTCGAAATGTCATGCTTCTGAAATATCACTCCTCTTCATTCTTGGTCATGAAGTTTGAGTTCTTCAAGAAGCATCTGAGGATTAACCGCGTGTGATTTCTACTTTGCTCTTCATTAGATTGATCATCTCTTTCCCAAACGACATGCAGGTTCTCCGGCTATCGCTGTAAATTAGCGTTCAATTGCGCGATGAATGGTAAGGATCTACATCTCGATGAACCACTTTCTCTTTTTCCTAGCATTTTTTTTCTTTTCATTTTGGACGGCTACAAGGATGATTTATAAGCATGTCAAGCTCAACAATCTGAAACGGATGGAGACCCCATCTGCCAAGTTGTGACTATTCTAAACCTGAGGCCATCAACAAAAAAAAAACGCATTCGACTTTCTCTTTTCTTTATTAAGAGGCATTGATGAAAAAGATATCAGAGATTCTGACTTGGTGCATGTTGCGCTTATTTGTAGATCGTATAGTCGCCTTCGTTTGATCAAGCGAGCTGTATGTAGAATTGACAAGCTTCGAGGTAAGTTCTGTAGGCTAGACTAGATTTTGGCTCCTTTATATTGTCCATGTTGCAAATAAAGCATGATGTTTACGAAGCGATAATGCTGTTGAAAAAATGTTAATACGGAAGGACCATTGGATTGCAACGTTTCAATTGCTCGAGAATATTGAACGATAGACCATGCCCTGATATGGCCTCATGCTGTCATGGCACTGGGTATTAGGCTTAACCATAACTTCTCCCGTTTGGTTCGATCCGAGGGTGACATAATTGGACAATGTCGCACGACAATCCCCGTACTTGATTTGTCGTCTTCCCCATTCCTCCATTCCACCTTCACCTTAAACTAATCGATTATGAAGAATCAGCAGCCTCATTCACGCCTTCACCACTCGCGCGGATCGCTATTCGTCCTCTCCACAAAATCCACAGGGGTTGTTGCAGCCGTTGCAGTCGGACTCGCTGCGGCTGCGCGTCCTTCCGCTGCAAAAATGACGAACGGTGCCCTCTTGATATCCGTGGGAGCACTGCAATGCTGCTGGCTCGGTGCGAACCTGGTAAGCAGACAAACGTCAAAACTACCCTGCCCACTTCAAACTCTTTTAATGGCATCTTGTCATGGTAAAAAATGAGTATCTAATCAGATGAAGGATACTAGGCAATATCATTCTTAGAAGCACCCGTCAAGTTCCTAGCACCTTCACCCTCCCGTCGGGGACTCATCGACGTCGGCCGCCACGTCTTTTCGGCCCTCAACAAAGTAGAAGTCATCCTCGCTGCCTTTGATATCCTCGGCTGGTACCTCCTGACCCAGCGTGGACTGATCGTGCCTCTATCCACCGGATGGACCATCGGATCGAATCATGCAGGATTCCGGCACCTGGGACCGCGCTATTGGCTTCAGTTCACGCCCGGAGTGATCGTATTGCTGCTCCAGAGCTTTGGGTTCCTCCCGATCATGAGGAGTGTAGGCGAACGATTTATTGAGGGTCGACCGGTTGAGAACCCGAGGGTCCATGGGGTCTATGTGGCCCTGGAGGCGGTCAAGGTCGCGGCATTAGCTTTTAGCACAGTGAGCGTTGGAAAGGCACTGCTGAAGTTGACCTAGAGTAGCGTCCGAGCTAAATGTTTTAAAATAAAATAAAATAAAATAAAATGGATTTTACCCAGCGGGGGGTTTTTTTCCTGCCTGGCCTTTGTTTGTCCTCGCGTGCTGATTCCTAGAAGAACAGAACACACTTTAATCTACAAACGTGGCATTCCCAACGCACCATGGACGCATTCCAACCTCGCCCGGTCTCCCAGCGAAAGCGCAGCTACTCCACCACTGCGTACTCATCCCAGGAAGAAGAAGCCACATCGTCTTTGAACAGCAACAATACTGATTCACAGGCACCAGCATCACCACAGCCAACAAGTCTGCTTGCCACAGCAGTAGGGGCCCAAGTCCTAACATACGAGTTCATCAATAACGGGACCGTTCTCCCTACGGCAACAGCTTCAAAGCAACAACAACCGCCTATCGCAGCACCGGGACAATATGAGGGAATTCAGATGTCAAACGAAAGGACCGCCTTTGGAGTCTCCAGTCTTAAGTGGAGTCCTGACAGTACGTCTTTGTTCAATGGTCTTCTTTACTTCCGCTGAGAGGTCTCTTTGAGCTAACGTGAAATGCCGTGTCTTTCTTTCGTGGCTCCTAATGTCTTTATAGATTCGATGCTGGCCGTCGAAGCACAGGATGGCCGGATATTTCTGCACGACAGCAGGGGTCGGTTCCGGGAGACATTGGTGCAGGAACCAGTAATGGAGGTACCACAAAAGCAGCACTACACGACCATTGCTTTCTTCACAGTCAGGACATGGTCAATTAGGACAGCGTGATGTACTAATGCTGAATTCGCTTCACTGCTAGACATCTCGATCGGGAACCCAAAGATGTGTTTTGTCGTGGGCACCAAAACCGCAGCGATTGTACTTTGCGAACGGTCAGAAGGTCATGACATGGGATTCAACATTACGCCGCACAGCCGAGACATTTGAGGTGCGGCAATAGTGAACATAGATATCGGGTGCTGCAGTTGTAATGAATGTGAGGTATCGGCAGTATGGGCTTGACAAAGAGTTCTTTCATTTGACAATTTCATAGATGGCATCGAGGATCAATGCACTGGCAATCAACTCGGAGGATATCTTGCTGGCCGTCGGACAAAACTCTGGAAGTGTGGATGTCGTCAATCGCGCGACAGGGGTCAGCGCGAGGCTTGAAACGCCATCATCACTGGTATGTCTTGCAGATCCCTCTCCCTCCCTCTCTCTGGCCAATTCCGAAGAATTCTAGTAGATCATTATCTAGCACGAAACTTGACAACATTTTTTTTTTTTTAAGATCATGGCAAAGCTCGAGTACTCTGTGTTCAGTCGATCAATATTAGGTGGCATAGGCAATGATGGCGTCTTACGGCTATGGGACACTGGATCGAATGGATCGACAACCATGTATCACAGCTTCACTATGACGCACGAGGTCCCGATAAGCGGCATGGCCTTTAGTCCCTTCAATCGATATCTCATTTGCACAGCTGGACTGGACAAACGATACGCGCTTTATGATGTCGAGAAGAAGAACGTTGTCAAGAATACGTTGACAGAATATGGACTGACCTCAGTCGCGTTCAAGAACGACGGGATCTCGATGGCGTTTGGGACGGATCAAGGAAAAGTATTGCTGTACGATCTGCGATCGACAAGTCGACCCATTTCAATTGTAGACACCCGCGTCGATGCCCCGATCACGGCGGTTCACTTCCAGGGGAAACAATCCTCGAGTTCCTCGTCGATGAAGCGACATCAGACCATTAATGGACATGCACTCAAAAGACAGAATTCTGCAGGGTCCAAGACATCCATTTTTTCAATTAAGGATTCATTGGTATCTGCACCAGCAAGATCTCCGTCAACAGCAGGAGCAGAAGGCGCAGTTCAGAATGCAACAGAGACGGTCGGCCATGGTGCAACATCGACATCTGGGAGGCCGATCCCGATCAAAACAGCAACACTGAGCCATCCAACATTGAGCCAATTCACAACTGGCAATGGTTCATCTTCCTATGATGTACGAGAGGTACAATCTGTAGGCGTCAGCAGTAAGGGAGGCATCTTCGATCTGTTATCATCCAAGCGCAACAATAGCGGCTCAGATTCCGCGGTAGCAGCAACAGCAGTGCAAGAAAAGATTTTATTTAAACCCAGACGACCGACAGCGCCATCATCCGTCTCAACAACAGCCAACAGCACTACTATTACAGGCAATGGTTCAGCAGCATCCTTGTCCTCGAAACCCGTGACTGCAGGAGCTACGTTGCCAGGACCATCTTTATCAGCTAGCGGAGTCCGCAGCAATGGCGGCAGCGGTTCCGGAAAAGGGATTGGGTCAGCGCCAACAACACCAATCAAAGAACAAGTGAATCCATTCGGTAGCGGTACTACGGGCAGCTATCCTAACTCAAGGACGGTCTCACCGTTTGCGTTCCAAGTTATGCAGTCGCGCTCACCCTCAGGGGACGATACATCCACGTCATCTTCATCCGTCAACACCCCACCCAGATCTCCATCAGGTCCATCAGAGCAAAGTCATCAGAAGCACCACCATTATCAGTACCCATCCATCGATGACCAGCCTTCGGCTTCAAAATCATCATCGTCGAGGGTTTCAAGCGTAAAGCGTCGGAAATCGTTCGGAACGCTCATGGCTTCGGGAGGGGCTGCTTCTGTATCGTCGACGCCTGATGCGATAATGATGTCGGATGAGAAAATGGAGTTATTGAGGGGACAGATCGTCGATCGGGTCAAGAACGTGTTGTTGGATCAGTCTGTGGAACGTTCACCGTCACCGCCAGTGGCAGCAGAAACATCGCAGCAACAGCAGCAGCGTGGATCGAAATCGACGGCACCAGTGGTGCAGGATCTGTGGATGCAGGTCGGCCTTGAAGGCGGAGAAGGGATGAACAGGCCGGCGTCGTCGTCTATGAGAACTCAATTTTCGTTTCTGGCTCAGTCAGCATTACCTCCACCCTTGTCCTCCTCCAGCACTGCAAAGGCCAATACCAACGGCAATATGATGGCAATAGACCCCTTACCGTCAACTTCAATATCGTCAACTTCACTACAATCCAAGGTTCTAGAGAGCGTGGTTGACGGGTGTCTGATGGAATTCCGGGCAATGGTCCGGAACGATCTCCAAAACATGCACCTGGAAATCCTGCGACAATTCCAGATCCAAAAGATAGAGATGGAGACGCTTCTGAAGAAATATACCGAAGATCTCTGGGAGGAGAATCAGCGTTTGCAGGAAGAGAATCGGCGACTCAAGACGAATTATTAAAGTAACGGATTGGGAAGGACGTAACTGCAATCCTTTGTACAGCAATAAAACAAGGGTGTCGGCGAATGCATTTGTGCGCGCAGTATGAGTTCTCTCGATCTCACTGCAGATGAGAGTGCAATGGCGCCACTATGATGCTGTTACCCTGATAGTGAGACGATGGTTGCCTACAGCCTTCAGGCACGCATTGAATGATGAACACCATGGGGAGGTTCTTTTTTTTTTTTTCTTTTTTTTCTTTTTTTTTTTCAAGATAAAGATGTGATCTAGCCATTGTCACTGGTAATGAAGTCTATGAACGTTTCCGTTAGGAACGTCCGAGCTCACACCAGGATAAGTAGCGCAAACACTCCGTTGATAATATTTTTATTACTATTCCAAAAGGTTCAAAAGGTTCAAAAGATTCAAAAGTTGCAGTTGGTAGCCCTTGGCACCACCACAGGGCTCCCTCTCAGTTTATTCGACCTGTCAGAGATCAGAAAATGAGTCTGGATTCACGCGACCAGTCTAGCTGCACCAATCCTTTAGTCCATAGTCCGATAACTCGATAGTTCAGACATCAAGAAGAGATCGCCTATCGGATTTAAAGATTCTCGGTACTGATACGATGTTTCCCAACTTCATAACTCTGAATATGGAGTTTATGGGGACTCTGCTACCCGTCGACCAGGTTGAGACAGCGCGTCGATGCTCAAGCCTTAAAACGTCTGCATTTGGTCGTCAAAAAAACCCCGTTAGATGGACAGAGCTTCAATGGATCTTGTTCGACTCTTTAAGGCCGATACCCAGCCGAACACGAAAGACCTCGAATTCATGGCTTCATCTTTGTCTCAAGGCGACACGGCTCTCCTGAGGACCATGCCATAATGCAATTATTGGCAAACATCCTTACGGGTTTCGGACCGAACTTGATTCAAGCCCTTCGTGACCAATTCCCAGCCCGCTACAATCATTCCCCAGCCCTGGAGCACCGGGATCTCATCGGCTACGACCATTCAACCAGTGGCATGATTGAAATGTATGGACGTATAGATCAAAGCGGAAGCTGTTGTTAGGGGTTGAGCTCGGATCTGCATATCCCTGCAATTCTTCTGTCATTATTGACTTTGGACAGGCAGCATCTTCCGATCCAGACGCAGCGGTGACGACGACACCGAGTGGCGATAAAATGGGTCGGCTACAAATGCGTATACCATGTCGTTTGATGCCCTGGCCGATTTATTGTCTATATGTACAGTATATATGGATAATATTATAAGGTTGCTTTATGCTAAATCCGCGGCATGCTGCTGCTGCTGCTGCTGCTGTTGTGGAACCTGCGGCACCTGCGATTCAGGCAATGGAGGAGGTGTCGGCAAGGACGCAGATGTTTCCGACCGACGACCTTCAATCGACGAAGAAGACTCCCGCTCTCGTATGTACGACGCTCTCGACTCAGGACTGATATTCAAATACTCAGACGACTAATTTAGTTTAAGACAAAACCCCAAAGGTTTAGATCCGAGTTAGCACAAATCTTTCCTGTTTCTGAGTGCATGCACAGACTTTTCGCGCACAGACATTCGGAACCAACGTGCACAAAAAAAAGGAGCAGTTTCAATACTCACCAAGACTTGATTCATGTTGGCACGACGCTGAGGATCGGGGTGTAGTAGCATCCGAATCAAAGCCCTAGCATTTGCGTCCGGAACAGCTTGTTCAAAATGCGGGATCTCAAGCTCCCGAGCACTCTTCCATCGCAACCCATTCGCTAATGCGGGCGTGTCGGCTGAAGGATGCGCCAAAAAGTGCAATACCGTGTCATCCGATAGCGATAACGGAAACAACGGCCTCGTCGCAAACAGTTCCTATACATCGGAAACGAATTAATAAAAGAAGCATCAGTAAACGAAGCTGTGCATCTATCACCATCAAAAGGCATAATAGTCGCGAAGACCGCCTTACATAGACCAAGCATCCAAAGGCCCAAAGGTCGATACTAAAGTTGGCCGTAACACCCGACGACGCCTGCTTATCCACCGTCGTGCCTCTCGCCACCTCCGGCGGACAATACCGCACTGTTCCGATTCCGATACACTCCTCGTTCGCAACTCTTGACGACTCCATATCAATCAATTTCCATTGTTGTCGAGAATCATCCCGATTATGCATCACATTCGACGGCTTCAGATCGCAGTACACGATCTTCTTCGAATGACACCATGTTAGACACCGCAGTACGCCCTTTCCAATGTCCCGAATGTATTTTCCGTCAAGAGAAGATCCTGACCGATAGAGTCCCGCGCCCGCCAGATCTAACGTCTCGTTCGGTTGAGCGTGTTCGCGCAGCGCAACCTTCTTGGCCTTCCTCGCATTCTTCAACATCTGCGCCAACGTCTCGTCCAGTCTCTCCAGAATTGCCAACCGGACCTTGGCTGGCTTATTGGGATCGTCCGTCTCGGACACAACTAGTGTCGCTACATGCTTCAGCTCCACAATATAGGGCCCCCGCAATCGCTTCAGCACCCGGCACTCGCGCTCCCAGGCCTCCTTTCTCGCAAAGGACTTGATCACAATCGGTTGTTGAGTATCAGAATCGATCGCAAACAAGATATCGTTCGTTTCTCCATGAATTGGACTTGGTGATTTCGAAACCTTGTACCGAGCTGGTAAGTTCTGCACCAGTGCAACCAGTGCCGGGTTGTCCAGAGTTGTATAAGTAGTTGAAGAATTGGTGGTCGAGGTCGAGGTCGTATCCTTGCGACGAAGATCCGTCGGTCCCTGCTCGTTCTTCTGAGCCTGCTGCTCCTTCTTCTCTGCATTCTGACTATGCAGCTGGATCGACCCACTGCTACGATAGTTCAATATCAAGGCCTCCTCCTCGCTCGGACGCGCCGCCACATCCATGCCCGAGCACATCAAAGTGACCCTATCCAGCGGACTCACAGCGTTAAAGATCGTCGCATCCCTTGGACTTCCTGATCCATCCCGGTTTAATACCTCAGTTGATGTTGCTGTGGCGAATGAGATCGATCCTGGTCCGATCGAAGATCCATTTCCTGTCCGAACCGAAAGCCCACTCGGGTCTCTACGTGATGCCCGTGAAGCACCTCCTGGCGGATGAACCATCAGTGGTATTCTCTGCGAGCTGCTCCCACCAAGGCTTCCTGTCGACTGGCCCAACGATCGCTGCGTCGATCCTGCGCCATGGACGCGAGTGGGTATATACCGCAGCGTCGGCATGCTGTGGTTACTATCCCGCTGATCAAACGACAACGACGACGCAAACGTCCACCGATCTGCATCCTCCTCATCGTCTTCTGCCAGGTGTGCTGGGTAGAACGGATCCGAAGAGACCGAGCCCACTCTGACACCAGCTGATCCACTTGTCGTTGTCTTCGGATCCGATCCCTTGTGCGACCCACTATGAGGATGCTGGTACCGTTCCGATGATCGACTCGACTCTGCCCAACTCGATTCTTGTTCTATCGCTGCAAACGCTGCCATAGACTGCATAGGGTATCCATGCGGCGGCATCGATTTCCGAATCGCCGCATTTTGCGACCGTTTCCCGGCTGAAGATGCGGACTCCTTCCCCAAGGTGCTGTTCAAACTCGGTTTGTCTTCGGCCACGATATCCCTAGAGATATGCTGCTCGCCATCGCTCAAGAAACTACTTGTTCCCTGGGACCGACTCTCTTTTCTCCTAGATGACCTCCTCCTGAATAGTAAGAAGCCGACAAATGCCGCAATCAGGACAACGCTGCCGCAGATGACCCCAATAGTGAGAGGCAAATTGGTGCCCTTTGTCGCTGATCCAACGGGCGGAGGTGCAGCAGGCATCGGTGCGGTCGGACTTGGTTCCTTTGAAGAAGTCCATTGCCAGGCGGTAGTGTCAAGAATATAAATGTTGGTGTCTCTAGGGATGGGTGTACCATATCCGCCCCAGACAAGCATGTTGGTGCCATTCAACAGTGCCGAGTGTCCAGTCCTCTGCCCAGGTCCCATCAGCTTGTTGGTCGCTACCCTGTTCCAAGCCCATTGGGACGTGGATGCATCCAAGACCCATACATCGTCATCCAGCGGCCCATCAGGTCCTCCGCCTAGTAATTGGCGGTGCATCAACCAAAAAAAAAAAAAAAGACGCAAGGTGTTACCAGTCAGTGCTATTTTCAGATCCTTGTCAAACAACCGCGTGCTCGATCTTGTTTGCTATTTGGCTCAAGGCGGCGGCGCCGTCGATGTCGATGCGAAGGCATATGGCATATAGATGCCAATTGTCTGTGAGCACCCTCTCGTGCAGATATGCATGATGAGATATGTTTGTACGCGTGTGATACCATAAACAAAAGGGCGTCGATGTTTGTATATCCCTTTACCGTAGACAATCATTGTGTTGTTGAGGCAAACTGCAGTGTGGCCCTTTCGAGCAGAGGGTATCGTTCCGCCGTTGCCTGCGCTGACGGGCACTGCCAACTGCCAGACTTCCAGGTTGAGATCGAAGGTGTGGACCGTGTTGAATGCCTGGGTCGCTTGATCGCTTCCGCCAAAGATAATCATCATGTTTAAACCTGACAGTCGGCACATAGTGTGGTACATCAACGCGGGTCCGTTGGCGATTGATGTCCACTGAAAGGTGCTCTCATCCTATCCCAAGCAGATATTGTGTCGTCGTGTTAGTGATACGGGTTCCATTCCTGCAAATCCCATAAATCCTACTCCCAACCCATTGTATCCACTCGTCCTCTACCCACTTTAACTCCCCGAAGTTATGGCCATCAGCGTCATAATAAAAATAGAACTGCTTTGGGGCGTGGTGTGAACACAAGCCAAGGGAACGAAAGTATGGAGTTCAGTAAAGGTAATAATAGGCAGGCCCAAAAGGAACCTCCGCTGGGCATAGGGTAAATATAGACTGCACACATTCATCCATCCCTCCCCTCCTGTCAAAAAACCACGAGAATATTACTATTAATAATAATAATAACAATAATAATAATAATAATAAAGTGTCTTGGAGACAACTTACCAGTTTGGTGAGATCGTTCAGGACGGTTGTAGTCGCAAATCCATTCTGACCAGCGGCTGCTCCTCCATGTACAAATACATGCGTGTCTGATGCGCCGACAGCGGCCCCAAGTCGTAGTTGAGGGGCAACCGCAGGGTTCGCTAAAAATGAAAAGGAGAATCAGACGAAGACCTCCATTTAGCATTTTTACCATTTATCATTTAGCATTAGCATTGGACATTTAGCATTGGGCATTTAGTAACGGAGAACCAAATACAATAGGTGGCAATAAAATCTGTTGCAGTAGATGATCATGATTACGTGAGTTGGGTATAGACCAGACCCAGAAGTAAGTATCGAGAGCCAGTAAAGCATTGGCTGGCGAGGACGCATTGGCGACCAGCGACATCATCCTGCCCTGGGACTGAAGAGGGATTGAGGTAAGAAACTTCTGTGGTGCTGGCGATGAGGATCCTGGAAATTGGATGGAGGGCTGCGACCATTGACGGAGGGTCGTACTCCAGACCCAGACATCATTGGAGCCCGGGATGGTTGCACCGTAGGGGCTCCTGCCCGCGTCCGTGGTCCCGCCAAAAATGACCATGGATGTATCCACAATTGCAGCTCCATGGAAAGCGCGCCAAGTCGGTGAAACAGCCTGTGCCGCAACTGTGATCTGAGGAGAGGCCATGGCCAGGAAGGAAAGGAGGGAACAAATGGCTAATGAATTTGCCTCTATTGCGGCTTTTACGGGTATTGAAGACGAGGATGATGATGATAATGATGATGGTGGTGATGTTGCCGTTGTTTTTGTTGTTTTTTGTGCTGGTGTTGGTACAGTTGTTGATACAGTTGTCGGCATTAATTTGATGGATAGTAGTGCAGGCGGTGTCGATATCGGCGCTGATGGCCCCCTCCGTCTCCACCTCGTCTTTGTTCTCCTTGAGAAGCGCCCTGGTTCAGTTTCTGGTTTTGGTCCTGGTGTTGGTGTTAAGTGTGACGAGCAAGGGCCAATGGATGATTTGACCCGTAAATGTGACAGAGCATCAACATGGACGGGTCCTGAGGCGAGATATGAAGAGGTGTGAGTGTGAATCTGTATGCGAGGGTGACATCCCCTGGGCCCCAGATATGAATTTAGGGTTCCCAGAGAGTGAGATAGAGCATGGTCCATGCTCAGTGGTGGCACCGACAAGCCAAGTGAGTAAGGTGTGTGCGTGTATAAATGAGTGAGGGAGAATGAAGGAATGAAGAAATGAAGTAATGAAGGAATGAAATGAAGAAATGAAATGAAGAAATGAAATGAAGAAATGAAATGAAGAAATGAATGCACGAATGAGTGAGAGATTAAGAAGGAGCGAGAGAGCGGGATAAGAGGGATAAGAAGGAATAATCATAAAACGGCGGCAGAGGAAGGACAAAAGGAGGAAAAAGGACCCATCCAAAAAGGCATCTTTCCGCAACCTAAAGCAAAAGAAGCAGCAGACAAAGCAGCAGAAGAAGCAACGAAAAGGAGCAACAAACAAACAAACAAATAAAAAAAAAATGATGACAGGGAGGGGTGCTCTTTCTCTTCGCTAAGCATTTGCTCTGGTGTAACGGATACTTCTTCCGTCTTCTCATCCCTGGGGTGGCACGAAGGTGGCACTAGAGTGGTACCAGGAAAGTAGGAAAGTGCTTCTGGACTAGACTGACACCGTTTGGCTATTATTTTTTTTTTTTTTCGCTCGACTGACTGATTGATTATTCTGGAACGCGTTCCTGAAGATCCAATCTGATCTTCGGAGACCAAACCAAGCCAAACCAAAGCAGATCAAGCGAAACCAAACGAAACCATTCGATTCAAACATCTGAGTTGGATATAGCAACATACTGCGATGGATATGCATGTCCATACGCATGCTGCACCTTGTTGTACCTGCACTCAATGGCATGTCGATATCTAGCATGTCGATAGCATGTCAATTGTATGTTCCCATTGAACAAAATAGACCTTCTGCATCAAATATTCTTATTTAATAGCTACGCATACCCATAGCATGTCTATCCGTTGCATTTCATTTCATGTCTTCTGCCTCTTCAGGGACAGTGTGCATCTATGGATCATATTCGTCAAATGAAACCAAAACGGAAAGGCTTTCTTGCTGCAGCAAGCATCCCATTATTACGAGTAATCCGAAATACCATGAAGCTCACCATGAAGTTCCCCCATCCATCTCCTCGTTATCCATATTACGCATTAGGTAGTCGTAGTCGGGATGCGTGAGATATCAAACAGATCAGTTTGCGCTATATTGAAATATCCCGTTATCTGTTTTTCCCGAGTGTTTATTGAGGTGCATGCGCAAATGGAAAAAAAAAAATAAAGTTGCTTCTTAGAGGTCAAAGGTGTGATCGTTTGGATCGTAATTCTCGACACTAAATTGGTTCGATGCAGCAGAAAAAAGAGGACCGAGCACAAGCATTAGCATACAACCTTTTTTTTTTTTTTTTTTTTTCTAGTAAAGAGAGAAAGATAACAAACAGCAAACATTTTCGCGTCTACGTCGATCCCAATGACTTACATGAGACGGTAAAGATATGATGGTGGATGCCCTCCTTGGTTCGTGATAAACAAGTTGACAAACTCGGGTGACACATAGTCGTAGTATGGGTTTGTCACCGTCACCTTCTCAATCAGATCACCATCCTCAAAGCCAAGAACCGAATCTGGATTGAACAGCACATTAAAGCTGTCCTCGTCATACGGGTATAAAGGCGACAACTTGTACAACCCCGTGCAAACAACAACAGGGATCGAGTGGTGTTTTGCTGCTGCTGCCATCATATGTGTTCCTGAAATCGCAACCAGCCCTCCATTGGCAAGAACTATGCATCGATAGACAGATAAAAAGATATTAAAAACTAGTTCTGCTGTTCGACAAGCCGTTACTGAACAGTTTTTTTTTACAGAAAAGGATCGAGCACGCTTCTGTACATACCGGCATGTGTGCCGAGAATGACCTTGTTGACGCGCGACATCACTGCAAAAACAGCCGAGTCCGGAATGACCGTTGTTTCAATACCAGCTTTTGAGAGCTCAAGCGCCATCTCCTGTCCAGAGTATCTATGTGATCGAAAGCAGCCAAATGTGTCATCAATGTCTATCCTGATCCAAAGCCTTACTCAATAGCTCAGAGCCCTGCAATCCTTCCTTATATCTTACGAGGGTGCACTCTCTGCAACCAACACCTGGAATTTTCTCTTTACAGCGGCCATCTTCAAAAACTCTTCCACAGTTTTAGATCGCCCAATGGTCATAATGATTTCGCTATCAATCGAAAGTCATATTCGTGTAAAAAGAGGTCAGTCCATGATCCAATTACTCCCATGTCCTATAGGTGCCACCAACAAAAAAAAAAACAAAAAAAAACAAAAAAAAACAAAACAAAAAAAAAAAAAGCAGACTAGTACAAGCACCTGCCCCTGGTGGCCAATGGTTAAGGCGCGAATAATGACTCACTTTGAATGTATCTGAAGGGAGGCTTGGTTCTTGATGCTATCGTATATGTTCTCAAGCTCGTCCTTGATCTCACGAATCTCCTGGATAATGTTGCTCCTCAAACTACTTGGATACTGCACATTCTCGTCTGGGGCTGACCCTGTCTCCCCGAGCAGGTTGTACATCGAGGACGAAGTTGTAAGCGGCGCAGGATGAAATTCGGACTGGTTCTGGTTTTGGTGCGTCGCCGTAGACTCTGCCTCCCGGAACTCTTCTCTGATAACATGGAGCACGCGTCGAACGATGTTCCCGACAGCAAGCTCCGTAGGGTTAGCTTGAACCAGTCTCTGGCCAACAGATTTTACAATCGTGACCAGTTGATTGCAGGTCGTCCAGTTGCTCTTGGAGATGACCACAATCAGGAGCCTCAAGGTTGCTTGTGCCACTGTGGAGGATCCCACAAGTTGACGCCTCTTGAGTTTTGCGACAAGGTCATCGACGAGTTCGTTGTTCTTGCTCATGGTGCTTCTTTGTGCTGTGTCGGTCGAAACCTGGTTCCCGGTTCAGTGTCCTGGCCTGGTCCTGTTGTTGATGCAGTGCGAGGGTGAAAGAAAGGCGAATCCATTTCTTAGTTGTTGTTTTCACTGCTGTAAAAGTGCTGTGCACGTGACGCAGCTTGAACGGGGCCTTTGAGTTGGAGGGATGCCATCCTCTCTTTCTCTTTTCATCAAACGCTCTCACATCGTCTACTGCCATTGAACCTCAGTTGACTCACTTGTGAACAAAGAAAGCAACTCCCATAGCACACTTACACACATACATTGACCATCGCCTGTCGTTGATCTCCGACAGGTAACAACAACAGGCATCACAACTGTACACGTACACTACTTGTATTTTGCGCGATCGCAGGGACACTCACAATACCACCCTCTCTGTCAACATTCTACGCTGGCGCCTCCTAGTATCAATCCTTGACACTTCTTGCACTGGCCACCAAACATTCAAGGCGGCCCATTGCCCTTGAAGCAAACCAGACCTACGCACGCCATGCCTAGTCCCAACGAGAGAGCAATCATTAGAGAAGTCTGGGCTGAGAACTTGGAGCAGGAGATGGCGCTCCTGCGAGATCTCGTAGACCAGTACCCGTATCTTGCCATGGTATGTTTGTCGTTATTGTTCTAGCGTGAACCACATCCAGAGGGAACCACACTGTTGACGAGGGAGACTATATTCTTTCTATGAACAATTTAGGATACAGAGTTTCCAGGTGTAGTTGCCAGGCCCATCGGTACGTGTTTATTAAGTACCATACATTTTCATCGGAATCGGTGATGGCCCGGATGGTTGTCAGACTGGGCTGACTCTTGCTTCGTGATTGTGAATATGATCTGTCTAGGCAACTTTCGTACCTCAGCCGACTACCACTATCAGACTCTGAGATGTAACGTGGATCTTCTTAAGATGATCCAGCTGGGTGTCACCTTCGCAGATGAGAACGGAAATGTGCCCAAGGACGCCTGCACCTGGCAATTCAACTTCAAGTTCAGTTTGGCGTGAGTGCTCAACAGTGGACTGTATCAAGGATTTTGGCGTGAAGAGAATTGGGGAAAAGGGTGTTCACCTTCGATCCCTTTTATGCTTCATGTTTAGCGAGGACATGTACGCACAGGACTCGATTGACCTCTTGACAAAGTCTGGCATCAATTTCCAAAAACACGAGGATTATGGGATCGACGTTCACCACTTTGGCGAGCTCCTGATCAGTTCTGGATTCGTACTTTTGGATGAAGTCAAGTGGATCTCATTTCACAGGTACAACCCATGCTTGTAGTGACTCTATCGAACTGTATCTCGTTTGCTCCAATATCGATAAAGGATGGCTAACAATTATTACTTTTGGTGTTTCTTTATTAGTGGCTACGACTTTGGATACTTGCTCAAAATCTTGACATGTAGTCCTCTGCCAGCAGAAGAAGTCGACTTCTTTGATTTGCTGAGGACATACTTCCCTTGCATATACGATATCAAATACCTGATGAAGAGCTGTAAAAATTTGAAGGGCGGTCTTCAGGAGTTGGCGAATGATTTACAGGTGGTCCGCATTGGAGCACAGCACCAGGCAGGAAGCGACAGCTTGTTAACGTGCTCCACCTTTTTCAAGATGCGTCAGATATTCTTCGAAGACAAGATTGACGACGCCAAGTACCTGTAAGTTGAGCTTAAACACATTTTTGAGTAATTGGCACGATGCTCCCTGGACTGACGACTAACGACTGTTTCCTTCTGTTGCTCAATCTCCTCGGTCGTTCAGTGGATATCTTTACGGGCTTGGTTCAGCAGTAGGTTCGACTGCCACACAACCAAACTCGATCGCTACATTCAATTCGGCTGCAGGAAATGATAGCCCACTCATCACAAACCAGTCTGCAACACCAAACGGCAAGCCCAACAGTTATCAAAAGTCCGTAATAAACATGAACTAGTTCTCGCCCGCCTGGCTGCCGCCGTTGTGACGTCATTTAGATTTTTATAAACAAGCCACTAATAGATGGATGCAGAGGTCCCTATTTGAATAGGGTGCAAGCTTGACAACTGAAAATCCTTCTCTTCACATTCACTTGGGATTATTGTAAAGTGCTCGGATGATCGTTGTGGTCTCATGAAACAGGAAACTAGGGTCTGGCAGGATCACAGCATCGTCATTAGCATCATCTTCATCACCAACTCATCATATATTTCGAATCTTCCACTTGGCATAATCGGGATCTGATTCTACATTCTCGAATTCGATGCGGAACCTCTGATTCGACATAATACACATCCGAACAGAAGTTTTGTTCAACCGCGACTTTGGCTTTTAGACGAGACAAGACACCATATCAGGATCATTATCTGATACTCATATTCCACGAGCACCTTCTAATCATTACTCTCTATTTTTTCGACACTCTCTCGTCGGATGCATAGTCAAACATGTCGGCTGATCTTACCTGGTATGAATGAGGATTCTTGCAATCAACAGGAACAACTTTGGATAAGTTGACAATAGAGCAGAGTTATTGACCAGTTCATTATCTCTTTCTATATCATGGAACCAATTACAGGCTTCTTATCAAGAACAACAACTCGTTCCTCGTCAAGCGCTCGGGTGTTCAGTTCTCCTCGGAGGCTGGCAACTTGTTGAACAAGAACTCGTTCAAGTATTCTGGCCTTGCCAACAACAAGGTATGACCTTGTATTGATATAGACCGCAGGATGGATATCAAGGCCAATTTGCAGTGCTGTGGTGGACACCTTGACCTGAGGGGGCTTGGGGCTCAGGACTGTGACAATGTTGAAGCACTACGTTTACATCCTTCGATGTCCTCGTGGGCAGCATGACTGGGTCGCCCTTCACGCCAGGACAATGGCAATTGCTCACAGCAAAGGAATACAGGGCTTAATTCCATATTAAAGACCTATTTAAATGGGCCGCCTTGCTAATATTTTTCCTTACCGACAACGTTTTGAATAGACCATTGACATCGTTGCCGCTTCCTCTGGCCGTGGCGTTGTTGTCTCGACCAAGAAGGCCAGCGTTCCCGCCTACAAGTCTTCCAAGGGCATCAACAAGGTTACCCTCTCCAAGGGTGTCCGAAAGTCTGCACGCTCCGTCGCTGGTCTTACCCGCGCCGGCTATCGCGCTGATCTTCGCAAGGTAAAGAACCTGGTTCTTTCATTCAACCACAACCGCTTTGTTTCACTTCTTTCTGCTCGTATTCCTTGTCCTTCTGTCTCTGTCAAATTGCCTCAGCAAAGTGCTAGAACCCAGCAGATTCACTTCAACATGAAAGCTGGGCGTACATTATTTGCAAAAGAAACGGGGTCGAAAGACTCTATCCGAATGTTTAGCTTCACTCTATCAAACAATGAATGTATCATATTCAAAGTTTTGCGACTGTAACCCGGAAACATCTCCTCTCTCTATCCATTTTTACTCTTTATTTCTGATATTCTTGCCACGCGAGTTCTTGCTACACGAGGTTTAACAGTTATATGTTTTTTATTACTTCCCCTCACAATTTGAATCGAAATTAGGCCGCTCTTGCCCGCGTTTCTGCTATCCTCAACAGCCAGAAGCCCGTTAAGGCTGCCCCCAAGAAGGCTGGCAAGGGTATCCGCGCCAACAAGCACTAAATGCAGAATATATTCCAAAACCGGATGAAATAAAGGATTGGCTTCGTAGAAAAACACATTTCCAATGCTCTTCAACATAGCGAGTTTATACTGGGCAATATTTGTTTACCAATTGCCGATTGTAAAGCGGTTACCTACTTTATCTAGCACGGTGGCTCTTTTATGATGATGCTGGTGCTGTCGATGCGTGTGTGGTGTTTCTATGCTTGGAACCGAGGTGGAGGTGTAGAAATACCACCCTTAAAAGGGCTGTCTGGCTGGCGTGGACGATTCGTGACTTTGAAACAGGACTTTTGATAAGTGGATTCCATTGTCAGGGACACATTTTCCTTCCTCTTTCTTTGTACGAAAAAAAGGTGCATAGAGATACATCCATGCGGAATCAATCGATCGGGGGGAAGCATCCATCCGACAACAGCGCCAATCGATTTATGCAAATTGCATCATTATGCGGCTTCAGGATACTTGGTCGCGATTGAATCGTTGGAGTCCAGTGTTGGAGACGAGATCGCTGGAGACGCTGGAATGGCTGGATGCAACGCTCAATAGCATACACGATCGAAAGGGACGCTGTCGCGTTTACAGTGATCAATGCCAAGGATCTAGGAAACGACCACATGACAGCAGTAGCGACAGTAACATCATAGGCGCTTCAAGCAGCAAGAAAAGCGTTCCAGGACAGGATTCCATCGTACCGACCAGCAGATCTATCGCATCATACACCGCTCTGGATGCGATCGTCTTTACACCTCCAGTACTCATCTTCTTTCGCTTGCCTATGTATCCTGTATGGTTAATAGGAAAATGCAGATTTTCGTTAAGACCCTTACCGGAAAGACCATCACCCTCGAGGTGGAGTCTTCCGACACCATTGACAACGTCAAGCAGAAGATCCAGGACAAGGAGGGTGCGTTGTCTTCCACTACACTAATTGCTTTTTCGCTTCTCGCCCGCTTCCCTCTCACTCTCGACTCGCGTTTCGACGAAGTGCTATCGACAATGGGCGCTTGCCAACAACAAAGGAGCAGCTACCAGTAACAGCACTTAATTCAAATATTACTGCCGGCGGCATCAAAAGATAGAGGATTTTGGCTCTTTCACACATCGTCGACATTTTTTACTTGAGTACTTGGCATAATTGGACTTCACGACGGCTTTTCATTATCATCACCATCGAGTAACGCGTTTAGTAAGCAGTTTTACCACGAACCATGCCACACAGTCAGGACAACGTGCACTTTTAGCACCGACGTATATTTTACTCTGGTGAATTTACACCGCGTTCTACAGGACCCTGTCTATCTCCAACATGACCATCCACATACTCAAGGACATACATCTACCACGCGTCTGAATCAAAAAATACAACGCTGACCATGATTTTCCCGCACTTTTTCTTCCCAATACCAACAGGTATTCCCCCAGACCAGCAGCGCCTGATCTTCGCCGGCAAGCAGCTCGAGGACGGCCGCACTCTCTCGGACTATAACATCCAGAAGGAGTCGACCCTCCACTTGGTTCTCCGTCTTCGTGGAGGTATCATTGAGCCCTCGCTCAAGGCCCTGGCCTCCAAGTTCAACTGCGACAAGATGATCTGCCGCAAGTGCTATGCCCGCCTTCCTCCTCGTGCGACCAACTGCCGCAAGAAGAAGTGTGGACACTCGAACCAGCTCCGTATCAAGAAGAAGCTGAAGTAAAGTATGGTTACGACCTTGTCCGTGGGCGGTTTTTTCTCACTTGTGGAACTTTTCAGCGTCTCGCAGCATAACAAACAAACTCTGAATATAAAAGAAAAAAGACAAAAAAAAAAGAGTGGTTGTTTTTGAGGTGAAGGCTTTGCGCGTTCTCAATAAAACGTTTATTATAATCTGCAGAAAAATATGATCGTTATGGGTGTAATTCTGAAAAGTGCGCTGGATGGTTGTACGAGTGTGTTCTTCTCATATAGTTTTTGTTTGGATAGTGTTTGGAATGAACAGCTGTTTCTTTCGTTGCACCAAAAAAAACGATATGTGTCTCTGCAGGCGCGTTTTCTTGATGTCATGCACTGGCAAGATTAAAGCTTAAGCTGACAAGGCTGCCTGGCCGCCAGGCATGGGCAATGGGCTGCAGCTAGACGCTCCTGCTGCAGGCGCGCGTTAATGAGCCCCCAATCAAAAACTGGGAGTCGACGTTGATTTCTCTGGTCCGTTGAGCCTTTGATCTCTTCCATCCTCACCGGTGTCTTACCCTACCACTTGCATCGGGATCCAGCCCGTTAGCTATAACCTCCAGCTCGTATGCCGCCATGGAACCTCGTTACAACGAAGGGACACCTCTATCCCGCTAGCCAAGGCATGCCTATGATGAGATGATGCACCCTCTCTTGGTGTTTGACATGTCTCCCGTTGTTCAAATAAAGGTATGGGCACCGAACATGGATGCTCCACTACGCTCCCTTTTCTATTCTCAGAGTTGTTCTTGGTGTGCTGGCATGCTTATTGAGCCAATTTTGTATTCCACAATCTTTGGTCACCGCATCCACTTGCTAAACCAGCCGAGCTCGTGTAAGAGATCCTCAGCGGGCTTTTGGCACAAGCTAATATACCATTCTCCATTCCCAGCATCTTCTCGCATTTTTATTGCGCATGGATCCTGTTTCAGGGCAGCAACATCGAAGCCAAGGAGCCGCACTGGCTGGATGCTTTCATGAACTACAAAGACAGCGACATAATATACAATGATTCATTCCGTCTCTAAAGGCTCCCGAAAGAAGAGAGGCATAACCACGACATGCATATATTCGCTCGTTTCGATAATGCGTATGGAGGTGCACTACATTTAAAAGATCCTTACGCGCAGCTTGTGCACGATGACAAGGGAGGCATGTATGAGCATAGTTTATGAACAGTAGCGTTGATACTAGAACGCTTACTGTCTTTGACAGCCGAATGTAAAGAGGTTTGATGGAATTCATCTGCCTTTAACACACGAGCCATGAAGGATATGCAGTTCACTTTGGATTCATCTTCAGGTCCGTTTGGTAATTGGTAAAGCACAGCACCTATGCCTAGATTTGATGCATCTGTGGCGACATAGAACGGTTGTTTGAAATTGGGGAATGATAGTATCGGGACCTCCGTCATTAGTTTTTTGAGTTGATCGAAGCAATGTGGCTCTAGTCCATCTAGTTTGAAGTTCCTCCTGACGTTCCTCAGTTTGTCTAGAGGAGCAGCCAGTGTGCTGTACAGAGGTATGGTACTCCCGGAAATAATTGAACAATGCCAAGATATCTCTATACCATTTTGCTGTTAGTAGGTGGCGCCGATGAGGAGACATTAGCCACCTTCTCTGAGTTGATGCTTCTTCCGTTCTCATTAATAACGAGGCCAAGTAAGGCGACTTAAGTGCACATGAAATGGCTCTTTCCTTTGTTGATGATGAGTTTGGCGCGCGTTAGACTGTCAATGGCCAGCTTGATTTTGCTCAACATGCTCACAATGTCGTCTACATAGACTGATACAAGGTGGTGGTTTCTTAGTAATTGTGATATGCCCCTTTGAAAGATGCTTATCATCGGCCTCAGTCCAAAGGGAGCACAGGCAAACATGTACTGTTTGTTGTTATGCGTTAATGCCGTGTGCGGCTGACTTTGTTCACCCAGAGGCAGACGATGGTAGGCCTGGGACAGATCTAGAGTGATGAAGTGTCTGTGGCCTGCTGCTCGGTCCAGCACCTCATTAATTACAGGGATAGGAAAGTCATTTGTATCCACCAATTGCTTATTCAGCGTGCGAGGATCGAGGCAGGCTCGATACTTCATCGCTACGCCTTCCAGATTACGACGAACTGCAAGTGAGAGAGAGTTGTTATATGGCTTGCCTTTCAGTGCCTCGATAACAATTCCCGTGAAGATGACTGGGATAAAACAAACCCCTTTTTCTTGAGACGTTAAAAAAAGAGTGGCAGATAGACAAGGTGGTGTTTATTGATCCGGGGCTCTTCATTAAATAAAAACAGGAGGCTGCCGGGTGTCCGGCTGCGCCTGGTCTAGTGGCAACCTTTCTGGTATAGTGTGCGTAATTTGCTTCCATAGGACGATACCCTTTTCTTGCAATGTTAAACCGCCGGCATCCTCTGCAGCGATTAACGAACGTGCGCTTGGTGCATTGCTTCTTCCGTGTCACTTTCGGGTACGGTTGCTCTTTCCGCCTCTTCACTTTGAAGGGTGTGCATGTAAGCAAGCGTTCTTTGTCGATCTTCGCCATTGGATTGTAGCAGCAGCTTGATCCTTGACGGGAATGAACGCGACAAGGCGTCAGGCAAGATATCGAGCATACCTGGACGGCAATGGACCGTGAGGATGTAGTTTAGGAAGTGAATATGCCTTGCCAAGATGTCATCAGTGGATGTACGTACAATCAGCGCACGGTGATCCGTGGACAGATCAAAGTTCCTTAAATTGCTGTGTTTGCAAATGAGCGAATGAGCCATCGTCGCACGCCCTGAAAAACAGTGGCAACGCACAAGACGCATCGCTTTGGCAGACCTCGTCTCATCCTTGTCCTTTTCTCTCATTCTCTTTTCTGCCATTGTGCTCTTCACTCTTCTCTTCACTCATGTCCTCCTACATACGCCAACGAACTGCGCCGCCTGATCACTCCATCACCCTTAGTTTCGACCATGCCCGACCTTACTCTCTTCTGTCTCACCGATGGAGAACCCACGTCGAATGCATTTTCCGTCAAGATCCCCTCGACAGAAACCGTGTATAGCCTCAAGAAGCTCATCAAGGCCGAGAAAACTGTCACTTTTGCTGATGTCGACGCAGACAAGCTTACGCTCTGGCGTGTCTCGGTTCCTGTCGTCGCTGCCAACATCCACAATGTGGTCTTCCTGAACGAGATCGATTCCAAGACGGAGCTTGTCCCGACGACTCGCCTCTCCAAGGTCTTCACAGAAGAGCCGCCTGAAGAAGTAATCCACATCATTGTTCAGCGGCCACGACCAGGTAATGCATCGCGAGTTGCATTGGTGCATGGACTTGCGTGCTGTATCTGTTTTTTTGTGCGAAATACTGATTCTTGACCTAATATTTTCTTATCGCTTTTCCTGCTCTTCTTGTAATTCAATATACAGACCTTTTATCAGAGCGCGAGTTCGTGCAACATGTTTTGGGACCTGTCACCGACATAAACCAAAGGGCGCATGGAATAACGACCAACTCGACTCGCACATACTTGTTGACCTCTACGTCAGTTGCCATATGGAATGATTTTTTAGCCCTGGTGCGCCAAATGCCACTTGAGACTGAGCCAACCTATCCACGTCCAAGATCTCGGTCAGACAGGATGTTTGTAGCCGAGCCAAGTCTCCACGAAATCTTCCAATGCGATGTCGGTGCCGTCCAAAGCCTGCCCCCCTTTGCAAACACTTTCTGTTCTGTTAGCCTGCAACATAGTATACCCGACCTGGTATGCTCACGCCAGAATGACTTCAACTCGGTATTGTTTCCGATCGAAATGAAAAAGCCATCCTACCTACATTTGGATGTAGGCACCAATTATCGAAGCGCTTATCGGCCACAAGGATCACGGACACAAGGACCGGCTGGTGCGCTGAAGCAGATATTCGGATACATACGGTTCAACGGGTTTCGATATGGCGTACTGTCTACCTACGATCAGACCTGGTTTATCAAGAGAGTCAGGGAGCATGAGGACGACATCTTAGTCTCGCCTACAATCCACTTCGACAGCACAGAGCCAACATTACTTCAATGTTACTTGTGGTTGATCAGGACGGCAGCCAAGGACGATGAATGGCAGCCTGACAGACCCGATAGCCCTACGGTTAACAGCATGCTCGCAGACGAACAGGCTAAAGTCAGGGCTGCGAAACGTGATCGTGACTGGAAGCCAGGGCTTGGCGGAAGATTTAAACGAGGAGTGAAGAGGATTTTTACGCGAAGCAGGTAAAGAACAAATAGGTTGATGCATTCTGGCTGGATTTTTTTCTTTTTTTTTTTACCATAGATGATTAACCATCCTATCCTATACTATGTGGTATACAGAGCCAGGGAACAGTCAGGGGTCACGGAACGAGAGCTTACCGATTTCCCCGTTTTCAAAAACATGAAGCTTATTGCTCAAGGTGAAGAAGGTGTCCGTACGTTCCGGGCGTCATGGTCAAACGAGGATGTTGTGCTTAAGAAAGCCGACATATATAATCAGCGAGGGGCTGTTCATGAGTTGGAGCATGAGGAAAGGGTTTACCAGGTTCTGCAGAAGCTGTAAGGGCGTTGGGTACCCAGGTTGAAGATGGCCGGAATAGCATATGGACTGGAGATGATTCTGGTCACGGAGTTTATGGGGACTGACCTCTGCGATGAACACATGGATTCATCTGATCGAGGCAAGATCCGGGCGGCACTGTCAGCAATCCACAGGCTGGGTGTCCTGCATGGTGATATTCGGCCGCACAACATTGTGGTACGGCGCGATGGTGAAGACTCGCAGTTCTTTTTCATCGACTTTGGACGCTCGGAATTCACAAGAGTGAAAGGATTTCTGAAGCACGAGGCGGAAGAGTTGGAGTCGCTGCTTGATACAATGCCTTGGCCAGAAGGTAAGTAGCCATAGTTCATGATACATGTCAAGTCAAATTCTACTAACCTTGTTCTCGTACAGCGTTGCGTCCCGAGATAGGAGAAAAACCATCGCTTTGAGCCAAGACGCCACCCTCCACCCAAGAGATGGAATTTGCTGTCATGCTAATGGGGATATTTGCTCAAGACTATTCAGCTGCTGGCCTAACTCAAGGGGGAACTGTTCGAATGCCGATTCTTTTCCTCCACTCTACAAAGCATCAAAGCAATCAATTGCTCGTTCTCTTGTTGGAAACAAGAATGAAATTGCAACGAAATGCACAGAAATAAATCGACATACTGCTATTCACTGTTGAAACGAATACTGACATGATGTGTATCCCCTAAATGTCGCTCCAAATTGAAAAAAAAAGATAGCTGACAATTTCTGTAATTTTCACCATCTATCCGCCATAAAGGTTTATATCGTTCCTGAAGCCACGAACGAGCCGAACTATCTTTTTTTTTTTTTTTTTTGACACAAGGTCCAGGAAGTGCAACCATGTCCAGCGGCATAGCCCCGTAGGCCTTTCCGCCTCGGTGTATGTGCCACTAACACTCTATTCCAGATCAGCAAAAGGGTATACTCGACATCATAGCAAAGGGTATTTTGGGCACCGCCTTACTATTCCGGCCCTCTAGCTGCAAGCGGGTCATGGGCGCCCTCATGTTTTATATGACCATTGTATTTGACAGGACTTGCGCATGCCATGGTTGTGCAAGTGGTGTGTTGATCCTACTGAAGCCGCTACTAACCCTACTAATCCTACACCTTTCTTCTTCGCGGACACTCGCAGACATTTCTACTGACGCGTTTTTTTTGCCGCCGCTTACGGAACACCACCAAGGTAGACAGGTGGACAGGTGTCAGTAGAATTAGTAGAGGATTCGGTAGGATTAGTGGTAGAATTAGCAGAATGGTTCTTGCCTGGTAGGGCAGTAAATAAAGTAAGTAGACATAGTAGATTGAGTAGTTTACATGTGCGTTGATTTATTTGTAAGTCCCTTGCATGCCTCCGTTTGCGAGTACCTTTCCATCAATTATCTCAGTGACCATGATCATTGCAACCTCGAATGCCAATTCCTTCTCATAGCCAGAGAGCTCCAAGGGTTGCAATCCCTGTTTGATCTTGAAGTAAGTGACTCTGAAGTTCCTGTCAACCAATCCTTGCAGAAAGAAGACCAGATGATCGGGACGCTCGTCGCGTCCCTTTCCTAAATATTGCTTCTTCAGCGCGCAAAAAAAAGTTCTTTTTTCCTCATGGCTTCGCGCTCGTACATTCGATTGCTCCTGGACCTCAGAAGACTATACCCCGGTATTACGTTCACCACTATGCAAGCCTCGAGAACGATTTTATGTCTCTATGGATTTCTATGAAATCCTAAAGTCTCCGTGAGTTTTTTTTTTTTTTTTGGCATATAAGAACCTCAACCTCAATAGCTCCGCTCTTTGTACTTTACATCCTCAACCGCCGATTGAACATTACTACAACATTGGATTCCCCCTCATATTCACTCTCTACAGCTTTGTGCCTTAACGTGAAGTCCCTGCCGGAATCAACCAAAGCGAAAGCTCTTGCCTTCCTCAAATAAGGAAAAATTGTCTCTTAAGCCCTTCGTATATCGGTCGGAATGGTATCTAAGGCCAGGGGACTTTACAAATACTATATTTTCATCAAGAAAAGATGCAGGCCTTGAAAGGTCTCCAAGGCCACTATGACTCTTTAGCCCGGAAAATGCCTGGCAGAAAATTTTTAACTCCACATGATGGTCAGGAACTTGTTCTTTCGACACAAGGTGTTCACGTCCATGTGCAGACCATCCGGAACTACCTTAGATAAGGTGGATTAAAAGGATGCGCCAAGCCTAAGAAGCCTGATCTGAGGACGATCAAAGCAAGGATCGGTCCAAGTTCGCTCGCGACCATTTACATTGGACTGCTGAGCAATGGCGTGACACTGAAGACTGGCTGCACTTGAAAAATGGTTTCAATGAGGTCGCTGTATTCTATCATTTCTTTCTTCACCTGGATAAACACCAGAGCATTGAGACCCCCAAAGATAGGAAGCACAGTGCTACGGCTATAGCATTCGGCTAGGGAGTATTGAGTGTTAAGATGATAGAATGTTGAACAAAAAGGTAAATTGCAAAAAACGTAACTTTTTTCAAAGTACTGTACAAGTCTAGGATTCGACAAGGCGTGGAGACACTTGGTCGTTCGACTTATCCTATTCACGCATTATTTATTCAGTAACACTATACTTAAGATTAGTTCACTACTTAAGATCTATTGTCTGTTGTTCTCTAATAAACTTAATAGAGTGGGTTTGGTACTCGGGAAGCCGCTTTTTTTTAGGCCGCTTGTTCGAAGTGCAAACTGAAAGAAAGATTTTCTAGGAGAATGTATGCACTACATGTCTCTGCAAGAACTAGGGATACCCCCACTGGAGAAGAGAGTCGTGGACTTGACTACGCACGAAGTTGAATTAACCACGCTTCCAAGAAAAGGTAGACCTTTTCATTCTGCTTATCGTGTATGATGCGCGCAGTCAACCGTTATATATCAGATACCAGTTATCGCCCCCAGTGAGCGGAAATAAAGATTTCTACGTCACAATGGGCGAGGGGGGGGGGGGGGGAAAAACGAACTTGATCAGATTCAGAATCAGCCCACATTTATACAAAAGACAATACCGCCATGGATGACGAGAGCAAGAAGAGAAAGGAGAGACTGGAGCAGCTTAAGAAGAGAAAACTCGAGTCGACAAGCAATGGAAACAAGGATGTCAGGTAACGCAAGTGCAATCAGGACCTTACTTGCCGACTTATGTTCTCTAGTATCTGTGGACGAAAAGGACTATCAGGACCCGCATTTGGAATAGTGGAGGGCTAATGCTACAGCACAAAAAGGCAACTGATACAGCTCGAAGGCGACTCGCGCAGCAATGGATTATCAAAGAACAATACAGCATATCAATGACACTACATAAGTCAAGAACCTACTATCCTGCATTCGAACTATTCAGGAACTAATTCGCTTGCCATCGCTGCGACACAAGTGGAGGATGCCCAGCACCTACGATATGACATCTTTCAACACTCACTGTGTCGCTCTTCGGTATTCTCTAGACTACGAGCGAGCGACACAAAAGAGCTAGGGGCAATTGGCGGCGGGAAAATCCATCATCTATCGACTATCTCTTACATGGCGTCTCAGTATCCTCTAGACAACAAGCGAACGATTCAGAGGAGCAGGGATCAATTATCTACAGCACTACCGATTTCTTTATCTCTGCATGACGCTTCGATCTTACTAAACCCCTCTCCTTTCCTATTCTCTTGTATCGTCTACTACCTTATCCATAGTCTGTCATTTCGCAACTACACGCCGCTCAACGGTGAACTGAAAGCTGATGATTCGAATATTACCACCACTGCCGATATCGGCGACACCGTCGAGAAGAAGATGGAGGGTGTTGTCGAAAGAGTTATTCAAGAAGAGGAAGAAAAGCGAGCCAAGGATGTCGTACGTATCGCGTTTTCATCTCATGGAACGGATCGTTATCTACATGTGCCTTCCCATATTTCTCTACGGGACGAGAACGAAATGACCCGATATTAATGAACCCTTCCTGTTATTTTTCTTGTTTGTTGCTGCTCTTATGCTCTAGGACATTTTCACGCTGGCGCCTAAGAAACCAAACTGGGATTTGAAGCGCGATGTCGAGCCCAAGTTACTCAAGCTCGAAAAGAAGACCCGTGCCGCCATTATTGAACTTATCCGACGAGAGAGACCTCACGACCTCAGCATGGCGTAGCGTCATAATTCGAAGGATTTTTTTCTATCTCCGCATCATTGTACTATATTCAACAACACCATCGTCAACGATAATAAAGAAAAACGAGAAAAATACGATATTATACAGCTTTTTAATGAATATATATATATATATATGTAATATATGTAGATATCTAGAGCGAAATGGAAGCGCGATGAGGAAAAGGGAAGAGAGAACGAGGACAAAAGAAACAAACGGATAGAGGAATAAATCGGCTACACCTCGAAACGCGTGTGTGCTGAAGTCCCTCATGCTGTGCTTGAGATATGCCAGATTGTTAGAGGTGGTCGGCGGAGGAACTATGCATAATATTTCTGATGTTTGTTGTTGTTATTGTTATTGCTGATGTAGTTGTTTGAATGTCGATATTGTTGAAATAAATACATGAAAGAAAAGACCAAGTCAAAGTGTAGCGAAACGATCGAACGAGCGCGCCTTATTTGAGCTGCAGGTTGAAGTTGTACAGTCCCAGGGTCTCTGGACTCTGCGTGTTCTCAAACGTGGCCTTCTTTCCATCCGCCCGCAGATCCTCAAGATGCTGCAAGTATGCCTCATCAACCTTGCCCGTAATATACTTGCCATCAAATACCGACGCATCCCACGAGGTAATGCTTGGGTTGAATTTTTGGCACGATACCACCAATCCCTCCAGGTTCTGGAAGATCACCTTATCCGCACCCAGGGCCTCAGCAATCTCATCCTCGTCCTTGTTGAACGCAATTAGCTCCTTGGGAGAGGGCATATCAATGCCATAGACATTCGGGTATCGGATAGCAGGTGCGCATGACGCCAGGTACACCTTCTTCGCACCGGCATCGCGGGCCATCTGCACAATCTCCTTCGACGTTGTGCCACGGACGATCGAGTCATCCACAATCAACACGTTCTTGCCAGCAAATTCGAGCGACATCGCATTGAATTTGCGACGAACTGTCTTCTTGCGCATCGCCTGTCCAGGCATGATGAACGTGCGTCCGATGTATCTGTTCTTGATAAAGCCCTCACGGTAGGTGATGTCCAGCTTGTAGGCCGTCTGCAGAGCTGCCACACGGCTGGTATCGGGGACCTATGTACGAAAGAAATACAAACAAAAACTTGTCAGTCGCACATAATGTGACATCCAAGGACAATTGTATCATCATTCAAACAGAGGACCGATAAACTTACTGGAATAATAACATCCACATCGTGATTGGGTCCCAATTTCTTCAAGACCTGATCCGCCAGAGCCTCGCCCATAGCCAAGCGGCATTTGTAGACGGAGATCCCATCAATGATTGAATCCGGGCGAGAAAAGTAGACGTACTCAAAAATACAGGGTGAAAAGTTGGCCTCAGGAACCAGCTCACGCCTTGTCACCACACCGTTCTTGTTGACAATCACCGCCTCGCCGGGCCTAAGGTCCTCGAAATCGTGGAAGCTACATCCATCGCACACAACACTCTCCGACGCGAACATGTAGTCCGTGCCCTTGGGAGATGCGCGCTTGGCGAAACCAATTGGACGAATACCATGGGGGTCACGGAAACCAATGATTCCGAATCCTACAGCGGAAAAGTCGAGTACCAAGAATTAGTCAGTATTCCATCGTACCATAAAGGGAATAAAATATAAATCCATTGCGGATTTCCACGACCGTCTTACCAGCAATCATGGCAACGCAGGCGTATCCACCATGACAGACATCAAAGATACCCTTGATCGCGCTAAAGATATCCTCTTCGTTGATACGAAACTTGCCAATCTTCTGTAGGTTGTTCGCAAAGATATTGAGAAGCAACTCCGAGTCGGACTCTGTGTTAATGTGGCGATGGGCATCCTGGTCGAGGAATGTGCGCAGCTCGTCGGCATTGACCAAATTTCCGTTCTATTGTGAAAAAAAGATGCCAAGGAAGACGCCATCGGAGATTGTGGTTAGCTGAGCGGCGCCTGATATTAAGGTTAGTTTCTCATCAGAACATTAACTGGACACTCTGTTGTTCAGGACATACGTGGGCAAAGACGATTCCATAGGGGCTGTTGACGTAGAAGGGCTGCGCTTCCGACATCGAGGACGATCCAGCGGTAGGATAACGGACTGTTCACAGCAAGAAAAACATTAGTCATGGTCAACATAGAAAAGAAAGGAGAAAGATCTGTTTAGTACGGATAACAAAAACAAATAAAATTAAAAATTAAACGGATTGAGTTCCATCGCTGCCTGCCCGCATCTTTCGTTCCAACCTCAGCTCTCATTCGACGAGCTGGGGCTGAAAAAAATATGTAAAAAGAGCGGGGTCTTAGTAGAGAGTGTACAAAAGAAGAAAGTGACAAAATGTGGGGAGCACTTTCCCTGCCAGAAACGCCATTGACAGAGGAAGAAAAAAGATAGTCTCAGGTCCGATCCCACGATCTCACGGGGGATAAAGAATGCAAACGCGGGGAAGCAAAACAAAGAGGAATGATAATCCATCATAGCTAGTATGCATAAAAGAAAAACTCGCACATACCATGACCAACACCCATGCTGCCCACAAGCTGCTCCAGCTTGGGCTGATCAAACACATCACGAACCATGCCGTTGCCCTTGATCTGGTACAGGCGGCCCTTGTTTCCGCAGGTGACAATACCGGCCGCATCCTGTCATCAATTGTCCAGTAAGAAAAGAAAGGTGTCAGACCTAGTTGCCAATGGCCAATTGAGGAACCAAATATGCATTTTCAAACAAAAATAAGGATGAACTTGCCTGGCCACGATGTTGGAGCATGCCGAGGCCCTCATGCAACTCAGGGCTGGCCATCAAGTTGTGATCGGCCAAGAGCAAAGCAGTGATTCCACACATGTCGTTACTGCGAAGGTGTGCGAGGAAATGGGTAAGGTCAAAAGGAAAAGCTAAGCGGGAGAGGGTAAGGGCGTCGTTGTCAGGGACAGACAAAGGTCGGAGGAGAGACGGATGGAGTGGTGAAGGGGACGGGTTGTTGGAGGAGGAAGAGTGAGTAGAGCAAGAAAGAAGCTGATCAGGACAAAAAGAAGGAAAAAAAAATCTTTTGTGCTCCTCGATCCTTTACCCCACCAACTTCCTTTTTGGGATGTTTACAAACTCCTGAGCAAAGGCCGTGTACGTGCTGCACGTACACTGCTGCACTTCGTGTAGCGTCTTGTCGTCTGGACCCCCGAACAGAACCAAATGTCCTTGAAGGACCCATTGAAGGTCATCGAGGATCTCAGATTGACATTGCAGACCACTGTTACCAGCTTTTAAGTTGTTTACGTGCCTCGCGCGCTTTTGTTTTTTAATATGAACATGGCTCAGCACAGCTATCTAAAGACAAAACAAATATGCACCTGCATCTCTTTTCCCACTACTTCGATCAGATTCTCATTTAATCCTCGTCCCAATGCTGCTTCTGCTTGGGTGCAACAGGTCCACCTGCAGCCTTCGACATGATCAACTGTTATAGAGGATAAAGAATCAAGAAGGAGTTCAGTTAGTACAGGGGCCATAACAACACAGAGCACCAAGGCACCGCGGATTAATGTCAATAGTAGTGCCAAGAAACGTACCTGATCTACACGAAGGACGGTCATTGCGGTTTCTGTTGCGAGGCGGATGGCATGAGCCTTGGCTGACAAGACATCGTAGATACCGGCTCCATGTGCATCCAAAAGTCCATTCTTTTCACTCTCGATGTCAACACCCATCACACCGCTGTCGTCTGCATGGTGAGAGGCATACAACTTCGAAAGCACCTCCGTGGCATCCATGCCTGCGTTCTCAGCCAGCGTGCGAGGAATGACCTCAAATGCCTCGGCAAACTTCTTGATCGAGTGCTGGTTCAAACCAGGGGTTTTCTAATGGATCGAGAGAGCAAATGAGTTCTATGTCAGCATATCTGCAAACCATTGATTGTAAACAGTAGTCCGTTTCAGACAAAGCATACCTCTCCAACAGCTAACAGGCGCTTGAGGAGCTCCATCTCTGAGGCGCCAGCTCCTGGAACAAGACGAGGATCCTTGACAAGAGCCTTGATCACATTGATACCATCATCCAAAGCGCGCTCGACATCGTCCAAATGGTTCTGCGTAGCACCACGGATGACAATTGTGGCAGTCTTTGAGATTTCCTCCTCCTGTCTAAACACCGTAACACGGTCGCCACCAATCTCAACGCTTTCGACAATATCGCAGAATCCCATCTCCTCAGCCATGGGAGCACCGACACGGGCTAGTGCAGTGGCACCCGTCACTCTACACAGACGTCTCAGGTCAAACTTGGACAACACCTTGACGACCATGATACCGAATCTGTTGAGGTAGTGGAGAGCGAGCTCACCAACAGCGTTACCGGTGACAACGACCTTAACACCGGCGTCAGCAATTCCCTTCAGCATACTCTCCATGTGCTTCTCCTCTCCCTTGGTGAAGTCGAGCATCTCATTGGCGTTATGAATCAAAACAGTTCCCTTAGTCTCCGTCTGGGCGACATCCAAGGGGCATGTGAAAATGGCGACCTTGGCCTTCTTAGCATTGGTAATAACACCTATTGTGATTCGAATGTACTACTGATCAGGTTCATGCAAACAAACAAAGCAGCTAATGATTGCTGGGACGCAGAGGCCCTAAACATACCCTCGGGGGAGCGACCGAAAACCATTCCTTTAACGACACGGCTCTCATAAAGACTGCTTCCCATGATCTTGACAACACGGACACTATCGACGTTGAAAGTGGAGGCATCCTTGGGCATGACAGCAAGGGCGGCCTCGCAAACGAGATCGGTCAACATGTCTTCGTTTCCGTACTGCTTGGCAGCAATGGACGAGCGAACAGCCTTGGCAAGGTCGTCCTTGGTCTGCACATTCTTAATTTCCTCCACCGAAAGCTCTAATTGAATGTCGAGGCATTGCAATCTGTTAAATTCAAGCTCCAAAGTAGGCAATTTGTGATATAGGTCAAGAGCTTCACGAAGTTGCGGATGCCGCGTGGCGTACCCTCAAGAATCTCCAGAGCCTTAGTCAAAGCAACCTCGTATCCCTGAACAATGTCGCTGGGATGAAGGCCCATGCGAAGCAAGTGCTCAGCCTTTTGCAGAAGCTCTCCTGTAATGATGCTGACCAAGTTGGAGGCATCCCCCATCTATATCGGATATCAAAGGATGTACATATACCGATTGCGTTGTCAGCTTAAGTTTTCCGAGGGTGAAAAAGGCGGGCGATGAATCCAGTCAATATTGGTTTCCATGCGATCTACCTCAGCTTCTTGTTGCTGCGAGGCCATGACCAACAACTTAGCTGCTGGGTGAACAACTTCGAGCTCGCGGATAATGGTGGCGGCATCGTTGGTCACAAAGAGCTTCTCCATGTGATTAATAATAATCTTATTGCGGCCTGCAATAGGGTTGAAAACATTGGTGGAGTGTTAGATGAGAGTGCACGCAGGCATTGGAAGTATTGGTCTTGCTACGCCATTTGAGCGTCGTGTTGTTGCACATACCATTGGGACCAAAGGAGGTACGGGTAATCTCAGAGAGGTCATGGACAGCCGTGATGTTGCGGAGGACAGCTTCATCAACACCTTGAAGGTGCTATTGGAGAGAAATGACAGATGAAGAAGAATGAGTCAGTAATGCCTTCATCTTGGATGCGCGTTTTTTTTAAGATGCTGTGCCTTCTTTCACTGATCAGTTTCCCAGATGCTGTTCCTGGCTGTGATGCTGATCAGCGCCGATACGAGCTGATGCAGTCGTGGTTGTACCTTGTAGCCATCCTTGAGCATTTGTGTTCCCTGAGGGATGCGAAGAGCCATGGTGTCGGGGGGTTGGATGAAGCGGGAAGGTGGTGGTGAGGTTGGTCGAGTTGAGAGAAGGTGATCTCAAAAAGAAGGCCGAGGAAGCATTCATTGCTGTTGTCGTCACCAAAAAAGCAAGTCGCGCTTCGAGTGCAGGGCAGCTCTTTATTGGACCAGCACTTACCGCCTCAAAAAGGGACGACCTTTTGACGTGGCAGCTCACTTCTCTCATCAAACCACATCCACTCCTTTCTGTCAAACAGCGACACAGACATCGACCATGGTAAGCTATCGACAAGCTTGTTGCGGAGTCGCTTTCAACACCATCACCACTATTGCGGCCGGGACGAGCGACGTCGTCATCACAACTGCTGGACCCTCGGCCGTTAACTCGGTCGCGTTGGAATCTTTTTTTTTTTCAGATGAAAGCAAGAAACAGGGAGCAGTATAAGGAGACAATGCCTTTTGGACTCTGGCAGGAACCCAGCATTATGGATATAGTTTTTGTACGATCGTCTGGATGGATATATTTTTCGTGCCTACACTTCCAAAGACGTCTTCAGCAATGACAGGGCAGCAGTCGACCTACGCGTGTAGTAATGGAGTCCAATTCTTCCAGGCGAAAAGTCATCTCTTGTCGTTCGTCCCCAGAACTGATCTGTACCGTTGCAATGTTGTTCCTATACAATAGGCTGCTACTCAACACACGCTGGAAACCCAGCATGAAGACATGATTGTAAGCAATTGGAACCAATGCTTGATCTATCGCGTATCCTTTCAGCAATGGTGGCAGCAGATCAAGAACTAACATGCCACTTATGCTGTCTTTTTTTTTGGATACTTCTCGACTTTAGCATGACGCTCAATACGACTACTATGGTGAGCAAGAGCTCCTAGCTTCGCAGTTATCTTGGTTAATTGACCTCTACAGACCTGGTCCTGGTACTAATGCATAATCTATAATCTGTTCGAAATAGGCAAGCGTCTCGCTACATGCTCGTCGGATCGCTCCATCCGCATTTTCGATGTCGATGGCGAAAACCACCGCTTGGCAGATACCTTAAAAGGGTATGTGAAGTAGATGTGATCAGGACGAGCATGGACATGAGGTATCGGAAGAAACTTCGAAAACTGACAGCATTTTCAAATATGGCCGATCTTTACAGGCATGAGGGACCAGTCTGGCAAATTTCCTGGGCCCATCCGAAGTTCGGCTGCATTTTGGCCTCTTGCTCGTATGACGGCAAGGTCTTTGTTTGGAGAGAGCAGAACGGTCAGTGGTCGCGTATCAAGGAGCATGCTCAGCATACCGCCTCAGGTAATTCTCACAGCAGGGGGATTTTTCTTTCTTTCTCAGGATGCAGTTGGAGCCATGAAGAATACAATGTTAAAGACCTTTATTGTACGAATAATCAGTAAACTCTGTCGCCTGGGCTCCCCATGAGCTCGGACCTCTCCTGGCCTGTGCTTCCTCGGATGGTCGGGTCTCTGTTCTTTCGTTCAAAGGTAAAGAGTTTTTCCCAGCACTCCGCTTGATCAATGGACCCATTGACCCTTCAAATTTCTGACTCGAGATGTTTTTGAATCGCTTTTAGATGACGGATCGTGGGACACTGCATTGTTGGATGCACATGCAATTGGATGCAACTCTGTCGGATGGGCACCTGCAACTGTCCCTGGCTCGTTAATCTCGCAGGGTCCTAACAGCGGCAAGGCTCCAGTAACAAAACGCTTTTGCACTGGAGGATGCGACAACTTGGTCAAGATCTGGGCTTACAGAGAGGACACGAAGACATGGAAGGAGGAGGATGTTCTCGAGGGTCACACTGACTGGGTTCGTGATGTGGCCTGGGCCCCCAACATTGGAGTGCCCAAGAGCTACCTTGCTAGCTGCTCACAGGACAAGACTGTGCTAATCTGGACCCAAGATACCCCGAACTCGCCCTGGCAGAAAAAGGCCCTTCGTGACGAGAAGTTTGCTGATGTGGTTTGGCGTGTGAGCTGGTCGTTGAGCGGCAATATCTTGGCGGTGTCATGCGGCGATAACAAGGTGACGCTCTGGAAGGAGAACCTGAGCGGCGAGTGGGAGTGCGTGAGCGAGATGGAGGAGAAGAACCTGGCAGGTGGAAACTAGGTGATGTAGGACGATTTTCGTTTCCTTCGCCTGCTTTGAGGATAAAACGATGAAGAGATTTTTAGGAGAGTAGATACTTTTGCGTCCAATAAATATCGCAATACATACAATGCTTCAATGCCGCTGTGCATAATACTACCGTGCTCCGATATTTTCACTAGTCTTTCAACGGTGCCAGTCTACGATATGATGTGACATGGTGCCTGTTGTCTTTGAATCGACCCTGCTAGTCCGCATGCAACTGCCTCAGCACTATGAAAGCCACTTTACCATACATTCAAAAAGGCTATGGCATGGTATGGATGGTGGCACGTGACTCTCGCTGGTCAACGGACATGGCGTTCGGACCATTGTTGATGCCTAGAAAGAAGCACCAACGTACGAAATAATAAAATGCGAGCATCCAAGTTCAGGTCTGACAAAAAGTGTCTCGTCTTCATGTAAAAATAGGATGCACATGGGACCCAAGAACCAAGGGGAAAGAGAATAGGAAGGACCTTCCGGACGGACGAATGGGTACAGAATGCGAAACCTCCATTTTTCATTTTCAGGTACGGGCCGATGATTCTAAACGGTCTTGGAATTATATTTCAGAATAATGAAGGCAGGTTTGACTTAACGATGCATCCCGGTAAATGTCCCAGGGGTCGGTGGAATCTAACTGGCTATCAGGGAGCAGGGCAACAGTTTAATCCGCTTGTGCTTCCCTTATAACATCGCCTTTTTCCTATCCTTTGTTCTTTTACTTTCTCCTCGCGCCCCGTCGTTATTTCCTGACGTAATTGTTCACTACTCACAACGGTATATCCTCCACCTAACGGCCGAATCCTAACTTCATTTGCACGCACAGACACTCGGTTTCCACTACCATTCCACACCTCGCCTCATCCCATCGTCATATCATCATCGACGACCTTTGAAACGACCTTTTGCAGCCACCTCCTAAACTCTTCTTCTTCCACAATTACGCACATACTCATTCTGACGCCCACCCCAACATGCGATCCCTCTCTGCGCTCGCCATCCTGGTCCTATCGACTACCGTTGCGACAGCACAGCAAGCACCACAATCCTTCCCCGAATCACTCGTCAACCCCGATTTCGCCTTAAGCCGATCGAGGATAGTTCTCGCCAGTGATACAACTGGCTGCAAAAACTCGCCCTTTGGCGGCAACTGTCCTCAGAATGCTCCCTGCTGCAGTGGCGCTGGCTACTGTGGATCAGACCCTTCCTTCTGTGCAGAGGCGTGCCAATCCTCTGGTTCTTTTGCTCCAGATTCATGCTGGCCCTTGCCCATGGCTGTCAGCGTCCAGGATGACTTCAAGGACAAGTCCAAAATGGTCGCCGTCAAGGACTACAACGGCTTCCCCAGCACCGCAGACTGGGTCATTGACCGATCTCCTGGCACCCTGCCTCACGCAATAATTACGGACGATGACAAGCTGCTTTTGAAGCTCAACCGAATCGAGAAACACCCCGAGACTGGCGGCGGTATCGGCGCCACTGTTCATTCAACACGCTGGATGAAATACGGCGCGATTGAAGCGCGTCTCAAGACTGCATCCAATGCCCCTGGACCCGTCTCCTCCTTTATCCTGATTTCACCTATCTCTGGCGACGAGATCGACTTTGAGGTCGTCGGCAAGAACTTCTCGGATGTGCAGACCAACTTTTACTATAAAGTTCAGCCTGATCACGCTGTTGATTACACGAACGGTATGTACATCGACGTCGGACTCGATACCAGTGCCGATTATCACATCTACAGACTTGAGTGGACTGAGACCGAGATGAAGTGGTACTTTGACGGAGACCTCAAGCGCACGGCCACAGCTGCCGATTCCGCCGGAAAGTACCCTGATACCCCCATGAGAGTCGCCTTTGGTCTTTGGGATGGAGGCTATGGAGAACCAGGTAAGACGAAAACTCAAAAATCAAATGGGCCTCCTGGGAATTACCTATGGCGTAGCTATACGCACGTTTTTATTTTCATTCCCCGCTTGCTTGCGTTTTGAGTTACAATATGAATTCCTTATGCCGATCCACAATTGGACAGAAAAACCGATTTATTCATGGCCGACCAGCAACTGAGAAAATGGGCGCGAGACAAGGGTGTTTCCAGATGTTCTTGTAACATTTATGGACAGGCGTCCAGGAAAGGGACAGAAATAATCCAGAGCATAATTAGCAACCTGGCGCCTGTCTCGTTAGTTGGCTATTCTTTTTCCTGTGCTTCCATGCTTTCCTATCGTCTCGTTTACGCCAAAACATACTATTTTACGCGATCGACGAGGGGAATAAGGGTTGCCGCTGAGGGCGTCGTGCAGCACCTTAATTCTGTACCTTGGTCCGACTGATTTCTATTTTTGAGCCAAACCCGCCCTTGTTCTTTTTCAGTTGAGAGCGCTTGGATTATCGCTGCATCCCCTCCACGCGTTCCATTCTCTGGCCAATCTGCACTCTATGCTTTCGTGGCTGTCTTGGGCGTAAAATTTACTCGGCAATGCGAATAATGTCTCGTCTTTCAACTTTGTTCCTGCATTTGGCGGCCTTCCAACACTCTATACCAACTGACACAGGAGAAAGACATGGGCACAGTGTCAATTCTATTTTCAGGGCCATCGTCATCCTCTGTGTCAGATTCTTTGTTCCTAACAATCTGCACTTCTTTTAATACATGATATAGGCACCGCTGACTGGGCTGGCCGCAACACATCGTACGAACCCAATGATCAACGCGAGTACCAGATGTTGGTCGACTGGGTCAAGATCGCGCCTCAATATCCCGACAACTCAACGGAGCCTTGGCCAGGCTCCAAGTACCTGCAGCAGATGGAAAATGGCACCAATGGTGGTAGCGGAAAGAACGGAGGTGTGAATGACGACGGCTCCAGTGGTAGCACTGGCAACGGAGGTAGCAATGGCAACGGTGGCAGCGGCAATTGGAGGAATGCGGCCCCGGGTCTTGTTGCCTATATGGGTGGAAATGCTGTGGTTGCCGTCTTTGCTGCGGTCGCAACCGCGTTCTTTACATAGGTGTCTAACCGTATTTGTTGTCCCACAGCCTACACTCTTTTTTTCGATTTGCCGTATTTTCACTATGGCAAATGCGGTATTTCACTGAATTAAAATATATACTCGTGGGTATTCAATCGATTTTTAATTTTGCATGGAATTACGGATAACAAATCGTGCGGTCGCTCGAGCCTTTGGGTCGTCGCTTGCAAGCCAAGTCTCCACCTTCATCACCAAGCTCTCTGCTCCGAATGTGACCTTGAACAGGCTGTAATCGTCGGAATCGATGGAGGAACTCCGTTCTCGTTCTCGTGGCGTAAATAGAGCTTCTCTCATGGCCAACTTCTCGCGCACCGCCTTTCTTATCTCCTCTCCCAGATCCTGCGCATCCTTCTGGTTCTTTTCAAGGTTAAAGTTGAACCTTTCTCCGTCCAAGGCCGATGCAATAAAACGAAGAAGTGTCGCTTCGTTTGTTGTTTGGCTGTCTCTGCGACTGGTGGATATATGGGTTGTCGCTCTTGCACACCTGCCGATCTCTCCTCGAGATTGTCAGCCATCATCCTAGGAAGAACCTTCGTGGTGCGAAAACATTGTCGTAGTGTTGAAGCCTTCACTTGCGACCATGCATATGGGATTAAACTCTACGCCTCGCCGTTGGTGACTTTCGCTCCATGGGCATATTTCTTTACAATCGCCTGGTTGGTGAGCATCTCGACGTATTGTCGCTTGAAAACGCTAATAACGCCAGCATCCAATGGTTGGGTGACAGATTTCAAGTTTGCTGGAAGACGTTCAAGACGAAGGCGTGTCCACTTCTGCCTTGTCAACGGGTCGATGTTGCCAATGCCGCTGTGTGCTCCACAGGAGTCGAAGAGAAGAAGACTTGGTGCAGAGAGACTGGTGTCGAGAAGATGAAGCCACCCCTCAAAGAGCTGCTGGGTCATGTATCCCTTTGCATGCCTTATCGAGGTAATGGGGACTTGCTTGCATTGCTCAATGCCTCGAGCAAGATGCTCGCCTAAAGTATCAAAACAGAGCGAAACATAGGAATGAAATTACAGATCTTGTTTATGTGGTGCAGCGAGTTTATATATATACTTACCAATAACGAGCGGCCTCAACGCCGGTATATTTACTTTTCGTGCAAGTGAAGAACCAGTGGCATTGATACAAAAGAGAACTGACACCCGAGAGCCAGTTCCTCTTGTAGCCTTGGCACCCCTTTTGAGCTCTGGGGTGCTATAGGAGCGGGCGGGCACCTCCAGCAGATACATCCCTGTCTCGTCGCAATTGTAGATATCTTCAGGGTTGTATTCGGAGCAGATCTTGCGGATCTCGGCCATCCTTGGTTCGATTGCTTGCATGTCGACAGCGCCCGCCTCGCCTTTGAGATTGAAACTTGCGACGCAGTATTCTTCCTTCATCCGAGAGAGCCATGATGCTGTGAAGGACATGGTACGACCAAGTGACATGCTTTCAGGAGCAATATCATCGACAAGCACATGGAAAATGGTTTCAGCTGCAGCCTGGAGTTGACGACCACTGATAATACCACTATCCTTTCGCACTTCGATCAGCCAGTCATAAACAGCCTGATCAATCAAGTATCGTACCAGCATGGATTGATCGTCAGAAAGCTTGCATTTATTGCCTCGACCATGGAACACATCGTACTTGATCTTGTCGTAATCCTCGTCCTATTGCTTAATCGAATCTCGATGGATATCTGCTTGTACAAATGAATGAAAGTTGGTGGGCGTCACTCTAACACCCTTCTTCTGCCGGAGGTGGCGATAAATCTCCACGAGCTCCATACGATACCGAAGAGGAAACCCTTTTCCTCGATATTTACGGAGGTCAGTCGCCTGCGAAGGTTGACTTTTTAGAGATGAGCCAGCTCGTGCTTCTGCAAGCAGTGCACGGTGCAAGAGAGTTGGCGCGTCCTCACTTGCACTAGCAGAAGAGGCATTGTTTCCACTACCCTTAAGGGTGATGTCGGTGAGGGGCAAGCGTTGTGAGCGGGGGTTGGTGCCAGAACTGGTTGTTCTATGCTTTGGCATCTTGGATAAAGAGGTGAGAATGGGACGTGAGAAAGCGGATGAGAGAAGAGTGTGTGTGAGAATATACTATTGCTGATGAAGATATAAGGCAAACTCTGCGAGGATATAAAGTATATCTGATGTATCGATTGAATACCTACGAGCATATATTTTAATTCAGTGAAATACCGCATTTGCCATAGTGAAAATACGGCAAATCGAAAAAAAGAGTGTAGAACTAGATTCTAGCAACTTGTCAAAGTAAATGTTCCTTGCCCTTTGCCAACAAATTTTCGAAAATTTTGGGCCGATTGCTGCACAACAGAAACGCGAAACAAGACAACCCAGAGCTGAAGAATGACGCGAACAAGCTAGCACACCCAAGAACATATCAGGCTTGCCGAAACAAACATTCCTACTCGCCCTACAGAACCATGCTACCATGCTACAATGCAAAATATAACTTTTATCCCTGGCCACGGATGGCATACGAAACTCCTGAAATTCCTGCAAGCCCAAGGCCAACAAGCCCGATAAGCTCGACTCACGCTTTTATCTTGGGCTACTCCCTATTCAAATGTCGCCAGCACCGCTATCACACCTAGTCGACAAGGGCTGGAATTACCTTCAGGCCCTCAACATTTAAAAACGATGTCATGGGATCCCTAAAGCGAAGTGAAGGTTATGGCAAGACGAAAACGAACATCGGAGGGATATTTATTACATTTTGACAATAGTATTATAGCTGTTGCATGCAAAAACATTATATTGATCAAGAACCAAAATAGACTGTATTAGATGCATTATGTTGCTACGAATGGTTGTCTATGGGCGTCTTCAAGAACAGTACCTGTATCGATCAAGAATCAAAAAAGAGACAAGGTTCTTTTCTCAAGGCTCCTTTTTAAACCCGTCCTTATTAAAGGCCTCTCGATAACGCACGAAATGTCTCCTACCAAATCAAACCATCTGTACCAACATTGGAAAGGCGCGGATACCTTGCTCCCACATGAATTCCCTGCACCCGGATAAAGCCAGTAGAGTGGCCTTGTTCCCATAATTTGCTCAGATTAGGCCCTCTATTTTATAGATATATCCAACCATCTCTTTATTTGTCGTCCTCTCTGCAACGCACTGCTAAAGAAGCTCTGTTGCTATCTCTTGTTTGATCTTGTGCGCGAACGAACCTGACGATCCATCACCCGTGAATCGGTTAATGGTCGTTATAAAGACTTTCGCTCAGGCTTTGGCTGAGAGAGCGGACGTGGCCGCCAGGCCTACGACGGTTCGCAAATGATCACGATTCTCGTGTCTCTTGTAAAAAGGCCTTTGAGCGGCATATGACACTCGCTTGCCCCGTCAGTCAGCCTCTTAAGAAAGCCGGATGCTGCTATATAGACATACTTTCTTTTCTCCTCCCAGGCTTCATTCCCATCCTCCGACTTGGCAGCTACCGACACAATGGCATTCATAGACACACGCTGGTATCGGTACTCACACTGACACTAACACATGGACACTCCATTACGAATACTGAAAATCAGGCCGAGAGGATCTGAAAACCTTTCCTAAGGAGGCGTACTGGGCCCTGTGAGCAGATTAAGGCCTTGTTCGTAGTCGAGCTCAAGAGGAAATTTTCATTATACCCAGCCTTGGCCATCAAAACAATATTAGGAATGAGGCCATAAAGAACAGAGCTGCAAGAGGAGGCTCCAATAGACATAGTACCATTACCTGTTCGGCATAGCCGCAAAGGGATCCAAGCAAGCATGTCGCAGGTGGATATTCAGCGCTATACGGACGCTAGGGCGTAATATTACCGTCGTCTGAGATCTTATCTTAAGCGTGGTTTGATTGGATGGCCTCGCGCTTCAGTCTTTTTACGGTGCGCCTGAAGCGTCTGTATTTGTCTCGGAATCCAAGTCCGTTCATAACTCCTCATAGGGACTAAAGAGGCATTGTCTATAGAAGCGAAGACAGCAGCCCTTGACGTCTTTTTCTCACTGCTTTGAAGGGTAAACAATTGGTGTCTTGTGTTGATGATAATGTCTACAATAGTATCCAATTTCCTGGCATGCAAGGGGCATTCCTTGGATGCCATGTCTCTTAAGAGTAGGTACGGGAGATTACGATTTCGACAGGAGCTGTCGCATGAACGCCAGGGACCTCAACAGGCAGGCTATTCCTTAAATACAAGTCCAATAATAAATGGCTAGATCATTTTTCGGGTCATGTTTTTGCTAAAGTGTGGGCGGACTCACATTTTGCTCCAGCCCTTATTAAGCGGTTATAGTAACTAGACACGAGACAAGAGAGGGAACCGCAGCACAGCTATTACGCCTTGTGCATGTCAGTGGCAGCGATTATGAGCCATGCTTAGATAAGGACAAGTCCTTCGCGTACAAGATGGGGTTATTGAGTAACCGCCGGTTTCGTGAGTTCTTGTTGTGAGGACCCCCACAAGTAATCATTATAGTGTATATATGATACATCCGCAAACGTAAGCAATGAGTCAATTGGCGTGGAATGTAATGGTCGATACTGAAAGTCTTACCATTGTTGTCATTGCAAAAGTTTTGGTATGCTATGATGTTAACAAGTGCTGCGCCCTGTGTCTACAACATTCCAGAGAACCGTGATATTGGCCTCACTAATATACAGCCCCTATCTATAGGCATTCAATCCAATAAAGACTTTATATTTAGCCTAAATTATCGATCCTTATCGTCTGCAAGAAAGGCGTCCATATTCATGGCTATGTCCGCAGGGTTGGGTGTAGCTGTGAGAGACCGTGAAGGCGGTGTTGAGGATGGATGATGGGCTCTTCCGGGCGTCCCTACGGGTGTCGGTCGCAAGGAGTCGTTCGACGTGCTGTGCTGAAGATTCATTACGAGCATCACTCCTTCGTCCCCTTCTCCTGGTATGTCTTCATCACCTCCTCCTGGGGTATGTGATGCGCTCAGCGCAGGGCTCGCCATCGTAGATCCGCCTCTTTTGTCACTCGTCATACACTGCCCTTCCTGTGATGACATTTGTTCCATCTCATTCACGTCTATAGCTGCCTGGGCCGATTCGGTGCCAGTAACAACAACTTCCATGGCCTCCACGAATCCTCCCTCTTCATCGTCATCTTCCTCGTGATGTGTCCTTGTGTGGAATAACCTCTTGGCTTCCTCACGCTGATCCTCCTCAATTGACTCTTGAATATTCTGGAGACATTGCAATGCCGTAAAGAACTGCTTTTTCCTGAGCTCCATAGTTTCGCTCTGTCTCACTGCTTGTTGCTCCAGTTCTAGAATCTCTGCCTGCAAATTCGCGATGCTCTGCTCACTCGACTCCCTGCTCGGAAATTTTGAAACCTCCGTAGCCAATTCATCGTATTTGATCTTGTTGGCACGTTCTTGTTTGACTTCCTCAAGTTTGTAGGCAAGGACCTGAAGTTCCTCTTCTGATTTGGAGATGTTCTCCTCGATCTGGCGTTGGTCCTGGTCATAGTGAAGGCGCTCCCGCTCAGCCATGTCGGTGATGAGTTTGGTTTTGGAAAGCCCCAGCTGGAACTGTGAAATTTCGAGAAGTAGGGATTGAAGACCATTTTCACTAAGAGCGGGTATATAACAATAGAATACCGCGTAGAGTTGGTGGTTAATTGTCGAGATATAACTTCCTTTGTTTCAATCCTGGGTTTGCTGCCCTTACATGTCTTCTTCTGTGCCAGATGATAATGATGTTGCCCATTTGTAAAAGCGAGCTGTCAGCCTCTTTAATGGTCTTTCGTTGATGCTGAGTCGTGTCTTGATAAGTTCTACCGCGACAGTTGAGAGGTGAAGGCACATGTTAGCGGATGAACAAAGCAGCCAAGTGGTATCGTCCTAAAGTCACGCGCATCAAAGTTCCCAGCTTTCCGCGATGCCGATGTTGAAGAACGTACCTTCCTGATCCATTGTTGAGCGATGGCGATGCTGGTGAGGAGAAGTGATCCCTCTTGTTTCGTGGTGATGGGAGCAGGTTGAGCAGGCACACAGCACGTGCGAGTACCAATTGTATATTCGTGGCTTGTGTTTATGAAGGGAGTTTTTTTTTTTTTTGTGGAGCCAGGCCTTTTTTCTTCGTTCAAAGAGTCCTCTCTCTATCCCCCAACTTGCCCACCCTCTCTGTTTCCTTCCTAGCCTAACCTTCATCAAGCACAACATATCCACACAATGGTGAAAGCGACTCCCACAAAGACGAGCTTCGGCACATTGCAGAATCCCGACCATGTCTCAAGCGCCCTTATTATCCACTCCTCATTCTCCCCCATGGACGGCGGCAGCAACTACTGCATTGTCACACCTGGTGCTGATCACTACCGTCTCCGCATTTTCGATACCGCTACTGGAACCATTAAGAATGATTATGAACAAAAGGAGGGCGACGGCAAGTGGACCTGTATCCGCTGGGGTGCTATCTCGGAGACTGGAGCCAACGGAGTACGTCTATCTTTGATTGACTGGATCTGCTATCTTGATGTTCTGGAAATGTTCTCCAGTTGACCTATCGTAGTGCAGTTGCATTTCTAACCAGATCTCGCGGTGGAATTCCTGGACGTTAATGAAATAGGCAGCAAAGAAGAAGAGGAGATCATCTCTAGAAGGTAGCAACAGCCCAGTGCTCGCTCTCGGCCACACCAATGGACAAATCTCGGTCTATTCCCTGGCGCACGGCCGCATCCTTTACCAGCTCTCTGGATCGCACACCGGGAGAGTCAATGACTTTTGCTTCTCCAAGAGTGGCACCCGTGGCTACTCTGCAGGCGAGGATGGTTTGATCTGCGAGTGGGATATCATGCAGGGGGTCGAGATGAGCAAATTCCATGCCGATACCAAGGCTGTCAAGAAGATCCAGCTCAACCACGAAGAGACCATGATCTTGACTGCAGGACACAGCATGAAGCTCTGGGATCTCGAGTCACAGGAGACGATCAAGAACTTTACAGGACATGCCAGCGCTATCACGAACGTTGTCTTCTCTATCAATGATAAATTCGTTGCCTCCACAGCCGAACAGGATCGATTCATCAACCTCTGGGACTGTACTCGCGATAACCAGCAAGAAGGAAACATCACAGGTGAGGAGATGAGTTTGCCGCACTACATCTCCATGCCATGGCAGAGCGATCTATGACGAACTGCATTTCTATATGCTGTATGTTGTTCAACTTATTTATCCCTTTTTATTGTCAAACCCTATTTTAGCCTTGACTCTGGATAATACAGTCTCCCATGTTGACATCTCACCGAACAACACTATCCTGGCCATTTCAGAAGAGGGTACTGCCGGTATTTGGCAGAACGCACAGAGCGTCAGCGGTACATCGAGCAGCAGCGCTAAGGCCAACAAGAAGAAACGCTACACAACACGCGCCTGCGACTGCCTAGTCAAGGTAGAGTCGTCCCGTGGCGACAGATCCGTGATTCCTTTGCTGGCAGGAGTCTTCGCCCCTCAGGGACAGATGATCCTCGCCCGCGGATCGACCATCAAGCCAGTTTTTGAGAAGATCGATTTCCAGAACGAGGACGGATCATTAAAGGAGAAAGAGTTGATCATGACCCGCGCACCTGTCACTGGCTTCCTGATGGACGAATCAGCACAGGCAGTCAGCAATTTGAAGGCAACCAAGAAGGCATACGACGAGAGCGCAGTAACGGTGGTCGGTGCAGCGGATTTCGCATTGCCAACACCAGGCATGAGTGGAGAGAACGACGATGAGAAGGATATTGACGAGGATGCTGAGGAACTCGAGGGACGTACAATGGAGGAGAAACTCCAGGATCTGGTCGTGGATGAATCAGCAACAAACTCGACGGGCAAGAAATCAAAACAGTCAGAGGGTAGCAAAAACAGGTACCCAACGCCCAAGGCTAACTCTTTGCAACAAATGCTTATCCAGGCACTGCATTCAAATGATCTTCAGCTCCTGGAAGCCTGCTTGACCTTTAACAACGTGGAGGTAATCAGGAACACAGTTCGTCGTCTTCCTACGGCATATGTCGTCCCATTCTTGACGCAAGTCATACACAAGTTTCAGCAGAAGCCCAACCGTGGAGAGGCACTGTTGGAATGGATCAAGGCTGTGCTGCTGATTCACACTGCATACCTGATGACTGTCCCAGACCTGATCAAGAAGCTGTCTAACTTTTACCAAACCCTGGACTCACGCGTGTCGGTGTTCCAGAAGCTGTTGAACCTGCATGGACGCCTTGATTTGGTGATGAGCCAGATCGAGATGAGACGGCAATACGAGGCTGAGGATACGACGAATGAAGCAACAACAGTGTACGTGGAGGACGAGGATGACGATGATGATGAGGAACTGGATCTCGATATGGAAGATGATGATGAAGATGATGACCTCGTTGGTGAGGCGGACGCATTTGATGAGGAGGAGGTAAGGCCTTGAGAGTCAATATCTTTGTATAGGCCGAACATGATTTCTTGGAGCCATACTAACATGTTCTTTATTCTGATTTTTTATATTCGTAGATTGGAGATACGGACGAGGAGGAACTCGAGTCTGAAATGTCGGACGACGATGAAGACGACGAGTCTGAGGACGAGGAATAAAGCGATATTTCGTTTTTGTTCTCTTGGTTCTGCGTTATCTTTGATAGAAAACGGTTCATTAACGCTCGATACACAGAACCACGCATTCACGAGCACGAGCACACGCACGCATCCACACGCAAACACACAAACATTCACTTTAGCGCATGTAATCTTCACAGTAAATAAGCATTGTTTTTATCCGCATTATATGTTTGCACTGAAATTATTAAAAAGCATGCAGGGTTGCCTTGTGGTACATGAAGAACGAGCTTGTAGAGACTTATTTACCTTGCAGAAACAAGGCACTCCACTTTGTACTTGTGAAAAAGCCTTTAGCTCTCCTGCAGTAGAGGGGAATGCATTCTTGACTGTTCCATACACCAGCATAAGTATGTTCTGGCTAGCATCTCTGTATTCATCGCAGACCTTCGTTCTCCAACGCTTGGTAAGGAGTTGCAAATGTATCGATCAGCATTTGAAGTGTACTGGGCGTACGCGGTTACTGCCGCTCTCTTGATGGTCACCTCGTTGTTGACTTTGGGAGCGCGGTCAGCCTAAAGCCTATCCCCTTAGTGTTCATGGAAGGCCCTGAATGCCACTAGAGCTCTTTACGTTGTCCGAGTCACCGCATGTCAACACTAGCTGGCGTGAACTCTAGGCAGAGCAAGAAGGGGATATCTCATTCCCAAAAGTTCTCTGAGGGGCATCAGTATCAAGCGGATGATCATATGGCGTTCAAGAGTGCAAATACTGCGAAGAACCATAGTCTGAAGACCACTATAGTCGTAAACACCTCCCATTCGGCAAAGCCCTCATGCATCTGCTAGAGCAAAAGAAGCGGGGCTACTTAATGACTGTATTGAACTACTTGCACTTACCCTGAGAATTCAAGCAGCCATGATTGGGTGGCGTTAAAGAGGGACAGTGGGCGGATCTAAGATTTAGTCTAAGGCATTATTGTCGGGATGGGGATGACAACCGCACCTCTATCTCCAAGTGTGTATTTATTAAAGCCATTTGGCTCCAGAACTTTGGTGAAGAGCAAATCGTGATCCATCCGTTTTGTTATTATGTCGCTCCTGAATCCCTGACTCCTCTGTCTCTTAAAGACATCCTTCATCTCTTGGCCGACTGTGACCCTCTCGTGACAATCGATCCATATCCAATCCATAGGAACCATGGCTCGCCTCTTTTCGGAGAGAGGGGGTCAGAACAACATGGCGCGATTCACGTGCCTTTCCGTTTAGACTACATACCGCTCGAACGAGCACAGCTTTTTTTTTTTTTTTTTTTTTTTTTTTTTTTTCATTCCGCCACGCCTTTCATGTGCACGTCAGATGTCAGATTTACGTATCTAATGGTTCTCATGAAAAGTCAGGCAAAGGTATGTCCTTTTTACCAGCTTTATCGATCGTTCGGCCTCTTTACGCGGCGGTCGGTTAAACAGGCATCGTCGGATATCACCTCTGACCTGATTCGACAAGAACGACAAGATAGGTTCCGCGAGGCGTACAAGGCTTTCGAAGAGCACCATGAAGATAGCTTTTGGGCTAATTACGCTCTCAAAATCAATAGCGGTTGTTATTCAAAGTTTAGGTCTTCAGCAGGCAGGAACCGCCTACAAGCATTACCCCTTGAAGAATCCGTGAGAAAGAGAGTGAGGCCATACTTTCATACCCGGAGAGTACAGTTAGTAGAGATTAACGCCCGCTAGTAGAAATATATAAGAGTATAGCAACAAGACTAAGGAGGAAAAAGCGGATCTGGTCCTACTCCACGTCATGAATCATTTCTCTACCTCTGCAAAATGCTATGCGTACTCAACAGCGGCCAGGCGATTCGAGCTGTACCCTTTATTAAAGGATTCCATGGCCTTAATGGAAGGCGAATTTGGTGCTAGAGTCCACGACATAAAACAAAGGACCAGCGATAGTGCACTCAAAGTTTAAGCCTAGGCCAAAGCTGGCTATATTCGCTTGAGATAGATTCACTTAGCCATCAATAGAATCCCACTCACCTTCTCACACTTTCACCACGACAACCATCAAGAAACTTATACCTACAAATCTACAGATCCTCGAACATCAGCTACCGATTATAATGGCGAAGAAACAATGCTTTCTGCCCACTGCAAGGTGAATAGCATATTCTCAAAATTCCTTAAAGAAACATTCCTGTCTTCATGGGGGGACACTATTGAGAAATGCAAAAAGTACAGCAACATGGAGCAATGAACGTATCATAAATTCTTTTGATAGGTTAGTGGCCATTTATTGAACCTATCTAAAGTGAATATAGCCAGCTTTGGCCTAGGCTTAAACTTTGAATGCACTATCCCTGAACGCGTCGAAGGGCCAATTCCCTGTGGCTGATGTTGTACGTATAATTTTTCTGCAGAAACCTGTGAGACACCCCCGGACATCGCCATGTCTCGTCCACTTGACCATATATGCATATTGGCCTGTCTGGACTTGATTTCTTTGCTTCTTCCCATGCCTGTACACACTTTTTCTCCAAACATCAACCAACTAATCCAACCATCCAACAAGCCCTGCACCAGTTTTTAGGCACACTCGCCCGTCAGTCATGCCTCATAATACCAGCAAAAGACTGGCATCACAGGAGCTAGAGCAACAGGAGCTACCGCAGATGGTCTTTCAGGTTCAACTCCCTTCAGATATGCAGCCATATTCTCAGCAGGGGCGCCCAAAGGGGCGGCGTTGTCTGTCAAACAAGGTTCTATCAGCAGCAGCGCCCCCACCATCAGCAGCACCGGCGAAAGAGCAAGATGGACCCTCGGCTCCGACCATCGCTTCGACCGCTATAACTGCACGGACAACTACACAGGGTAGAAAGCTACCAACGTCTTCGCAACGGCGCCAAGGAGTATCTTCATCGCTACAGCCCACTGCCCGTCGCGACCTAGTTCTGCTCTTGCCTCGCTTACCTCAACTCTTTTCGACAACCTAAAAATCCTTATCCTTCAGCAAGGAATCCTTCCGTCAGACATGACGGTTGAACAGACCACAGAGACAAGAGGATAAACGGCGAAGTCCATTCTGAAGAGTATTTTCAGGACGCCTAATTCTATACTGAAAGCAATGGAGACATACAGGTCACATATCGAGCGCTTCAAGACAAGTAACCATGACTCTGTAGTGTTGTTCATTCTCATGCGAAAGTGGCGTCGTCGTAGTTCAAACACCTTTACGTTGAAAATTACCAAGTAGTAGCAGTAATAGCAGTAGTAGCAGTAATAGCAGCAGTAGTAGTGGTAGCAGTAATAGCAGTATTAGCAATGTCAACTCCAGCGATGGTGATAATGACGATCAATATGTTCTATGTTTCCTGGCTAGAGATATCGCAAAAGTTTGTGTGGGGACAAGAGCAAGACGGACTACGAAGTGGATTCTGAGCGAATAACGGACTTCTTGATAAACTACGTGTTCAATAAGGAGGTGGCGAGGCACGTTAATGCGGACGTCGGTTACATTAGGCAAGTTGGCGTGTTATCGTCGAATTCGTCAAATGTATAGCGAATGCCGCTTCCGCCCTGGGAACCGTCTACGTCACCGTCGAACGCGAATGCGACAGAGTGGGCAATCACGTAGGCCCTGGAAGTCACCTCGCCAGTGTCAGTCATGGATAGCGGTAGCGGCGACGACGACCACCACCACAACAACAACAACGATAATAACAACAATAACGATAGTGGCGATAACGACGATAGAAATGATGACGACGACGATGACAACGACATTGTGGGACCCACAACCGGTGCTATTGCCGTTGCCGCTTCCAGGCACATCACCAGGGTTTCCAGAGTTGAAGGAGCATCACAAGGTAGATCAACCCTCTGTGTATTATATACTATTATATATTGTTATATATCCGTGTCGTTTGCAGTTTGCCGTTTGGATGTTTATTTATCGTCCTTTCATTCGCTCTAGTTCTCGATGCTCCATTCTATGTGCTTTCATATAGTCGTCCAGAACGCACAGCTGGACAAGAATGGTCGCAATACGATCTACGTCCCACCTAGCCTTTCAACAACAGAGAACTACATGAAGGCCCTCATTTTCTTGTGGAAATACCAGTGGAGACTATCTGGCATATTATAACCTGACTCCTAACCCTCGAAAGAACCTTGTATTGCAGAACACCATCAGGCAATATGCCGAAAACTTGGTCTATACGAAAACAACAAAAGGCAAGACGCGTACAAGCGCCTGCTTTGTACGCGACCCGTATAAAGCGAAGCAGTTTATCCAGATGGCTTCATTCACATGGTGGAAGCTTCTGGTGCCCAGGAGGGTGGGTAAACCCATATACGATCAAGCACGGTTTCCGCACATTCGCGAGCATTTGAACATACTGGCACGGCACCATATGCTGCTGGGTGACGAGGATATGTGCAATCTGATGCTGTCTGGCGTCTTTAGCGTTCAAACGCGACATAACATCCCTGGATCGGCCCTGGCTTTAGGGATTGTCTTCTCTCTATTAAGAGGAAAGACTAACCAGCGCGGCGTCAACATGTACACAGTAGTATATTGCCACCGGAATTTTGTTCGCTGTTCAGTTGCCGCATTTGGATAGTACATGCTTGAGCGTTTTCCGATTGTATCAGTCCAGTAAATGCCATGCTTTATTTCAAGCTCTGCGCCATGTTGCCAATTCGTTCTGACCATTCCATGCTATTAATTTTCCCCAGGTAGAGAACGAGCCCATTCCTAACTTCTCTGGTGCGGATGATTGGCATTCTATCCGAGTCCTCAGGTTGGTCGAAACTCTACAGGAGATTCTCAATAACCGAACAAAGGTCATTACAAACCAAGCCCAGAATGATATCGCTGTACAGGCCATGCACGCCTGCCCAGTGTACTCTCTCAAAGCCACCCATGCCGGACGTCATACTGGGAGTCAGAGGCATACCACCTCGGCTTGAACCTTGACTACATCTATTACCTCGGTCGCTGGAGTATGGGCTAGATGGAGTCTTATTATGCCTCCAAATTGCCTACAATCGGAGCATTGTACATGACTCATTTCAGGAAAGACGATCCGTACTTTATTGAGCGCGATCTAGTGACGCCGCCATTACAGCTCCAGCGCCTTATCTTTCCGTGGATTGAGGATACCTTTGTGAATGACGAGGAACTATCGTGGAAGACGCCGTCCTGTATCGAAGAATGCGACAAGGAGATGTTGGGAGCGGACCCAGATGTCAGTACAGAGAGCGACACCCATTTTGTCCCTGCCGAGCAAACGATCTCGAGCAAGAACCTGTCAACCAAGCTGGTCAATAGCGCACTGGTCGACCGCATCGGGTTCCTTAAGCTACTTGTTCGTTTGCGGCGTGTTATCCTTCAGGATGCTGTTTTGTATTTGAAGCCGAACGCGAATGGTCAAACCTTGAGCAACGAGCTTTTAGAGTCCTGTAGAGAGAAAATAAAAGATATTTATTGGGGCAGCTCGACTACAAATGGGATGAAATGGCGAGTAATGCTGTTCGGCAGGGATGAAGGAGGAATGAAGGCAAGAGATGAGATGCAGGAATGGGAGCTAGAGCTTGAAATGATGCAGTGTAAACAATCAAACGCAGAGATTAGGAGTGAGCCTACGAGGAAGGCACGCAGCAGCAACACACTCGAACCAGGTCCACGAATCAGGCGCGTGGGGCGCAATACCAAAAAACGAAAACGGCAAGGAAAGAGTATGGGGAGACGATGGATTTCCTGCGCAGAGACTCACAACTTCCAAAAAGAAAAGACTTGATACTTAAGGAATATAACGAACACCTGTGATTAACATCCAAAACGATACGGTATACTGCTTTCTTTCATCCTTTTCATTATTTTTTGCCGACATTACTCAGGTAAGAACACGAAGAGTTATTGCATGTAGAACAGTTGGTGAAAATTGAAGGTATCGTCTTTTATATACACGCAGTCTCCCGTATAGACAGAACGACGGGATACCCATCGCTAGTGGTTATAGGGATGGAATCAACTCTGAGAGAGACAATCACCTTGGTTAGTAGGTGATGTGGTGAACAGCCACGCTTCTTGGAGAGGACCCTCTCATCTGTCACATGAGGGATGTGCTTTGTCAATCCCATAGCTCTGGCTCTTCGTTAATGAGAAGAATGAGCCATTGTAATGGGGGGTAGCACCCGATAGATTTGCTTTCGGTTTAAATGCGCTGGTCACTCTTTTTTTGCTTTCCTTTTCCGCATTGAGATTTGACCTCATCGCTGTTGACTACAGGGATGGGGTACTAAGTGGTATTAGTCGATCTCTTCAAAACGGACGGTGTTAGCACGAGGCGAAGAAGTTTTGGCCGACCAATTAAAGCTTTTAAAGACTGTCACTACAACCAATTCACTGCTCTCAAGTCTGCGCATCTCAACCTCTCTCTCTCTGCTGTGCGAGGCGATGGAGTGTTAGCCGACCAATTAAAACCTTTGAAGACTCTCATGACAACCAATTCACTGCTCTCAACTCTGAGCATTCGGCGCATCTCAACCTCTAATTTGATTTTCCAAAATTGCCACACACTGAAAATTTTAGAGTCTTCAAAGGTTCTATCCGCCTCAATGATACTCAAAACATTCGGTGCTGTACTGGCACTTGCTGCTACATGCTATAGTGCACAGATACCACTCGGATACCGCTATGCATTCGACGTGATAAGCAGCACCATAGCCACTAGTGGATGGGAGAGATCATCAGCCATCGTCACCGGGCCCACATTGATCGAGTCCGACAACATCTATCGCAACACCACATGGAGCATCGAACTACCACCTCATCTCCAGGACATAGTACGATCGAGCGCTCCATTCGAGTGGGTAGAATCTGGCGGCACTGATAAGGCCACCTACGGATTCCATGTCCCGATCGGCATTACTGGATACGTCGCACAGACTACCAAGTGGCATATACTCACGGGCTACATCCGCACCACACTAGCCGGCAATATCATCACCGAGCAACTAATCACCACCGTCACACCCAAAGTACTATCAAACGGCGATCTAGATGGTGAGGTCACATTTATCCCACTCGAATCGCACTAGTCGCCCACCAGCCATAGTCAGATCGCACACACATAAAATTGCCGCCCCAAACAACAGCGCTTTAGCACCGAGCACCAAGCAGCCTCGAAGACGTAGTTGGCTAGTGTGCGAAAAGACCAAGGACTTAGTGCGTGCAACGTGTCGTGAAGAAAAAAAATGTGAATATGCACAGTAAGACCGGGGCACCAGAGGCTGTTGGTGGATAGACAAGGATCGGCTCGCGGGATGAGTGGGAATGACTGATGAAGATAAAGAGATAAAGTGCTTGGGTCGGGGCAGGTGAGAAGCTGAAAAAGGAGCGCTCAATTGCTTTCTGTTTCTCTCACTTGCTGGCTTCCTCTTTTCTCTCTCACTGCACCCGTCTCTACGCCGTTTACTCCACTTATTTACAACTGGCAGCCCGCCAATGCCCATTGCACACACCCTTTTTTTGTATCCAAGGTCCTCCTCTCTCGCAAGCTATTGTTGCTGTCCTATACTGTCCTATTGCTATCGATCCTCCTCGCAGGCCATCAGTAAGCAAACAAGAGCGAGCATCATTAATTTTTGGATGGCGCTGAGGGATGGCAGTGAAAGAGAAAAGTCGCGCTGGAAGCGCATGGAAGGACTCAGCGGACCGTGCAAACTGCATTTGAAATCCAGGACTTCTGTTCATCCACGTCCTCGGTCGTTCCAGCCCCTTTGCGTCAGCAGTGTTTGCTTTATAGGTGAATATTCATCAAGATTGTCAAGAGTTTGCCTCGAGCTAAGTCAGCTGTTGGACGTCGCGCCAGGAGCAGGATTTGAGGCCCTTTTATGGATCAAAAGAGGATGTACGCTGTTTCTAGAATGGAGGGTTCTTAAGTTTAAATCGCGAGTCAATCTTGCATTTGAAGGAAGGTGGCCCATGGTTGCATCGTTGCATGGATCTTCATCTTCACCTCCTCTCTCCAGGTTCCTGCACCTCTCTTCTCCTCTCCTCTATTCTCTCTGTGTTACTCTCTCTGCACTGTTCTCTCTCCGCCTCTTCACGCCTCTCTGCCCTTCTTTTCCCTTTTTCCTAACCCGCTACTACTTATTAATATGCTATCCCCCAAAAGAACACCTCTAAGCAATGCCAAGACGCATTCGGTGTCACTCTTAAAGAAATACTCAAGGCAATCGAGAACATCGGTTGAGGCGAAGGCAGTGTTCTTATCGCGGGATGCAGCTGGGGCAAGACTCTCGATTACTTCCTTCCCTTGGTACTCTGGAGCGACCGCGTCATTGTCGTCATCTCTGCACTGAAGGTGCTAATGGAGGAGAAACATCAGAAGCCCCTGGATATGGGTACCAGCAGTATCACTCTCGATAGCGACGCAAGTAATGGTCCCAATATACTCGATCAATTGGCTGGCGCCACGTATAAGGCTGTTTTCATGACGCCTGAGATCATCTTTGAGAGCGGTAGCTTGACACAGTTCTGGCCTAGGCACGAGTGGAAACAGTGACTGCAGGCAGTATTCGTAGATGAGGCTCATTGTGTCAGCGCTTGAGGCAAGGAGTTCAGAACAGAGTATGACTGCATTGGAGAACTGCGTTCGAAGGTCCTTCGAGGAATTGCATTTGTTGCTGTATTGGCCACTCTTCTGCCTGCAACTCTTGGGGATGTCAAGAAGGGTCTTCATTTCATTGGGAACAACCGCACCAATATCAGATTCAAGGTGCGACACCTTCAGCAAAAAGAGAAACTCAAGCACCTCAATTTTGTTTCGAAAGCCGGAAAGAGACCACAGCTGCCGCCGAACATCTACAATCCCTGGTACCCTCTGTCGAAAAGAGCAAGATTGCCGTCTATCATGCTCTCTTATCCCAAGATTGCAAGTCGGAAACCATGGCATGATTCTTGCGGAACGAGGTTCTCATCTGCTATCTACCGAGGCGGCTGGGATGGGATGCAACATTAACGATGTCATCTGCGTTGTTCAATCCAGATGTTCAATTAGCATTTTGTCTCTTGTTCAAATCCTTTGTCATGAATTCGCCCTGGAACTGTATTCGAGTCAAGTTGGAGAAAAAGGGTCGCGTCAATCTGGCTCTTCGAGCTCTGGTAATGCGTGGCTGTTTTCTGACCTCTCCCAATTGGCCATTGCCCCGACAAAGCAACACCATTGCGTCAACCCAACACCTCTTGCTCCTTCTCCGTGTACCCTGGTGGTCTGTCAACTTCCTTCCGCTCTAAGACGTTCTAGAACTCCTTGCCTCCGAGCGCATGGGCTAGGATTGTGTTAGATTCACTATCTCCAGTGGTATCATGAATTTGGTCTGCAATCTGATTCCCTGCTAGATCTTTCTGGCAACCCTCATCACTGTTACTCCGGCTTCTCTGCTATACGTTCTAGACCTCTGGAGCTCCAACACAAATAGCTGGTGCTTTCGGTCCTTTATCCTACAGTCTGCAATAAACTGCCTACCTGCCTTCGTACCTGCTCTTGCTCCTTTAGTCCTTGCACTCATCTTTCCCTGCCTCGGTTCGGTCTTGATCCTTGACAGTCTTGGCCAAGTAGCTCGCGATCCGCAACTCCAAGGTACCGGCATTTTATTTGTGCCACCACCTTCTCCTAAGACGATATACACTGGCCCAGACCTCGCCCGATATATCGCCGCTACGAGTGTCGCAGGAAAGTCTTCAATGAAGTATTCGACAGCAAGAATCAGCCTAACTGGAACCGCTGCCATCTTTACCATCCACAGGAACACCTCAACCGCTGTCTGTTGTTACCTTCAAGGAGGTTCTGCCTGGGCACGCATCAAGGATTCGGGCCCCGACGCGAACATATCAACAGAAAGAAGTTGTCAAGGAAAAATACGACAATGGAGGTCAATGGTACATAAACGGGACTACAGACCACGTTGTGATTTCTATACGGAGGGAAGCGTTATGGCACTGGCATGATGGAGGACCTCGACCAAAAGTATGGACAAGTAGCTGGACTAAAATAAATCAAGTCAATTATCACTTGGACGCCTTTGGGCGAGCAACTTGGGGGAGAACTTGCCGACATTCTCATAAAATGGGACAAGGAGATTGATACAACAAGTCCAGCAAGTATAGAACCTCAAGACCAGTACAGCAGCGACCAGAATGAAGCAAATGATTCACATGATTTCCAGGCTGTTCAAACCCCAAACCCTACATCAAAGCGACAGATTGGAGTCAGAAATATGGCGGCAGAAGATTTATTTCTTGTGAAGTCCGCGACACAAAACAAAGGACCAGCAATAGTGCACTCAAAGTTTAAGCCTAGAGTCCTCGACAATAAGTAACGCGCCACATATTTTTTAAAATAAAAATTTCAATTCATCAGAGAGGTGACCCGTCTAAAAGGCATGCCATCCCGTATTTTCAAGCAATACCATTTCTCCACTCAATTGTGAGGGTTACACATGCATGCCGAGGGCGCAACGGAAGCCACGGGCACATTGCAAGAAGAGCATCATCATCAACAGACTCACTGCGACTATCTACTCAATAGAGAACCCGTTCATTACACCTGGTGCTATGCCTACTGGCGTTGGTACTGACACTGACCAAGACACCAGCCCTGTGGAGTCCCCAACTGACTTCCTGTCCGTGCCAGGTGACGGCCCTTTTCAATATCTCAGTGATGTCGCGTCTCCTTCAAGTGATATTGAGTCCCCTCCAAGCGGAGCTGTTGCCGCAAACAGCCCGCCCAACAGCTTGCCACTTCGAGTTATAGCTGCATCTCCCGACAGGTACCTGCACCTTCGCCTCAATGGAACTCCTACTCGCTCGCTACGACGTCGCGAAGAGCGACCTCTACTAGGGACAGTGAGTAGTCTCATACCTCCATATCTCATACGTCCCAATACGGAAATCATTCAATCAATTTGAAAACATATATGGCGCGTTACTTATTGTCGAGGACTCTATGCCAAAGCTGGCTATATTCGCTTTAGATAGATTCGAGGGAGATAAAAATTTACAATTTACAGTCGAACAAGTTAGCAGAATAGAGAGGGCAGAGGTAGGATAGCGGCGAAGGATATGAGTCAATCATGAATAAACAGGCTTAACGCTAACCAATTGTGAAAGGCCTCAGCAAAGAGAAAGTCAACTGGGCGAAGTAAAAAATGATAGTGGTGTCGGTGAAAGAATCCATGCATCGAGAAGAGACTCAGCTTTAGACTACTGCCGGAAGCGCCTGACAGCACCCACCTTGAGAGAGTCTTCCCACCAACGCGAACATCATGGGTATACATGATCTTTCACCATACGTCATTGCGTCCAAGACCTCACTAGCAGTTGATTTGAGCAGTTGGGCGGTACATGTGAATGTTCTTGGGAACACTCTCTGCGACCCCTTCGCAAACTTTCATGAGAAGTAAGCTAAGAGAGAATGAATCCTCAAAGAGTCATACACGCGCACCACCAACTGTATCCCTACGACTTCCAGCACTTGCCCGCAGCTGAAGAAAGAGGTCATTGGCCATTCTTGGGATCATCTTTGATGCCAACGAGCCCCGCCAAGTCAGTTCTATCAACTGTTTGTTGCAGCATTATACTTAAGTGGTGTCGTCAGCGCTTTATGTCCCTTAGTTAGGGGCGGACAAAATTGGCAAGCAGGGAAGAGGATGTACCGTGAGGACATCTTCCTTGCAACTCTTTTGCCGATTGAAAGGGAGGCAGCTGTCTTTGAGAGCCACCACCATCACTACCATGTTTCCGATCAAACGAATATTCCTGTATGGAAGCTTCATCCAGATCTGAGAGCATCATAAAACTGTGCAGAGATGATGATGAAGGCGGTGGCAACGACAGTAGTGGATGGTCGACTGAGGGCCTCCAGGGATTGCCCATTAATCCGGATGACGAGGAGATAGCGCTCGAGCAAACGCCATAGATCCTGATCAACACACAAAATAGGTGTGCATTCTAGTGGCGGATACACAGAAGACTGTACCATTGGGGCTGGTGAAGGCGATGCTGTATGATGGGTCTTTTTTTTTTTTTTTTTTTTTTTACAGGACTCGCTATGCTAGCCTGGAGTTCGGCCAACTCTTGCGACAATTCAAGACGCTTCGAATACATCTAGGTCGATTTTGTTCGCCCGTGGGAATCTTCCGTTACGCTCATGTAGGATTCTGTCCGCTTTTTAGGCTGAATCTAGTAAGGCAATGTGGTTGGGAATAGACATCTGCTGCTTGAGTATCCACTTTGTTGTAGCTGCTGCCGTTGCTGACGCTGAAACTGGCCAAGGAAGACGAGCGTGAGTAAAGCTCTGTCGACCGTCTTCTGCTAGAATCCGAACCGAATGGGCGAGACACTGGTCGATGTTGATACAGCCGCATGTTGCTGCTCCTAGGGCTACTGCTGAGTTACAGGCGCTTCCATAGTTCGAACCATTTTTGCAGGGTGCCATTGGACGAGTATTTAGGGTGTACTCGAGGAATGACGTTGGCGGAGACGGATGACTACGTTGGATTGGGGTTTCTGTAGCTGTCAAAGGGAGTTTTCTGTGTGTGACTCCCAGAGGACTGATTGTGGAAACATTCGGCGCTGGGTGTTGGAGAGGGTGGTCTCGACGGGGAGCGGAAGAAGGAGCGGAAGCCGTCCCAGTCGCCCCTGTCTTTGGCTTTATTTTTGCGCCTGCCGGTGCCAATAGCGTCCAATGAATGGAGGAAATGGATTCCTCCGTTATGGCTGGTGCCATTGATACTATTGCTGCTGGTCTCCTGGGGTTCTAGAATGGAGGGTCCATTGGATACGTCGGGCAGAGCATGCGCTATCAAAATGTTTATTGTTTTTCTGCTGAGGTGAAAGCGAAGGAGAGGACATGAGAAAGGGCGGAGACAGGATAAGGACGCTGTCTCTTTGATGCTCTGTTGTGTTTTGTTTCTGCACCTTCTTGTCTCCCTCCAGCTCCATCTTCCGCTTTCCTCGTAGTCATCCCTGATTAGATCCAGCTTCTACAGTGATCTCGATTTACTTACTCCACTTATACCACTACTTATTTTACTTCAGCGAATAAATAAATTTAGCCCCGTCTTTTTTATTCCTCTCGCTCTCTTTTCTCTCTCTCCCTCTCTTTTGTCCTCCCTTTTTTGTTTCTTTTTTTTTCTGTTCGTTTCCGCGTGCTTCTGTTTTTTTTTTATTTCCTCCTCTTTGTTGCAAGCACATCCTATCCCTTTCTCTCCCATAACAAAGCAGGATTAAATCACCCATACTCATAACTCGCCATGGCGTCCATCGGAGAGATCCTTCTCAACACCCTCTCGCCCGGTAAGGAATCTGTCCGATCTTTTTTTTATTTTTTTATTTGCCACCATGTTCTCAATGACTGGACTGGATAGTACTGGAAAATATGGCGCGTGGAGCAGCCAGCACCAGCTTGGACAAAAGAGGGGGAAAAACGCCCTGGAGCAACTGGACTCTTTTCACTAGGGCAGCAGTAATGGAATCGGTTGACGCAAGGCATTTTGGACAGGGATCCAGCCATTCTTAAAGACGCGTATACACGCAACAAAGAGCTCTTGCACCCGGCTGTGAACTGCGTGGTCTTTATTGTATTCGATGGCGTTTCTTCCTCTCTCTATTCCCTTTCTTAGGTGCAACCATATGCAACATTGTTGTATAATCCACTTATGAATGCATACATGCCCTCTTTCGCTCATCCATCGCTTCTCTCTCCTTCACCACCGATTTAGATCAGCAGATTCGTGAGGCGGCCACCACCCAGCTCGAGACTGCTGCCAGCGAAGACTTTGTACGTTTCATTTTTTTTTCTTTCTTGTTAAGCTCTATTTTCGCATGTCTTTGTTTTGCCGCAGCTTCTGCCTTTGTCCCTGGGGGGGGGGGGGGGTCCATCAAATGACTACAACTGTGGTTTAGGAAGACATATGGACGCGCGCATGGAAGCAGGAAACAAAAGGCAGGATGGGCAACTGGATATGGGGAAAGACTTTGGCAAAGGGAAACCGCCCAACCACCTAGCCTCAACGCCGCTAGAACCTTACCACCCCGCCGAAAAGAGATTCTCAGTTATGAAGTATCGACACTTCATCGGTGGATAAGCATTTTGAGACACAGAACTGAGGCGTCTTTACTTTTTTTTATTTTTTATTTTTTACACTGCTCTTCTTTCGTACTCTTTTAGTGGGGACGATGTACCCATTGAGCATCATGAGCATGACCGGCTGACCTGTCTATTTGATTTTTTTCCCACTATATAGAAACAATATGTGGTCATGCTGTGCCAGGAGCTCAGCAACGATCAAAGTCAGGCTCGTATCCCTGCTGGTTTGGCTCTCAAGAACGCACTGACTGCAAGGGTAAGGACAACATGTTCATGCACAGTGCCACGTGTGCAGATTTTGAAATGCAAGATGGCCGCCAAAAACATGTGTACAGAAAGCCTTATTAACGCTAGTCTTCGCCTTTTTTCTGGACAAAAAACAATGTATTATTATAGGAATCCGTGCGCCGTGGAGAGATGTCTGCCCGTTGGATGAACATTGATGAGCCAACCCGAGCACAGATCAAGGCCCTGGTATGCTTCGCAACTCGTGCCTCGACTTATCGCAATCCAATCAAGCCTCATGTGTGATATTAGGAATCTAACTTGTCTTTTCATTATTTTGCTATGCGTAAATAATAGGTTTTAGCTACTCTTGCCACCGCAGATATCCGTGCCGGTGCTGTCACTGCTCAGGTCGTTGCCGCTATTGCCGCTATCGAGCTGCCCTTGGGACAATGGGAGGATGTTATTCGTCTGATGCTCCAGAACTTGCAGACAACCGATAATACCAACTTGAAGCAGTGCACTTTGCAGGCCATCGGTTTCGTTTGCGAAACTATTGTAAGTTGGATGATTTGACATAAATTGAGCGCAGCGGTTCCTGCCTATGGCACTTTTCTCACATTTTCCTCTACAACAACCACTAGCACCGTGATATCTTGACTGCTCAAGCCAACAACATTCTGACGGCAGTCGTGCAGGGCGCTCGCAAGGAAGAGCCAAGCGAAGCTGTGCGTTTAGCGGCTATTAGCGCACTGTATAACTCTTTGGAGTTTGTCGAGGAGAACTTCAGGAGAGAGGGCGAGCGTAACTACATCATGCAAGTTGTCTGCGAGGCCACTCAGAGCCAGGATGTTCAGGTCCAGATCGCATCATTCGAATGCTTGGTTCGCATTATGCAGCTCTACTACGAGTTCATGCCCTTCTATATGCAGAAGGCCCTGTTTGGTGTAAGTGGAGCGATCGGAATCTTGTTTTGAAGGGCAGAATAACGCTTTAATAGAGTGATGACTGACAGATATATTTGTCTCCATCGCCACAATAGCTTACTGTCCAGGGAATGCAGCACGAGAATGAGCGTGTTGCTTTGCAGGCCGTCGAGTTCTGGTCGACTGTTTGCGAGGAAGAAATTGATCTGGAGGGCATGAGACAGGAAGTAGGTGTTGCATGCTGGAGTTCCATCATCTTCAGGCGCATACTGCTTCTTGGGGAGAAAAGAGTACTAACGATTCTCCTGCCATTCCCTTCACACGACGTGCTTGATAGGCTTATCAAAACGGAACAGAGCCCGATCAGATCAATTACAACTTTGCAAAGGCTGCCCTGCCAGAGACTCTGCCCGTTCTTTTGCAGCTCATGGCCAAGCAGGATGAGGATGATGAGGAGGACGACTGGAACCTTTCCATGGCCGCTGGCACCTGCTTGTCGTTGACTGCTCAGTGCGTTGGTGATGCTATCGTGGCCCCTGTCATCCAGTTTGTTGAAGCCAACATCCGTAATACCGAGTGGCAGTTCCGCGAAGCTTCTGTCATGGCTTTTGGATCTATTTTGGAGGGACCTTCTTCGAATTTACTCATTCCGCCTGTTGCCCAGGCACTGCCTTATTTGATCGAGATGATGAATGACCCTGTGATTAAGGTCAAGGATACCACTGCCTGGACACTCGGACGTGTGTCGCAGTCATCGGTCGAATGTATTAAGCCCGATGTCCATCTTCAACCCTTGATCGAGGCCCTTGTCCGCGGCTTGGAAGATTCTAACAGGATCGTGTCGAACTGCTGCTTGTCCTTGATGAACTTGGCTGAGCAGTTGGAGGGTGAACAGGGACCTGACTCGCAGACCAGTCTCATGTCACCCTTTTTTGATGGTATCATCACTGCGCTCATGCAGATCACGGGTCGTAACACCAACGAAGCATTCTCCCGCACCTCTGCCTATGAAGCTATTTCGATTATGGTTACGCATAGCGCCAGGGATACCTTCCCCACGATTTCGGCACTTTCGACCACCATCTTGGACCGGTTGGAGCAGAGCATTGCTGTTCAGAACCAGATTGTCGGCATCGATGAGCGCAATAGCCACAGTGAACTCCAATCCAACATTTGTAGTGTCTTGACCAACATCATCCGCCGCGTCGGCAAGGACATTGCACCCATGGCGGACCGTATCATGACGGTGTTGTTGCAGCTGTTGAGCTCTGCTTCGAAGCACTCGACTATCCTTGAGGATGCATTCTTGGCCATTGGCGCTTTGACCACTGCCTTGGAGGCTGAGTTCGCACGCTACCTGGAGACGTTTGCGCCCTTCCTTTTCAACGCGCTTCAGAACCATGAGGAGTACCAGCTTTGCTCGATCGCAGTGGGTCTGATTGGCGATATCTGCCGCGGTTTAGGATCACAGTCAGCCTCATACTGCGACAATTTTATGACGACCCTGTTGCAGAACCTGCAGAGCCCCGTCCTTCATCGCAATGTCAAGCCGGCTATTCTTTCCTGCTTTGGAGATATCGCTTTGGCCATTGAGGGTCAATTTGGCAATTATCTGGATGTGACCATGACTGTCCTCGCACAGGCCTGCAACCTCAGAGCTGGACCCGTAAGTGGCAACGAAAATGCAGTTAGAAGCCACGCTGCCCAAGGATGTCTAACACCTTGCTGACGTATTGATTTTTCTTTTTTCATGATTTGGTTAATAGGCTGACTATGATATGATTGACTATGTGAACCAACTTCGTGAGGGCATTGTTGATGCATATGTCGGCATTGTCCAAGGACTCAAAGCTGGCGAGCGCTGTAAGTTCTCTTTCTATTTTCTGCAATAAGTGCCGCTTTTTTTTTTTAACTCATTTTTTTTATTTCACTCTTCAATAGCGGCTCTGCTGGCCCCCCACCTTCCGCATGTGTTTGAGTTCTTGAGCACGGTCTATAACGATCCCGAGAGATCCGACAATGTGTTGCGCAGCATGATTGGTCTTATTGGTGATTTGGCAGACTCATTCCCCAACGGCGAGATCAAGCAGTTCTTGCTCAACGACTGGGTTGGACAGTGCTTGAAGGAAGGACGAAGCAGCCGAAACTCGACGACAACTAAGGAGGTTGCACGTTGGGCAAAGGAGATGGTCAAGCGTGCCACTGCGTAAAAAAATGGAGATCCATGATCATCAATTCAGTTTGCAACCAGCATCACAGAGTTGTTTTAGTTCTTAATAGCGTGTTTTCGTCGTCGTATTCATGAAAGACACTGTTTCCCATTCTTTTCCATTCTTTTCCTCCCCTTTTCTTTGTTCATTTTTTCTATATATGATTATTACAGCCATTGTATTTTTTTCTTTTTCTTTACAAAAAATCCTCTCCCCCCCCTGCTTTTTTCTTTCGTCATGAGGAGATGCAAAGTAGAGTCGCGTCTTTTTCCATTTTACCCCCTTCTTCCCTTAGTTTAGTTTCCATTCTTACCTATTGATCACTTATCAATATGTTCATACACAGCTTCTTCCTTCCCTTCTCGAACTCTAGGTCGTTCTTTTGTTCCCCCTTCCTTCTCCCTCTTTTCATTTCGTACTTACATTTTATCATAGATCGACCTTTTCCCCCCTCTCCCTTCTTCTCTGTTTGAATAATAAAATTCGGAAAAGCAAAAAAACATTGTGCAAATCCTGGACAATAATTAGTTTCATCGGTGATTGTTTGTTTAATGGGCATCATCGCGCTTGGAGATGTAGTCGACGGCTTGGGCAGCAGACTTGATCTCGTCGGCATCCTTGTCAGGGATCTCAATCGAAAATTCTTCCTCGATAGCCATGACAACCTCGACAGTATCCAGAGAGTCCAGGTGAAGATCCGAATTGAAGTTGGCCTGGAGAGAGATCTGCAGAATGGCGAGTATAAAAAAATGTAAAAGAGGAAAGAGGTGAATGTTACTATGTCACCTCTAAAGCGATGCAGACGGCTGAGTAATTCTGAGATAGCATCGAGAATCGTGATAATGCCAAATCTTGTGAGCGATAGTGCTGTAATGGGTATTGCTTGGTCTAATGGCTCCTGGTATCCATTCTAAATAAAAACAGCGAGTGCTGGTACGATCTGTTGCTTGAGGATATACCGCCTCTTTTGCCGTCTGTGAACAAAGATGAACAATCATGACATCTCTCGCGACATCCCCATGCTCTCCGATGTTTTCCTTGTTGATACATCCCTACATCCCTAGAGGACTCAGATGTTACTGCTGCCGAAAGGAAGAGCTGCCTTTATTGGCCCTGAAAAATGCCCAATAGTGAATAAATCGATTGGAAGCCGAACCGCATTGTGTCTGTACAAGTGCGTGTACCTTGTTACTGTCGATCTTATTGAATCCAGTCAAGATATCCAAAACACGCTTCTCGATATCCGAGCGAGCCAGACCAGCGGAGGCGTAGGTTCGGGTAAAGTTATGGGCGAAGGATGTCCAGGCCGTGTTCCCGTAGGCACTTGAGATAGCAGTGGCGCGATAGGATGTAACGGTGCGGAGAGCTCTGAACATGGTCGATGATGTTGAAGGAGTTGAATGTGGGGAAGAAAAATTGAATGCAGTAGCAGCTTCAATTGCTCGTCGCAGGAACAAATTGGATTTGTACTGCCCTGAGTGAGAAGGCTGTTCCTGAATTCATTTGTTTCTCTATGGATCAACAGTCCCATATGTAAACACTTTTTTTTTTTTATCTTCATCAGACCTAGGAACCTTTCCACATCCCACCTCCTACTCCTCTTTGTCCTCCCCACTCTCTCACATCTCACAATGGTCTCGTTTGTTTGCGATACTTGCCAAGAAACGGTCAAAAAGCCAAAGTTGGATCAGCACTTCGGCCGCTGCTCCTACGCCCAGTTCTCGTGCATCGACTGCTCCGTCTCCTTCCAGGGCACCGAATATCGATTCCATACCTCCTGTATCAGCGAGGCCGAGAAGTACCAGAAGGCATTATATCGTGGTCCCAAGAAGGTACCGTTGCACCATACCACCGCTCTTTAGTATCATGAATGTTAATTGGTTCTAGGCTAGCAGTTTAAAGAACTTGACGCCCTTATACTTTGCTTGTGCTTTTGATATTGTAGGGTGGCCACCAAAACAACGGCCAAATGAACAACCAGAAAAACAAGAACAGTGGCAGCAACAACAAGGGCGTACAGGCAGCAGCTCCAGCGGTGCCGATACCGATAACGATGACAGCGGCGAAGGGTGATGTTCCGATGTCGATCATCGAAGAGATGAAGCAGAAGAAGCGCAAGGCTGAGGAGCCTGCCGAGAACGAGAGCATCACTAAAAAAGAGAAGAAGGAGAAGAAGGAGAAGATAGAGAAGAAGGAGAAGAAGGAGGAGAAGGAGAAGAAGGAGAAGAAGGAGAAGAAGGAGAAGAAGGAGAAGAAGGAGAAGAAGGAGAAGAAGGAGAAGAAGGAGAAGAAGGAGAAGATAGAGAAGAAGGAGAAGAAGGAGGAGAAGGAGAAGAAGGAGGAGAAGGAGAAGAATGAGAAGAAGGAGAAGAAGGAGAAAAAGGAGAAGTTGGAGAAGTTGGAGAAGTTGGAGAAGTTGGAGAAGTTGGAGAAGGAGAAGAAGAAGGAGAAGAATGACAAGGCTGAAAAGAAGGAAAAAAAGAACAAGAAGGAGAAGAAGGAGAAGGAGAAAAAGGACAAGAAAGAGAAGTAGAGCAATAATTTGGTCCGATGTATCAAGATACTTTGTACAATAAATGCATTTTCATCAACCGTTTTGTTGGAATATGCAGACATGCCGATCTAACATGGCGGTTCAATTGCTCGATAACTTCTATCAGTCAGCCGTATACAGTATTAGTGATGAACGTCCGTGTTTATACATCAAATGAAGCCCTACGCCGCATGGATTGAAAAGGACGCCTCGTCTGCAACGTCAATTGCTTGCAGATAGACATGTCCAGTGTCATCGCTGTATGCGTGTGTGTATGTGTATGTGTGCATTCGAGGACTTCGACCAGTTAGGCACGCGACTAACTGCAGGGAAATTGAAGTCTGCGGGTGCTGGTAGGAAGATGCCCCGATCGCATGTGCTTTGTCCCCTCCAACTTTCCCACGTTCCCCACTCTTTTTTGAGAAAATTACTGATCTCCCACATCCTCACACTATACTCCACGCACTTTTCTCTTTCTTCTCATTCCATCCACCTCTCTCATCTCATCTCGTTTCCTTTCATCTCGTTTCCTCTCATCCCATCTCTTCTGTTCTTTGCCATCCCCTTTCCTCTCCACTCCATCCCACTTTTCTCTTCACTCTCCCTCACATCTGTGAAGCACACTTTTTAAAAAAAAAGGAAAATGTACGCAAGAATCTCTCTCAGAACATTGACGAGGGTTGTTCCTTCCCGGACTCTCAAGGCAGCCGCCCCTGCCCTCGCCACCTCCGTCAAGGTCAGCATTCTAAACCCATTGTGGTCCTGAACAAATGGGATGTTGAAAGAAGACCAGCGAACACTTAACATGTATATGTACTGTCTTGAAAACCAGGCCTTTTCGACATCATCCATGTCGATGAAGAAAGACAGAGTCAAAGTTCAGTTCCCTGGTGCGATTGACAGCCACTTCTCGCAGGTGCTTGAAATCCGTGAAAAGATGGATCCCATCGACACTTTCCGCGTCATGGACACAGATGGCAAGGTCCTCGATCCCTCCCTGGAGCCTGATGTAAGTCTCCTACAAAGGACAAAAATTTGTCTCATTTAGAGTTCGGAGGCAGTGTGGGAAAACAATGAAAACGATAATCTGGCCCCTGTGTTCGCTCGTTACTCTCCCACGATACCCATTGCTTGCTCTTTGGACAAACATCCCTTAATAAACATACCGCTAACGATTTGCTTTGGATCAAATGAATGTCTTTGCATATTATGTGTAGGTCACGGAGGAGTTCGCTGTCAAGATCTACAAGGATATGCTGACGATGAATGCCTTGGATCTGATCCTGTACGAGGCACAGCGTCAAGGACGTATCAGTTTCTACATGACCAACGCTGGAGAGGAGGCCGCCGTCGGGAGTGCGGCCGCTCTCGATCCAGAAGATGAGATCTTTGGCCAGGTAAAAAGCAGAATCTACGACACCCCAAACATCTTACTGCTTACTTCCCTTCTCTCTATACGCCTATCCATGAACATTATGAAGGAGAATCCGACGTGCAAAACTTACATCCGACCTGAATCCTAATGTCAATCCCGTTTACTTTCATAGTACCGTGAGGCCGTGACCCTGTTGTACCGTGGCTTCACCTTGGATCAGTTCATGAATCAGTGCTACTCGAACGTGTTGGATCTGGGCAAGGGTCGTCAGATGCCTATGCACTTTGGTTCAAAGGCTCTTCACTTCCAGACCATCTCCTCCCCTCTGGCCACACAGTTGCCCCAGGCCTCCGGCGCCGCCTATGCGATTAAGCGCTCTGGCCGGAAGAACTGTGTCATGTGCTACTTTGGAGAGGGAGCCGCCTCTGAGGGAGATTTCCATGCGGCCTTGAACATTGCTGCCACCACCTCTTGCCCCGTTATCTTCTTCTGGTATGTCCGGACTTTTTCGTATTTCGTATGCTTTTTTTTGTTAGCTGAACTTGTTTTTGTAAAGCTGCTAATCTTTGACCATATCTTTCGTCGTAATTGGAATCAAAATTATTCTTTGTGTTAAATAGCCGAAACAACGGTTTCGCTATCTCCACACCTGCGAAGGAGCAGTACAAGGGCGACGGTATTGCGAGCCGTGGTGTCGGTTACGGCATGCACACGATTCGTGTCGATGGCAACGACGTCTGGGCGGTCTACAAGGCCTCGCAGGAGGCCCGCAAGATCGCGGTCGAACAACACAAGCCCGTCTTAATCGAGGCCATGACCTACCGTGTCGGCCATCACTCGACCTCGGACGATTCGTCTGCCTATCGGTCCAAGAAGGAGGTCGAGGACTGGAAGAGGAACGATAACCCTATCGTCAGGATGCGCAAGTGGCTCGAGAATAAGGGCTGGTGGGATGAGACTAAAGAGACTGCCTTCAAGTCTCAGCAGCGCTCTGCTGTCCTCAAGAGCTTTGCCGCCGCAGAGAAGAGAAAGAAGCCTGCTGTGTCTGAGATGTTCAATGATGTCTATGACAAGATGACGCCAACCTTGATTGAGCAGAAGAAGGAGTTGGAGGGGCTGATCAAGAAGTACCCAGAGCATTACGACACCTCAGACTATGCAAAGGAGCACTAAAAGAACTCGTTCTTAGATGTCGATGTCAGGGAGAAGGACAGGAGGACGGGAGGAATTGCATATACTTTTCATTTTTCAGAAGGAGCATTGCACTGCTCAGCAATAAACACCACACATAGACTTGAATAACGAACACACCGCGGGAAAAAACAGCATTGCGTTTATTTCTTCATCGCAAGGGACTAATCGTGGCCTCCTTGTGGAACAAGGCTTCGACGCGGTTAACGACCTCTTGTCCATAGATCTCGACCAGATCCGCATCGATCGGCAACTTCTCGTGCTTGTTGATCTCCGACTTTGTCATCACCACCACATTTTGCAGACTCAGCGGTTCTTTACGTTTCCACCGGCACAGGCCGATCTTATCGCTGCTCTGCGAGAGCACGCTCTTACCCCGGAAGACCTCCTCGAGCACATAGCCGATATCTCTCCGTTCCAGTGCAATGGTCTTCACAGACCTATTCAATCGGTGTTCCCGAACCATCAACTCGCGATGAAGTCTCAAGTAGAGTGACTGACGCAGCTTGATCGGTAATGGGTCCAACGGATGGCCTGCAATTTTGCAAGCGATAAAAGTTGCCATGGACATGCCAAACATTGCGGGTAAGGGACCCAGGACAGGTAAAATGCGGGCACGGAAATCTGGAAGCGCAGAGTATTCGTCGGCTTCTTGGGCTTGTGTCTCGTCCAGGGGAAGCAGTTTGACGTGGTGAGGCTTTTCGGTCGAGTAAACAACTTGGATCCCGGATTCGACTCCCATGGCCTTGATCTTTTGGCGCACAGCTCTTGCCAGCGGATCCTCTGCAAACGAATAGGTCCATCAAGATTTTATATTAATTCTGGTGCCTCAAGATGACCGACATAACTTTGCAGAATAATAAAGATGGCATTACCAAAGGTCTCGGAGATATCGCTGATCTGGATGCGAGAAGGATCGGCCTTGGCTCCTGCGCCCATGGAACTCATGACCGGGATCTGGTGGTCATAGCAATATTTAAGCAAGGCCAACTTGGTATTGATATTATCGATCGCATCCACCACATAGTCCGGGTGACCTACATTGATAGCATTTGATTAGGAGCTGCAAGTACCAATCAAAACCACGGCGTCCACAATCGAAAGCATCCGCATCTCTGCGCTTCTATCCTCTGACATACCCGAAAGCAGCTCATCTGCAGTGTCTTCCTGGAACAACTCTACACGCGCGTCGACTTCGACCCAGGGTGCGAGCGACCGGAAGGCTTTCTTCATGGCCAACACCTTGGGTGTGCCCACATCTGCCTGAATCGCGGTCGCGTGACGATTCAAAGATGACAGCGATACCTGATCAAAATCGATCAAACGAATCTTGCCAACTCCACTTCTAATTAACATGCTCGCCGCCCAACTCCCTACTCCGCCTAATTTCGCGTAATGAAGATGCGAGCAAGCAAACAAGCAAGCCTTTTAGTTTTATGTCTTAATTTATATTCACCTTGGTGGTCGGAAAGGGAAGGGACACGTACCTGCGCCGACAATGATGACAAACGACTTTCGCAACTTCTTCACACCCTCCTGCCCCAAGAACTCAATATTCTGTTCCATCTGTTCTCGAATAAGGTCCTCGTCGAAAGCAAAACTCTCGTCTTGGATCATCTGGTGCGTCAACTGGCTCCGTGCCAGTGTATGTTGAATACCCTGTCCATGGCTGTCGTAATGATGACCATGGTCAGGTTTTGTGAATGCAGGCGGCGGTGGGATGGATTTTCGAAGGTCGTCCTTCAATTGCCGCACGCGTCGCTTTCGCTGAGTGCCCTGGACTCCCATGATCAATGCCGCGGTCGTAAACGAGGCCGCGAACGCGACGAGCGTCAGTTTAGTGCCCTGGGAATTCAGGATCGAGGAGCCCGTCGCTGTCGAGAGTTTCTCGAGGAAGGGGGTCGTCGAGGAAGAGGCTGACATGGTCTATTGCTACCACAGGTCCGTGTCAGTGGTCTGCTTGTTGAGTGAGCGTGGTGTATTTCAAGAACAGATTCCTTGTGATAGCTTGGCTCTACTGGCAACGTCGATGAGGTTATATCCCTTGCTTTGTGTTCTGAGCGCGAGTAAAGTCCACTAAACGAGGCCTCAGGCGATATTGGTGTCGAGTTGGTGAAGGAAGCAGGTGAAGAGGTGTACGCTATTCATTCCTCCCGTTGCACAGAGTGGCTGGTGAGTGCAGTAGACACAGTCACCCTCGGAGTGTGTCTGTAAACAAAGCTGTTCCCCCATTTCCCAATTGAGACTAGACATTACCCTATCGCACCAAAGCTCCTTCTTCACCTCCACCTCCACCTTCTCCTATTCTTCGCAATATGTCCATGCATCGCCTGGCCACAAGGCTCTCATGCCTTGGCTTATACCCTACTCGCTCTTCAGCCCTTTCAACAACATCCATTGCTGCCCGCTACTCCACTGCCGCCCTCACCTCAGCGGTTGACCTTTCCAATCTTAGCGACAACCCCGGATCGAAATCACAGGTACGGATGCACCTTTAGCGAAAAATAGTTTCAAGAACATGTCAGCAGTGCAATCGTCTTGGCATGAAAAATAGCAAGGCTGTCTCAGCAAGCGGACGACAAGAACCCAACGCTTGCTGTACCTAAGGTGCAACTACCCGACAACACTGAACGAATTGCGCCATAACACTATCATCGAATTCTTTTTTCACTCGACAATAGCGTCTTCGTGTCGGCCGTGGTCAGGGTTCAGGAAAGGGTAACACGGCCGCCCGTGGTCACAAGGGTCAGAAGGCTCGCGCCGGAAACGGCGGCCAGCCCAAGCCCGGTTACGAAGGTGGCCAAACCCGCTTGATCGACCGATTGCCCAAGCGTGGGTTCAAGAACCCGTAAGGCCTTCCCTCCTTTCTCATCCTCGACATTGTGGCATTGATATGTCAATGTGCACTGTGCACGATCCGCCGAAAAGGCACGACCGCTAACGATTAGTAACCGTCTTGAACTCTCCCCAACAGTGAACACAAAGAATTCCAGCCCTTGAACCTAGATCGACTTCAGTTCTGGATCGAATCCGGACGTGTCGACGCTACTCAGACCATCACCATGAAGCATCTCCTCGACTCACGGTGTATCCACAACATTCAGGATGGCGTCAAGCTGCTCGGAGATGTATGTCCTTTTACTTTAGCTTCACGGGGAACCACTGCCAATCTGTTTCGAAGGACCCAAAAATAATACAAGGATTTCTCATGTTCAACTGATTTTAATTTCATCCGCACTATAGGGTAAAGCCGACTTCAAAACACCCATCAACATCGAAGTCTCAAGGGCCTCGAAATCCGCCATCAAGGCCATCGAGTCCTGCGGCGGCAAGATCACCTCCGTCTACTACAACAAGCTCGGTCTCCGTGCCCTGACTAAGCCCGAGAAATTTGATCAATTACCCCGCTTTGCCCGCCCCATGAAGAAGAAGGACATTGCTTTCTACACGGATGAAGCAAATCGCGGTTACTTGACTGGAAAGGCAGAGATCGTTGGCATGGATCATTGATTTTAAGCAACTGGATAAGGGACGGGCCAGGGAAAGTTGGGGAATTTGTGCAAGGAACGGCTGCTAGTTGAAGGGAAAGAACGTGTAGGATCGGGGGGGGGGGGGTTTCGTGTACTTTGAGCATTATTGAAATAAAAGAAAAAAAGCAGCCTACGCTATTGTAGACAAAGAAAAACAAAGCGCCTTCTTATGCTTATCCATCGCTTTTATTAGGACCAGCAGTGCGAAGAATGCCTAAAAGTCAGCGCCCTCGAGCGCAAGGGCTTTCAGAGTCATCGACACTTCATAATACTCATCCACGACTTCCTGTGCTGCAGGTACTGGAGAGGGTGTCACCACAGGCGGGTTCTTAGTGATCGTAGGCGTACTGCTAACGTTGCGCTCCTGGGTTTGTAATGTCGAGTTGTCGGCAATGTTCTCTTCAGGCTTTTGCCTGGCGCTCGATTCAGCTTCCTTTCCAGTTCCTGTTGCTGCTGTATCGCCATTACCGCTTGACGTTCGTTCTGCGCTGCCATGTCCTGAAGCATCATGAGATGTCTTTAATGATCCTGCGCCCGCCTCAGAAGGATCTCCGTGCACAGAGCCAGAAGGTGGTAATGCTGCGTTCGAGGCGCCTGTCTGAATACCCAGTGGGACTCTTTTAGAATCAGATGCTGATGATGTCGATCTGGATATTGATGAATCTTGAACCCCCAATCCTTGATACTGTAGTTGCTGTGCCGACCCTGAGACATTGCCGGGTACAGCCCGCTTGTTCTTTGCTGCAGTCGTGGGTGTTGCAATAGATGTTGTCCTTGATCCTCCATAACTCGCGGCTCCTCCGACATCAGTCCAGATGATACTCTTGTTATTACTGGGACGATCTCTTAAAATACCTCCACCTCTGGCTGAAGATCGACTTGCATGGTTCATAAGCCCTGTTGATGACGATGCTGGCACGGATCCAGGATGCGATGAAATTCCCGTACCAGCTCCTGGCTTCGTCGCCCCTGAATTGGATGAACCATTCGCACCGACTTTGCTCTGCTGTCCGGATGTTTTATCAATGCTATTGACAGCAATGCCGGCATTATTGCTACCGTTCTCATGTTCGCCCTGCTGTTGTTGTCTCTGTGGTGTCGGAAACCCGGCCGTAGCACTCATTTGAATGGCCGACAAGCTCGGCGAGGATGCCGTCGTGTTTGTTGCATTCGACGCCGCCGCTGCCGCTGCTGGAATCTTCAGGTTCAATTTCAGGGTCGGATGTTTCTTAAACGTGATCTGACCCTCCCACAACCAGGACGGGATCGGCTTCGAGATCTCGATTTCGGAACTGAACTTCTCTACAAACACGGATTCTTCAGAACTGATGACGCCTCCACGAAGATATCTATCGAAAGTACTTTTTTGCCAATTAGTCTCTGGAGTGATTTAAAACGTCGATATAAACCAGCGCAGTATGAAGTAGGATGGATTTTACCTGAGGAATTCACCCATGGCAGAGGAGATATTCCAGGTCTGTAGCTTGCGGAGGCAACATACCACCAAGCCCGTAACACTCGCTCCATCTAAGCAATGTATATATATCGGCAAATTTTCCTGATCGATAATAACCTACGCGTGTCCACCCGACCCCATCGTCCATGCAAACATAAAAAAATCTACGTTAGCATCTTTCCATGAACACGACCTGTCCATTTGCCTTACAGTTTGCTGTATTTCTTACGCACCTGAACGGCCTCAACAGCACGGTTGTAGGTCAAGGGTACATTATCCTTGACTTTATCAACCGGCAAATGAATCGACCTTATTCCCTGCTTCGTACAGAATTTCTGAAACACCTCGTCCGGTTCATCTGGAATCAGTGATAAAATCGTCCGCAGCTTTAACCTATCAAGGTACAAAAGAAAAAAAAGAAAAAAAAGAAAAAAGAAGACACTTATCAAAATCAGTATTGCTGGTTCAAGCGAGATCCCCATTACTTCATGAGCTTTTATTCATGAGAAGAGGAATGGAGAGAAGACAGTAAGAGGTTGGACGCACCTTTTGAGGTAGCGCAGGTTGCGCTGCTTCGGGTATGCACCCCGGTAAACTTCTGGCTCGATTGTGCCGAACCGAAAGGGCGGAATCAGAGGCGATGGTGACCAAGAGGCAGACATTCTATATGTGAGCGAGATGGGTGGTGCGGGTGAATGGAGAAGTGCCTGAGCATTCAGAGGAGTGAGATGAAACCCTGTTTCCTTTTTTGGAGGAACATGTCAAATCTGGCGGATTAGCCCCCTCGGCGCACCCAATCCACATGCACAGGGGCTGTGTTGTACTGAAGATCTCAGCGACGTGGCCAGACGAGGTAGGAAGGCCAACACCTAGGCTTAGCTCGAGCACAAACATAGTTTTCCGGATGTAACTTTTTGTAATGTGTTGCATCGACGGAACCCACATTCCAATCTTTGAGGCGCCGATATTTGGAGTTGCCTGAACAGCAAGAAAGCATCACTCTACCATGAAGACAGCTATAGTTCGTGGTCGCGGGACAGCATTTCGCGTTCTTTGTAATTGGACATCCTAGGATTTCCTAAGATACATCCGCGTACAAGATCACCGACCATGCACAGACGACCGAAGCGGTGCTTTGTTGGGGGAGAAATACGTGCTGGGGAACGCGGCTTGCGGGTCTTCGCCTACGCCAATGACGCGTTACAAAGATAAGAAACAGAAAGAGGTTCTCAATGCCGAGCCGCTCAATATGATACATGCGGAGACTCAGACCTACATTGAGCATGCATTTGGGCTTCTCGAAATGGAATGAGGTGGGGGACACGGTATACAGTCGATGACTACTGCAGCGTTTCGGGTCCGGATATATTAGTTGTAGCGGTGGCTATGTGGCAAAGCACCGTTAGAAAGGTTTATTCTGAAGATGAGGGCCGGAAAGACTGTTGCCATGAACGCCAGAGAGAGAGAGGAGCAGTGGAGAGGAGGTCGATGTGGAGAAGCTCAGATCGAGGAGACACATGGGATGGCCGCGAGATAATTGAAAGTCTAGAATGCATACATGACGAGGCTGGGAGAGGAAAGAAGTCGTACGGTCAAGGCATAGCTCCTCGGCAAAGAGTACGCATAAATACAGCTTTTGTTGAGATGGACTGTGCTGCGACCGATTCAGCAGCCTGCTTAGGAATATGCTCGGCAGCCCGCTTGCAACAGCATCCCCAGTGTCCTGTTGATGATGGATTTTGCCTTTACCGCTTGTCTGTAGCTCGAGTAGTGTCATTCGCTGCCTATGCTCCCCTCGCACCGCTACCCTCTGCCTCCTTCCCCCATTTGGTCCCTATCCGCTGTTCCTCCTTCGCGAACTTCGCTTTCTGGAGCCCATGACCCTCTGCTGCCTTTTGCTGGCGTCGTCGAGGATATCAAAAGCCCCTACTTGTCCTCCTCCACCGCTGCCTCCCAATTTTTCCTCCAGGCAGCCTCGCTGCCATTGTGGGCTCTCCGATATTTTCTGTTACTGAGCCGCTTGGACGCGTGGGCTCATCGCCCTCGGGCGCTGTCTTTCTGAGCATGGCTTTATCCAGTTCAGATAACGTTCTCCACCATCCCGTATGCATCAACTCTCTCGCGATTCAAATCTCTTGAGTTAGATCAAAACTGGCAATGGGGGTATTCTCTTTTCCTGGTCGTCGTCCTCAAGAACTCCTGTTCCACCTTGAAGCTCTTCTTGAGGCCGTATCTGTGTCCGCTGAGGAAATCTTGATTAGGAATGCCCTCGATGTGGATCCACCCTCGACAAGAGATAAAAGAGTGGAAGGATGGTTGCAAGAGTGCTCATGCAAGAGACACGTCATCAAAGGACCCAGACGTGTGCTGGCTAACAGAGTACACTCCGATTTTAGCTTTTGTCGAATCCCCGGTATAGGACCATCGTCATTAGTCTAAATGGTCTCCAATGCTCCAAGAGAGCCCCTGCGCGCATGCATCTGGCTGAGAAACACAAACAAAGTTCGAGTCCGGCGCACAAGTATAAAAAATAACCTGGTTGGGTGCAGGGGCCACTGCTTCCTCATCTCCAGAAGTTCCATGGACATGCTCGGAAGATAGGAACAACCTTGCGGATCTCGAGCCACACACAACGCCTCATTCATCAGCGTGGTAGGGCAAAAGTGTGTTGGTCAAAACTTTAGTGCTGGGTGCAAAAAAAGAAAAAAGAAAATCGTGCAAAAACGCCTGTCCAATCAACTGCACATCCTCCCCCCTAAACATGTCTAGCAGCAGCAATCCTTCACAGCGACGCGCGCCTCTTGCTTCATTTGCTGCCCTGCTGCCCCATCACACCGCCGGTTTACGCGTCTTACTCGCTAGACGCCGCAGCCTCAGCGTCTTGTCAGCAGCACCATCAGCACCAGCATCGGTCGTTGCCGCAGGCTGCCCATATACAGGCAGGCTCGAGTCTTGGTCCACTCTCCAGCACTTCACATTCCATGCCCTCCCCTATTCCCTAACCAAGCTCACCGGAAATGATAAAACGTCAAGTTCGACACCTGCAGCCCTCTGTCATAACAACAGACCTTCCGCCAGACTCCTCACACTCAAGATCTCCAATGACAGACCTTCAGCGCAATGCAAAAAGAAAACACTTATCCTCGGAAGCGGACGGAATGTCCAGAGTTTGGACGACACCAGGCATGGACACGTTCGTGGACTGGGTGACTGATCCAGACAATTACGCGAGAGTGTATGCCCATCAGCCACTCCCTCACAGCAGACCTATCGACATACATAAGGAGACCGCGAAGCTCGTCAATAAGAAGTATGGAACAGCGTGGGATGCAGTTGCGGTCAAGTCGAGGATTGCATACTCTAAAAAAAAGTACGATGCTGCTCGAAAGTTGACGGAAGCAACGGGCGCCGGAGACACAGAGGAGATTAAACTTCGAGAAGTGATATTGGACGAGTGTCCCTTCTATGAAGATTCCATCCAGTCTTCGTCGGCTGCCTGAGAAGAAATCCACCATCCCAAAAGCAGCCTCCATTGCTGGAGCTCGAGGAAGCGCCCCCTCGAACGCGATATCCCTTAGGAGATCAACGACTTCGAGGATGATATCGATGATTACGTGTCAGACTTGGATCTCTCATCTCGTAGGCGACGATGTTTCTCAGTACAGTATTATCAAAGCTATTTATTTAATCCTTTGCTTCCACCCTTAGTAATATTTAGAGCGCCAATCTACAGTCGATACAACAGCGAGTAACCGCTCACAGCCAAAGGACAAGCGTCGAAAGATCGAGCAGGGTAAAGCTGCTGGGGATGCTGTCAAGGCTTTCGAAAGACTCGGGAAGGCCTACCGGAAAATAGCAAGCAGGCGTAGGGTGGCGCATTTGCGGTAGAAAAAAGGAGAGCAAGGTAGATAAAAGCCGAAGCAAAGATCTCGACAGAATGGGCACGAATTCAGCAAGAGGGCGCGTTATCATCAAGCACTGACAGACTTCAAAGTAGAGCGAGCAGACTTCAAGAAGGAGGTGGAGAGTTTTCGAGTTCGATCAGGCCTATCAATGTAGCCGATAGCGTGTTCTGTCTCCCAGTGTTCACGCCATTATTGCGTGCACAAAATCCATAGTGTTGCACTCAAACGGTTTGGATTGTCAAGCTCTCGTGGGAGACCTTGCAGCCAATCAATGTGCGTGCTGCGGCCATCACGCACACGCTGACCCTCTTCAGCGGTGCGGTGGAGTAAGGACTCAAACAAAAGGACTGGACCACGTCTTCTCACTGCAGCCGTTTATCCCCACCAATGCAGCGTTTTAAGCAAATATGTGTGCAACATCCATCAACGCCAGCAGGCACCATGATCAGCCGTAGTCTAGCCAAGAGAGAAAGGAAACTCTGGCCCGCTCTGCAGCTCCCTCTGTCACCCTTCGACTCGCGTCCGCGCGTTCATCAGGCAGCGGAGATTCTTATTATTATTGTTACTACACCCCTTTCCCCGAAAAAGATGTTTCTCGTCTGTCGGCGTAAAGACAGGAACAACGATGAGTGAATCTGGGTGCCTTGATTAAAGACACGGCCTCTACTTACCTAACAAAGCAAATGTCTCGTCTAGAACCACTCAGCTGCAGCCGTTATCGGGCACGTTTTTTTTTATTTATTTTGAGGGCCTTTCCGATGTTGATGACCTTGTGTTGATCTCCTGTTAAAAAACACACACTTCCTCTTCTCTCCTTCCTCATTTTCGAGCTTGATCGTATCATGGATCCCTGTTCAGGGCGTTGGAAGACACGCCACATAGAATGACAGTTCATGAATCGCTCCAATTCATGAATGCGGTACGATACATCGGTAGCGTTTTTAAGCATCGGTGTTCACTAAGTGTAGATGAATTTCAAGGTGAGGGTGTGAAGTTAGGGCGTGTCTGCGCGTTCAAGAGTACATGGGCGCCTGCATCTGGTTCTTTCTTTAATTTCTTTTTTCCTCAAGTAGGTTGCACCATTGAGCATTCGCGAGGTAGAAACGTGCCATTTGTCGGTACCACTGTGGTGGGCAGGGATGTAGAGTCTCTTTTTGGATGGTTGTACAATGAACACATGTAACATGCATTCAAAGCTCCTTCTTTGACCGTACCTTTATCCTTAATTCTTTTCATCGCTCGAAAGAAGGAAACAGTTTCATGTAAAGAGTGAGAGTGCGCTCGACTGTATCGCTTTAGACATATGGACTAGACTACCGTAAAGCATCCATCTTCCTACCTTGGACACATTTTTTTAATCATATTATATTTCAGCGGTGCAATAGAAGAGTGCAGTGCATGTGTACATTCCTTTTCTTTACCGGGAACGAACATGTCTTGAACTGACGGACTGGATCCAATTCCATCTGCATTTCAAAGGAGAAAAAGTATTTAAACCGGCGGCCGTTGCGTAACTTCACTTTGTCCTGTTTAAGCCCCTCGACCGCCGAAAAGCGCTTCCTTCTTCGTTTCATCTCCTACTGTTCCTCCTCCACTTGTGCGTGTTTGTCCTACAAGCATCAGAGTAACATCAGCCATCGCTACCGACATTGCGCTCACCTCATCCTTCCTTCCCCCTATCTTTTGTGCATCATTTCCCTTACCTCTCTCGCTTCCGAACTGTCGCTCGCGGTACTTTTCTTCTCCACGACCTCGTTTAGCTGGTAATCTCCTTCCTCCACGCTGTAGACGATCTTTCCCCAGTCTACAATTGCCCCCCAGCTTTGCCCAATATTCTTTCTCCGCATTCACCTCCACCATTCACAGTCCAACTACCGCACCGCTCGTTCAGCGCTCGAGTTCCCATTCTGATATCGAGATGAGTGAGCTCCCACCCTCGACACCACAACCCTACCGCCAGTCCCTCCGACCTCCTCCACGCCAGCGTCCCCCAGGCTCTAGCAACGATCAACCACCTTACCCTTCTTCCTCCTATTCACCACCTATCTCCCCAACCCGCCATCATCAGCACACATATCCCCCAACTGCTGCTGCAGGTACCAGTTCACAATCTACAGCAGCCGACAGCAAACCCATATCCTCGTTCTCTCGTGCTAGTCCTTATGACCGCGATGATTCACGAAGGCGCCGCCTCGACACCCTGGCAATCATGGACAATGCCGACTTTGGCTGGTTCCACGTCCGGGCCTGCATGGTCGCTGGCGTTGGCTTCTTCACAGATGCCTATGATTTGTTCGCCATCAACTTGGTCTCGCCTATGCTCGGTTTCGTCTATTTCAGTCATACGGGGAACACACTCCCGGCCGATGTCGACCTTGGTCTCAAGATCTCAGCTTCTGTAGGCACCTTCTTTGGTCAGATTGGGTTCGGATATCTTGCCGACAAGCTTGGACGCAAGCGGGTAAGCCTTTGTTTGCTTACAACCCCTGCATCCTGCGATGCCGTAGCTGCTTGCTTTTTCATCTGATCACCTCTCGTGCTTTTCTTAACACTCTTTCAATGCTGCGCCCTCGATAACATAGATGTATGGTGTGGAGCTGCTGATTATTATCGTCGCGACGTTTGGCCAAAGCCTTAGTGGTGAAGGGTTCGCGCTCTCGCTCCCCGCAAGCATCATTCTCTGGCGATTCATCCTCGGTATCGGTGTCGGAGGCGACTACCCTCTCTCAGCTGTCATCACCTCGGAGTTTGCAACGACGCATCGACGTGGTGCTATGATGGCCGCAGTCTTTGCGATGCAAGGGTTCGGCTACCTCACCACGGGCATAGTCGCCATTGTCCTTCTGCTCTGCTTCCGCACTAAGATCGAAGCCGATGTCATGAACCTGGACTATGTCTGGCGCTGCCTAATCGGCCTAGGATGTGTCCCTGCCCTTGTCGCCGTCTATTTCCGCCTGACCATCCCTGAGACCCCGCGTTACGTCCTCGATGTTGAGAACAACATCAACAAGGCCGAACGCGACGTCGCCACCGTCTTCAAGACCCGAAATGCCCTTCAGAGCGGCTCCGACGACTTTGAGGACCGACGGGTGCACTTTAACACTAACACTTCTGTTAACCCCAACAATAGTCTAGGCTTCCCACGCAAGAGCAGCATCGGTCGATCCGACTACGTACCAGAAGGACGGCGCTCGGGCGGAGGTGACCGTGGCCCCTCTTCCCACCCTCTGTTTTACAGAGACTCAGACAGAACCGTGGGCAACCAAAGCAGCTTGCGCGAATTTTTCATTTACTTCTCGCGCTGGAAGACCTTCAGGGTCCTACTGGGTACCTCCATGACGTGGTTCGCTCTCGATGTTGCCTTTTACGGCATCGGCCTCAACAATACCTTCATTCTCTCGACCATCCATTTCGGCTCTGTCGATGGCGACGCCTACCACACCATGTGGAATGCGACTGTCGGCCAGGTCATTATTGTCCTCCTTGGTGCCATTCCTGGATACTGGGTTACGGTCTTTACGATCGAGCGCCTCGGTCGTATCAAGATTCAGGTCTTAGGCTTTATTATGTCCTGCGTCCTCTTCCTTGTCCTCGGGTTTGCCTACAATCCGATTCGTAATGTCTCCCCAGTGTTGTTCGTCTTCCTCTTTGCCGCCACTCAATTCTTCCAAAATTTTGGCCCGAACGCCACGACCTTCATCATCCCTGGCGAGGTCTTCCCGACGCGGTATCGGTCCACCGGACACGGTATCTCTGCAGGCATGGGTAAGCTCGGCGCCATCGTCGCCCAGATCGGCTTCTCGAACATGAAGGATCGAGGCGGCAAGAACGCATTCATCCCACAGCTGCTCCAGATCTTTGCACTCTTTATGTTCATCGGTTTGCTCTTTACGTACTTTGTCCCAGAGACCAAGGGCAAGACCCTCGAGGAACTCTGTGGCGAGGACGACTATGCGGAGCGTCAACTCGAGCGTGAGCGGTCATTCAATAACCAACTCTTTGAAGAGAAAGACGACGACGACCGTTGAAACCAGTCATAGTATATATGCTTAAATATATTAATTTCGCCATTCGTGTGTATGCGTGGTTGTAGAAGGTGGGAAACGATATCTTTCTTTTCAGGGTAGTTTGTTTGATTTGAGGTAAGGAACATGATGCGTAGGCTGAAAACGCCCGCTTGGTGCAGGACAAAGTAGACGTTGGAAGCCTCCTGGAGAGCGGTGCTGGCCGAGTACTGGAAGCGGAACTCGGCCTTGAACTCGTGAGCCACGCACGCGACGCTGGAAGAACAGCCTGCGAACCAAATACTCGATTGCTTTTTAGTAGCGAGGGACCTAACTAAGGGTGAAGGCAGAGATGATAACAGCGGGACATTCTGACACGTTCGTTTCTGGTAGAGGTGGATTGCTTGAGAGCGGGCCTTCCATCCTATGGGCTTGCAGGTGGCCTGCTTGTGCTTGATACCGGCCCCTGAATTACGCGTCATTTGCGATTCCATCCGTAAAAGAAATAGGACAAGCAACCAACTAAAAGCACTTCTGGCATATCTTACTGAACCCAACGCGTGAAATAACCGAAAGAGCAAAAAAATAATAATAATAATAATAAAAATGTCGAAATAAGGATAGAAAACGCCTCGTCTTAGATGGCAATCTTGCTTGGCTCGGCTTGAACCCGAGCACAAGACGACAGACTCTCCAAATGATAGAGGACACTACAATGAATCCACGAACACTTTGTACGGCATCAGCCAGAACGCCCATTGTCTATCGATCTACAGCCCTCCTTCGGTTTTGACAAATCCATTTTTGCGAGAAGCAGGAATCAGACACTGCAAGGTGTAGCAACGCATCCTCCCACAGCTCTCCCTAACTGCACAGTTCCTTCCAGTATGCATGACTCGCACTAGCGCCCTCGGTCACACACACCTCCTCACTTCCACACTTTTCCTGGGTTCCAGTACCGACCTAGATAAAATTGGAGGTGAGAACGAGGATGAGGGTGATGAAAGAGAAGGGGGTTGAGCCGATACTAATTGGAAATTACCAATATGTGCGTCTGGAGATGTCACTCGAGAATGTGCTGGAACAGCTGGATAGTCTGAAGGAGCTACAAGCGCTGACGACGAGAGGCCGAATGAATGGCTGAGTATGGCCCAATTTGCGTATTATCGATGGTCTATATGAGAACAATAACTTGCTAGTCAGGCAGTGGTTTAAAGCGCATTGTCCTCGCATACAAGCACTCCCAGCGCCGAGGATTAGGATATGAAGGTATGTCTTTACACCTATGAGGGATACATTGCGGACTGTGGATCAGGAGTCAGCTCAAACGCATGGAATGGGCGAAGCAAAGGATGCCAAGATTGCGGAGTAAACATTGCACCGATCTGTGCATAGCTTTTATTAAAGTTGGAGGGGTAGGTGGGTTTGGCATGTCCATTTCCGAACAATTGCTCGCATTTGACCTCTTAGATCGTGTCTTGGGTGTTGTTAGTCCAGCCGTATACATCATTCGAGCTGCTGCTTGTCTTGTCGATGGGAATATACATTGGTTCTTTATTTGATGCTCATTAGAAATCATTGCGCTCGTGTTTCTTTTTTTTGTTCTCCGTTTCTTGTGCTTTTTTCATCCATCCTCGTAACCACCCGGCTCTCGCTATTGTTGCGTTATGCACATTGTTCGCCAAATCAAAGAGAGCGGCCCATGGACGTAAATATTCTACACCGCCCGACAGTTCCCGGACTAGCAGCGCCATTAATGCAGATGAGAATGTCCGCCGGGCATTCTTACCCTCCTATCCTCATCTTCCGTCAGATCGTCATCATCCTCATCCTCCTCCCTCAGCTGTGTCAGTCCCAGACTCTCCTCATCGAACGCATTCAGCATCGTCGATTCACGCGACGCTCTCCTATCTGCAAATCCATGCCCGCCTGCGCCATTTGTGATACTCGATCCAGGCTTTCCATGTGACTCCACCACTGGGTGCTGCGCATTGTTCAACAGCAACACTCCTGAGAAGATGGTTCCGAATCCACAGAAAAGGGATACGACGTTCACAGTCGAGGTTGTGTTGAATCCCTGGAAGAGGATGACAGAAGCCGTGATCGTCGCCGTCGTAAACATCACATAGTAGATCGGCATGACACTACATTTATCAAACGGACAAGCGGATCAAATTAGTCTTAATATTCTCTTGAGAATTTTTCACCCTGAAGAAACAATAAAGAACAAGGCAAAATGACTAACACATTCGTCGAAAAAATATCGAGCGCCTTGTTGAAGTAGTTCATCTGGACGACAATGCACACGCCCACGAGGATCGCAAACACGTAGGTTGACGGATGCGTCAGCTGATTTGAGCCTGCAAATGTCAACTTAAGCGCAATGCCGAATCCCTTAGAGGCCATGACAGTAATCGAACCCACAAATGAACAGATCGAGATATTGACCACTGGTGTCCGGTTGCCCCACTTCGGTACGACCTTGTAGATCATAAACGTCGAGAACCCCAGCACAAATAAGCTGTACATCATGAATGCTATTGATATCCAATGAAGTTTGGACAAAAGAAGACGCGTTAGCCATCATTGCCGTTCATGCTTGGCCAGAGTGTTAAAGGGAGGGAGGTTATCACGGATAGCTCTCATTCTTATCACGTCGTCCTCTCCTTTTCTCATCCGTGCTTGACTCAGTGCTGATTTAAGATCGCGAACAAATCCCATTCCTGACATGTCCTGTCACCCTGTTCCTGTTTTTACTCGCACAGCCAATCGTCCCTAGTCGTGCTTCCTACGCCTGCTCCTGCATCTTGATACGAGAATAAAACGTCCACTACTGAGGTCGTTTGCTCGTACCACAGCCCACTTTATTGAGCACTCCAGCCAAATAATAAAATTCCCGGTGTTCGAAAATCTTAGTGCTCTGTGCGACATGAGCATCAACTCTGGGCTATTGCATATTATCCAGTGCTCTTTTTTTTTGTTGTCTAGACAATTGCACTGTTGTGTTGTAGGAGCGGAGGCCTCGCTCAGGGCCCATTAAAAAGTTATTATTTGTGAGGACCGCATTATTGTGTATTCCTGATTGATCATCCTGAATAACTGTGCGTCTGCGTGTCCTACTCTCCAAATATGGTCCCAAGGGCTGGCGTCGGCGGCTACTGCATATCTTTACATAAAATAATTACTTACCAGGCTGAATAGCATAGTTCAGGATCTCATCAACTGAGTTGATGTCCTTGTCCTCAGGTGCGTGTAGGACGATCACGACGGATCCAATCAAACAAAGTGCGCATCCAACCTTGCCCACGATACCGAGTTTCTCATTGAGGAAAAAGGAAGCGAGAACGGCTCTAAAAATGAAAAGCGACAACGGTCAACGAGGTTGTGATGAGTTCAACTGTATCTAAAATTCTGATCCCAACGGTATCCATTTCGTACTCCTTCGCCTTTCATTGCGTAAAGGAATTCCCATGTCTGCTGCCCTCTGCGTTGTAGTCATAGCTGCTGCTTTTGTTGCTGCTGGAAGATGTTTCGTTGCAAGAAAGCAAGGAGCCAATGCATCATCAATCCTGTTCCCGGTTGTTATTTCTATCCCAGGAGAATCAGATGTGACCATAAAGTCGATTGGCGCCAAGTGAAGGCGGACGTGAATGCGGAAAACAAGGGAAGGCGGGACAAGGTGAAGCGAGCTGTATAGTATTTCTTGGACAGCCTTGTGTTCCGAGTCGTTGGTAGTTGGTTGTTGAGCTATTGGTAGTTGGTTGTTGAGCTATTGGTAGTTGGGTTGTGGTTGGTAGTTGACCTGATCATTTCCGCTAAGACTTACCCAATGATGACGCTCAGTGCGCCTAGCGGTGTTACTAGGATGGCCGGCGCAAACGAATATGCTGCAAAGTTGGCGATCTCACCCGCAGCCACTATAGAGCCCCAGCAGCAACAGAGAAACAGGAGAGGGGCGTTCAGTTACTTGTTTTATCACACGGCAAAAGACACCTTCAATAACGAACGAAAACACAGGCACCAAAGAAAGACGAAATGGGTTCATACTGGTGAGCATGCCAAGGAGCCAGATGGGGTTTTTGAGAAAAAGGTACTGATCCGAGGCCGAACCGTGGCTTCCATGCCTGGCGGTCGAGTCGATAAGACCCTTCTTGGTGATGACGAAGGAGATCCCGATCATAAGTGATGAGGACACGGCCAGCATAAGCCCCACGTACTTGTCATGCTGAGCATCGAGAGAAATCGCACCCTCGTCTGGACTTGACATTCTTATTGATCTTTATGAGTTGCTGTTGTGTGCGGTGGGGTAAGGCTTCTTTCTCGGCTAGATGGGCGAAGGTTGAAAAAGAATGAGAGCCAGAAAGAAAGAAGGCAAAAGAAAAGAGAGAGCGGCAATAGAACAGAAGAAGCAGTAGCGGATAGTTCGTTCAAGTTCAATGGGTCATTGAGGGGGATATGTGGGTGTCAGGACGTTAAAGTACAGAAAGGAAGCCAAGCGTCGGGGGGAAAGGGAAGAAAGAGGATGAAGAGATGAAGAGCGGAGAGAGGGATGATGGAAGGAGCGGGATGGGATGGGGATTGACCAGAAAAGCAAGGTGTGAAAATAGTCAAAGATGGAGGAGGCACACACACTTCACTTTGTACCTACTGCAAAACTAAGAATAGAAAAGGGACACTCATACACTACCGAATTGAATGGCGTTTTCTAAGACAACAACGCCCATTCGGACAGCAAGAAGAACAAAAGGAGAGAAAGAAAAGAAAAGAGGCCTATGAAACAAAGCTGCAACCTGCGAAAAGTAAATGCAAACAAGTGGCCCCCACATCAAAGAGGAGTGTTGTCTGCGTACTGCTCATCAGATAAATTGATCTTCATTCAAATCAGGGACCTGGGAAACCGACAAAGTCTAGTCTAGTTTCTACTTGACACACTCATTTATTGAACCTATTTTCATTTATTACCTTCATTATAAAAAAGGAGGGGCGGGGTACCTCTTCCGAGGGCAACCATCTCCCCCTACAACGCTCTGAAAAAAGTAGCCTTCACCTCAACCACTCGCTTTTTGAATACTTCTGAATTTGCTCCGCACGGTATTCTGGAACCCTAAAGGGCTCAGATAAATGGCCATGGTTCCTTTGGTCCCAAACAAACGCATATGCACCAAAAACCCTTTTTTCTCTTCTCGCCACCCCACACTCCTCTCCCATCGCACAGCCACCGCTTTAAAAGGCCCATAGAATTTTCCTTGAGGAAGAAATCGAGCATTGACTCAATCTCGTGCTGCATTCAGGATCCGCTTAAGCAGTTACACGATCGTACTTCTGTTAGTGTACATTTGCAGAATACTTTACAAAGCCCTCATAACACGCTCATTGAATCCCTCAGCAAGCCCATAAAAATCAAAGGGAGGGCAGTATTGGATTCTTCCTACTTTCTTTCTTTATTTTATTTTTATTTTTTGGCAAGCAGCTATTCTTATTACAATGCTTCGCGGCTTTTTCTTGGCTTATTTTGCAGCCTATGTCTTTCGAATAAAGGACGTGGAGCCTGCATTAACAAGTCTATCGAATAATGGGAACAAAGTTGTTATCCTATTACTAAGCAAATCGGAAAACAAATCGCACTGTTAATTGACTGCGATAGAGACCATGAGAATATTCGTCAATGAAGACACTCAAAGAGCAATGGAATGGGCACGGGTACACTCTTCCGCCTCACTTCATCGACAGTGGCGCAACCCTGATGTTCTCTTAACAAAATATGCAAAGAGGTAGACATCGGACAATCGCGTATACTCCTTCGTTGAACTTACACCGGTTACTATCGACGACTTTTCTAGTTTTATATTTAAAGCACGGCATCGATGACATCTTTTTCTGCGGATCTAGGTGTGGTTCTCTCGCATGAAGAGCTTCAGTTGCGTGCAAGCAACAATCGATGAAGGACAGTGTGCAACGAGGGCTTGATGACCGGTAAAAGATTCCCAGGGAAGTCGACGGCTTCTTCGTGTCGCGCACGATTGATGACGAGAAGATTGGAGGAATTGAGGTGGCAAAAATGGACGATGGTACCTTCGATACGAAGATTCATCTGGACTAAAAAAAATTGTCCAGCTGTGTCAAGCTTCTCACGGACCGGCTCGATCGCATGTTTGGCTCGATTATCCATCTTTGAGTTCCAGCAATCTACCACGAAGTTGCGTTTCATGGCGCTTCTGCGGGCGCCTCTTCTAGGCCTTCGACTCGTCGACGGCAGTACACGCTCAGTTTATCCTGCGGACAGATTTCAACTACTTCTTTACCCACGGCATACCATACGCATTTCTCCAGGACCCCCGCACCTTTTTAAGCCTGTTCTTTTTGAATCGACTGTGCTAATTCGCTGTGCCATCAGAAATAGTCAACCACAGGATGTCTTGCAGGAGCGATCATTCTGAGCCTCTGGTCTACATTTCCGACTTTTTGAGTTTTGAATCGTCCCTGCCTAATACATTTCCGGAGGTACCAACTTGGCTTTTCATAACACAAATCAACAAAAATAGTCTAGATTTTAAACGGAAACGTGATACGAGATTGATTACCTTATCTCAGTGGCCATGCAGTTTTCTGTCGATTGGATAGCTCCTTCTTTTCTTCATCATCATTCTTCATCATCACTCATCTTCGATCATCTTATTTTCCTGCTGGACAGTAAAAAAAAAACAGGACTGATCTTTTCTTCCCGGACGATACAAAGACAATCGCCATGGTCTTCTTGACAAGAAAACTGAGGTTACAACGACTCGCACAGGCCCTGGTCCTCATCCTTCTCGTCGTCTGTGTCGTCCTCTCCTTCGAACGGCCTTCTGCAGATGCTGCCACTATCGTTGCAAGGAGCGATGATGACCTCGAGCGTGTATGAAATATCTCCATATCCTTTATCCTTTGTTCTTTATTCAGCAGTCAATAGGTCTTCAGGGACACAAAGTTGAACACAAGGAACAACAACAAAGGGTGCTTATTATCGCACACCTTGACATGGAGTCTCATCTAATCAAACGCTCAATTGCTTTTTCGTCCTGGCCTTCTGCTTAGTTCCCTGAACTGACAAACGACTTGGACGGCAACTCTGGATCCTTCATCGCTGCACAAGACCTGCCACCGCCACCAGCCCACCATAAGAACGTCGACGAATTCAGCAACTATGACGACGATGAAGACTCGGAGGGCCAACCGCGATCCCGCCTTCTACCATCCTCATCACTTGACTCTTTAGACTCACTGGGTGGTATTGACTTCAGCAATGAGGAGAGCCGATCCTTCTTCCTCTCCCTCGCCATGATTGTCGTCTCCGAGATCGGCGATAAGACCTTCCTGATCGCTGCCATCATGGCCATGAAACACCCTCGCCTTCTCGTCTTCTCTGCCGCCATCTCCGCTCTCGCCGTCATGTCCATCCTCTCTGCGGCCTTTGGCCACGCCGTCCCCAACCTCATCTCTCGAACTTACACCAACTACCTCGCCACGCTGCTCTTCTTCTGCTTTGGCATCCGCATGTTCTACGATGGCTACCACATGACCGAAGAAGACGCCAAGCACGAGCTTGAGGAGGTCACGCAGGAACTGCAGGACAAGGAAGATCTTGAGCTCCTCCAGCGTGCTGAGGCTGGGTCTGCAGTCTCAACGGCCAACTTGGACGAGGATGCTCAAGACGGCAGTGTACTTGTCGGCGGAGACTTGGATTCGAAGAAGGAGGGCCCACTGAGGAAAAAGGAATCTTCAGGACTAATCAATCTCTTCCAGCTGCTCTTCTCTCCGGTCTTTGTCCAGACGTTCATCATGACCTTCCTGGCCGAGTGGGGCGACCGCTCTCAAATCGCAACCATCGCCCTCGCTGCCGCACATGTAAGTCATCATGAAGTCTCATATCTACTAAAAAGACATATCTGTATGGGGTATGTTTTTCTCATGCGTGTTGTTGCCTTTTACTTCGACTTCCGCTTCATAGAACATGGTATGGGTGTCCATTGGAGCAGTCTTTGGTCACTCGCTTTGCACAGGAGTCGCCGTCATCGGAGGAAGGATGCTCGCATCAAGGATCTCTGTCCGCACTGGTATGTCGCTTTCATTTTCTCTTATTCACCTATATCGTCGATTGCAATAGCAGCAAGCAGCACCTGCTAATCCGTTAATCCATTTGCTATATCGTAAACTTTTTTTTTTGTTTTTAGTTACCCTGGCTGGTGCAGTCGTGTTTGAGATCTTTGCCATCGTGTCGCTATACGAAGCCATATACGAGGCATAGACCTCTATATCTGATCCACATCATTTACGCCTTACTCCATTACTTTTCCAGGGATCATTGTCCTCAAATAAATGTCCTATTTACAGACCGTATACGCAATAGACATGACCTTTATGAGCAAGTGTCCTTGACAAGAAGAGCAAGCAAGTATATGGATGGGAAAGTTGAAGCGTTGTTCTCGTATGGACGCAAGCTGACAACCTTGTGCGTCGAGTTCATACAGGCAAGAAGACTACTATCCTCAATGAGCTGCATCGTGAACACATACAAAGATAGGAAAGGGCGAATGAGGGTACATATTGTACGGGTGGCGAAGCTGATCTGGCTCAACTATTCATGAAACGGTGCTGGTCGTCTACGCTTTCAGTAAACTTAGCCTTGCCACCTACTGCGCGAATTGTCTCCATACAAAATTCCGCGCTCCGGGCAATCTGCGTGCTTCTTCAGGAGGTCGTCTTTCATCTGTACATGGCTTTACAGACATGGTCGTATGTGATAAAAACCTGGAAGTGCGTCCTCCCTATTGAATTTTGATTCGTGTACAAAGGCAACAGTCGAATAAATAGATATCAACGCAAAATAAAACGTGAATATGGAACGCCCACTGCTTTCAGCTGTGCCCTCTCTGACCATTGCCTTTGTCCATTTGCGTTTATTCGGGCCTAGAGGGCATCCTGCTCTGACGGACCGGTCTGTCGCGTGCGAGTATTCCCAGAAGTACTCTATCCGCGCCCTTTCTTTGCCACGTATCTTTTGGGTGCTAATATTGGCGAGGCAGCCATGATGCACCAAATTGTGGGCAATTGACAGGGTTTTTTCGGCTCCTAAGAGTCTAGATGCGTATTTGATGGACCAGTCGTAGAGAGGCGGACGGCCAGTCTCGTTGATGTGAGCTATAGGTAGAGGACCGTCCCAGGGGTGGATGGCTATTATGGAACTTGCGTGGGTGCTTCTCAGAGCAATATATCCATTGAGAGTGAAAGAAGCCTATGTTTGAGACAGTTGTATGGGGTGACAGGGGCGAGTGGGTCGAAATCATGGGATATCTCTGACAAGTGAAGAAAGTAGTAGCCGTCCTCAACTCTTAGCGATTGATTTGCTATTCGCGGTAAGGAGCGATTTCGGCGGCTCGTGTAACTTTTTTAGTGTTTGGTGTAACTTGGAAAGTCAGCGCCGACACTCCGAAATGTGCTATTTGAAGCTGGATAGAGGCTCACAGTTTTCCAGGTTGTAATTTCCATGCGGTGCTGCTCGCCTAATCCATTCAATCATGATGGATCTGCAAGACACTCACACTCAAGGCTATTCAACAAGCAGGATTGGGCAGAAATAAAAGAAAGCTTCAAGTCAAACATCAGCGTACTTGGACACCCTTGACAAGGTAGAGACCATCGAGGACCTGGGAACGAGGCTGAAGGACCATCCCGACGATGTGGAGCTCGAGCTGGCCCACATGTGCTTGGTCAATTAATGATTCCTCTACTTTGGTTTGTTGTGTCTTGATCGTGAGATTCGGCTTGGTATCTGGTTCCTAACATGCTTGTGATTCCATATTATTAGGCTGAATTTGTATGAAATGAAAAGTCTATCTCCATTTGCCGTCTTTTGGAATCGTGGTGGTTGTCGCAGATATGGGACCTCTGCAGTCAGCTTTTCAAGAGAGCGCCTAGCTGCTTCGTACTGACAGGGGACATGACCACTCTGGACTCTACTACACGTCATAACAACAAGGAACGTCAGGCAACACAACACACGTGCAGCAAAAAAGAGAACGGGAGTTCGAGCAGATTTCATATGGCGCAGTATAGTCGCGCTGAGAAAGACTGGGCGATCGGTGCAGCGGCAAGGACATGGAACATTTTGGGACAGAAACACATCTATGGAAGCACGTTCAAGCTGTCTTGACAACTGCACGATACTTTGATGGCGAGAACAGTTGAGGCAGGGGAAAACCAGATAGGATGCGAGATGTGCTGGTTTCAAGCTTGATCACTGGAGGTAAATCATCGCGCATTGTCTTTGTTTCTCGTCTTTCCGTCGCCCCCTTCGTCTTCATCTGAACTCGTTGTTACATCATGTCGGGAGCTAGGCCCATGCATGCAGCGAATGGCCCTATACTGGGGTGCAAAGGGAAGTGACGTGACAAGGTTGCTCAAATGGAAAGTATTACAGCTCGACCCCTCCGAGATGTCTGCTTTTGTCTACTCAACGCGCGTCTACAGTCGCTTACAGCACATAATAAATTCTCTTTATCTGCCAGCCTATCAGCGTGCTTGTTTTTATAGTTTGACACGTCTTACATGTCTGTGCTTTCGCTGTGAATTATTATTAAGGAGGTTGATGAAAATGTGGCAAGTGTCTTGCTTGCCTGCCGAACAACGTGCTTAGTCTTGCTTGGCTGTAATCTATATTGCATATTCCAGACGAGTCTCTAGCTAGCATGTGTGTAGACCCACATCTGTTTCTCATTCACTTTCTTCTTGACAATGCTGAAAATGCTGTGGTCCATTCTAATACCGTGTTGTATGTCACCGTTAGGCAGTGCTTTGTCATCGAGGTTTGTACAGAGCAGTGTTGTTGTGGCCCGTATCTTCAATGCTGCACTGAATTATCCGCACGCTACGCCCGAAGCGCATACGGCGCCGTAAATACTGGTCCAACGTTTCGATACACTTTACATCATCTTTCCTTTCTCAAAAATCCCTTGTAAGGGTATTGCCAGGGTTAGCATAATTGTAGCGTCAGCCCCGATGAACGTCTTCGCGTTGCTAACTTTTATCATTGTTGCGCAATCAGTTAGGCAGTTTTAGAGGCGGGAGTTAATTTCAATAGAAAAGTGTTCAAGTGCCTTTTTTTTATTTTTTTTACTGGAGATAAAGCCCGTGGCTCACACCCCGGAACCAACGCTTCGCCCTGACCCTCGCCCGATCTCCACCTTCAGAAGAGTGTGTCATTGCGCAAACGTTTTACATGGCTCCCTCCTAACTTCATTCTATCTACATTCACCTTCAGGAGCGAAATTTGGTATGTGTTTCTGTACAGACATTTTTTGGAGACAAAGGATAGGTTGTCGCGTTCGTTTCATATAACCCTTTGAATGTACTCCCTATCTTTTTCCTTCCTCGTTTCATTGCCTTGCCGCGCAGTCTTCACATCTACCACGCTCCTAATTTATGGGCGCATTTTGTTTGTAGTAGTTGGTAGATAGATACTTATTATTATTTTTGATCGAACAAAAGCTCTATCTTTTCTTTCCGCATTCTTCTATCTCCTATCTTCCCCTATGTGTATGCCGACAATGAAGCCGATTACTCAGGCAAAAGCCAAGGTAGCCATAAGGCTCACGGCAGATAGCGCTTTCGCCTGAAAGACTGCTTGGCGTCTTCCGGAGCCCGCCGCCGCCCATAGGTGCAACGGATACACGATGAATCCTCTTGACGTTGAGCATAGCGACGGAAGGAGTGCCAAGACGTTATCTTCCTGACTTCTCGGGATAATAAAATGAAAGAGATCAATGTCGTAAAACATGGGAATGCGGCTTTGACGCGTTTTACGCGCTGCACTTTCATTTCCTGACGTTCCTGGTAATCTTGCTCTGGCTCTTCCTGAGTATATATCCGATGGTCATTGTCACTTATCTTTCAAGCACCGCGACCAGCGTTTTTTTCTTCAACCAAACTAGAGCGCTAGTGTTTTGCGAACTTGGCTAGATCCGTGAAACAAATATTATCTAGGTATCAGACTTTATGCTGGTTCTTTATTATTAAACTGCAATTGAATACTATGGTGACCCTGGCGAAGCGATGGCTCGTCCGACTGTCGATCTTGCTGTCATTTTCGTTGCCACTGCAATAACCGTCTCCTCCTCATCTTCGTCCTCAACTTCAGTCTTCCCATCACTCTGATAGGTGTTCTCGTATTTGCTCACGGCCGAACTGCCACTGGCCATTCCAGCACTTTCGTGGCGCCCTTCAGGCAATAATGGGTGTTGCTCCTTTTCAGTTTGTTCCGCGTCCTCGTCACCATCTCCCTCGTCACCATCTCCCTCGTCACCATCCCCCTCGTCATTTTCTTCATTGCCGGCTTCCAGCGCATAGGTACGTTCGAGGAGCTGTACCATTACTGAGGTGTCGCAGGCAAATTCGAGAAAGGGATGCATGAGCAAATCTCTGGCGCTTGGCCGATCCTCGCCTTCGCCAGAGGTACATGCCTCCACGAATGAAAGACATCTTTGAGAGACCAATCCTCCATGGTTGATCTTGGGAAGGTCACCACTGGCAATCAAAAACATGGCCTATTCAATGAGGTAATTCACAAAGGAGCAGCCATTCTTTAGAGACCATATCCAGCACGAGACTAATAAAAAAAGTCAAGAAAAAGTCGTAATGAAGCACATACCCGCAGTGGAGGCTCGTTCAGATAGGGTGGCTCCCCTTCAAGCATCTCGCGCATGACGACGCCAAAACTCCAAATGTCGACACGAGTTCCATAATTCCATCCTTGGATCACTTCGGGCGCCATCCAGTAAGGTGTGCCAACAACAGAGTTCCTCCTGGGATGCTCCCTGGTCAGTTGTACCGAATGCCCAAAGTCCGCCAGCTTAACGCGTCCCTTCATGTCGAGTAAGATGTTGTCGCTTCGGATATCGCGGTGGATCCGCTCATGCTGGTGCAGATACGAGATGGCTTCTAGAGTGTCCTTAGCAACACGAGCCATATGACATTCTTGTAGTAGACCCTGGTCTGAATGATGTTGTCCCTGGTATGGGTTGATGGCGATAATGTCAGCGAGAGAGATATCCATGCGCTCCATGACCATCCAGAGCTCCGTTGATGTCAGGTGGCAGTCAACAAAGGCGACGATGTTGGGATGATGGCTTGCCTTCATGAGCTCAAGTTCGTTGCGAATCGTCTTCATTTTGGCGGTAGCCGTTTTGGCGATCATCTTTACCGCGACCAGGTTGCCCATTGAATTTTCTGTTGCAGAAAACAAAAATCCAGATTCTCCCTCCGCAATCTTGACAATGTCAGAGTACAGCTGATACGGGTCTGTGGAGCGGGGTCGACTGATGAGGGGTTGCAGGCCATACTCGTTGATGAAAAGAATGTCCTCTTTGTCCTCCACAACGAGATTAGACACATCAGTCATAGTCGTTTTAGCTGATATAGTATCGGGAACCTGAGCAGTATCAATTGAGAGCCCAGTGCCATTAGCTGGGAGCGTGCTTCCTGGCTGTGCATGGACGCCGTTCGCCAATCCCTTGGTTTCGATCAATGAATCCGAGCCACTAGTCGATCCCTTGCTTGCTGTCTGTGTACTGGAGCGCAGGGGCGATGCGCCGATAGGTTCAACGGCATATTTGCGCAATAAATCGTCCGACAATGTAGGCATGAGCTTTTGACGTTTCTCCTCTTCCTCGGGAGAGAGCGGATCCAGTCCGCCCTCGAGCGGTCCTCCATCTTGTTTGCGGTCGCTGTTTTCCTGACCCGAGTCCGCGTAGCCGGGCGTGGGGATGTTGACGTACATACTCTTGATGGATTTTCGACGCAAATGTAGCGGGATCTGAATCGACTGCGAGGAGTTGGTAGAAACAGGAGGTGACTTGGGCGAAGAGTTGCCTTTCTGCTTCGCGCTCTGAGATGATGTCATCACTGTTGGCGAGCGCTCCTTAAAGTACTGGGAGATGGGCAGCGGATTTGAGTCTGTGGGAGGGCGTGTGAGAGATCGTGCCGCTGAAGACGGTGCCACTGAAGACGGTGCTACTGAAGACGGTGGTGCTGAGGGCGATGCCACTGTTGTGTTCAAGCCAGTACTAGTAGTACCGGTAGGATGTGGTGGGCCGGTGCTCTGCAGCCTATTAGTCGATCCCGGGCTTGTTGGGACTGCTGGGAATTGCTTCAGTTTTGGCGTAGTCGATATTGAGTCACCAGTGCGTGTTGTCGACGATGCCTCAGAGTCTTCGCTCGCCCTTGGGTTCGATCTCCAACTCTGCCGCATATCTGCTGCTGTGGTGCCCGTAGATTGATTACGGTTCCGGGAATAATGCTCTTGCGACATTTCGCCATGTTCCCTGACAGGCCCCATGGCATAAGGTGAAGGCGAAGATGGTCTTGCCGCAGATCCTACGACCGTTTTCGTATCCCAGCCATCGCTGTTGCTCCGAGGACTTTGCATAGGCCGGCTATTTTGGAAGGAAAGTTTTGATGATTGGGGAGACTCTGGGAAGACACGCGCTGCTGGGTTGAGGCTTGAGGTTCGTCTAGGGTTAATGCTAAGGTCTGGTTTAGTGGGTGAGATGGTTCCGCTTTGATCCAGTCGCGGTCTTGTGTCGGCTGCGCGCGACAACATGCTTCCAGAGGTTGCACCCACGGTCGGTAATGTCAAGTTGTTTTGGAGGGGTTTTGGCGGGGGAGGCGGGGGTCGAGATGGCGGAGGCAGTTCTAGATCTCCTTGAAACTGCATCAGCTTCCTAAGTGCCTGTGGGTGTTTTTTTATGTCCTGCTCACTGATGCCCTGAGCCTCTAATACCGTCTTCCATTCGTTGGGCAGACCCTAGAGTGATATCATCAAAGGCAAAGTTCATCGGTTAAGCCTTGACTTTTTGCATGTGTGAAGTGGCTTGATTACCATTTTACAACCCATTGCTGACCCATACTGCTCCGCTTTTCTTACCTTGAGGCCGACCTTGCCATTGTGAGAAATATCAATGTCGACGTGAGCCTTGTGTTGGACATTATATGGCCATCCAATCCTGTGCTCTGTGTAGTTGTGCCAGCAAAAAGAGAAAAAAGAAAAAAGAAAAAAGAAAATGAGTCAAACAAGTGGAGATAGATAACCTATCCAGGCCAGACGAGGAAGGATCCCAACAGCAACACAGCAAACGAGCTACAGCAGCGTTGAGCAAATTCCATGCCGAAAATGGGTGCGGTACCTTCAGAAGGACCGCTCGGCTGTCGTGCGGTCGGAACGAGATGCGGGCTGATACAGGTTGTGTCAAGGGGATCGTCCGTTGGGACCTCGTTCTGCCAGACGTCGGGAATACCCATAAACTTGCGCCGTTCAGCGTTGTACTCGACATGGATCCCATGCTCGACATCCGTGGGCTTGCCGATACTAACAATCTTTTTGGCATAGCTCTTGCGACCAGGCGACCATTGGGAAAGACTGGACGTAGACTGGTTCGCGTGCAGGTACCCAGGGCCGCGTGGTGGGGCAGGCGCACTGCTGGCGAAGGAGGTTGTAGAGTGGTTCTTGTTGACGGTCAGGGAAGATGCGCGGCCTCGAGGGTATCCGGGGAAATGACCGGTGGTGGAGCTGCTAGGGGAGGATCGCTGGTTGTTGTTGGGATGATGATGATGATTCGAATTAGGAAGGTACCAGTCCTCTTGACGGGAGCCGAAGTCGCGCTGGTTCTCCGAGGAGGGTTTCTGGCCCATAGTGATTATGTGTGGGTGAGAGGAGAGAGGCGAGAAGCAGGGGGAGGAAGGTCGGGCGAAGGGAGGGGAGAAGGAGGAGGGAGGGAGAGGGAGAGGGAGAGGGAGGTGGAGTTGTGACGGATGATGAGTGGTGGGCGGGATGGGTGAAGAGCGATTGCGAGGATGATGATGTGCCTTGTGGGATGGAGGTGTGTGCTGCTGGCGACTGCCGTCAGTCTACAGGGCAGATGTTGAATATGAAGACGAGGGATGATATGAAATGGATGGCTATATGGATGGCTATATGGATGACTATATGGATGGCCAGTTGAGGCGTATCAAGGCAAAGAGAAGAAGAGGATGATGCTCTTTACTCCGCAAGAAGAGGAAGGGCAGGAAGAACCAAGAAGGGGGAAGAGGAGGAGGAGGAGGGGAGTCTTTGTGCCTTGGCGCCCTGGCGCCCTGGTGTTCTGGTGCCTTGTTGCACTCGGTGCTTCCATCGGCTCTCCATCGCTACAGAGTCTGGCCATTTCTTCATCGCCCCTGGATCTCGCTGCTAAATCAACTTTTTGCACCTCGGAGCATGCCGTTGTCTTCTCAAGCACCAGTTTGCTTACACTAGCCGCGAGCATTTTTCTCAAAAGTCATTTCCTCATCCTCATCCAAATTCTCATTTCATTTTCATCATAGATCTCAGCCCAGACACGACTTTCTTCAAAACGGAGCACGGCATCGACTTTGCAGGCACCAATTTACTTATCCCAGCCTTGAGCGTTTCTTCATAAAACGCGTTCCCAGAATCGCCATTGCCGGCTATCAATTTCAAATGGCACTCAAACGTTATCAAGGGGTGGCCAACCTCTGTCTGTCATGAACCATAAGAAAAGGCAAGACACTCGTTTATACTTCCGTTTTTGACCGCGACCGACATAGGAAGAAGGAGCGACACGAGGAGAGAATCGACCAACAAGTTGCGAACAAGTTGGCCGTAGATTGGAAAGAAGCCTTGAATGCTGTGGAGGATGGCTTCGACGGCTACGATATACAAGTTACCAAGCCATGCCCTTGTCTGAAGCCCATGTCACTTCGCTGGACAAGTCATCCACGAGAACTTCAAGAAAACGCCCCCGCCTTGATCCGCTTTCCGGAACTCTGTCCAACGATCTGAAAAAAGAGGGAGAGCCAATAGCCTCGGAGACCTTGGTGATGATTGAAAGGCTGCAGAAGAAGGCCAAGCTATTGTAGAGGCAGATCAGAGAATTACGAAAGATCGCGCCTCCCAGCAATGCATTCGTTTCAGTCAAACAGCATAAGCAGCCTTTAGGAAAAAGGATGGATGTCTGTAGAGGAGCGTAGAGCAGTACTTCATTGCTACGAGTTTTGCAAGGGAGAAAAAGAGGACGCGAAACCTGTTACGGTATCGGACCCTTTTCTACGAACGGCCTCTTACATGAGATTCTCACTCAATACCCTCAAGAATATCGTGTTGATTAAGGATAACGGAAATGTTCGAGGCAAGCATCCACGCTACAAGCACATTCTATCGTTGCTTCAGACCCTCGACGAATCGCAACGGAAATGAACACCAAGGGACAAGTTGTTAACCTTAGAGTCCGTTTTAACCATATCAAAGTGCCATTCGCGGATCAATCCAACATTCCAAGAAAGAGAGCGATTCGCTTGTTGATGAATGAAATGGGTTTCCGTTATCAGGATGTCGGGAACACTATGGATTTTGTCGAGACCGAGGACATCAAGGCCAAGGAGTGGCACTACCCTCAAGAGCGACGGTCCGACAAATATAAGGGCACCGTGTTTGTGTCTTTGAGCGAACCCTATTGTAGCCAGAACCATCGAGGGTGGATCATAGACGGAGATATATCAGGCTATCAATCACACCTTGTTTTGCAAGTCTAAGCCTAACAGGCCAGTGCTACCAGCACCACTATCACCGCCAGTCAGCAAGCACTGAAGTCATCCCCAAGCTCTTGACATCCAAGAACGAAGCCACGGGGCCCCCCAGAGTGAAAAGGGGACTATGGTAAGATGAAGGACATATGCTGTTTCAGTGCTCTCGTATTACAGTTCAACTATGGGTTGTAGGACAGACTATAAACACGGATACGAATGAGCCACACACACTCTCTCTTTTTACTCCTTCACTTATCCGTCCCCCCACCTCCATTCTTCTCGTCCCTGTCTTGCAAGGGACCAGTTATCACGTCGTTGCTTTGTCGCACCAGAAATAAAATAAAATGTCGACCTTCTTCCCCTGTGCAGAGCCACCAAAGGCCCATCTCTTCATGTCCCATTACTCTTTCAACTCGCCAAAGGACCTGCACTCCCGAGCCATCCTCACCCACCCCTTCAACCACAAGGTAAAGCACAACGAAACACATGAACATGCTTCAACCGGACTGTCCCTCTTCGCTCGTTATATTGATGCATTAGTATTCGATCGATAATCCGTGCAGATCCAAGTCTTCCTGCCAACAGCCCACTCTGAAGCCATTGAAGCAACGCTCACAGAGGCCCTCCTGCGAGATGTGCATTACTACCATGCCCACATCCCGCTCTCGCTCTTCCTCACCTCGACCTTCATGCAGTACATCCGCAATGGTACAGTACACTCCCGTGTCGCTTATATAATGGGGTGCGGCATTGGGTATTCGATGCTTAATACAGAGTTTGATCTTCTCTAGGCATGGTTTCATTATCGATCCAAGGAGGGATCGATACACACGACGTCGTTTGTCTCGATGGGAAAGGTCAGGATCTTGACTTGGACAAACATATTTTACGCTGCCGACTTTTATCCAGGGACGACACTAACCACCATATTGGATGCAATCCGCTTTCTAGGCAAACTCATTCTTTCCCTCACCAAAGACTCGTATGAGCAACTCGGTTTGATAGGAACTCCCTCAAAATTTTATCCTAATCGCCAAAGATATGGTACTGTTCAGGACACACCCCTTATTTTCCTCTGGAGTGAAGCAGTGTTTTGTATCTAATATCTCGGTACATTATCCTTAGAGAGACTAACATTAATGTCAATAATTGTCGATCTAGTGGTGGAGGTCGATCTGCGCGCCCCCTCTATGATACCAGGAAAACCGGGATTCGAGCGGATCAAATGGTGTTTTGAGAATACTCTTACTACCACCTTTCCAATGCTTCTCGTCAGCGTCACTCCAGAAGGTATGCTAAACGAGCAAAGACCCAGAGCTTTAACTGCGTTTCTAAATGAGAATCAATCGACTGATCTGCTTCCGAGGGCATTTTAACACCTTGTATATCTTGTATAGGCGTCTCATTGCCACTGAAATTCCCAGACTCTGCGAGAGCAACAAAGCTATCTTTTAACATACAAAGTACTCGTTTGGACAGTATCCTCATTCCTGACACGACTACCATCAGGACCATTGGCAGGAATGACCTCCGCTGGCGGAAAAGCGTGGCCGAGCTATACGAATGGATCGGCATGTCAGCAATGCAGTCCGAGCGGTAATTTGCTAGATTTCGTTTTTGTCTAGCAGAGATATGTGCATCTTCAGCCAAGCGACGGTTTTTAAATGATGTCTCGCAAACTACCCTTTGTAGCATTTCTCTCGGAGACCGCGTGGATTCGTTTTTGTGTGTATATTCGAATCCACCACAGACAACAGCAGAACCAGTTGGATCCTCCGGATGTCTCATCGAAATATCTGGACTAATCCCTTCACAATCCGTTTTTCAGATCTTTGAATCTCTTCGGCAAGTGACAATGTTATTTACCACGAAGTGAGCTTCTACTCTTGTCGGTGCTAATACGTCTTCGTTTCCTATCTATTCCTTTTAAGGTCTGTGCTCCCCGAGCTCGTAGATCCTGTTTGGGCCAATTTTACAGTGTGGGGGTTCCAGGATGCACCCGTTTCATGGCTGGGGCGGGAGCATGGTCATTTGTTGAGCGGAGAGAACATGTACTCATTTTTCATATGGTCTTCAAATCTCCAGTTGCATGACAAAGAAGATCCAGACACGGGTATATATGTGCTCCTGGAAAGTGTTGCGACCTATGACGAGCATTCTTAGCTCCATTTTGCAATACAATGAAGAGCAAAACTGTCGTAAGGCTGAAATGACCTGTATCGTTTATTGCTGCTGTTAGTTTGTAATATGTAACTGGGGATATAGGGTCCGTGGGTCCTAAGGGTTCGCCTCATTTGTGGTCCATTGACCTGCGGCGTCGGTGGTATAGATCTATTATCCAACGATCGAATTAAGATAGGAACCAAGATTAGTACCGTTGCTCGTGCACAGAACTATGTGAAAAAAGCCTGACACGAGAATGATTTCTTACTGTTCTCTTGGGAGGAAGAGGCGAAGACTCAAAGTGGACAATGTCCAAAGGCTTGAAGACCAGCAGACAAAAGTTGTCCAGCGCAATATCATGCAAGATTTTTGCTGGGTTATCGTTGCGAATCTTGTTTTGCGCGGACACAGGCGAGAGCGGGGCCGCATCGGTGTCTGCCGCTCCAGCGGGGATGCTTCCTGAAAAGGCATTCCACCTCGAGCGAAAGGACGCGACGGATGACGGCGAGGAGGGCGAGGACATCGGGTTGGGGGTGCCGTCCTGCGACATGAGACTATCCCGGTTGTTACTGCTTCCAATAGGTGACTTTGGGGCATCCTGCTGGGTCATGTCCTCCATAGCTAGGCATTGAAAGGCCGAGGCAGGTCCCTTGGGTACGCTACCGGCCATGGGCCAGGTGTACGAGGCCCTAATTTTCGGCGGTAGCTTGCGCCATTGCTCCTGACGCTTTACCTCCCAAAACTGATTCGAAACTTGGCGCTGTGCTGCCAGATCCTCGGTCGAGCCACTCACATGGGGCAGGACTGGCGGCGTGTAGCGGGTGACCTGGCGTGGTGCCGAGCAGATGTAGAACTTGCCAGTGAGGTGAAAGTATTCGCGCGATTTTGGCATTTGCCTGCAAGATAAGGAAGGTACAGGGTGAATTGAGCATAGCGCATCGGATGGAAAGAACCCACGGGTTTTCGAATGAAGAGGATGAGTGGAAGGAAACCTACCAGGCTAACTGTCCGACCTGGTTGCTTTGGATGGTCGAAAGCAGGTTCTGGTCCGTCATTGACATTTGGAAGAGCAAATAACGCCCATCCTCTTGCAAAAAGTCTTGGAACTGGACCGCCAGCAGTGTCACAGCTCCTAGTCGCGTCTTGGATGCCAAATGCAGGAAGACTACATACCATTGAGCGACAAGAACAGTGTAAGTTCAACAAGCACAAAGATACTCCGCTCCATCCCTGCTTCCTCTCGCCCACATAGGCGAGAGAATTGATAGTGCAGTTCAATTGGACTTTACCAGGATCATCACTCCGACCGTAATTGGTCTTGTGTGCCTTTTGAAGAACGTGGGTCCAGGCAGGCCAGCCGTCAGGGCCCAACAGATTTAGTTCCGAGAGACTTCTCTCCACGGCCTGTAGGGAGGTCATGAGGAATACGGATTAGATGGCTATTTCGTTGTTGAGGTCGGTTGGCGGGGTAATTGTCCAAGACGACAGCCTCCTGTGATTCTAAAGCAATGGGTGGTGGTCCTGATGCCAGATTTCTTGCGGCTTTTCTGTTCCGATGTGGATTCAACGGACGAAGGTAGGCGAGAAAAGTAGGTAATGGTGGAAGAAAAGAAAGAACGAGAAGGGTGTGCTCACAAATATTAATATTTCATTAGTGCTAACGGCGAAAACACAAAGGCCACTCCAAACGAGATGGTAATCTGTCTAGTCTCTCTATATCGATGTTCACTTGAATGTCCACTGTTGCACGGTGCATCCTCCGCTTGCTTGGGCGAGTCGGGGCAGCAATAAAGACCCATCACTAATAACGATGAGTGCGTCTTTAATAAGTATTCTCACAAGGATGGGATTTACGGAAAAGGCCATCTCTTTTAAACACCGTCTATAATATTCTTGATAATCGGCATCCGCTTGAGGAGCACCTCCGTCTTGGCATGCACAGCTTTGGTTCCCTTTCTTCCCGAAGAGTTCGTATTCATCACATTGACATCGTGACAGATGTTTTCCTTGCCCACAGAATTGGAGTCGCACTCGCTATCTCTGCTCAAGTCCGTATTCTCTTCCTCTTCCATAGCCGCAAGTAACGCTTCAGCGTGTTTACCCTTCGGCTCAGTCTTCCCAGGTCCACTCGCAATCTTGGTGGTCACCGCAGTATACGTCAGATGCGGATGTTGATGTTGTGCCTGCGGCGCCAATCTTAGGACCCACTTCTGCTGCTCCATCAGCTGCAGAAACCGCCCAAAAACTGCCGACCCTTGAAGAGTCCGTCTAGATCCAAATACAACCAGCTTGCGCTTCGCTCGCGTAAATGCCACATTGATGCGTCGCCAGTCCTTCAGCAACTCTCCTACATGCTGCCCATTATTTGAGCGCACTAGCGAAACAATCACACACTCCTTGTCCTTTCCCTGGTAGCGGTCCACTGTGTGGATATCCAGCAATGGCCTTGCTCGTATGAGCCTGGATAGCACCTTTAGTTGTGCTCGCAAAACTGAGATGACACCGATATCCTGTTCCGAAATCCCACCGCTGATCAATGCCTCAGTCAATTGAAGTACCAAGAGAGCCTCCGTCGGGTTCTGGGTCGAGTTACCAACCTGTACCTCGTATGCCGGCACGTCATCTGTATCAATGAAAATGACTGATCGTGATGGATTCAACGCTTGCTCAAGCCAGCAGGAATTCCCCAGAGAGAATCTACTGCAGGCAGGAGGACGCACTGTGCCATTATCGTCCGGTACGTATAGATCATTCTCTGGATGGCAGTGTCTCCTGAAGTTGTCCATGTCTGGGATGTCTAGAACTTTATGGGCGACTTGTTCTGTAGCACACTCGAGCTGATTCTCATACACCAGAGTGTTGGACAGGAGCATGATGTCCTCATTCATACGGTATTGCTGCTTTAGACTGACAACAGCCTCCGGGTATTGATCCGAGAGTATCTTGAACAAACTAAGATCAAATCCATCCTTCTTTGCCTCTGCATTTTTGACCTATACAGAAAGGAAGTGGGCGTTCAGCACATTGAAAATAATGGGGACCATGCTGTGTTCCATTGAGTACAACTGTCATAAGCCACGGTCAACTTACAAGAGGCGGAAGTTGATTGTGATCCCCAACGAGAACAAAGACATCGGCATAACGTATGGGCCCAAGGCATGCTGGCAGAGTGATCTGGGATGCCTCATCGATTATGCAGTAGTCAAAGCGTTTCTCTGTGAATAGGGGGCTATTATACTCAAGGAGAGCAACACATTGTTAGAGTCATATCCACATAATAAAGAACAATAATAATGACTACTCTCGCTCTGAAATACTTACTCGCCAATGCCTAGACATGTCGTCCCGACAACTTGACATCTTCCATAAAATTTATGGATAGCTTCTACAGTGTTCATAGGCGGTTGACTAAAGTCAGGTATCAGGTGCCGGATGTCCCGATGGATCCTATCCTTGTTTCCAAGTCGTACAACATTGATGTCGGACCGCAGCTTCATTAAAACGTTGTCAACAGCAGAATGAGTGTACGAGCTCAAGAGGACTGATTTCCCTTGCGCAACCAGCGTGTGTATAATTTGAGCAATCGTCGTGGTCTTCCCTGTCCCTGGCATGCCGAGAATAAGTGCATAGTCCCTTGCAGTCAGCACGGTTTCGATGGCATGTCGCTGATCGTCATTCAAGTGCAAGTCATTGTGCTGAAAGACTTTGACAGGTTCAAAGATAGGGCGTTCCAGATCGACAACAAGACGTCGTCGCTTTGAATCACCTCCGTCCGCGTCTGCACGAAACAGTTGCACCAGATTGTTCCTGGTCCTGGCGATCCCAGCTGCCATTTCATCCTTGTCGATGCGAAAGGTAGTCCCAAACTTTTGGAGATACGCGTGATAGCTGCCAAAATCACTTGCAGCCGACCTGGATGATGCGACAATGTCTATCAACCCTCTGTAGGACTGATTGCGTTCCTGGTCATAGCCATCCAGTCTGATCGGAGGGCCTAGTAGTGGTCGATCCAGGCCAACTGTAACATCGCTCATACTCATATCCTGGACTTGGCCAATCGCTAGAGCATAGTGCTGAGTTTCTGAGGAGACGACAATAGGGTCGCCGACAGAGATATTGGAGCTCAGCAGCGAATTGCCACCACGCAGAGTTTGTGATAGCGTTTGCTGGCTGAGAGAGGGTAAAGGCGCCTCAATTTTGAACCGATATCGATAGCGGCCATATCGTCCTAATGAGATATCATCGACGCCATCGTCCACGGCTTTGGCCCGCGGTTCGCTACTATGCAGCTGCTCGACAAGGAGCAGGTTGCTGAAGCAATCTCCTGCCGCTTGTCGCTCAGCTGACAGCATGGACCAAATCTGACTTTGGAACATGGCCACGTCGCCTTGCTCCAAGGTCAGCAATCGATTCCAATGACGAAGAAATGCTGCATGAGTCCCGTTCAGATGATCCGTAACCTCGTCGAACCTCGTTCCCAGACCAGACGACTCGGCATTACCGTCCTCAAGCAGCTTATGAAGCACACTGCATGACGAGAATGAAAAGCATCGCTCACATTTCTGTGCGTTCTTGGCCATGGGAGGCAACGTCAACATTTCCTCTTCGAAAACGGCAATTTCGTTGCGTTGCATGAGAATCGTCCTGATCTCATCATGGGGTGCTGGAACGCGAATGAACTCTCCTGTTTTTAAATAAAGTAGTAAGCCCCACCGCACATCCACATCTATTGAAGAATTCGTGGTTAGCGGGAAGAAATGGGCGATATGTATCCAGCTATTATCACCAAAAAGGTACGGAAGGGGCTATTTACCGTAGCGATCCGTCATAAGAAGGGTATAGAGCATGGTTTGAGCACGATGTGGTATGACGGACTTCCTGCCAGTTTTCAATTCGAAAGGGACCGTCAGGGTGCACATGTCGATCTCTTCGAAGCCAGCGGTCTTTTTGGTCGTCTTGACAACCACTTGGATGCTTGCATCGATCTTGCCCTTCAAGCCAAACATGGGTGACCAAATGTTTTCTTCGATGTCCAGGATCTTGTTAACACACAACACGTCTGACCTATTGCTAATTGCTACGCCAATGCTGTCCTCAAAAGTTCCTTCTGACTATTCATCATAAAAGATGCAAATATGAGAGAAATTTAGCAACTTCAAAATGGCTATGAACATTGCATACAGACGTTTCCGGAAATTAGCCTGTGTGACAAATAAAGCGGAACATACAGTGGGCGTAGCTCTTAGGTATCGTCTTGCCCAGTCTTGACAGGATGGTATCAGCCGCGATATGCTATCTCTAGCGATATCAATGGACTCATTGACAAGATACAGGTCATTCAGATGAGCTTTGATAATTTTATCAATGCAGGATTCCATGGCCGCAGTCGAAAAGTTGTTGGCTTGGAGAGAATGTTGAAACAGCTCGTGAAGCATTGTTCCATGAATGAGTGGCACTGTGGTTTTGTCAGTCTTTCGAGTCCGGATGTCAACAATCGGTTTTCTGATGCACGAAAAGCTCTCTGCAAGGACTGACGTTGGGATGAGAATGTCGGGTCGGACAATCAGGAAGCCCTGTGCATCGTTCACCATCAATTCTGGTGTATTCAGCTGGAAGAACAACGCATTGATGACGTGAACAATGTTGCCTATAAGGAAGAAGAGTTCTCTCAGTACCACGATAGGTAAATGGCGATCTTACGACCCTGTCTTGCTCTTACCTGGTGCGATCCGGCTGGAGCTCCAAGAATCCCGCAAGAATATTCGATAGTGAGTGCTGTCTTTCGTTTCCTGTGCCTCAAGGACCTACAATGAAAAAACTTTAGTATCAAACACAGGTGTGTCATTCAAAAGCAGCCATATAGTCAATTGAGCTTAATTCTTACCTTGCATCGCCCGATCCAGCGACTATCTATAATACCATCGCTGACCTCATTGACAAGAAAGCGCCTATACTTTGCGCTGTCTTTCCGAGGCATCGAAGAGAACTCCTAAAGGATAGTAACAAAAAGTTTTAGACGTCAATGTCACGTCTACGGCAGCTCTGCATCGACATACATTAACAGATAGAACTCTTACACTGAGGCCGAGATCGTCTTCGATGTCAAAGTCGTCTCCTAAATCCAACAGATCGTCAAAATCGTCTCTGGGGGACGCAACTCTTGCCTGATTCACCAGAGGAGTCGTTTCGGCACATTCTGAACTTTGCAGTGTGGAGCGTATGTTGATCATGCTGGCAGAAGACTCCATATCCAAGTCTAAAAGCTCCCGGTGGACGTGAGAGAAACCTCTGTTGGCACACGACCCCGCAGAACTGGATGGACAGGACACCGATGTCGTGTTTGAACCGGCGGAGCTCATAGACGTTGAGGACAGCTCCAACTGCGTGAGCTCCGCAAAGTCTTGGTCGTCCATATCCAAATCTGTGAAAAAGCTGTCGAACTCCCCAGGAGGGGATTGTGGCTGAGGAAGCCGGTCCTGCAATGGAATCCCCGATATGCTGTCCGATGCCGTTGGCCGGTCAAATACCCTGGCCCTTCGCCCTGAAAATAATGTACTGGCACCTGTACTCTGCCTGGAGCCCATTAGTGTTCGCATGGATAAAGATGGACCCCCACTGTCATCCTGTCCATTTTCAGAGGGCTCCCCAATGTTAGCGTTTATCTGCTCAATCATCTTCAACACATCCTCACGGCGCTTGGAGGGGGACGTCATGTATGCTGGAAAAGGTAGATTTGAGGAGGATACGGGTCTAGTTGTGCCTCCTCGTTCCTTGGCGCAGCCTAATTCGTGCGCGCTACGATGTCGGACGAGGCCTTGCCGATGCGCCGCCATGTTTTTGTGTCGATCGACAAGCTCCTTTGTGGGCGACTTTGGGTCGGGCCTCTCTAAATCTTCCAGATCGTCTTCTAGGTCAGGATCTAAGACAATACTGGATCCACGGATCGTGTTTAGCATATCCTTGATCCGATCTCTCGGTTCCTTATCCATTGATCGCAATGCTGCACCTGCAGAGGATGTCTCGTAAAGACGGCCCACGATCGATGCAATCTCTTCCTCATGCGAGCTGCCACTACTCATGGCCTCAAGCTTTTTCAGCGCCTCTGATGGCGGCGTCCTAACCCAAAAGACAGAATCCTGAGGTGAAAGACCGAGGGACTCCATGGTTGAAGATGAGCGTCGAGACTTTTCATTTGGAGTCCTGAAAGGGCTGGATTTTTCGTTGGATTTCTGAGAAACTGAGCTATTGCGTTGAGTGATATCCTTTTGAGGAGTGGTAGTGATGGTGGTACCTGACTGCGAGGATGAATCCGGGATAATTATGGGCTGAGTTGCTGGCCCTATCTGCTTCTGATTCGTCAAGTCGTCCACATTCTCAGTTTGCTCTGACAATTGCACAGCAGCAGGGTCTGAGGTGTCAGGCGGCGAAACTATCATAGATCGTGTGCAAAAAAAAAAACTCATAAGTATGCATGACAGGCAGCCAAAGCAGTATGCAAGTGGATTTAAACGAGAGCAGATCCAACCTGGCATGCGATCCTCAAATGGCAATGCATTATCGTTGACGGCTGATATTGCAGCTGCGGTGCGTTGAATGGTGAAAACACGAGCCTTTTCTGCCTTGAATCGCTTCAATGGCTTTGTAGTGAGCATTGACATGGCTCGTGAACCAGAATTAGCGAGGTATTCATCGTCATTGTCATCGATGATGATCCGCCGTGGCGCCTTTGCCCCAACTGCTCTTTCAGATAAAAGGGCTAATGCTGATAATGAGACGGATGTTGGAGCTGGCTTTGCAATGGGCGTTGAATGCAGTGTCGAGGGTTTGGTGGGTATTATTGATGCAGGAATAGCCGGCGCTTCCTTTGCAGATGTATCGGGTGGACGCGCTTTGAAGAAACTACTCAGACTCGCCTAAAAGAATCGCATCCGATTGCCATCAATTAAACCACATTTAACACCAAGCATGGCGCTCCTATAATCCTTCATAGCGGTGCTGTCTCCTACCTGGCTCAGTTTAGTGTCTGTCCGAGTACCCAGCGTTGAGCTGCTACTACTCTTTTTGAACATACTAGTGCTGCCAAAACTCTTGCTGCTACTGCTGTTGATGGTATTAGCTTTCTTCTTCGGCATAGTGGGCATCACACAGTAGTTGCACTTTGCACACTGGTGCTAGCTGGCGTTCTTATGCGATGCAAGGCTGGCCCTGTAATAGCTATTGCCTTGGTCAGCCAGGCAAGTGCGTGAAGAAGGCGTAGTGCTGGCGCTGCTGTGCCCACTTGTTACCGGTGGACGTCAAACAAGTGATGTTGAGGTGAGCTCCAGGACGACACAAGCAGGCTGTTGACAAAAATGAGATGTATGTGACTGCAGACACGACCCTGTTCCAAACGCCACAAAGATCGCGGATCGTGCACAGCACTGCCACTAGGTTGTTCCCATCACTCGCCATGGCATCCCTCGTCTCCAGATCCAGAGTGAAGTCGACTGCACTTGCTCGTGTGTTGCCCGCAAGGATCAATCCAGTATGCAGAGTCCGTGCATTTCGCTCCAGTAGGGCAGTGGCAACCATGAACCCGAGCCTTATGTCTGGACAGGAGAACGAGACCACCACAAACCAGGAGTCCATCTTTCGCTACTGCGAGCTGCACTCCACCTCTTTACCCGATAAACACGCAACGCTTCATGCCAATTCTGTCACTCTCTACGCTGGGGCAGCTGACAAGGCTGTTTCAGCGCTTCAAGGTCAATTACTGCAGATGTTGATGCGTATAACAAGGCCATATATGGTTCTCGAGCTTGGATGCTTTATGGGATATAGTGCCATGGCCATGGCGGATGGGATGCCCAGGAATTCGAAGCTGTATACATGCGAGAAAGACGCTAAAGCGGCCCAACTTGCGCGCGAATTGTTTATGCGGCATGGTTACGATCACTTCTCTCCAGAGCACACGAGACAGCCTGTAGAGATCGAACTCCTGGAAGGCGATGCAATGTCCAGTCTCAAGGTCCTATCCAGGAACAAGATCAAGTTTGATGTTGTGTTTCTTGGTAAGACGCCTGTCTTGCGGTCGCCAGGTTGTCAGCTTTCATACTGAGAATGCCTGCCCAACATTCTTGATAAGAGACTTCTCCCTGATTTGTTGCATGGGCTATCATCCATTCTGTAGATGCCGACAAGGGAAGCTATGTCAAATATCTGAACTTTATACTAGATCATAATCTTTTGGCACCCGATGGCTATATCCTTGCCGACAATGTACTCTTTCGAGGTCTGGTGCTACAGTCCAATGATTCACAGGCCGGGGCATCTTCACTGCCTCCAACGCCTCCGCCATCGCCACCATTGCCGCCACAGTCAACCAATTCTCAGTCGGGGAACAGAAAGGAGAGCTCAAAGTTCCAGCGGACAGCCAACCAGATGGACAGCTTCAACAAGTATGTCAAGAATGACCCACGCGTCTCTGTCGTTGTCCTTCCTGTCTTTGATGGCCTGAGTGTTATTATGAGAAAGAACATACCATGACAACAAACGCGGTTTATTGTATTCGAATAAAGTATGGCATTTCAACCACAATAGTTCATGGCAGCGAGCTTAAAAAGTCTCACTTGCTTGTGTACATGAGAGAGGACAAAGCTGCCTCGCTCATTTGCAACTCTTTAATGCTATATTCTTATCGGTTTCGACAGCTACAGTAGGATACGTCTCATTCGCCTTAGTAAGTGATGGTCGGAGGTGATAGTCGGAGGTGCTGGTGCATGGCTCATATCATCTTCGGAAATTGCTACTTGTCGACCGGTACGTAACTTCCATCTCCGCCTCAGATAGCCTTCAGCACGCGACTATCACTGCTTATAGCTCAGCTTGCACACCTTGTTTGTCTGCCAATGCATTGGTGCACTTGTTCCTACCGTTTGGCTCGTCTCTCTCTATGCGTTTATCAAAGATTACTATTGCTCTATTCTTTTCTGCTATCCGGTGTCCCCTACCTTCGCTGTACGTCCCCACACTCCTAAGACTTCTTGGGATCTTCTTCTGCCTTGTCTTCAGTCTTCACTTTGTGCTGTCTTTTTTTCTTTTTCGGCCCAATGCTGCTTCTGATCCATTCCTTCCTGGGCCTCCCTTTACTGCTGATCTTAATGGGGTCCTGCATATCATAAATACCACCACCGTTCCCTGCGATTTCGTCGTCGAGCATGTCGATCACTTTCATAGCTAGCTCCGGAACGAAAGCTGCCTTTTCTGCCATCTTCATTATTCTCCCAAAAATTTCACCGTACAGCTTCCTTTAGGATAGTACCTTTGGGCTTGGTCGCACCGTTCTCATTGAGATGAGGAAGTTGTCGATGGTTTCCATGTAATCTAGTGGGTGCACTCTTTTAGCGATGCTAATTGCTTAATTGTAGGTGGTGGAAAACACGAATGGCTCCTTACTCAAGTCGAACTTGGCATTGTCTTGATGGTACTCGTGAAACCATTTCTCCTCGATAAGGATTATATGGTACCTGCAGTTCCTATCAATCAGTATCACAGTAAAAAGGTGACAGCAGGCTAGATCAGTGTTTGAAGGAGAAGGCGTGTGCAGGGGTAGGACCAGGGATTTGCAAGGCGCGAAACGTCATAGACGCACCCAACGCTGCTTTCTTCAAGCTGAGAGCATCGCGGTTAATAATGCCCTGCGGTGGTCCTGCTTGGCTGCACTCTCGACCTAGGCACAGCAAGCAAAGAGCACATATGGCAGTGGAATAAAATTGGCAAGGAGATGCATAAACTACATGCAGCAAGGTAAAAATAATAAAAAACAAGAGAGTTGCAGTAGATTCTCCTAGTTGGATGTCCTTCGCATGGACAGAGGCTCCATAAAACAAAGATTCTCTCATTTCGGTCCCCATCTGATGCAAGTCAAAGGTGCCAAGGTAACACTAATTTCTGCTGTGGATCTCCTCAAACAAGGCTTTGCACCGCAACATCTGCTTGCTGTTTGTCTTGACACGCCTGAGCTTGAAGTACCTTGTGGCCATCGCTTCCTGTGATACCTTCTCTGCCGCTGCCTGGAACACTTATAATGGGGAAGATGTCGGATCCAGTGACGACTTCCGGCTACTGTGAATCTTCTCAACTCTCTTAGTCGACTGTATACCAGCTGTAAAGTGTGCTGAGACCCAAGGCTAGGCTCAGTGCTCACGGCGATCAAAGAGTCTTGAAAGATACCTTGTTAGAAGCTGAACCCCTGTGTTTAAAGGGATCCTTCACCTACTTCGGCTTGTACCCTCGCGCATGATCGCACTCTAGAATAACTGTGTTCATGAGAGAAGTAGATTTATTAGCTACTGAACGCCTGTTTACAAACGCGAGTTGGCTACAAAAAAAACGCTTGTGCTCTGGGCCATTCTTAAATAGAGTCCTCATCAGAAAGTCGCGATCCAATATATTGTGATAGAATGAATACCTTCCTTTTTGGGGGTGATACACTGTACATGCGTTAAATCACGACCACATTCATTGAATTGAGAATCTACTCTAAAAATATATTGGGTCGGGACTTTCTGCTCATTACTATCCCTTTCATCCACGAGATACCCGCTGCCAAGTATTGACTATGACGCTTGACCATGAAGCTTTGTACATGCTTAATCTTTGAACTCTCAAAAAATAATCTGCAACCTGTGCTACTGCTGCTTGGATTGGGACCTTTCACTGTAGCAAAGGTAGAACGTCTAACTTTCTTTTTTTTTTTTTTGCACGTTCTAACGCTTTTCTCTTTCGTCTCTTATCAAGGAAATCGATATAGAAATCGTTACTGCTATTGTGTCTAGGATGAACAAAGGAGACAATCTCAAGGTTTGAACCCGATCTTCATATTGCGTCCAAAGAATCAAAGTTCCTGCTCCTCTCCTGCCTGTTGTCGATCTTTGAAGAGACTTGTTATTTACATGAAGAGTTGCCAGTCAAGGATAGGAATAATGCTCCCTGTGTCATCCAAGTAGACTATGCTCTCCGAGTTTGGAGGCGACTTCGCTAGAGCGCATCATTTTCCAGTATCTGACACTGGCTTCGCTGGGCCTGAGTTCCACAATGATACATATGTTTGAAAGGTTGGCCAAATCACGTCGATGGGTCTGCACGGTAAGCAATCTCCCTGACGGGGTCGGCGACAAGATTATATCAGATGTAAGACGAGGCTATTCTTGGGCCTCCATTGACAGCCCGAAGTTCATGTTTATACATATACATCATGTTGCTTAAGGTACTGATGTTCAAACACGTCTGTCATGCGTTTAAAGTACTCTACTGGCCCTTGGGATGGCTAGCTGATGCTGGGGTTAGCTGCTCCAATGTACCGTCTGCTGCGTGACCAGGCGCAACCTAAAGTGCATCGCGCCGGCGCTTACGATTTCTCACTTTGCGGCCTAAATGATACGCCACCTCTATCCGCAGAGTTTTTTTTGGAATAAATAAAAACTCAGTAATGGTTGACTTTATTTGTAATGAGAGTGCGTGGAATTCAGTCAATGGTAAACGACCCTCCATAGAGTTCTGCTATCAGCCGCTGAGCAACGCTGACTACTCTGCTAAACGCATCTGACCAGGTAATGAGGACTCGAACATGCTTAGGATTTAGGTGTGTAGGTGCAGCCTTGCTCTCGTTGACTTGGATCCTTCGTCGAAGATACCGAAGCAGCAAGCGTACCCTCTCCAGATCCCTTTCCATGAAAATCACCCTCGTAATAAAGTCCGAAAATGAGCGCACATCTTCTGGGTTTGGGCCTTCGTCGTACAGAATCGAACCAAAAGCGGCGTCAGCCGACAAGGATTGGTTGTCCTCAGCAGTGCTATTTCCTTCCAGCAAGGTTGACTGCACCCACTCTGCTAACATCTTTCGCAGTTCATCCACCTCGCGAAGGCCCATGAGGGTAGGGTGCTTTGGAAGAACACGTTCTGAGTTCAAAACGCTGCCCTCCATGCTACTCCCTGCAGACATCGCCGTAGTTTTACGTCTCGCCTCCGCCGCGAGCTCTGCTTGCCTCTGTCGGTGCTTTGCTACCTCCAACCTATGTGCAGCTTCCACTTCAATCCGGATATCTGGAGGTAAAGCTGCAAGAAAGTCCGGATCTAGGTTAGGAGTTTGGTTAGGCTCAACAGCGGCCCGATATTGCTCGCTCCCAGAACCTTCTCCATCCCATTCACAATGGTCTGCTCTTCCAATGATGGATTCGCTATCACCATGACTTGCGCTTTCATGGTCCTTCCTGCGGCCTCTACCACGACCCCTGCCACGACCTCGTCCACGACCAAATCCACGACCAAATCCACGAGTCGCACCTCTGCTGGCTCCTCGGTTACTTCCTGCATAATTGGTGAGAGGAGACTGAAGCAATAAGGGCCTTCCAGGCACAGCATTGCCATAATTTGAGCTAGTACGCACAAGTTTCCGAATCAATTCATGGTTCTCAATGATATGGGTATATTCCTGCTCGATTTCTGCGCGAATCTCTGGTGGCAATGCTTGAAGCACGGATCTGTCCAGCTATATCATCAACGTAACCAAACGTCGGACTCAATTAGTGCATATTAATAGGTCACCCAAAGTACCAACGAAGAATATGGTAAGGTTGAGAGCAAAAGTGCTGACCTTGGAAGGTGATGGGAGAATGCTATCCATCATAGACTGATTCCTAATAGTAGCATGGCTGCTTTCAGATTGTCGTTGGTCGGCCTGCTGCTTTCCAGCGTACTCATTGAGCGTGCCTCGTATAAGTGATGTTGATAAGGCCATGAGCTCCGCTGGATCCAGCTGTGACCGAGACGGCATGGTCCGCAACGTCGCAGGCGTCTCATTATTCTGCAAGCTCTCGACATAATGTGTAGCATGACCCTTACACATAGGACCCACTGAGTCTGTAGGCTTGTTCGACCCTGAAGGCTGGCCAACATTGAGAAACACAAGTCGATGGTGGCGCGAGAGCTCCGCTTGAATCTCTGGCGGCAGCTCGTTGAAAGTGTCTCTATCAATTTCCATCGTCGAGTCTTGATCTGTTTTCTTGTTCTCTGTCGCAAGCACTGACGGGGCTGTGGCCGACGAGGCTGTGCTACCCTCTACGTGATCCTGAAATCGAATATTTACGCTACTAGCCGGTAGAGTAGCACGGCGCTTTTGCTGAAACATGGCCGAGGTCAGAGTGGTTTGGTTCATGGAGTCTTGGGGCGCAAACGCAGACTTTGGGACCGTGCTTACGACGTCGTTATTGAGTTTTAGCATTTGGATTCCTAGCCCTATCATGAATAGGAAGCCCAAGGTGATGTGGTAATTAGAAAAGGTTTGCCAAAGCAACCTATCAAGCGCAAAACATAACAATTGAGCCTTGCCTCTTAGATCTAGAACACTAAACTTAAAGTATTGGAGTAAATTACAGGCTTCTTTTGCAATCAGCTCTGGATCGTCAGTGTACACGGGAAGCTGGCCTGTTCTAGCAAACTGGTCGACAGGACCATGTCCCAGATGTTTCCACGTTCCCGCGACATACTCTTTTCTTTTCATAACCTAGTCGAACACAGCAAGAGGGAGCGATATAATACAGCTTAGAAAACAGTGCGTGGCATAATGCGCCCCATCTAGTTTGGAAGCCATCTTGCAATAGAAAACAGTGCAGAGAGTAGCCGTACCTTGACCACCACGGATTTTGCCTTCCTGTCAATTTCTTTCAGACGCTTGCTCACTTCCTTCGCGAGATCTCGTAAAAAGATATCGACTTGATCCTGGTTCTCGAACCTTACCCCCCATGAGATCTCGGCACTGACACTTTGGCGAGCCTTCTCACGGTCCGAAGAAAGAGTCGTCTCGTCAATCCCGCGACAAGAGTTATAAAGCATCTCACCAGTCCTCATCCCGCAAATTCTTTGCAATTCCTCCCTTGAAATCTGTTGCAATCCGTACAACGTGCTCACAGAAAAGCGCTCCTGCAAGTCCTGCGTAATTTTGTATCCGACTCCAGGAAGATCCTTAACGCTGAACTCTTTGAGAGCCTTCGATTTCTTTAGTGGGATAGAATCCTGGGTGTGAGACTGAAAATCGTCTTCGATGCTCGAGGCTATAAGGGGCAGATCCAGGTCTAAATCCATCGCTGGCAACACAGGGCCTTGTAGCTCGCGAAGCGTTCGATCCGATCCTGGAGCACTTGGCCAAATGTATTGTCCATGGGGTTTGGCGCGCTTTGTGGCCAGTTTTGCAAGGAGAATGTTGGGTCCGATTCCAACGCTGGCGTGGCAGCCTGCCGCCGAGAAAATCTCGTTTCGAACACGCTCAGCAAAGGTCTCAGGGTCTAACCTTATCGAACTCGCTCCGTGCTTGCTAAGCTGGACATGCGGGCCCCAGGACAAGGTGCATTTGGATGTCACGTCCACCAGTGCCTCATCCACAGAAACTGCTTGTAGCTCATCCGCGTAACTCAAAAGGATCTTGTAAAACTCAATAGAGGTGTCCTCGTATTTTTGGAACTCATAGGGTACAACTAACAAGTCGGGGCAAAGAGATCTGGCGCTAAGCAAGTGCATGCCGTTCTTGACTCCGAATTCGCGGGCAATATAGTTGCATGAAGCAATCTCGCTGTTGGAGGTCGAGCCCCCAAATCCATGTGCTACAGCGATGGGCTTGCTTTGAAGCTCGGGATTGCCTCTCGTGGCGACAGAAGCGAAAAAGCAATCAAAGTCAATGTGCCTGAGCATCATACAAGGAAAAACAAATGGATGAATAACGCCATTCATGGTCATCAGCCATGAAGACAAGGGGTTGAAACAAAGCTTTCCATACATGATTGTCTTGTTTTTGACATTAGACGAAGGAGGTGTCTTGTGCTTCTGGAACTCTGCTGTAATATCTCTCAGCTTTGATTTCCACGTAGAAAGATAGTGAAGGCGCGAGGACTGATAGAACTTTTCTACGAAGCCAGGCTGAGTGGATGAGTTGAGACGATTCCACGGTACAGAGAGCTCAATCAGCGTAGGATGTCGGTTGACCGGTGCAGCAGGGACCTGTAGGGTCCCATTGCAACTCGTTTCCATGGCCTTAAAATTTTCAGAGATGGCAGAGTCTAGTAATGCGGCATCCAGACGCGCGTGCGGATTCAGAGCGGGAGGTATGTCGATCGTCAAAAGTTCAATGGATCCAGCAGTTGAAGGGTGGTTTGACTGATCAAATTTCTGTTCACGTCGGCTGTTTGTGTGTGTATCGCTGGCAAGTTCAGGGTTCTCGTTTTGCGGCGTCAATTGCAGTTCCAGCTGGCCAAAATCTAAATCGTCAAAGAAAAAATCCTCGTCCTCCTTTATGATCCCAGCGGACGGTTCCCCATCATCAGAAGCCATGTTCGGATCCTGCCCGTCATGGACGTTAGTGTGCTTCCAATTTGCTGAATCGCTATTGAATTGAGTCGGTTGGTCCCGTCGCCATGCCTGATGTTTATCTAGAGACTTGGGTTCCGCGCTTTTCGTCATCTCTGCTTTGTGATGATTGAGCTCACCATACTCCGAGGGCGGAAAATTCTGTACTGGCTCTGAAGGTTGGCCATGCGACTGTAAGAACGTCTTGGAGGGTGATGTCTGGGATGTACTTCCGAACGTTGAAAGTGAGTTTGGCACCCTAAGAGCACTAAAATTGTGCCAGGAGAGTAACCTATTGGCCTTGACGCTTTCTGTAATCCACTCTGGTTTAGCGACTTTGTATTTACTAGTTGACATCAAAAGACGTTTTTTTTTTTTTTTTGGTTTTTTTGGTTTTTTTTTTTTTGGTTTTTTCAGAACACCATGCTGTGAGTAATTTAGCTTCAAGTCTCTCGTGTTAAATCTGCTTTCGTTCAAAGATGCTGTAGTACCGGAACTCTTTCATCTTAGCCTGTGTAAGATTGGATGCGATGATATGCGTTGTCGTGCTCTTTGATACTAATATCAATAATCAACAATCTATCAATCGTTCCGTGCCGACCAGAAATGGATTAAGCAGCAGCGTGGGTTGGTGAAAGTGATTTGCTATAACTTACAGTATTGCCGAAACACTCCACCTGCCAATCAAAGGAAGAAAAGGAGAGGAAGCAGTTCATAATATTAGTAGGGTTTTAAGGATTCAGTAGCTCTTTCAAATGCAATCGCATGTTTTCATCCGCGTCCAACTCGCTTGCCTCGTTGAACGACCATATTCCTGATTTCTATTTGGTCCGAAAATATGATCGTGAAGTGTCAGTGTGGACCTGCTTAGGTGTATACATTGAATCGACTGTTGTTGCTGAGAACGGTCTTGTTACCATGAATTGGCGGGTCTGTGTAGCCGTTGACATAGACAACAATCCCTTCGAATATCTGGGACAAGTTAGGGCCCGCTTGCGCCGCGCTAATGAGTGCAAGGCGTTGATTAGATTCGCCAACTGCCATGGTTGCTTATTCTTATCAAAGCTGGGACTTGAACATACATTTCCTCCTGCTGCAGCTGGAGCTTCTGCTTCTTGTGCCGAAAGTACGTCGCAAAATCGCCATACTGGATAGCCCTGTACGGGTCCTCTTCCTCCTCGCGCTCCATGGTCAAAGGATGAGGGAATGGGCGATGTTGAGGAGGAGCGTGACGTGGTTAATCTCAAATACCAGCATCATAGGCATCATCAAGATTATCAACATCCTCTGAGTTCCATCCCACTGGGACAAAAGCGCCCTCCCCGCACTCCTAGCGCCATATAAATCATCTGTATCCTTCTTTCATAGCACGCCTTTATACGCTTTTATATCCTGCTCAGCCATGGACTTCCTCCTTGTTCCAAGAGCTCTGCCTGATGAGCCAGCCCCAGGGACCCAACAGCCGGTACCTGGCTCGGGCACCTGTGAACTCATGGGCCCCTTCGCCATCTTTGTGCAACTGTTGCTCGCTACCATGGCCTTTTCAACTCTTATCTTCAAACGCAGCAAAGAGCGGCCGATGCGGCCGCTTAGAATCTGGTACGAGTTGTACTTTGAACCCAGGACCAAAGAGTATGCAAGGGTCAATTGGTAAAGGACATTGAATTAACCTGGCAACGTCTTTGTTTTGACCTTTGCTGGTGCGAACGTGTAGGCTGTACGATGTGAGCAAACAGATCGTTGGTGGCGTTGTTATCCACTCACTCAATCTTTTGGCAGCAACGCTCTTTGGTCTGTCCTCAGAGCGAAAGGATTCCAATCCCTGCATATGGTAAGATCTGCAGATTAGACGATACCCCAAGTGCCTTTTGTGAAAGGGCTATGTTTTCTAATGCTTTGTTATGTTTTCTTTGACCACGCTGGCTTTTAGGTACTTTTTGAATATTTTTTTGGACACGACCTTTGGCGTTGGAGTGCTCTACCTCTTTCTCAAGGCGGCTGACAAGTACTTCAGCCATATGCGAATGGAGGGTCTGAAAACAGGAGATTATGGCAACCCTCCTCAATTTGAGCGTTGGTGGAGGCAAACTCTTGTCTTCTCTCTCGGCCTTGTGGTGATGAAGATTATCGTTGTGATTGTTCTGACCTGGGTAAGACTTCTCTCCACTACCTCTTATACTCAGAGCTTTGTTCGTAATGCCTTCATTGAACCGATTTTAACCTCTATATAATGCTTGTCATTGACCTGCTAGCCCTTCCTCTTCACCTTTGGAGAATGGTTCCTTGGCTGGACGCTGCAGAATGAGAAGTTGCAGATATTGTTTGTGATGTTGATATTGCCCTTGAGCATGAATATCGTGCAGTTCTGGGTCATTGACTACATTCTCAAGCAGAAGACTACGGAGAAGTTCCCTATCCGGATAGACGAGGACGAGGAAGACCTTTACGGACTTGTTGGGGGTCTGGAGCAGAGCTATGACGAGGATGGCGACGAGTTGGATGAGAATCCTCATGGTGCGGAATCCAGCGGGAACCGCAGCCCAACATCGCACCATCAACTGTCGGAGAGACTGGACATAGAGGAGGACTCCGTACCGAAGCATCATGAATATGAGTATGTCCGTTCTGCAATAGGATCCACCAGGTGACCTTCCTGCAATAGGCAACCCACATACCATAGATCAGCTCTAATAAAGACTTGTATAGTATGATTCTTCTCATTTTTAATACATCCGCGTTTTATTGACTCTTTTTTTCTTTTTCTTGATCTTTTTATACCTTCTTAGGCGATGGGAGCATTACTCCGGAATGTGGGTGGCAGAGGTCTACCTTTTTTTTATCGGTTTTCAATTGTTTTTGGGCTTTTTTCTCTTTTTCTTTCATTCTATGCCCTGCTCGTCTTCCCGCTGATGAGGTTGAGAACAGGAACAAATGACAGCGGCAGGAGGGAGATGATACGGGAGGACAAAAGGCTGGAGGAAAGGTGGGCTGGAGGGGGGTGTCACGAGATGCCATGATCTTATGCCGGTGGTGTTACTTTGATTTAGAAAGGTCACGGAAGGCGGATTCGATACAGGCCTTGATCTCGCGGTAGCTGACAATTAAGCACGAGAGCTCGTCTCTTGACATTAAGACGATCTTTTCGTCAACTCCGGCGTCAAGCTACGTATTGGATAGGTAACGATATGTAGCCAGGATTAGTTGGATCTGCAATGCACGCCATAACAAAGAATCGCTTTTTTTTTTTTTTTTTTTTTTTTTTTTTCATCTGACTCGTACTTTGTTTAGGCAGGCGAGCACATGGGCAACGTCCAGAACTGGCAATCCTGCTTCGTCGACTTGGTGAAAGACATAGTCTCTGAACAACTTAATGATATAACGGTCTCCGGTCTCTGACCAAGCAGGATCCATGTCGAACTCAGGTCTTTCATTGATGAAACCAAATTTCATCAAGAGCCTTGTCAGTCGGCCATTCTCAAGTTCACGACTCAGGTCGCTCTCGAGCACGTCATTGGCGTTCTGCACGTCGTTGATCTCCTGCAGGACCCTTGATCCGAGCATGGTGATGACTTGGTCGATAGTCTTCATGGGTGTGGGTTGGCTCATCAAGAATAGAATCACGTTCTTCATATCCTGCGTGTAATTCTGCGAGATGTAGTCGATCGACTTTTGAATGTTATGCGTTGCCGTCAAGGACTTGCAAGCAAGAGTCATCATGAGTTGTCCAAGATTCAAGATATCGTCTTGTTGCAGATGCGCAATATTAGGCGCCGAGTCAAACGTCAGCATGTCCATAATACCACAGCAGTTAAGGCGAATTCTAGTAGCAACAACAAATAAGATCGTGCGTTAGTTCAGTGCAGCTTAAGCGGACAAATTTCCTCGTGCTCCAGGGCATCCTTGCGATTACCTATTCTTGCCGGTAACAAGGATTTTGGTAGGATCAATAAGACGAGCAGCCAGTCCAGCCGAATGAATCTTTTTAAGCGCAGACGTGAGCTGAATCAGATACGACCAAAGAATTCTCTCGTGGATGTTGTGTTCAGTGTTCTTGGAGGCGCCCAAGACTACCTGGGAGGCCAGTTGAGCCTGAGGACCAAAGTGGACGTCGTAAAGAGTCTTAGAGCAGGGGTGGTAGTCGTATACAAAAATGAGAGAGTGGTCCCCAAATGCCTTGCTTGTGAACGCCTCTCGAATCGAGACAATATTGGCGTGTCGTATCCTGCGCCATCCATCAATAGTCTGCATCGCCAGTTCATTCGTCAGCCTGAACCCTTCGATTCGGCGCAGGGCATACGTCCGGCCATCTGCGCTGCACATGCATTTATAGACGCTGGATTGATAACCAAAGACCTCTGTCGACTTCTCTTGTGTCAGATCCAGCGGGTAGAGCGAGTGGTATTCATGCAGTTCCTCGGGCAGACCGTACTCCTGGGAACTAACTGTTTGTAAGATCATCTCATTCTTGCGATGCAGCTCCTCGCGAAGTATGTCGGAGATGAAGAATCCGTGGATCGTCTTTTGATGAGGAGATAGATTGGAAACGTGGGGTAGAGGAGTATTGTACAAGTGATATTGGAGCTATAGTACATTGAACGGAAAAAAAAAATATGGCCAGCATGAATAAATTTATGCCCACGAAAAAATCAAAGCCAAGCAAAGGCATCACTAAGTAAATATCCTTACAGGTTGGTGAAGCATGGCCCCTGATCCTTGGTAATAGTAATTATTCACCGAACCTTCACCATAGTAATTTCCCTGCATTTTTTAACCATTGATGGCTGTGGTGAGTACCGCTATGTTAGACCAACATAGCATGCTTCTCATAATCGCATATCGGATAGTTGAAATACTCACATCGCTGATACTAAACTGCGAAAAATTGCCCGACAAGTTGTTCATACTGCTCATCAAGTTATTTTGCATTGTTGAAGCATAGGGATGTGCCCTACGACCACGGCAAAAGGAGAAGTGGGGTCGTTAGCAAAGAATTCTCAATGTATCGGAGCAGCAGAAAACAGGAGCGGAAAACGTACATTTGACGTGGATCAGCATATGCGGCTCCGGACAACGAGCTGGCATCTACATTTACAAGTTCAAAGGTTAGAGGGCAAAACATTCACGCGTTTGATGTAAACAGCAATATCCAGTTTCATCCGTACCCTGAGAGCCCTTTGGCACAAATTCTGGAGCGTCTACTTTCACGGATCCTGAGCTGAGGTTTGATGGCTTGAAGATCGGAGAGTTGACATGAAGCTTGGCCTTGGAACTGATAAAGAGTTGAAGAGAAGAGGTACCAATCCGAATCAGGGTGTTGCCATGTCGGCAGCCGATCCAAAACCAAAAGTTCGTGTCCATCTGAAATCCGACGACACGTCCTGCATGATCTATGCGCTACTTACATTTCAGGACTCGACATGGACGCTGCAGACTTTCCCTAGGATGATAAAAACAAAATGGTCAAACTGAGGAACGTTCCGTAATTGAAGGACGATACAAAGTAAGAGCAGGCCGATGCGATATTTACTACGTCATGATTGAACTCGCAGCCTTTGCCCTCAAACTTGCAATATCCATGGATGACAATGTTGCGGCAGGTACGAGACTTGTTACTGTTCGTCAGGGACACGGCTGTTTGCGGCGAAAGAATGCGATAGACAATCGGTCAGAGAGTCTTCTTGTAAGGTGATAAAGAGAACACTTGCGAAAAAAGAAGTGTCCTGCACTGTACGTTTGGTAGAGGAGTTGAGGCCCGAAAGTCCCTTTGCTGCTGAGCCGACGGCTTTGTTGGTCCAGGCGTTGGTTGTTGAGGTTGAAGAGGAGCTATTATCACCTCCGTTAGTGTTCCCTGGTGGGGCCATAATAGGGATAGCAGATGCCATGGCAAAGTAAAAGATGGATTACAAGCAAGAAGTATAATCGCAAAAATGAACTATTGTTTTTGAAATGCTAACGACGCGGCAAAGGAGAAGATGTAGCTGGGTGCAGATCGGCTGCTAATCCATCGGCAGAAAGACAGATGAGAAAAAAGAAAAGGAGTGTTCAAGTAGACGACATGCACCAAAAAAAAAAAAAAAAAAAGCTGGATGCTCTTCATACGCCTTCCGTATTTGGAAATAGCCAAGCAAGTGGCTTTTGGAGGCACATGACACCCGGGCCACATTCACGGGGGCGGTGTCTGATATTACTACACGCTTGCAATGGACTATACGATCTGCGCTCATAGGATTCTTGTAAATACAAGCTCATTAAATGAGAAGTTATCTATTTGACAACCCGGGTTGCCATGCATTATTTGCCAACCCCCCTCTAATTGACCGCTGATGCTGCCCACTGCACACTTGTCCACTGCAGGCTGCACTAACTCACATCTGCTTGCTCTTGCCATTCCTCCTCGCTGCCCCACTACTCCTCCTCCTCCTTTACCCCTGCTGACGAGTCATTACACTAGCCTACCCACATCCTCGTAGCATGGATCCAGCTGTACTGAGTAGAGCTGAACTGACCGCTGCCTAAATCGCCGCTGCAGTATATGTGGATTCAGCAGGCGAGCCAAAATAAGTCTCGTAGAAGCAGTCAATTGGGGGGAGGGGGGGGGGGGGGGGGGGGGGGGCAAATAATGCATGGCAACCCGGGTTATCAAATAGATAACTTGGGACTGTGGTGTAACATGCCAGAAAGGAGCAGAATGTTTGCAGTGATATACTCTTCAAACACAAGCTCACATGATCTCCCTGCGCAAGTCATCTAGCTTGAGGGACACGGAGTTCAATACTTCCCGGCGACAATCGATTCCAGCCCATTAGCAGCGACATATTCCAGACTTCACCCTGGCTGAACCACAGGAATCCCTCATTGGAGAGGACACCATGGACAGCTCTCGTGAGCATACCCCCGAGAATGGGCCTCATGCAGCCTCAGGTACCATCAACACCGGCAGTCCGCAGGAGGAGCATCTGGACCCTCAGCGGAGCATGCCCGACGGTGTCCTGGAAATCACCCTCAACCCTCTCCCGCCCAATACTTCGAGATCCATCTTATCGTAAGGAGCACAACAGCCAACTGGTGCCAACTGGATCACGCTTACTTGCGAAATGGAGTACTTAAAGTGCCTTCTCTTTATGTGATAGTCCTGCACAGCTGCAGCAATTGCAGCAACAGCAACAGAACCGAAGACGACGTCCACCAGCGTGGATCACTGGATTGGTAATGGCGCCATAGAAAGGCCCATATCAGCAGAAGAAGGAGTGATTCTTGCAAAATATCAATTGGATCTGACCGATATTGCCTACCTCTATGTAAACCGATAGCCATATCCTCATCAACGGACTCAGTCCCTTAGCACCTCGCGCCCATTACGACAGCAGCAGTCGTCAGTCATTCGCCATGTACGAAATCACACCCATTCAGATGCACTTACACCACACTCCGCCTCCTCAGCAGTGCCAGACCCTACAGCCATACCATCGTCTTCAGGGACAATGTCTCCCTCGCCAGTTGCTTCGCCAGATCAACAGTTGGTGACCAAGTTAGTATCAGGCTTCACACTAGACTGATCAGAGTATTTGACAGCTCATTGCAATAGGCACTCCTGGGCTGATACGATCCTTATTGAAATGAATATAGATATCTTCGCCAATTCCTTCAAGGCTGTGGAGTGTCATCATGCCAAACCCCTTTGTGCGCCTCGAACCCAAATTTCCCGCTCAAAGATTCAAATGAAATCGCGGCGAAGGCTGTCGAGATTGCTGCGAGCGGCACAGGCGAGCTATGCCCTCGCTTGGAAAGCAGGCCACCTTCAGGCGGAGCACAGCGCGAGATTGTCGCAGGCAAGTCATCGCCTTTTTTGTATTTTCGTAAAGATATCAAACAGGCTATATAATGTTTATACGAAAACTGAAGTAGCGACTTCTTATTTGGTGAAAATAGACTCATCTGTGGACTTGGACATTGTATCCTTCAAGAACCTAATTGACCAGTGCAGAAGGGAACAGTCCTACGGAGCGTTACTCTCACGGTTACAGATCGTGTTCTCGTCTCTTTCTCGACTTTCCATGAGCTTTGCCGATGTGAGTGATAGCGATTGAGGTCTCCAATCCTTATTCTCGTGCTTCGCGTTATTGATGAGCTGACGACATCCCACCACCCTCTTTTTTTTTTCTTTTTTTCTTTTTCTTTTTTCTTAAACATTAGCCCACAATGGATCCCAAGAATCCACTTTCTCTGCTTCTCTCAGATGTCCAGCAGGCTTATTGGTTACTACGCGAATGCCCACCTGAAGCACAAATTCTTATTGCCTCAGCTGCAGAGCGAATTATGAGCTCTGTCTCTGCAAGACCGGATCTTGTCACTCCAAGGTTGATGAAAGGCATCCTTATCATCTTTATGGTAAGTGACATACTCGACTGTCTTGTTGCATGTGGGACATCGACGAGACCATATCTAATTGAGCTCTGTGTACTCAATAGTATCCGATACTGAAGGAGAAGCCATGGCAGAGCAGCCTGGTAGCGCATCTTTGTCAGATTGTCTGGCGATCCTCTGCAGCGTGCCAGCGGGTCCTCAAATATTACCTAGTGACCCCTAGACCCACCTCAGGCAATGGTGTAGCATCCCTTGAGGAAACCATGGCCTGGCTCGTCTGGCTAGTGCACCGCTTCATTAACATGAGAGTCGAGATGATCGAGGGATATGTAACGAGGGCAGGTCTTCCATCCAGCACAGCAAACTTGGACGAGAATGTGATTTCAGCTCTCCAATGCCTGCATTTCTTCTGCAAGTTCTTATTTTACTTTTATTTTATTTTCTAAAACACGAATTGGTGCAGCTACAGGGTGCTACGGCGGATACTAACGACTTACTTCATCTTGCTTTAATGTCTCAACGTCTGTGTAGATCACGTCAATCAAGAGGCACGCCTGGTCAAGTATACAGAATTTTACAACGATTCATTGAACAGTTTTATTGACTTTATGGACGATTTTAAAAGATTCAGAGAAAAGTTGTTTGCCCTGTGCAATTTTCCGTTCGTGTTGACGGTGACAACCAAAGCCAATATTTTGAAATTGGAGTCCTCAGTGCTCATGCGCGAAAAGCTGCAGGTGTGATGTCGTTTTGTGAACCCATGGTGAATCTACCATCTAGAAAAGTATCGCATACTAACTCGACTTCTCCATGTTCATGTGATTAGCTGGCATTCTTTCGAGCAGTGTTCGTTGGCGTGAACCCCCCATATCTTTTGCTCACTATCCGGAGAGATTATATCATCGAGGATGCATTGGTGCAGCTTCAGCACAAATCGCACGAAGACCTTAAGAAGCAACTCAAGGTCAAGTTTGTCAACGAGGAGGGCATTGACGAGGGTGGAGTTCAAAAAGAATTTTTCCAGCTGGCCATGCGTGAACTGATCGATCCCAAGTATGGTACGATGTCGATGTCGCAATATGATGTGATGAAACTTTTTGTGGGTTGTTCAGGATGTCGGATCGTGCGACTGACTCCCCTGATGGTCTATTTTCCAACGTAGGGATGTTCGTTACAAACGAGGAGTCTCGTCTATGTTGGTTTGCACAAAGCCCGCTGGATGACGAACTCACACTGGATGAATACAATATGGTTGGACGACTCATTGGTCTAGCTATTTACAACGGCATTATTCTGGATATACATTTCCCCTTGGCACTATACAAAAAGTTGGCACTCGCCGCAGATTCATCCGCCAATTCACAAAAGCTGGACGATCAGTGGGATTTGGATGACTTGGCTGAGATTGATCCGGTAAGAACGGCGTTGGTGCCGTAGCATTCTGTCTTTTTTGACAGCGGAATAAAACGACGTCTTCCTGACTTCTACATCTGTTGCATGGACGTTGTTAGACACTGTCAAAGGGCCTGCGGCAATTGGAGACGTTTGAGGGGGACGTTTTGGAGGCCTATGATCGGACGTTTCAGATCGAGTATGAGTCTTTGGGTCAGACATACCAGCACGATCTCATTTCTGGCGGAGCATCTATTCCGTTGACAAACACGAACCGTTCAGAGTTCATCAAAGAGTACCTCAAGTTTTACTTTACGACGTCGATCACCAAGCAGTTCAATGCTTTCAGTGAGGGTTTTAATCTCGTCACGCTTGGAAGTGCAATCCAGGTACTAATATCAGGCCGATTTACTGTGTTAACTGTTTCCCTGGAGAAAAAGCTGCACGAGTAAACATATGGTCTTTTTTTTTTTTTTTTTTTCGAAAACAGCTCTTTAGACCAGAGGAGGTCGAGCAATTGATTTGCGGTTCCCCTGACCTCGATTTCCATGCTCTAGAGCATATCACGCAGTATGAAGGCGGATTCCACGCGAAGTCAAGGATCATAAGGTAAGGAACGAGCTTTCACCACGATCTTCTTATTCAAGTTTATCCGTCGTCCTTCTCACTGTCTGACGCTTTTTATTTTATTTTTTGTTTTTTTTTATATAGGTGGTTCTGGGAAACTGTTCATGCATATGATGAAAAGGACAAGAAACGGCTGCTATTTTTTGCTACAGGATCAGATCGAGTGCCAATTGGAGGTCTTGGTCATCTGTCGTTCACGATCTCCAAGAACGGCCCTGACTCTATGCGGCTCCCCACCTCCCACACCTGTTACAATACGCTGATGCTTTGCGCGTATTCCTCGAAAGAAAGATTGCAGGAGCGGCTCATGACTGCCATTGGCAATGCTGAGGGCTTTGGGCTCATGTAGAAGAGAAGCCGATTGGCTTTGCAAGTTGACTTATCTGCAGACGCGATACCCCGCTATTATGCTAGCCCTCGCGAATGACATGCCGCTTTGGGAACACACAATGCTTCGCTGTTTCTGTTATGTGCAGCTTGCGGGCTGCTTTCCAGACACCTAGCTATCCCTCGTGCCAATAACATCTGCGCTCTTGGTCTTCCAGGAAATGTCACCTACCTTTTAAGGAGCTCGTCGCCAGCGCCAGAAAAACTTTTAATGCCCTGGCATGATTGAAGTCTGCTCTTTAGTACGACGATACAGAGTTGATGACGAGTCATGACAATAAAGTCCATCCCCCTTGGAATTGTTCTTCACTTATGTTCGCTGATCTGCCCACAGCTGTACCTTTACAACGTCGTCGAACGAGGATGCGCCAATGACGGATGCTCGGTGAGGGACGACCAGAAGCTGGGCGGATGTAGAGAGGCGAGGTCAATGTCTATAATAGGGACGAGTACAGTTGATAGCAAAAGTAAATCAGTTTATTCTTTGATACAGACACGCGATCCCCAGTAGCAAACAAAGATGTGAACGTACGAGCAAAACTGACTTTGACTCTCAACTGTAACGGTAATCTCCTAACCCGACTTACGTCGGTGGTTATTGAAAAGCTAAACCGTTTCGTAGGCAATACCACGATTTGGCAGGATGCAATGCGGCTAACAGAATGTTTGCAGACATGGTTTCATGGTGTCGGTCCATCCGACAAACTCAAAACCCAGCCCATTCGAGTTCAAACATCACAACACTGTCGTTGGATGGTTGCGGTTGCTCTTCCGCTCCTGAACTTGCCGTCCTTTTCGACTGCATTGAGGTCGTCGAATCCGCACGTTGCATAAGCTGATCATTACCGCCAAGCGAGCAGATCAAATGCTGTTTTTGAACTGTAGATGCCAACCTCGCACGAGTGGCGAGATCGAGCAAAGATAGTGGCTGATCGCGATCTTCGATCGTGGCGATCATGCTCGCATGACAGATCAGCGGATCGTTTTTATAGAGAAGGTAGTCGCCGCCAAACTTCATTCCCGGCGCGAGAAAGTACTTTTCAGTGGCCCAAAGGTACATGAACGCGGAGGACTTTTGTCGATCTCGCGTGGACGCGGGATAGCTCCATACGGAGCGAACATCGGCTGTGAACTGTTGGTTATTGCGCTTTTCCGTTACAGAGTTGTAGTCTGCGCTGGAAGATCGAGCGACTACGATAGGCGAGTAATAGGATAGTGTATCGGAACGCCTGTGGAGGACAATATGGTCTGATCCGCTTTTGGCCCTAGTCCTGGCCGTGGTGCTGGCTTGCTCTAGTATTGTTATAGAATCCGCAGGTAGTTCAGATACTGCTGCGTCCAACGGTCGACCATAGGATCGACTCTCATCGATGAAATCGACTAATCCTTTACTCCATAGGGCGTGGGCTTCTTCTGGCAAGAGCCGAAGTGGGAGTCCTTGAAAAATATTTTGCATCGGATTCAGAGGGAGAGACCCGGCGAGGGAGCCGACTATCCTGTGTGTCTGCCTAAGATGCTTGACATCTATATAGGGATATATTTACAGCATTGTTATTCAGTACTAGACTATTAGGTATGATATATTGCTATTCGTGTCAAATCCTTCGATGCCCACCTTGAAAATCCCAGACAAGCGCCTCTGAACCAGTCAGGTAGACCTTTGGTCTTGGAGTCGCTTCTGATATTGCGCCTGTGCTCGAAGAGGCGCCGGTTTGTGGCTGCAATTCTTGCGGCCCCTGTGGCTTTTGAGGCTCCAGAGATTGCGGCGATTCCTGCGGCCGTTGTAGTGGTAGTCTTGCTGCTTTGGTGGTCATGGGTGGATGGCGGTGATAGCATTCCTTGAAGATTTGGCCTGTTTGCCTGCTGGCTTATTTTCCAGCTTGCAGGATACCACAGGAGAAGGTGGCTTGTTTTAGAACCAGACCTCGCCTGTGCAGACCAGGAACTTCAGGAAGGCTGCGGATAATGAATGATGGATATGAAGAACCAGAAGAGGGAACAGAAGGCCTCGGGGAGGGAAGAAGGAGCAGATACGAGGATGCACCGCGCTGAATACTAAGAGATACTCAAAGCATGGAGCAGAACCTCGAGGGCGCGTAAACAATGGTCGAGGGTCCGTAAACAATGGACGATGGCGCGTTTGACAAAAAGGGCATCTTGGAATTGTCTCCATTAAACTCCTTCTCTCCCTCTCTCCATCGCCTTCTTCTTTCATCACTCCCCCTTCCAATCATATATCAGCCTACTCTTCCTAGCATATACACTCTTATCTAATTCTGTATCGAGCCTGCTGTCCTATTTTTAACCCTTGACTGATTCACCATGAATAAAGCCGCCCGCAAGGCAGTCAACCTGAGCGTGCTCCAGCGACATGACCCGCACATTTCGGACATCCTCGACAGCTCAAGCCATGTAGTCGTTTACCAATTTGATGAGGACTCGCAAGCATGGGTATGGGGTAGCCGGCGTCGATATGTTTGCAAGTCTGAAAAGAAGAAGGCTAGCGATGGTACTAACATATGAACAATCGTGTGGTTTTCTCCTACCATACTATCGCATTGTTGTTATATTACGGACGGTGGTCACGATCACTGGCACGCATCAACCACATCTATTTCAAATTGCTTGATGTCACCCTTTGCAGACAAAGAAAGGAGTAGAAGGCACGATGTTTGTGTTCAAGAGGTTAGTGACAAAGGCTGCTGCTGTCGTCGATTCCTTTTTGAGAATATCAATCAAGGATTCTCTATCATTTCCTAATAAGCCAATGGTTTTCTCTGTCTGATCTCTCCTTGAGTAGATCCTCCGTTCCATCATATGGATTCTTTATTATGAATCGCCTGGGTCTCGATAACCTGATGGCCGATCTCACTGGGGACATGGCATTGCAGCTCACTTCTGATTACATTATATATCAGCATGGTAAAGGTACGAACATTTCAATGGAAGCAGCTTCAAGTAAAGGCAGCGAATGGCGCTTATTTCTATCTTTCTGATGCATTAACCGTCACTGCTTGGCCCTTCACATAATCAGATATCCACGGCATCTGGATCTACGAACCCACGGATCGTGACAGGATCGGCGAAAAGCTAATGGAGTAAGCGTGTGGCGTAATGCGTTTATGCTCATGGAACCTTTGACCATTCGATTTATCACGCGGGCTTTTCTCACTCCTGGATATGTTTTCATGGCAATTCTAGATGCTGCCAAAAAGCAAGGGAGGATAGCCTGAGCACCGCACAATCGTCATTAACCCCATCATCTGCAGCGGCGAACCAACCCACAGTCCACCAGATACCGTCGACATCACCTTTCCATGCTGCGCCGAGCGATGTTGCTCGAGTGGACCCGTTGACGAGGATGCTGAGCGAGGCCATGTCGAAGGCCAGGGTGTCAGAGACATCAGGGGCGCCATTAGCCCATTCGAATATTCAGGATGATACATCCTCAACCAGCGATGCAATGGCACATCCGTCTCAAGATCCACAGCAGTTGGATCCAGTAGTATCAGGAATTAAAGGACAGAACGAGGACTCTGGATTGAAGAACGAAATACCCTCATTCCTTATGGCCATCATCTCGAGGAAGGACAACAAGCCCTTAGGACCTGTGGAAGGATCGCCTGCGCTGCGGCAGCAGAACCTCAAGGACATGGGTTCGACGCAATCGATGTTACTCAATTCGCTGACTGGAGCTGGGAAACCGTCTGCTGGTGCTGAACATCGAGACAGTGTTCGCTCAAATGGACCCCCCCTCTCGGCTGAACTTCTTCCAGCATCAGTTATGCCCAGCGGCCTGTATTCAAGTAGCTATCGACCGAATGGAGCGAATGCCGCACAAGGACTTCAGCAACCCAACCATCATGCTTCGCCATCCTCGACCATGGCGGCTGCAACACTCTTGAATCGACCGAATGGCGCGCCGAATCATGGCTCGCCCATGCAGGCACCTGCATTCACCTACTCGCCAGGCATGATGCCATCTCCACTGGTGATGCCGCCGATACCAGGAGGGCCAATGATGCGGCCGCCAGCCCCGCCACCAATGCCGTTCCAACATCATCCGGGGCTTGCAGGAGGACCTCATCATCCCATGGGCCCGCCGTCGATGGGTATGCCGCCGCCACCGCCTCCTCCGTCTGCGATGGCAGGATCGAGTTTCCCGGCAGATGCGATGCATGCGGCGATGGGTGCTGTCGGGTTTATGCAGCAACAGCAACGAGGATTCGTCGGGCATGGAAATGATGTGCTGTCGAAGGCAGACTTTTCACAGCAGTTCATGGGCCTGATTCAGAATGATCCACAGTTTATGGATGTGCTATATTCCAACTATACTGCCGTGCTCGCGAGACGGGGGTAAACCTCGGCGCCGCCTTTCTTTATCTTTAAAACTCGTTCCATCCTTTGAACGAGCGGCCGACAATATTATGCGTAATGCTTATCCTATGCCAATGTCGTTGGTTTCGATAATAAAGTACGGCTCTGAAAGCGACCCAGAATAGTATATCATTCGCACATGGTGTTGAGTTACTCCATGATATTAATCTCAGTCGAAGGTATCTTCTCGTCGAGTAGTAATCTACGGCTAAAGAAACCCATGATAGGTTAGCCCGTGATCGAGCCACACACCAACAAGGCCATGTTCTCTAGCTCTGCCAGTTACTGCTGACTTTTTCATGTGGCTAAACTATGTGACCAAAGCTCAAACTGAGTAATCGGTATGGGTGTTGTTCTGAACCAGCTTTTGCGATTTGATTATCCCTACATTGACATCTTTCTGTTCTAACTCTGAACTCCTGTTCTTTCGATGAGATATTAGACGGCAGTCGGAAATGAGACGCGCTTTTATTTATGACAGATCCGTAGAGCGAGTACCAAAGATGAGTACCAAAGATGAGTACCAAAGATGAATTCCGTGAACTGCGAGGATTAGTTCCAAGCGCGCTTCCCAAATTTTACCGCCTTTAACAAGTACATGGAAATGAAGTAGAGCAACGGCCAAAGTCCGCCTAATGGGCACGACTGTATTGGGTTGTGAGCACTTCAGAATACATCTCTCATAAGCCTCAGCGCGATTCTCAACGGTACTTCTGAGGAATTGTAACGCCAACATTCTGAATCAGTTGCTCCAGTTTTGTTTGTCCTGATACCCCCCCCCCCCCCCCCCCCAAAAAAAAAAAAAAAAAAAAAAAAAAAAAAAAAAAAGGAGACCTCCAATGATTAGACCCAAGACAAGTTCTTTCCTTAGGCGGTCTGTGTCTCCGACCTCATTAGTCCTCGCAGACAGGATACCATGCAACTGTCTTGGTAGCTTGAATGTCCCTTTGTATCGGTATTTGTTGCTGATAGGGTCCCAATCGCGCGCTACTTCAGCCACGACTCAGACGTGCTCAGGTGCTGTGACTGTACGCCAGATCAGATCAGCTTTATATCCGATGCGGCGACGATCTGTTGCTGTCATGTTCTTATTTCGGCGTCCAGCTAAGTCGTGTCCTGCTTTTTCACCTAGGAGGATGAACGCGTGTGGGACACCGTTCGCGAGTTTCAAACACGTACCCCAGGCATTGATGTGCCATCACGCTTCACCAAGGGTGTTCACAATCACAAATGGGAAGGCTCGGTGGCCTTAAATATGTCTAGCCTTCGAGGTTGAAGAAATGGCCAGGAGAATAGTTAATTAAAAAAAATAAAAAAGTACAACACAACAAAGCAACACAACATTACACAAAGAGAAGGGTTACCATTGACTGAGGCAATGGTGCATGAGTAAACTTTCTTCATCGGTAAGACGCAATAGCAAAGCTTTCTCAAGACTCTCAACTATGTTGACTTCGCAGAAAGAGTCCAAGTAGAGGTCAGTTGATTCTGAGTACAATGCCTAACTCGGCAAGTCGGCAATTATCTCGTGCCAGTCTTCCTGGGAGAATAGGTTTTCGATGAGTGGATCATCCAGATCCAGCATAAAGCTGTGCAGAGCGCTATTAGAGAATGAACATATTGTGATGAAATTGTAAGAGGGCTGTGTCGTATTTATTGAAAGGCCATACTCAATGAAGTGTTCTCACCTGTAGGTATCAGGGCTGGTTTCGCTGGTTGCCATGAAGATTACATTCTCTATTATAGTCTCGGACTTGAGTACCCATTTTCTCCCTAACCTCCGGTATCTCTCACCGAAAGATCTCCCTCCTTCTTCCTTGAGCCATTAGAGCACATAAAAACGAAATAAGACCGGATGCATCAAATGATAAGGACAAAGCAGCAAGGCAGTATGCTGCTTACCGGTTTGGCTAACCTATGTTTCTTTTTAACATCCATGAATGATGGCTCTGGCATCTTTGGTAGGGCCTTTTGTCCTGGATCTTCATCTGAAGTCTCAACCGCTGCTGCTGTGGTGTAGTGGCTCTATATCAGGTAAAAGCACTAGCTATGAATACACTACCGAAAATAATGAGTAAATGTTTTGGTATAAGTGCCGATAAAATTTTATGCCTCGATGTCCAAGACCACTAGTGCTGTGCATGTTCGCCAGTAATATCATGGTCCATTCAGCATCGCGTGGAATGACTACCAGGTGTGTCTAATACAGCGAGCCATATATATCTCAAATTAAAAATTATGACGTCATTTACTCATTATTACCCCCATGCACTTTTGAACTTCGTTTTGCTCTTTCTTCTCCACTTCAGCTACCCACACACTCCTACTACCATAATATCGACTACCTTACGCCACGACTTTAAATCCTACATGAAGAAGCTCAATCATAACATTGAACAGGGGATCATTGCTGACCTCCGGTTGAAAATGACCACACGAGCCATTGCCAAGAGACGTGGAGTATCACAGGCCAAGGTCTCTCAGCTCGCGCAGACCATCAAGGAGACCCTTCCGCCGCGAAAATCCGGCCGCCCTGGGAAAGTATCCGAGGCAACCAAACGTTTGATGGTTCGAGAAATCACAAATGGTACACTTCAAACCGCTGTAGACGTGCAGGAACGGCTTAGTAGAGACTTTGCGACGGACTTGACGGTAGCAAGAGTTCGACAGATCTTGAGACAGGAGGGTCTGACCGCCGTGCGCAAACGGCGAAGGCCAAAACTTACCTCCAAGCACAAGGCGGAGCGCATGGATTTCGTGCGAAAGTACGAGCACTGGACAATCGATGATTGGAAACGAGTCGTTTGGTCCGACGAGACTAAGGTCAACCGCATTGGGTCCGATGGAGTCCTGTGGGTCTGGAAAAAGGGAGGTGACAAGTCTCTGGACGATCGGCTTGTCCAGGAGGAGGTCAAGTTCGGCGGCGGTTCCATCATGCTATGGGGGTGCATGACCTGGCATGGTGCTGGATTCATTTCCAGGATCGAGGGGATCATGGACGCCAGTCTCTATGTCGAAATCCTGGAGGAATGTCTCCCACTCACCCAGCGCTGGTACAAGATCAAGCCTAAGGATATGATCTTTCAACAGGACAACGACTCGAAACACACTTCCAGCACTGCGATGAATTTCTTTAAGCAGCACAAGTACAATTTGTTGTTCTGGCCGCCCAACTCTCCTGACCTAAATCCGATCGAGCACCTCTGGGACTACGCAAAACGCCAGTTAGGCAAGTACCCGGTGCCTCCGAAGGGCATGATCGAACTATGGGAAAGATTTCAGGCGGAGTGGAACAAGATTCCCCCTTCTGTCTGCCAAGGCTTGATTGAGAGTATGCCCAGAAGGATCGAAGCTGTTAAGAATGCCAAGGGAGGCCACACTAGGTACTAAGCAGGCCATCAGTAAACTTGATATCGAAGATGAATAAAAAAAAATAAAAACCATGTCCATGGGAGAAATAATGAGTAAATTGAACAGTTTAAACTTAATTCTGTATACAACGCGCAATAATTTTCTCCGCATCTCCCAAATGCTGTAGATTACTTTTCATTGCACTGGCATGTTATCCTGTAACTATCACCAGCTATATAACCCGGGTTCGGAAACAACTGACAAATGTGCTACAAAAGTGAAAATCATTTACTCATTATTTTCGGTAGTGTATGACACGATGGGAGGAATAGGTACAGGACACTCATACGATCATACCAGGCACGTGCTGCAGTGCAGTTACAGGATGTGCAAGTAGAAGGACATGCAATTAGACAAGAGTCAATAGGGTTTGCATTTATAGAAATTTTCTTTGGTCAATAAATATCACAGAACGACAGGACCAAATGGTTCCTGGTCTGTTTCCTCACTATACTTTGCTCAACTCTTGCCCCCGCACGACACTCCAAGACGCTCCACGCATCCCTGTCCCAACACACTGTACCCTTCGATCGGTATACTCTGCCACAGCTGGCCTTCATAGCATATCGCCCAGCAAGAGTAGAGACGGGACCCGTGCGTCTGAACTGCTGCACCTCTAGTGCCCCCCCAAGTGTTCCTGCGAGTCCGCTCACATTACCTGCCTGCCCCCACGACAGGTAATGATCATGGTCTCATAACGAACAAGAGCGGAGGATCAAGAACAGTACCCCTCGATGCCGACGTCTGGACACAGGAGTCAAGACAGAGTCCCTTTGACCTTGCAGATCCCTAACCCGAGTGTGTTGTCGCCTTTATTATTCTCGTAAATAGTTCTGCTGTCTTTATTATCCTCATCGTTGAAAGATCTCTTACCAGTGCCCCCACATCTGGAGCTTTATCCATACACCGTAAGATAATTATTATGTAGAGACTTCGTAAAGCAGAAGAGACTTTTATTGAGCAACATATTCACAGCTAGTACTTTTACCTGATATAGAGCCACTACACCACACCGGCGATATGGCTGACTACATCCTCCAGTTCCAGACATTGTCCTCTCAAGTCCGCTGGAATGAGGCCGCCCTCGTTGCCAGATTCAAGGATGGACTGTCCGCCTCCGTCAAAAGAGGATTGACCAGTTGCTGGGACACTTTGGTGTCTCTCAGCGACACTCAAGCCAAAGCCCTGGTAGCCTATCAGAATCAAGAGCACATGAATCGTGTCACAGGTCAGCATCATCAGCAACACAATCGTAATCGTCCGCAACCCTACGTCCGTCCCCAAGCCCAGCCTGCAGCGCAGTCTACTGAGAAAGGTGCCGCTAACATGTCCATGGACCTCGACCAGGTCCGCTCCCGCCGCCTGACGCCAGCCGAAAAGAAATACAGAAGGGATAACAATCTCTGTTTGTACTGCGGTGATCCAAATCACTTCGCCGCCAGCTGCCCCAAGAAAACCTCTCTCACTGAAATCCAGTTCTCCTTTGACGATGAAGCGGGAAACGGTTCCGCCTAGATCCTGCCGAGGACTGGATCTTAGGCAATGTCTTTGTCTCCTCTGCTGCTCCAGCAAACTCCCGTATCTGCATCCTGATTCCTGTCACTGTATCTTCACCCACCCAAACTATCTCCACACAAGCCCTCATCGACTCTGGTGCGCAAAAGTCGTTCGTCGACAACAATTTCGTCAAGACAAACGGTTTAGCCACCAAACCCTTGCCCTACGCTGTCGGCCTCGACATGGCCGACGGCAGTCCCAGTTCCCATGGTCCTGTCACGCATGAGACCCTCGTTCCCATCACCATCGCGAATCAACACCATGAAACCCTGCCCCTTAAAGTCACCACCCTCAAATACCATGATATTATTCTCGGAGTGGATTGGCTCCGCATGCACAACCCAGCCATCAACTGGCGCCAGCATGTGGTGACCTTCCATGACGACTTCTGCAATAAAAACTGTATTAAACAGTGTCCTGCTCCTGTTCCTGCTCCTGTTCCTGCTCCTGCTCATGTTTCCTTGTCTGAACCTCTGTCTGATGAATCTTGCAATTCTGTCCGTGTTAATGTTCCTGTTTTCAATGATCCTGATCCTGTTCCGTTTAATCCTGTCTTGTTTACTCCTGAATTCTCAGATCCTGAACCCACTATTGACGACTATCATCTCTGTCAACTGTATCTTGACTGTTGCGGACCACAACAACTCGACACCCCTAACCCACACATCACCCTGCACAATCTTGAATTCCACACCGCCACTCTGCCACCCCAGTATTCTGAATTTGCTCCGCTTTTTGAAGACCGTGAAAACGGTACCCTGCCTCCCCATCGCGCTTTTGACCACACAATTCCACTGGAACCAGATTCAAAAATACCTTTTGGCCGCCTCTATAACCTGTCCCAGGGAGAGCTGGAAGAACTCCGTGAATATATCAAGGAAAACCTCGCGAAAGGCTTTATTCGCCATTCGGAGTCTCCTGCTGGCGCGCCCGTGATGTTCGTCCCTAAAAAGGGCGGAAAATTGAGACTCGTGGTTGATTATCGTAGTCTGAACAAGATCACTGTCAAGAACCGTTGCCCCTTACCTTTGATCTCCGAAACCCTGGATCGATTAAAGGACGCCAAACACTTCACTAAGCTCGACCTCAAGGGCGCCTACAATTTGGTCCGCATTGCCGAGGGTGAGGAATGGAAAACAGCATTTCGAACCCGCTATGGACACTTCGAGTATCTTGTCATGCCTTTTGGTCTTACCAATGCTCCTGTGACTTTCCAGGTGAGATATTTTTGGGATTCAGAATAAGTGAGAAAGAGATGTGGCTCCACACACCACACCGATTAGGTATTTATTTGTATTAAACATAATAGTGAGCTGGAGGTACACTTGTTAAACTAAATATACAGTGAACTCTGGTGAAATATGCGACAGCTCCCCTTCCCCTTGGAGAACGAGGCACGAGTTCCAGGATTTTGTATGGCATATGAGGCAGAGTGAGTTGTACTGCAGAAATTTTGAATCGCGTAGATTAGGTTGATTGTGCATGGATTTTTTTTTTTTTTTTTTTTTTCGTGACATCATACAGTCAAGACCATCTGATCAAAATTGTGAGATCATCTGATGTCCCATGGACCAATGAGATGATGCGGATGGGAATGAGTGATGGATGGATGTCCAAGGTGAGAGATGAACGAGGTTGATTCCTCATTCTTTCTTTCTCATTCACCTGCCCACCACAAACACTTTCCTACAAATTTTCACAATATTTTTCATTATGTCCCATCTTCGTCCTATCATCGACTTGCGTGAAGCTAGGCGGGAAGCTAAGCGCCTTGATGCGCTGAAAAGACAGCAGGAGGAGGAATCCACTTCGACGGCGAAGCCAGTGGGGGTATTGTCGGAGGAGACGGTACCTTTTACACAGGTACCGAAGGAAGATTGGTCTCCGACTTTTCCTTCGGACGTGGCACTAGGCAAGTGTGCATTGGCGAAGCCTGAATATGTGCCAGCATCACAACCTGACGAGGAGGAGGATGATTTGCCCCAGGGTCAGGGTGCCACAGGCGAGGATTATGAGACTCAGCCCCTCGAGGAAGATGATGATTCGCCACAGGATCAGGGTGGCACGGACGAGGATTATGAGGCTCAACTCATCGCAGCTCATCTGGAAATCGAGGAACTTCGCAGTACCCTGAAACGTGAGCGGGATATAATTTACAAGGATGATGGCACTCAGGTGGATCGAAAGACAGCAGAGCAGGGGGTTCAAGTTGAAGCGGAGGACGATAGCAGGAAAGAGCAACGTCCTCGTAAGAGGCGTAGAAAGGCCAGAACTAACATTATAGTCCTCAATTTTGATAAGCAGACTAATTACTTTAGTTAGCTGGATGGAAATAAATAATTCTAGCCATTCTATTTGTCGCAGAACCATTGGAATGAAATGCTCATTGTATATGTCTTGTGCCTTTTTTTTTTTTTTTTTTTTTTTTTCCATGCGTTTAGTTATCTCTTGTGCAGTAAGATATTTGTATTTGTTATGAACGTGTGCTTTGAGATCGTTTGCGTCGCGTAGACGGCCGGCCATAGGTGCCTGTTGCCGTGTCAACGTATGTTCGCTTATTTGATTTTTGTTGTGCGGCATGATGCTCAGCCCAGTAATCACTGATGCATCGTCGTTCAATAAAATGATCTTCAGGTTCCCATGTATTTTCATCGGAAGAATAACCCTTCCATTTGACCAAATATTCATTCGTATTAGGCGTGATTGTACTAGCCCTGTGGTTAACGATTTTTTCCACTTCATAGGTGTCAGTGTCTTCAAAATCATCCAGCACAAGCTTGAGCTGAGATGGGGCATAATGACGTCCTAATATAGCTCCTGTTCCATCTTTAAGGATATATGGGCCATGTGAAGTGCGTCGTACCACTGTATATGGTCCTTCATATCGTGGAGTAAGCTCGCCTCCTTTAATTGGATCAAGAGTCATTATCCTTCGGGCCAGGACCATATATGTGTTATCTTCTTTTATTGAAATAAAACGCGAAAATCCAGAAACTACCCGTAAGGAAAAAATGAAATAAATTCTGCTCGTATACCATGAATGCCTACTATCTTCTTTTGTTTCGCCAGGGACATACCCGCATACATAGAAAATCACTCCATGTCTACTCCTCCCACACAAGATGCAAACACTATTGCCAACCTTCAAGAACAGGTGGCCAATATGGCCCGCCAGATCGCTATTCTTCAAAGCTCCAGAGACTCAGACCCTCAGCTCGAGGAACCGATCTCCGTCAAGACTTACCATCCTTCTGCAGAGGAAGCTGAACGATATCCTCCTATCCAGCCTTCAGACCCCGCATCTTTCTTTCAGCAAGACACCCCGGACGACGAATTTTGGGAACAGTTCCGCCGCTACCCCAAGAATTCAGCGATGGGATACGAACCTCCCAAGATCCCAAATGTCATTCCTCTCTCTCCGCCACAGAAGGCCCATGATCACCAGCTACGCAACCTCCAAAAGCGTCTGGTCAACCTCACGAGACCAATCGACATGTTCCTCCATCAGATCTGGTCCATGGAAGGCAGCGGACCCATGGATGCCGACGACGTGGTGGAACTATGCTCAACATTTGCCATTCTCATGCGAGAACAACTGGCTGCGACTGCCGGCAGGATCAACACCATACGCATGGACAATTTGCGCAGCTCACAGGGCGCCACTTACAAGCAGGACTCCTTGGATATTGTGGACCCAGGCAAATTTCAAGAGGAGATTAAATCCATTCGGACCATCACCAACGCGTTCAAACCCCGAAGACCTCCTCAATCTCAGCACCAGACCGGCAGCACCAAATCAGGCAACGACCGATCCAACTCTAATTCTAGCAACAACCAGCAGAAAAACAATCAGCGATACCGCCGCAACGATTATGGGGACAACAATTCCTCTTTTCACCGGGATTTCAACAACCGACAGGGAGACAGCCAGCGACGTGGCCGAAGCAGCAGCCGCCGAAAAACACAGAGAGAGTCGGAGGGAGACTCACTCTCTTCTTAGAAGCATGGCAGAGAATTACCGACAACTCCGACATCCTGTCCATCATCGAAGGGGGTTACAAAGTGCCGTTCGAGAAACCGCCACCAGTGTCCAAGTTTCACTCTCCGCCTCATCCGCTATCGAAGGATGCAATGAAGACCATCGACGCCGAAGTATCCGCTTTGCTGACCAAGGGAGCAATCGAATGCGCGAGTGGGCCCGGCTTTACAAGCCCATTGTTCGTCATCCCCAAAAAGACAGGAGACCTACGGCCAGTACTGAATCTACGAGCACTAAACCAATTCCTCCCAATACAACACTTCAAAATGGAAACAATTCAACACGTCTGCCATTTAATAAATCGAAACGATTACTTGACATCTATAGATCTGAGCGATGCATTCCTACACGTCCCAATTCACCCATCATCGCGACACTTTATTCAGTTCCAGTGGAGGGACCAACTCTATCAGTTCAAGGTTCTACCATTCGGTCTATCACTAGCACCCCTAGTTTTTACGAAAGTCCTCAAGCCCCTTCTACGCTGGGCCAGGCGGAAAGGGATACGGATATCGGCGTACCTGGACGATCTGATTATCGCGGCGACCACAGAGAAACAGTCTCTCAAGGCTACTGTCACGGATAGCACCATAGCGTGTGGTGCAGAGTGACAGTTGAGCTGCGCACACAATTGCTCATATTGATTTGTGACTGCTTCTACGCGCTCACGCGCTTGCACGCGTACCTCTGCCACCGTATGCTCGATCAACATATGTTCAACGAAGTATCTTTATTGATATTGCCATTATCCGGCCCGCCTAGAACCATTGTACCAGATCCATACCTTTGTGCTATTCCTAGCAAATATACCTCGCGTCCCGTAGTAGCCATCCGAGTACCCTGACCAAGAAT